AATTATTCAGTGACGACGACGACGACGACGATATTGGTAGAGGATAACACAGCGATTTAACAATTTACCCTTAAGAGCAGCTCTCCGATTACTCAAGCATGCCAGCCAACACGGAATTGTTTCTGGGAAATCGTGTTTCCGTTGGTGGGACGGTTGCTGATCGTTGGAATCATGGAGGTGATTCCACGAAGAAGATCGACAACAAGCGAACCTGGATCGACCAGTCTACGTGTTATCCAATTTCTCTGGAATTTCTGCAGAAATCGTTTCCGCTATTATCCTCTTTTGTGCAACGAGCCCTTTGTTAACTACTCTTGTTTCATGACCAGCACGACTGAAGGGCTGTCTTCTGTTGCTTCTCGATAATATTATCAAATTTCAAATAGTGTTGTGGAATTCAACGAATTATAAGAAATCATTTATTTACGTATCGTTAAATTGTTTTCTTTTCATTCAGCAGCGAGTTAATTGCACGAGAATACCGGTAAATTGATTCGATTAATTTATATGATAAATATCAGGTGGTTAGTAGACGTTTCAGTGATTGCTTCCTGTGCCATTCTCCCGCCAGTACTTCTTGGAAGTTCAACAATCTTATCGGAAGAATCAAGCTCTACGAATAATCTAGACACCGGATGATCCAGATTGTGGCAGGTTTTTCAAATCTCGTTAGCGGTATGAGATAAGTACAGGAGTCTTTAAACAGTTGAAACAGTTGAAACAGCTGAATGTCCTGGGAGACTGGTTCTTCTTGTTCCGAAGCCGGCACATGTCCAGCTTATGCAAGTATTATAGAATCGTAATCCTGATCTGGACACCTATACTGCACTCGTTACACACCCACCTTGATCGCATTTTCTTGCTCTGTCTTATTTTTGGATACTACATAATCTAGAATACTAATGGTAAAAGCTACACGAACGGTACATCTATAAAAAGAATGCAACCGGCTTAATTGGAAGCTGAATCGATCGTTTAATGAAAAATCTGTGAAAAGCAAGAGATGCCGCTAGAAATAGACGCGACGTCGTCGAGACAGCATTCGCAAGGTTAATTGCGCGGAAAACGATCGCGGCAGATTTATTAACCGAGCTTGATTATTCCACCAACTTGCCTTTCCAGCTGTTACGATCATCCTACGAAGGATATTACGCGACGATCTTACGAATAATTGCCACGATTATCTTTCCAGCAGCATCTAACAATAAAAGAGGGAAGAGAAAAAAGAGCAGCTGTTATTTAACGGAAAACTGTAAAATCTAGTTTAAAGGAGTTCGAACCAATTACCGGTTCAATTTTCTATACTATCATAACTGTTATTCTTGGAAATAAATCGTAAGGAAATGAACTATAGTTACTTTAGTCATGAATCGTTGATAGATGCAATTATTCTTTATCATAGATCGTATAGGAGAATGCAGAGAGTTAATAAGGATGAAATGATCTTCTTTATCGTGTTCATAAGCAACAGAGTGTAAATAATTGAATGCACATTCGTTTTTACTCTACAAAAATAGACTAACTGGAATAAATAATACTGAAAGTAACAAGCAATTAAATTGACAGAATATACATATAATAAACAAACAGTATATCTATCCTTGCGATTTTAGCGCAATATCCATTGCCACGAAGGTGAATTATAAAACCATGGTTCTGATGTCTTCAGCTGGAACGACACGCATAAGTTACTCGTTTTCTTTGTTTAGAAAAATACAGACCATTTCAAAAGCATTGCGCAGGACAATAGGAGTTTACTAGTACAAATACTTTGCAATACAAAAGGTACGAATGGTCCAAGTGGTCTGTCAATCGATGCGAGTTGATGTAACGTTATTGATGCATCCGGATGTTAGTCGCGTGCAGTATGACAGTTATACATAATGCATAGAGCAAGTCAATGGAAAGGCTTTTCACGGATCTAACGGAATTCCTTGCTTCCTAATTTTTCAACATCTCTGAAGAACTAGGTGCGAGCTACGATGTGCGATATGTAAATGCTCGCCTACTGGGCGCTTCCTTTCTTAATTCCTCGCAGATGTTCGAAATACTACGGAACTTTCGTAATGGTACAAGTCCGCAACGAGACGGTTCGACGATTATGCAGATTCCTGCCATACTGAATTTCGGCTCGTTAACCCGTTTCCTCTGGAAAGATAGTCGGCAATTGTGCTGATCGTTCAGCGTTGCTGAATTAGAGATTGCACAACGCGAGAAAAGGCTTCGGTCTTTAGGCTTTTTATCGACTAAATTTCGATATAATCTACGATTATTACCAACCGCTATCGTCTTGGAATTTCTTTTCATCGACAAAAAGAATTGATCGAAGTGACAGGAAGTGATGCGACGCGACGCGAGGCGACGTTCGGTTACGCTGTCGATATTTTATGCCACTCGTGTTCATCATCGTGCATTAAAATCTTACGCACGAAAGCCGCAATGCTATTGCATAACTCCGTGATCTCTCGCCACCCTTGTCTTTTCGATTTTTTACCCTTTACTCCAATTCAAAAGTTCTTCGAACCTTCTTAAAATGAAAATTTTCTACGAAGAAATAACAAAAGCGAGCGTAGCCTTTCCTTTTCAACGGGTTTCAATGGGTTTCAATGAGAAAAAAGAAGAAAAGAATGCTGGTAACCGGAAAGTAAGAGAGGCTCGCGTGTCGTTTGCAAATTGCGCTTCGATACACGCCTTTGTTTCACCCCATGAGACCTCTGGGTGACTCAGGAGGCAAAGAGGAAACGACGATTCCAGAGAAACCAAACGAGAGATAAGAGAAAGAGAAAGAGAAAGAGAAAGAAAGGGAAATTGAACGCACGACACACGGACGAGTAGTTTCTATGTTCGCTCATCCTGAGAGATTCACCTCGAATGGATAGAACACGCTCAGGAAAGCGGACCTTAAAGGTCAAGTACCTTCCACTTCCGGCGTGACTTACACACTGCCGCACGTGTCTCCGCTTTAACATACCACTGCTTCTTTCTCTCTCAACGAAGAGAATTTCTACGTATCTTTCTTTTCTTACTTGCATTTGCATTCGTCGCAATATTTTCATTATTAAAAATTGAAAATTGAAAATTTTAATAACACAAAGGGTCAAAAGAAATAGAACAGTTATTTTCCAGAAACGCGAACAAATTACAATCCAAGAGTTCAGCAGAAACGTTTTCCTTTCCTTTTACCGGAAACATTTATACTTGGAAAAAGTTCAAGTTCCAAGCGTGCTTGTGAATCCTTGCTTCTCTCCGTGTTCTTTGCTTTATCTTGGATTCGTTACGGGGAAGCGCTAAAAAACCGATATAAATCGCGTAAAAGCGTGAAAAAAAAAAGAATGATTGGTCGATCTTGGCGTTACGCGGTTTTTTCTTTCAGTTCTTCTTTGATACCTACTTCCTTCGATCAGTTATGCGAATCGATCGAGGTAAAATTGTAAGAGGCTGGTTGGATTTTCGCGTGCAGCTAATTGGCTCTGTTGACTGGCGGGAAACATTCAGTAAGAAACAACAGCATAGATTGCGCCTGGGAAAGGGTTGTCAACTTTAAACGTCTCTGCGATTGTTTCAATCGTTTTTCCCTTCGTTACCACACCCCTTGTTCCGTTAATTAGGAAGTTCTAATTAAAATTAGAAATTCCCAGTTCTTTCAGAAATTAATACAAATTGTATTTTTTATCATGTAACTTTGAAATTTTTATTAAAGAAGCAAAGAAATCTTTACATTGTCGTTTAACAATGTCTCCTCGAAGCACCGTGTCTTAATTACGAAATCCCATGACGTTAATTGTTAAGATAATTGATGGTTAAAAATGTATTCTCTCATTCTAGCTACACGGTTGCGTGCAATTAATTTATAGATATACCTGCCTAACAAGCTGGCCTTTTTAAACAATTAACGACAACCTAACAAGTAAACGCGAAATGACAGTCATCATCGTGAAAAAAATAAGAAGACAATGATGAGATAGTTGTGAACTTGATGTAGTCGCGTCTTTTTCCTCTCGTCTTTCGTAGCATGGGCCAATGAAGACCCTTTGACGTCGTTCAATTCCCAATATCTCTTGCATCTCTTGCATCAAGCAAGAAACGGCTTCATGTCCATCTGGCATAGGCAATTTGTAAGCAAGAAAAGGATCACGTTACAGTAGAAACGGAGTCGGTGAATTCCTAATAAGGCAATCGATTTTCCTATTAAGGATCGACCATCTAATGAAATTCTATTTACTCTAATAGTCGATGATTTGCTTCGAAAACATTGAGATTTTCATGAATTCTTCTCTTACATTGACATATTTTTATTTTCTCCTTGGTTTTAACTTTACGCGAGTTCAATGAACTCCATTATGAAGTAGATTAAATATTTGCTGAAACCTGACTTGAGAGGTATTCAAGTCGAGGGAGTTAACGCGTTGGCCGACGCAGTAGAAATAACTGTATACGATGCGGCGCATCAAACAACTTGTGCAACTAATTAATTACAGATCAGCTAATATAAATAAGATTTTTCGCAATAGAAAAAAAGAAACGGTTAACTATCCGTTACGTTCAGTTGCTTCTAAGAAAGTCATTTGATTAAATGTAACAAAGCAAACACTGACCAATTTATCTGTCACATAATAATCGTACAAAAAACGCAACAGCTGTTATTCTTAACCCAAATACGAGTTGAAAGATTCCAACTAACCGAAGGGAGGTTATTAAACTCGAAGTTAGCGGCTCGTTGACCGAGCGAAACGTGGACCGAATTACAAAACATTTAAAAGTTAAGCTACAACGCTCGCAGAATGAAAGAATCGATTGGAATCGATCCTAATCGAACGGTAAGTGGTTACACCTAGAGAGAATAAGAGTGCCAACTATTTGTAATTGATCGACCACAAAATCATCGTTATGCCATTCAAATACAACAAGCGAATATTTTCCAAGGTCTAAAAGATAAAATTAAAAAATTAAAAAAAAAAAAATAAAATGACGTCTTTTTTCATTTTTTGTGAAATTTCCAGCAACCGTTGCGATAGCGAGTACGGTGCAGATCGAGTGTGCAAGCGAGTCGATAGTCGTCCATATTTCGACCGAGCGTAACACGGAGTTTCATGGTCTGGTCTATCCACGGGGTTTATCGAAGAACAGTTCTTGTTTACAAGAATACAGAAGTCAACCAGCCCCTATAACTTACAACCTGCCCCTCAGGTCGTGTAACACCATGCCTACCGAGCTGGTAAGTCGAATAAAAAACATCCTTCTATTTCGTGAAATCGTGAAATTATTCATCTTTTCATCGATCAGATGAAATTACTAGCTGGATAAAGCGTTATTTGGTGGTGGTAGGTGTAGCTTAAAGATCGTTTCAACTTGCTTTGTCTATGGCTATTAGTTTCGCACTTGATTGCTCAATATTTAAACGCCCTTTAATGGCGATAATTAACCGTTGCGAGATTTAGAATGGACCCTCGATCGAGACTAACAACGATGAATTGCTGTTTAATATAGAGTTTGATGATGGTTAATAATAGGACGTTTATCGTCTGTTCTGTTCAATTTGGATTAAACGATTCTTGAGGTGAATTTGAAATTAAATTAAAAAAGGACGTAAAGTATACGCTTGGTATTCGAGAATGAAGTTCGATCACCGATCACGATCGCTCATGCGATTCGACGTGTACACCGTGCACCAGCTGAAAAAACCCGTGGAGGCGTGAATGCACGCGTGAGTACACGCGGATAGACGAAGAAGAAGAAGAAGAAGAAGAAGAAGAAGAAGAAGAAGAAGAAGAAGCAAAAGGGAAATACGAAGGATGGTGGAGGAGGGCAGGTTCGTGTAACGAGGGAATCGTGTGTCGAGGCGAGAGATCGCTTCCTCGCCATACCATAACTGGACCGTTATGTGACCGGACTTACGGCCTTCTTCTTACAAACGTTACAAGAGATATGTAGTATGCCAGCAACAGCAACAGCAACAACCTAACGTTGCTACGCCTTATGTCAGCGATATACATAGCTGCATGCAAACGCGTGTGGTGCTCGTGTCCTTAACGGACCGCTGCGCTGGTTCCTTCTATTTGCCGATAATCAACTGCCGGATCACGATTTCCACCTGAACGGTTAATGCATCCGTTTGCTCGCAATTTCATACTATTTTTTAACCGACGATCGATAAACCTATGCTTGTTAATTTGGATTAGTAACGTTAAGTCAAGTTAAGTTACTAGCAAAAGGCAAAGAAATAAGAACCTTCAGGGAACCTTCTATCTTGATGTCTCATAATAAGCTTCGACGTCGAAGAATGTATGGGAAACGAGGTTAATTCTTCGTATATCGAAGGATGAGACATCATAACGCGAGGCTAAAGAACGTTATGATGCATTGTAATTTTTATCATATTCATGCATCACAATGGTGGAATGGTGTTTTATTCCGTAAACGCATGGAACGAGACAATCGAGGAACATTCGATCGAAGAGGAAGACAAGAATCGATTCTCCCAGCTAATAACGATACTTAAATCGGTGTACAAGAGTCTGCATAATTTAAGGGCTTGAAATGCCGAAGGGAAGAATTCGTCCTGTCTTGGTAAGACAAGGTTAAACTTGGCAAGTCTTTGACCTGATCGGCTTCACCGATTCTTTCTGATCCTTGTGGGCGTTAAAGGAACTGTGGGCAGTCTCAACATCCTGGACGATGCCTGATCTTCCAGCGAGCTACCATGGATCGTAAGATATCTAATCTAGTTTAAGATATCCATTGTAGCTAAGTTTCATTTGCAATAAGTTGCAATAAGATAACGGGACGCAACACAAAAATGGCATTGGGCAAAACGGAGACCTAACATGGTCAAGCTGGGCCAACGTTTTCGTTGCTTACGTAATCCTTTCCAACAACCGATTTCTTCGAATGCTGGTCCAGAAATCCGTTACGCAACGAAGGTACACATGTACCTGTGTACCAGTATGTACATACGCTCATCCTTTTCTTGCGAAGAAGAAAAAGCTCGTCACTTTTAACTCGAAACGTTCAAACAAAGTGACCAGGATCTCCTAAGAGCTGATTCAACATTTGCATTTCGCAAATCAACTAGTAGTATTATAACTCGTTTGCCTTGCTCTACTCTATTTTTAGCGTATAGGATGGAAAACAAAATCCTTTCGCAAGAAAATCAACAATGAAATCAACGTTTCACAATCTCATCAACTTGATAAAATTAAAAATTTTAATTTAAAGAAATTATGCAGTTTTCTAAATGAACGTAAGTTATTCTTGAAAGTTTGAAACTTTACAGGTTACTAAAATATCAAAGATCATCTTGCGATGAATGTAAATGAGATTTTTAAACTTTCGCAAAAGACCAATTCGAAAGTTTTTTCATGCATAATTCGATCTGAACTCAAGGATGGCAAATGATGTTTTTTTTTTCTGCGTAGGCAAGTAAGGGATATGCTCTTTTTTCGGCAATACGTCGAATGTAAATTGTACCGCGATCACGCGAGTGGGAAGATAGCTTGTGGGCAGCGAGGCGAGCCCACGCTTTGATCGTAAAAGTAAAAGTCTTCAAGACGATTCTTTGCCATGCAATTCCGCGTATTTACCTTTGCATTTCTACTACATATTTAGATACCTGCCTGGTATCTTCGTGCATTTTAACAAGACCCCATATGGTGAAAAGTCTCGAATAACTTCTGATAAAATGTAAACATTCGTACACGGTATCATCCAGTCGAATGAAACGTTTCGTTCATATTCGTCGATGAAGAGTGTATCTCAAAATCGTCGAGAGAAACAATTTAAGTCGGTCAGTTGTCTTTCGAAATCTTTCGATAACTTTCCCTGCACATCCAAAACCAGTGGCAGTTGGAAACTTTCGAAGATGTTATGCAACCAATTCGCGACGTCATGAATTATTTTTTTTTTCCTTCAAAGATACACAGGACAGCTGTTAAACCGAGAGATAATAATACCGCTAATGAAAGTTGTAACGTGAACTTTGTTACCCATGAAGAAACATTGAAATTTCTTATTAGATGGTAAGGATAAAGAGGGATCGATCGATGGAACAGTTGATACCCAACTAATTTTACGCCATGTCACGACGTAAGGAAATTGTGGGGAATGAAATTTCACCGAGCGCTGCAATGTACAATTACATGCTTCACGCTCTCAAAGTGGATGATAAAAACCGCAGGTTTAAAAACAAAAGTGAGAGGAAACAAAGGCTGAATCGAGGGTAACGCGAACTCGCGACAACTCGGAATAAATTCATTTTGCTGGTATAAAATTCCAAGAAAATCGATGGAAATTCGCATAACTTTTCATTCGATTAAATGGATACAGCATAAATTTAGAATAGGTCTACTGTGAATACTTTCGAGAAATAATTTAGCGTTCCCCAAGAAAGAATGCGAAACTTATGACAGCAAAAGATGTTAAGAAAAGGAACAAAAGATCGCATAAAATATAGGTGCGAATAATCAATTTGTCTCGTTCTTAAAATATTTCCAACTTCCATCTGTTTTTTCTTCTTTATAAAAAAGCAACAAAAGAAGAGAACAATTTCATTTTTTGCTGAATCAGAAAACTATCTCGCCCGGTAACAATGTTTCCCAGACGTTCCATCAACAGAGTAATTTTTCATTTTCCTGAAAAGGAAAACATTTGGAATATTCTGAAGACCGTGAACGATTGGAAATTGATACATTATTCAGTTGAGAAAACGTTACGCCGTAGATTTCCGTGTAAAAGCAAATGTTATCCTTACCACCCGTTGGATGCTACGCTTGAAACAGATAATATCTTCTTAGTAGAGAGGTGTAACCGATGGTTATAAAAAGAAGGATACGTTAGGATTCTTTCTGGTCCAATTACATCGTAAAATAGGTTTAGCCCACGGCCTTTGTAAAACCACACGCGATTTTCAACCGATGGCCGATGGCCGATGGCCGATGGCCGATGACTGATGAGAATAAATAATTTCAATCCAAGGTTAGAGGTGGGCTATCTAGATTATATTTTTCAGTCAATTTTCGAGTTGATCATGGTCCAGCTGATACTTTACAATCTCCTCGTGTGTGGTATCACCGTGAGAAAGAAACAAGTCGAGGATGTCCAAGGTGGTCATCATGCGATTATCCATACTTGCTGGGTACCTTTGCTACGCAATGATTAATGGTCGACTTTCACCTCTTTCCTTTCCTCTCAAACTCTTCGCCACTTCTTCGTTCGCCATTCAAACGTATATACCAACTGTATTATATCATGACTCAGGATGATTTCTGTCCTGTTCAGGATGAACCTCTTCAAGCTAACCACTTTTGTATAACTTCATTTCGATAGAATAACTTATTTCTAGCAAAGATTTCTAAACGTTGCTACAGAAAAATGCTTCTTCAAGATCTAAAGACTACGCGGAGCAGCGACATCGAAATCGAAATCGAAATCGAAATCGAAATCGAAGTTGTTAACTGTGATGACAGTAGTCATTGAAAATCAACTTTCCTGGCGAATCCACTTCAAGGTGGATTCCAATCACTCCAAGGTCACTAGTCCGCCAACACCATGGCGAAGGCAACTAATCGTAAGTGGTGGTGGTGTAATGGCAACACACGGTCGCTTCAACAAAAACCAACACCAACAATTTCAATGCTCGCCAGAGCTTCTCTGCCACGCTGTATTACCTGTCTAATAGACAGGTAACACCGTTACGTCACCCGTTATATTTTCCCTCGATACACCTCTCTCCTCTAAACATCAATTCATTTTATGTCGAATAATCGACCGGATAAAAATACCTCGTCAAGAATAAACGACTTCCTGTGTTCATCGTCAGAAAGACTCAGCTAACCGAGGAAATCTTTATAGCTTCGGCAACGATCAAACACGATGACTACCAATTTGTCCATTGTTAAATAAACCTTTCGAAGGAAGAAGATGAGAACCTCTGTTGTATACGCGGCCATCGCAAGCCTTCTAGGCTCGAAGAAGAAGAAGAAGAAGAAGAAGAAGAAGAAGAAGAAGAAGAAGAAGAAGAAGAAGAAAAAGGTGCATATTTCTTGTCTGCACAGTGGATCAGAGCGCGTGTTGCTTGGAACGCTTCGTCAAATGGCCTATTGTTCGCAATTTCAACCCTTTTCAAAGTTAAACTGCTACATACTTGGCTTGTTAACGTATCCACTACCGCTATTGTAACACGAGTCTTTCTGAAATATCTATCTATGTACTGGAACGTTTTTGGAATAATAAGATTTGAGAAGATGCGCTGGTGAGAACCCCTGGAAAAACTGAGAGAAGAGTCGCGATTGTATTGGATCAAGCTACATGGTCCTCCAGTCTCGTTGACCTCTGACTGAGGGCGCAGCAACCATAGATATCTGTTGGCCAGTTTTTCAGACCGAGGACGCTCGCAATACTGGCAAGGATCCACTGTACAACTTCACCCACAGACCGGTCTCGTCGTAGTCTCCTCTTTTGCCATCTTTATTCGACACGAATAACACCGTGTTCTCTGTCCTTTCTCTTCTTCCAGACACCGCTCTGCGCCACTCTGATCCGCTGGACAATGCTGGCGCCTAACTATCGACGACCCCTAACACCCTGAGCTCGTCGAGCCAGGATCGTCCAGATAAACTCACAAACCCTGATCAATTTTTCTTCGAGAAAAATTAAACAGATCAGGCGAAGAAAGGTGGATATACCTTTGAAAAATTATTCCAACCTGAATAAGTACAACTATGAAGAGATTTATAATTCCCCTACCACCAACACCACACTTGTAATATTATTCATTACAAACTCATCCTGCTGTAAAACAAAGTATAAACAGAGTTCGCATTTGGTCGGAAAAAGCAGATATTCAAGAAATGAGTGTGTAACTCTACGTTTATAAATCCTTTAGAAGGATTACAGAAAGGAGAAATAAACTGTGGGAAAAGGACAGATACAGGATGCTTTGATTAAGTTATACCTTAGCGACCCTTGTCTAGGACCTTTCCTGGCAAAGATTTATGTTCGATTCTGTGCACCAAAGACTCGTGAATCTTACTTTACATAGTTGAGAAAATACTAAGAAAAGCATCGAAATAATTTGATAAATCAAAGGCGATGAAGTTAAACATTTACGAGATCTGTCTGAACAAATGATTTATCAAAGAGAAGGATTCTAATCGTCCTGAAACGAATTATACGAAACATGATAAGGAGAAAATCAGACGAAGGGAAATGACGCATTGAAGAAAGAAAAGAAGAATTCAAGTTCAACGACAACGCTGAAATCACTTCTCAACGTTCTCGCGTCATTAACTCGGCCTTCCACTCTCTTCTTCATCCTCCATTTCCTTCTTCTTCTTCTTCTTCTTCTTCTTCTTCTTCTTCTTCCTTTTCGTCGTTAACCCGTTTTCTTACCCTCTACTTCAATTTTCTATTTGCCCTTCGTTTACAATCAACTTCCGCATTCTACAGGACGATACTTTCGTTTCGAACGAGAAGTTCGACCGCTACCAGACAACAAACACCCGGTGCAAGGCGGTGAGAGGAAAACTTGCGTACGAATTATTTTTCTTCCGCAAAATTTAATTTATGATTAGAAAGATCCGGTTCCGGTCTTTTCGAATAAACAAGTGAAATCGTATTAACGAGTATTTATTCATGCAACAATAATTTGATCTTTTTTTTTTATATGTAAAAGTTATTTGAACAAGGAAAAGACTTGTGTCGGCAATGAAACAGCTCGATTTCTTTGAAGAGAGAAGAGACCCAAGGCCAACAGGGAGGTCAGAATCGCGATTACCTTTTCAAATAAATTCCACCCACTCGAAAATACCTGTTTTGGCCTGTCTCAACCTATTACAAGTTGGATTTCGACTTTCACTTGTCGATTAGAATTCATTTTGTAGACGCGAATACATCCTTGCGCCCACTTATTCACCAAATGACTCAACCTCCATCGATTTATAAAAGAAAAAAACAATCACGACGTTGTTTTTTTATCTCATCAACTGTAAGTAAAATTCCGTGTGACGATTAGAAAGGAAACCATATGCCACGTTGAGCAACAAATTAGTTAGAAATTCATCGAATCGTTGACTCCAAACTAATTTCATTCAATTGGTAAAATGTGAAATCGCGAATATTCACTTTCGAATACACCTTCGATGTTTTCTTTGATCAATTAGTCGAACGATATTTCAGATTATATTTCATTTTTAGTTGCAATATCAAAAAACAGAAACAGTGTTCCTAACGTGCTTATATGTAATCGATGATGTCACATACGTTATATTGTTCCTCGTTGTCACGCATTCCACGAACACTCATTGAATTTCATTGGCACACTTTGGAAAACTGCAGCACAAGATATACATATCAATACGGTTTGTTCAATTTCAAAAAAAGTAAACATACATATGTGCAGCGCGTAGAAAACGTATGGATTATGCAAACTATGTAAAATAAAAAGTACGTACGCCTTTAGAAACGTTTACTAACTCAACATTACAAATAGTCTTGTGTGCAAACGTTACCTAACTTCTCCAACAAGTGTGCATCGTAAATATACGATAATAAAATTAATATCTCATTAAAATGATTACGAGTGACTATTGTCAACTCGACAAAATATCGACAAAAGAGAATTTTTTCACATGGCATAAATAGCTAGTTTCATCGTTTAGCGATGCGTAAGCACTAAACACATTATGATATTAGTAGTTGTAAAGTCGACTCTAATGAATACGTAGATCGCGTCAGCATTATTTATAGCTACGTAAACTAACCTTTGTGCACTGATGAAAATTTCTCTCTTAATTTAATAGTTAAATTAACTTGAAGGTTAAAACTTTCGAACAGTGTTACCTTTGGCAAACATAGCTACGAAAGGTTGTAAGATGCTAAATTAGGTAGAGCAACCAAGTGGAAGAACGAATGAAATTGGAAACGTTTGAACGTTCAAGAAACATAGCGAAGGAAACTGAGTCAGCTGGTGAACAAGGAAGATCGTGTTTACATGGACTACAGTTCGTAGTGCACGGCGTGGCGTACGAGGTGGTGCAGTTGCAGCTGCAGTTGCAGTCACAGTCGCAGCCTGAACTGACCGGGCGTCGAACCCAAGAAATGCTCTAGCCTGTTAGATATATCGTAATAAATAGACAAAGTATCCTAGAGGCAAGGCCAATCTCAACAAGATTCACTGGTTCTACATTTGCATACGTCTCTAGGTAAATCGTGTACGCGTTTCAAATAAAATTTTTACCTTCTCAATCGTAAATTGTACGAGATTTCTCGCTTCAACGAACATTGCGTGGAATATTATTAAAATTATCCTAATTACAGGTGAAGAAGAGAATAAATATTACGAGAATAGCCTGAGAGTTTATCGAGTGAAAATAATAATAACAATAATAAAGCGATGAGTAAGCCGATGGTTCATTTGCATAAAATCCCTAGCTATGATCTGAAAAATGTACACATTCTAGCCTCAGGATCGCGAACAAATTCTCGTGCCAGGATCATTTTGAAGAAATCAAGATGATTGTAATAACAACCGTTTGCTATGTTTCGTATCATGGTAGCACTATCGTTAAATTGAACAAGTAAAATTCTTCTTACGCGGCTCAGGATTTTTAGCAATTTCCAAAACTATCCATACGAATAGCCTGGAACGAAGAATGTGGAGGCGAACGAAGGTCAGATATTTCCAGATTTTATCGAAATTTAATGGTCGGATGTTTCAGGATTCCTCAAAGAATAACACTTCAGGAAGTATCTTCTAAGTATCAAATACTTCGAGTTGCTGAGAATAGTTTGAAAGAGAAATAGTTTTAGAGTCTCACCGGGTGGTCGATGATTCTCCAATTCAACTGGAACAATTTGATCGCCTTCCATCGATGAAACGACGTTCTTTCGAAAATTCTAACCACTTCTTTAGATCGAGTGAATTGGCAGAGGTGGGTGGACAAAAGATCGGAAAGGAAATGATGGCAATTTCCTTTATAAGATGTACGCGACTTGGCAAGAAGGGAATACCACGAATGCCTTGATTGCGGTTTGATAACTTCTCATCCATCGATGGAATTCAACTCTAGTCATTCTTGTTGTCTAGTCATCGCTTGAAAGCTGGTATAGCGAACCCTTTGCGCGATAAACAACCATGGTAGAACGGTATACGGACAGAATGATAGTTTCCAAGAGTTTTTGAACCGTTATCGGGAACAATGCCTTTAGTTTATGATAGGTGTAGAAAGATGTATGGATCGGTCCAACGGTACATCATAATAAATTCCCGTTTTCGTTCGATAGAGCTGCGAATTTCAACAGCTTGCTTGCGTTCTCGTGGGTAAAGCCAGCAACGAACGCGTTTTATGGTAGAAAAATGGATGTATTCCTTTTTCGAAGATACCTTCGTTTCCTGTGTTCTACTTATACTGGATACAGACACTTCTCACGAGTAACACAATAATTGCTCTTCAATTTGTCATTGACCAAAGTTTGTATCGGATACATTGTAGGCTTGGAAATTTCGAAATAAATGAAACGATGACGCATGATTCGCGCAAAATAATCTCTAATCTTAGATATTAGCATCGATTCTCGTATACGGGACGTCCATCATAGCTGTTTGCGCAAAGGCATCGCCAGTTAGTGCCTAACGTCCACTTTAAAGATCCTCTCGGCTTCTTCGTTTTCTTCGTCTTCTTTTTCTTCTGCAGCCCTCCTGTTACTACCTTCTTCTGCACACGTATGCGTCTACTCTCTCACATATATAAAATCTTGACGCTGTGTTCGTGAAAGACGCGCGAATCCTGAAGCTGTTGGCTGGACTCGTTTGTGTAGGTGGAATTCTCACATATCGGCGACCTCGAAAACTCCAGGATGTATATGTATATACCAAGTGTCTGAAACGAATTGTGGCGAGGCTGAAAGTCGAATCTATTCAACAGACTTCTTTTCCTTCGTTTTTAATTGCTCATCCTTTCGTGGGAAAGCAACATTCCAAGAGAATTTTTTATCTTCTACCAGTCGAGTAAACGTCACCCAAATAAATGACGATATCGAAATTGTTAATACGATTGGAAGACAAAGAGGGGAAGATCGATGGTACAGAGTTTGGGTTACATAATCTTGTGGATTGGATTAATCGAGGACCTGTATGACCTCATCCAAGCAACGAATACCTATGTGGTTGTAACCACACCGTTGCGTTGTAGGCACGTTTATTGCGTAGACATCGACCTTCGGTCATGATTCTCGCAATTTCTAGTTACATCAATTCAGGTGTACGTGCTTCGTTTATCGATGAAACTTTGAAAATAAATTTATCAAAAGTTCAAGCATCGTTTGAAACATTCAAAATGAAAAGATCGTTCAGTAGAAATGGAATAAAACAGTGAAACCACATTGATCGAATGTTAAAATTTCCTGGAACGTAGATGTACAAGTATTTTCTAACGTGAAAAGTATAAAACATACGACACACACACACAGACTGTCCCGTGAAAGGATACTACAAAGAGATACACAACTTCCTCTGAAACCGCGTTCCAAGAATTTCTTCGAGAGAAGAATCATGATCGAACCAAACCGCAGAAAAATCTTCTTAGAAGAAGGTGAAATCATAAAAATGCATCACGTTCGCCAGGGTGGTCTGCATGAGTGCAGCAGGAATACAATACCAAAAAACGATAGGAAGCTGTTGTTTTTTGCTTAGAGTTAGATCGATGCCAGGATCATGTGACAACACGATGCCCAGCAAATGAATAAATTCTACACTATAGAGTATAGAGAGAACAGTGTGTCGTCACGATAAAAGCGGTGCTTCGTTGCTAGGTACATAGGTGTGAAACGTAAAGTCAGCGATCTGACGAAGCTCTCTCGGGCCGATGCACTGGAGATTGCGAGTATCCTTGTTGAGGTCGGACGGCAGGCTTCGTCGAAGGTCGTTGCCTGCTCGATATACACGGTGTGCCTTCATCATTTTACCTCCATCTTACATTTTCTGTTACCTTTAACGAGTTCCATTTAGGAGTTCAACTCCTGATGCATGCGTAGCTTCGATATTTTTTGCCAGGATAGCTGTCCCGCGTTTCAAACGAATCACGACAGATTCTTGTAGTAAATTCTCAATTAAATCCTGCGTATTCCTCAATGAATACTTGCTGTAATTAATTCTGACTACACCTTATTTCACGATAATTTTAATTAAACTCTCGTTTGCCTATCGCTGATACGCTCTCTTGAATATTTACCGTTGCAAGTGGTTGATAAAGAAGACGATAAGCGATAGTACGGTAGCTATTTGCATTTGAAACAGCTACTTATCTGTATGGATAAACGTCAAATTGACGTGGATATTGAAAAACTCTTTTCAACATTTCCGAAGTTTTATAGATACTTATTAATATCATAGTAAATTAATCAATAGCTAATGTCTTCATAATGTCTCTCATTCTAAAGTTTGCAAAACGAATCGAGAAAAAAAAAAAACAGCCCTGCTCCTTCGAAGCCCAAGAGTAGACTGACTGGCCTCCGCGCAAAGCAAGCGGCTTTATCAGATACATCTGGCCCATTTACCCCAGGGCTGAAGTAACGCGCCCTGTGATTGGCGGAGTGCGACTGATAAGACAAACGTAGCTATCTAATTGGTCTGAAGTGTTAATATGACTTTATACCGTCAAAATGGCGTACCACCATTGCGAATTCGATCAAAATTATAAAAATTCTACGTATGAATTTACCGAAAAATGGTCTCTACGGTCTTGAAGAGAGATATCTATAGCACTCTCGGCGGCACGAACGAACGAGACGAAGGAATTGTTGAACAGAAAAGGCGAGGAGCGAACGGTCCGGTTTTTGTTAGCAGGGTGCAAGGCCACAGACGGATTGCTTGAAGGACTGAAAGTCCAGGGAAACGTGATCGTCGTCGTAGCCAGCTCGAAACGCTCGTAAATAAGAATTGCAACAACCAGCATCGAAATACATCAACACATTCTCTCGTTTAAACAGTCAACGAAAGGATTAGAGTAATCCTGTGTAGAAAGAAAAAAGCAAATAAGAACCACTTTCCTACAATCCACAATGTAACTTGGTTTACGCTACATACTTAGAAAAGAAACAAGAAGGTGTTTGAAAGTAAATTCAAGCGTTAAACGATTAGAGGAAATGTTTCGATGATGTAATTTAAGATCGAAGATCTTAATAAAGAGGTATTTAAAGAAAAATTTCGTTTGCAGGACGACGGTGGTATCGAATACTTCAATACCATAGTGGTGCAACCACACCTGAAGCTGGTGACCAATCAGGGAAGGGGTTTTCACGTGCGATGTCGATACCAGACTCGAGACAAAGTGGTAACGAACGATCAGACCCACGTCGCCATGTTGCAGTCTCTACCGTTGCAGGTAAGGATGAATTTTATTTGAAATTGAAAGGCTGAATCATCAGGCCGGATGTTGGGCTTAAAAAAGCTGGAAGAATATTCTCAGAGGCGAATAACAAGTAGGTAAAGATTGAACGTGTATTGATAGGCAACAGCACCCATGCCAGGATGCACGATGAAGATCTTTAGCGGAGATCCAACGAGGCATCAAGTGGCGGAAAATGTGAAGATCGGAGACCCTTTGACCTTGGTCATCAGCATCGACAGACAAGAAATGTTCGGTTTGAAGATCTCGGATTGTCTGGTGCGAGATGGTCTAGGATGGGGAGAGCAAAGGCTTATCAATGACGAGGGGTAAGTTTTTTTTAAATCCATAAACGAAACGATAAACCGCGTCATTTCATCTACGAAAATAACTTTTAATAATGCAAAGAAAAGTGCACCGAAAAAGGAGAAAAGAAAAAGACAATTCTGTAAACTCGACTGTACAAATAAACTGCTCTCGCATCAGAACGTACGATGAATAATTCAGGGGGCCTGAATTGAGGGTACAAAACGGGTCGGTTCACTGACTTCTTTTCATAAGCAAATCAGCTGATCCGACCAACAGGTTGCACGCACACTTTCCCTCTCGACTCGTTCGTTATTAAGTACTCTACGAAATAGTCAAATTTCAGGTTTAATCTTAACATTTTGATAGCTATCTACGATTCTTCTAACCTTTTCTTTAAATGTGCATTTAAAATTGAAGCGATAGACTGATCTGTATATTACACCAAATTATTGCTCTAGTTGTCCGGTCGACGGAGAGATTATGGGACAATTCACGTACAACGAAGACAAAACGGAAGCAAAGGTGAACTTTCAGGCACACAAATTCCCTTATACAGCGAGTGTGTATTATCAGTGCAACGTTAGACTGTGTATAAAACACGGAGGAGGATGCACCAACACGGTAATTATTATTCGACAATAAATAATAAAGTAAACCCCGGTACGAGTGGACAACAACGTTACATAACTGTTTCAACTCCATATGAATAAGACTTTCAAAACAAGTTATCAATATTCTGTTGTTGCAGCCACCAGCTTGTAATTCGGTAAGCAGACGACGTAGGGACACTACGAACAACAATGTGGCAAAAGGTGTAGAGGGTCTAGATGGAGGAACACCAGCAACAATCGAAGTTTATAGCGGGCTTTACGTGAACGAAGCTTCTGATATAGGTGCAAAGTCAGAGTTCACCGACGATGTCTTCAAAGAAAGGGTGAGTCTTATTTTTATCTAGCATAAACTAAACTACGGACTACGAAACAGAGTTACCGACGCTCAAAAGAATTTCTTTAAACAGTCTCACCCTTCCTATTTGCATTTCTAGACTATTGACGATCCAAACAGCATCTGTATATCTCAAAGAAGCTTCGCCATTGGCATCGCAATCGCGGGTTTGATCCTCATGTTAGCGGTGGTCGCGGCAATTTTGGTTTTACTTGCTAAAAGACGGCACAAAACCGTGTCGACGACAGGTTCGTCCATCTACAGTGGACCCTACACCAATACCGCCTACAGTCACAGCAGTTAATAAGTTCGCTTATATATTATCACTGCAACGAGAAATTTCAACGACAAACTGTCGCCACGTGATAACGAAAAGTAAAAAAAAAAAAAAAACGTATCGGTTCTACGTCAGCCTCGTTACATAGAGGCATAGATAATTTAGGTAAAATACAAACGAGGAGATACTACTACCCTTTTGCTCAACTGCCGATGCTACGTATCGTCTTTTCGAGGAAATAGCTCAGAACCCCTGGGTCCTGACACGTGATCGAACACGATTCGCTTCAAAAAATATTGACACACTCTGATTACTTGCGGAATCATTTGATTTCGAGGAAGAATCATATTTTTTATAATACATGAATCTTTAAATATAAGTGTGCCAATATTTTTTTTTATTTAACATCTACCATCTACTCTGCTCTTTTCTTTCAAACATCTTGTATATCGTTGAGATATATTTCTCATATCTTGCCAATCATCTGGTAAATCATCTGTGTTTCTATTTCTACGTATACAAATTTCTAACACTGCCCTATCGTGAAATTGTTCACTTTAACACGTGTCATGACCTATTATCCAAGTTTAGAGATATCCTAGCGTCTAAAACTCGACAATTTTAAAAACGAATCGACACGAAATCCCTTAGGATTAACTTTAATATATACATTTATGTTATCGTATGGTTATTATTATTATTATTATTATTATTATTATTATTATTATTCTATACATACTGTATACTAGTCCGGTATACGCTGTCCTAGCTAACCTAGCAGCCGCACTAAAAAAAAAAAAAAGAGGTAAACTACACGGATACTTGTTGTCCGTAGACAATCATCCCTGGTAATTTAACTTAAATCAGCCGTGCAGAACAACTCAGTCTAGCGTTTAAGGTATAAAATCAACTAGCAAGCAGAGGACTGTTTAAGTGAATCAAACGCCTCAGTGAACTTTAAGCATTGCCCTCTTTTTTTCTTCTTCAATTTCCTCGCAAGTGTTGGCAGGTCATAAAGCAACCCTTGGCTCTATCTTTTCTCATATTTCTACGTTCTTTCGCCTTTCAAAACATATCGTTCTCTGACCGATACACAAAGTTTATTTCAACTCGTAGGAATATTAAAATAAATGATAAAACAAAGACAAGATTCACGTTCGACCGGTTTAGAGTATTAGAAAAAATACAACTTCCCGTCGAATCATTAATGAAAATACATTACATGTACAGGATTTACTTCTAACTATTCAATCAAGCAGAAACGAGTTACAGATACAAGATCAACTTCCGTTAATCGGTCAGAGACGCGTCCATGTACGTTCTAATGAATAATTATTCTTCTGACGAGCAACAAGAGAGTTGTACGGGATGTATTGGTTACTACGTGTTTCCTACGAGGCAAAAATGCTTCGTGTCGCGTGAGATTAAATCCCGTTGCCGCAGAAACGAGGAAAATGAACGAGAGTTTAGCGACAGTAAATGCTTAATCGGCAATCATTTATCTATTACTCAAAAGATAAAATTTACGTTGTTGTAAAAAAAGAAACATGATGTTTAAAGCAATAATAATTTTTAATTTCATTCTTAACTAGGAAGGTATTTCGTATCTGCGACAACGCGATCCTCACTCGAGTGTGGTAATAAGCGAGCGTATAATTCATAATAACGCTTAAACGTAAACTAGTTTAATTAAATTGAGGTGCTGCTCCAATATCGGTATTCTTTTTACGATTACTTTTGCTTTTCTTCGAAACAGAAAATTGCAAAAAAAATCGGAAAACGAGGGAGTACTGATATTCCGCGTGGAGAGTTTATAGTTTTTAATCGTGAACAAAAACGGGGCAGACTAAGGCTCGATACAGACGAGCGACTTTTCGTCGTGCGATATCGCTGCGATTGTATATCTTTCTTTCTTTCTTTGTTCTTTGGGAAAAAAGAGTAACAGTATAGCGCGACAAACAGTCGTTCCTCTATATCGGGTCTAAAACGCTGCCAAGGCATTCGCGTAACTGGGTCCAACATGGTGGTGGGTACAGTCGTAAAATTTACACATAAAGAGGAAACGGAAAAAAAAGGAAGATAGACAGGCAAACGTAACACTCGTAATACGTTAATTGTTATAAAACAATTTAGAAGACGAAAAAAAAATGAATTGTATAAGTTGATTTCGGTTTATAGAAATGTTTGATCCTGACAACAGTTAATTTCTGTGAACTAACGTTCGTTGACCAGTCTAGCTCTACTACAAACATCGTCCCGCATACCTATATTTCTTTTTAAATCTTTATCTTTATCTATATTACGAATTTCACGGAAATGTAATTCATAAACAAATTTAGGATGGTTCTGCGTCACGATGTTTTGGTAGTCTCTTATCACATGCAATAATTTCAAACGATCAACAGTTCACAAAATTTTTGTGTCAGATCAAAAATGCCCGACGAATAAATAACCAACGAGCGTTGTCATTTCGTCGTGCTTGTGACACTGGTTCATAGCGACATTGGAGACTAAAATGCTTATACTTATAGTACTTTTTTTTTAAATAATAATACGCGTATTCTTCTTCACGTCCCGCAATGTTTCTCTGGACCCTTGTCCGAAGCGATTTACAACGAATTTATGTACATAACGAAGAACGTAATAAACCTTGTAACCATAAATAAAACGTCGTCTCAATAACCCAAAACAAACTACGTAAGTACTACAGAATAACCATTTAAGCTCAAAGTGATTCACGAAATTCAAAGATGCTTTCATCTTTTTACCGCCAGCGCCATATTGGAATTAGAAAAAGTAAATAGACTCACAAATTGTAGCGTGCGTTGTTGGTTGTTAAACTCTGCAAGCTGCTTTGATTTTTTCGATGTCATCAGTTACTCTTGTCATCTCCTTACTCATACACTCCTTGCACACATTACTAACACACAAGCATTAATTAAAAAACAGAAAACCCGAAATTATAAGACAAGTTTACCGGCCGATGCTAACCGTACGAGAAACCGAGTAAGACTGACACGACGCGACGTTAGAGGACAAAGACGATGCGACGCTAACTTCGGGACACAATACTTTTCGTGGCTTATTAATTTCGAAAACAGAATTTTATAACTGATTGTTGGTCAAATTTAATTTTTGTGAATACCATTGATGTCGATTTTCCTGGATATTGTTAATAATAATATGAAATCGATTTCAAACATGTGACTTAGATCGAATTGTCCAAAGTTACACGATTCGCATCGTCATATACCAAATTATTACGTATCATGTTAAACAACGAATGTAATGAAAAAAAAATACATGATTTTCAGTAACTTTAGCAAACGATAGACTGCAAACCAATCTATTTACCTCATTTTTTATGGACTTCGATTTCCTGTTCCCACTCGAACGCCATTGCACGTAACTTTTAAATTTTAGTTCACACCGCCGCCGCTCGAGGAACGCAATAACTCAGGGACGACTATCGTCCCAAATTCGCCCCGGCACTTTTCTGTACATACTCAGAACAAAAAAAAATACACGTTAGATCATGGAAATAATTCAGAGATCTCGCAAAGTATCAAACGAGAGTGTCTTCTTTTTTATTGAATTATATATAATTCGTTTTTGGAAAATATGATATATATATATATGTATATATATATATATATGTATATAATATAACAAGAAATATAATTAGACTGACATGAATTCTATCAAATTGTCCGACTCTCTATGATGTTGTGCATCTTTGGGTTGGTAGTGTAGCTCTTTGTTTCTACCATACGATTCCTATTTAATTGCAATTCACCTTCTCGGTCACCTTCGCGATCTATACATAAACAAATTCTTCGATTTTTTTCTTAATTTTTCCCATGGTGTTCCCTTCTTTTTCAACTCGCACACACGCGTCTCCTCAATTATCTTTTTTACTACTCTCTGAGAATCAAAATTGATTTTTTTCTCGAATACACAAAATCTTCTGTATACGCATACGAGATATGACAAATTTTTCTGCATCAACATAATATAATAATAAAAGATTCAATCCTTTTGAGTCTCAAAGAGTTAACATCTCATTCCGGTATGCACCTCCTAAAGAATCAGTGAATACATTTGACGATCTTTTGCCTTTATTTTCTAACAAACATAAGATACCTTTGGTTGATTTACCATTCAAATTCTTAACGGAGGACAAGGAACAAGGATCAAGATTAAAACAAAAAAAATCATCTAACATATAATATTTAAGCATAAAGGCACAGCCATCGTTTGTTCCTATCCCATGTGATATGTCCAACTAAAGAAACGATAAATTAATCAAGTATATTTTATAAAGAAGGGAAATATGCGATGCAACTTGCTCAGAACTCGTCCTCCTTGTTCAATTCAATCGAGATCGAACTTTCAAATATATTCACCATAATCATCGCGTTTCATACACTTTCGTCAACGAAACAACGAGTTCACGCCAGCTAGACGATTAAGAAGATCGGTAACAAATGAATCGATGTTTGTTTTCTGCGTCCCGCACAGAGTTTTCAAGAAAAAATAAAGAATGAATGCGAGATTACTATGATTAAGTTACCGATCTCCGATCTACTAACGCTACTTGTGTAGATGCTATGCAAGAAGCGACGAATATTAATGATATTTGTTAAAATTAAAATTAACTTGTGATGTTGATTTAATTTTAAAAATAGTACGTGATGCATAAAATCTAACTTAGCCATAACCAAAGGATTAAAATAAAATTGTCGCCACTTCTCGCGAAGCATCAACTTCTACAGACGAACGATACAATTTTAATTAGAATTATGCTTGTTTGAAAAAAAAAAAAAAGAAAAATTTCAGCTGCGCACCGATGCCTATTCCTTCTTTAACCCTTTGCACTTCGATCTTTTCATGTTATGCGATCTTTGTTGTAAAAAATAATTATTTTATTACAAAGCGTAAGAAAAATAGAAATGTACTCGAATCAAAATATTACAGATATGTGCCTGAAACGTATACATACGTGAAGTAGCAAAGGGTTAGTATCAAGAATCAGAGCTAACTGAGTACAGAAAATGCAAGAAAAAAAGAAGAGAAAGAAAAACACGTGATCTGAAAAAGGCATGAGCGACGCGATCAACGTAAGGTGATCAGGAAATAGCAACTCCTGGGAAAAAAACGAAAAGCATCAATCTTTCACGCGTACTTCAATTTTCATCCTCAATTATGTATTTTCACCATTTCGATCATCCTCTCCCTCTCTCTCATACTTGAACTGTTTATTCTCACTACCATCAATCTCCTTTTTACGTTATGCATACAAAAATAGTAGGAAACGAACGTTGAAGTCTTGCGGACTTTTATCACCCGTTCTTCTCGATCGTATTTTCGTATCGTTAATTCAATGCTCCTCGAGCCAATCTCCTCGACATTCTCTTTCTTCTTTTCTCCGCTCGCGTTTTTTTCTTTTTTTTTTTCTTTAGAAATAGTCCAGGCGATGTTACGAAATCCCTTCTGATTCCCTCGATAAATCTGTTGACTCATCTTTCAACTTTTTACAAATTTTTAAATCTAATACTTCAATTTTCCATTTTTCATGTATTAATTAAAAGTATCAACAAACGGAGACAAAACGAAACTATAATTATTGTTGAACTTTCAAATAAGCAATTTAGTCACTATTAAAAATAAGTAACCCTTTCAATGAAAGGGTTAATTATGAATTAGGAGCGCAGCAGATCCATCGAACGACCTTATAAAAGCGTACGACGAGCAAAATGAAAAATAAATAAATGTGAGTGTGCAATTGCAATGATGACTTTCGTTCGGTTGCTAGACGTAAGTGTAACTGTCTGCAAACTACCGTTCGTACTTAAAATTTATATCACGCTGTAAATCCTTTTCTATTTATCCTTTCTTGATAACTTGATGATATAATGAAACACTCAACAATATTTGCAGACGGTTTCTCTCTCGGATAGCCGATAATTCTGTGTCATTTTCTTTTTTAATTGTGTCTTAGAGAGATTCGTAAACTGTCTTCTTTTTTTTTATAGGTACAATTATCTTCATTAATCACTACGACGATTTTAGGTACAGTTAAACACTACGGTTGTGCGCCCATCTCTTTATAATTGAAACATTGGATATCTCCGTTCAGCTCTCTCTCTCTCTCTCTCTCTCTCACATACACTCGCACACACACACACACACACACACACACATACATACACTCTCTTTCTCTCTCTTCCTTTCTTTCATGTTTTGTCCAGCGATTTTTAAACCTACAACTTTTTAATTTAATTTATCACGCTTCCACTTAAGAAGAAAGTAATAGTGCCCTCTCCTTTTAGTTCGCTCGTTATCGTAGGGTAGATAAAAGGTAGCGATTGCGCGCGTTCTTCGACGCTTGACTTCTCATAAAAAGATAGGCACACCCTTCACCTACGTCCTGAAGTACAATCACCGTAAGCGAAGCTTCTGGATGGATTCCACTTGGTTTATCCCCTGCGGAACAACATACACCCCTCGCTGAACGAAACGATTCATCATACATTGAACTTAAATTGAACAAACACATCTTTCACGTCAACCCTTTCGCTATGACCTACATTTTAATACAAAAACTGTTTACGAGTTTACAAAATTGAAAGTTTTCATTTAAATTATATGAATTCCATAACGAAAGGGTTGAACGATTATTAACGAAGTACAGAACGCAACAATTTACAATAATGACGCAAGAATCGTCTACGTTGATCCGCAGATTCATTTTTTTTTTTTTTTTTTTTTCACAGACGGAAACATTATTAATTACGACGATCACGCGTTACCATCACCGCTGTCAAACTGATAGACATATTGATTCCTTACAGAACAAGGGCATGAAATGTATACCTGTTTACATAGCTGAGACATTTATGAGATACAGAAGCGTGCTGTGAAGCTTGGAAGACGAATCATAGTTAACACTGTACACGCTCTCGCGTTTCACTTTAATCTTTGGAAATAAAATATCACGAACATGCGTCCTATGTTCGATTACATTTTTCATCAATTCCCTAATATAGACAAAAAGAAAGAAAAAGAAAGAACAAAATTTCAAATATTTAAGAGATAGATTCTCTTTTTGTGATATAAAGCTGTGATGGTTTCGCGCTACTTAACTACTGTGTCGAACTAGTTAGATAGACCATGTACTGAATACGTTTACACGTTCGTTCGAGTTACATTAACTTGGACTAAAGTAATCGTACAGAGATCAGAAGCGACGTTGAATATCAATGATTGAACGGGACAAAAAAGAAAGAATCTTATTAACGATGAACATGCCTGAATACGTCAATACTCCTTTATCTAAATAACAGAAGAGAATGAAAAATTTTCTGAAAAATTGTTACTCTATTTAAAGGCCGATACAGACTAAAAAGTTTTTGGTACAAAATTGAGGTAGCAAATAATTTGATCGTGTGGCCATGAATCGTAACTGGCAGCAATTTTTATTTCTTCCTTTCGTTTCTTTTTTCACTGTCACTCCCTTTGAGAGATTAATGCAACCGTTTGGTGGCAGTATATGGAAGAATCGGTGAGCAATGATCACTCCTTAAAAAGGAACGTTGAGTCAAATCCAGATATTCCGAACGGATTGCAGCTATGCTGTAAACGTACTCAGTATGTCGTGTACTTTTGTAATGCGCGTACATTAGTTTTTATCATTATTATACACGGATCTTGTATGTACAAGAAATCCCTGTGTATTTTTATCTGTGTTCACTTTTAAAAGTACCTTTTTTTCCTTAAAAGTAAATCTCACATTCATATAGTATCTATAAAACCGCGATTAAAATATCTCCAGATATAATATACTGTATATATATATATATATATATATATATATAATATTATATATATATATATAATAATTGTAATAGTTAAAATTCTGTTCAAGTAACTCTGATCGGTGTGCACCCACTGTGTCTAAGCGTGCTCTACAGCGAAAACAATGCACACATTAAACCTTCTCTTTCCATACGTATAAATACAGACTGCCTTAAAAAATGAAATACACTGTGAAACCCTGAAATTCTCCATGGTTAAACAAAATTGAAAAATTAAAAGCTAAATGCCTTCATTTCTGACTGCTTGTACTTTGAATACGAAGTCCCAGAAATGTCAAAATGATAAAAAATTTTTCAATTTCCTTCGCTACGAAGAATTTCCACTTTTCACGGTATGTATCCTTTTGTAAAACAATCTGTATGTATCTTTTTATCATACTATTCTCTATCCAAATACTGTGAACGAAATCAACGTGGCATATATTGATATTTTCATTCTTCCCCCCCTTTTTTTTTCTTATCAAAAGATACGCGCATAACCGTTTCTTTGTTATCATAGAGGTGTTTTCGTTCTTGTTCGTTTCTTCTCAATTTTGTAACACGTGAATTTTATACTCTATCAGTGTGTGCTTTTTTTTATATATTCTCTTCTCTTAAATATTTAATTAAAAGTATAGTTAATATTAATAATAAGGATCATTGTGTACTTTGTGTGTTTTGTGTAAATATGCGCACGTGCGCGCGTGTGTGTACTGATGAACCACGAGCTGCCATTCCAATTTCTTGTGTATCAGCTTGCAACGAATCAATTGTCTTTTCATCACGTTCAGCCGGTGTTTCGTTCCTATATTGGCCCAGGTACTTAATACTGTACCAGTTGATTTCGACTGGTGATTGTCACCTTCACGGTCCCTGTAAGTAGAATATTATTTCTGAGAGCACGGCTGGTTCGTTTCGCGTGTTCCTCACGATACAATGCCAGTGAATTATTGTTGTGCAAATCAGGATTGCATTAAATGAATCTATTGGTAACAGCTGATTTCAAGCTTAATTCCGTGTAGACTCCACGCGATGAATTGTAAATGTGTATGATAGAAAAAGATGTATCCAGATCTGAATTAAAAATTTCTCGCGATTGCTGTAACTATTTTTAATTGTTGTATGACACAAAGCATAAGACTGATGTAACCATTTAAGTGCCAGGATGCTGTGGTTCCGCGTTGAAATAGGTGCCATCGTACCAATGTACTTAGACTTTATCCATTCTTCTTATAATCGTTTATGGCACTGAAACGGTCATGCTAATTCAAGCGACAAAAGAAGAAAAAAAAAAAAAGAAACCTATATCGTTGTGCAGTGAACATATTCATCGTAACACGATACATTTGCAATAAATAAACGTAGAAAAAAAGTGACTTAGAGAAACCTGTGCGCGTGAGTGTGTAAGCGTACAGTGCTACAGTCACGAGTGCACTGAAAACTTATGCTTCCTATTTTTTACTTTTCTACGAATTTTCAATAATAAAGCGGATAAAAGCAGATGATAAAAATAGGAAGTATTTTCCAGGCACGTTTTCACACGAACAACACATATCAATTGAAGCGAAATCAACGCGTGTGAAGAAGCACCTAATGTTACGATGTAAATACCGTGTTTTCTTTTGTAGTATTTTATACTGAAGTTCTGTACCTTATATCATATTGTCTTCCACAGGTTTCGCTTTTAAGAAGACACAAGATACGTGTAAAAAATTTGTGTCACCATTACATTCTTCATAAGCGGAACAAAGGTAAAAATGTAACAGAACTTTCAAGCAACGTACCGAGCGAACATCTAATCGAACGATACATTATACCGATTCTTACCTTCTCTGATATCTTTCGGTACATTAGACGAAAGCGATGGCATGGAAGGTGTTTGATAGAGATTGGACCGCGCGCCGGTTGATGGTAATTGTGTTACTTTGGACCTAATAAATAAGTTATATTATGGAATAATGCAACATCGAACTTTGAATTGCTCGTAAAGTTTGTAAAACCACCTCTGTTTACGAATCTTCTGATTTCTTCCATCAAACGAGGTGGGTGTACCAGCGCCTGAGGCGTTCGACGAGTACGAAGGTGGTCTGTAAGGTCGTGGACAGCCCTGAACAACTGGTGGTGATGGTACTGGTGCATATTGCAACCGCGGGTTAACTGGTACTCCTGGATGCATCAATCTCATATCCCCTGTAAAGAACGAAATCTATATAAAAAAATCCGTAAAAAGAATTCTTACTTATTTCTTTGAACGTATGCCGTGTACGTTTCATACCTTGCACAATATGAACACCCTGATACATTGGCAGTGGGTAGCGTGGTTGGGGTTGTGCGTTTCTGTCCCCGCTCCCACTTCCGAAGAGTTCGTGTGCTGGAGTCGGCGACCTGCTTGTTCTCTGAGAATTGCCTGGTGTCGAAGCTCGAACACCGGCAACAACCTATGGCCATTGTTGAATATTATTACTATAATAAAATGAACTCCGACCCGAAAACGTAACAGTTTCAAGTCTTACAGGAACATTTTGCCTGAAAACCAGATTAGGAACCAGCGCGGGAGTTATGTACGTTCCAGGAGGCGCCGGTGACGTGCCATTATGCCCAACTTGGTGACCGAAGGTTCCATTTGATACCATTGTTGGTGGTGGATAGCTGCCAGAATTAACGTACATCAATGGCATTCCAGACATCTATAAATAAATTGCAAATTTAGTAAAACATCTTTGATTGTCAGATTCTATGGTAGTATTAGATAAAATAGTATTAATTGCCTGATTAGAAGTTGGAGTATTTGGTGGAGTAGGTACTCTATACATGACAGGTGGTGGCTGAATCGTCGCTTGACCTGGTGGGTAGTACGTGGGGACCATGTGAACCGGAGCTTGGTACGTGTAATCGCCTGGTGTTGGTGTCACGGTAGGCATCGAATTGTAAGGTACTGGATAGCTGCCCACATAATTAGCTAGAATTCGAATGATATAATTTGATAATTGATAAACAAATATTGTCTAAAGACTTCATTGAAAGATAATAAAAAAAATGAAAAAAATGAAAAAAATGAAAAAAAAAAAAGCGTCTTACAGTTTGATTGGCTCGGAGGAGTCATAGTTTGTGCATTAAAAGAATAATTTGACGTGAATCTTTGCTGTTGATGCAACTGTTGCCTATCAGCTGGACCCTGACTAACTGTAAGTGCTGCACCAGGTGGAGGTACAAAATACATTGTTTGTTGCGGCTGAAACAAGGGTGTGTCGATTTAATATAACACCAAGTTATGTTAAATTACGTTAAAAGGAGATAAAATAAATCGTACTGGCATTGAATTGGGTGGTGGTTGCCAATAATTTTGTGGCATAGTCTGCATACTTTGCATTGTCTGATTCGCAGATGGCTGTGGTTGTGGATAAGAATGAGGTGGTGTAGAGTGATTTTCTCCTGCCACACGTTGATCATAGATACTCATACCCATAAAATATCCCGATAATTCCGTTACTTCCTAAATGGAATAATAAATATATACGACTTATTGAAGTTGTATTTTTTAATCTATAAAAGAAGCATCTTACTGTTGTTTGCGATACTGGTCCTTGCTGTACAGGTACTGCTGTATAATTCGTATAAATTGAATTCTGATTGTATACATCCCCTTGACCATTATTCGGAACGTTCGCCTGACCCTGACTCGGATGAGGAGCCATCATCACAGTCTGCTGACCCACATGGGGTTGAAAAACACCGTGGTTGTATGTATCTGAGGTAGGTGGGTAAGTCGAATATGGTTGAGCTGTTTGGTTATGATTACAAGTTTGCATCGTCGATGACGATTTGACTAGAGTTTGTTGCTGTTGTTGCTGCTGATGTTGCTGCTGATGTTGCTGTTGTAATGGCGATGGTCCTAAATTTTGCTGTTGTTGCGGTGGTAGTGGTGGCGGTGGCGGCGGTGTGAATGGCAAACTCGGTGACGTAGCAGAGTTTGTCACACGAGTAACTGTAGTTGTATTGCTACTAGCATGTTTGCTGCATTGTGATTTCTTCTTATTTTCATTCTTTATATTATTCGTAACTTTGCATGGCTCGGATGTTTCTACGCTTTTAACAGGCGACGCGTTGTTTCCATTGTTCTCTTGCGAGGATGGAGCCGTATAAAATTTTGGTGGATTCTCCGGATCGAATCGATAAATCGAACCATCCGGATTCGTGTATGGCTGATTGGTTTGGGGGTTTATGATTATGCTACCAGGCGGTACACTGGATATATTAGTGACTGCCCACATTACCGTTTGGTTATTAGACTCTGGCGATGCGAGATCCTGACTAGATACTTGGGTATGACTGCACGTCATGTTTGCCACAGGAGATGGCGAAGGAGAAGGCGATATCGTTGCGTCGCTACGCTGGCTTTGTGACTTGTAACCGCTACTCGAAGGACTCAGTCGCGAACACATACTAGCACCTGAATCTGCAACAAATTCATTTTTCACCTTACAAAAATATAAAAATTATTTAAAAAACGAAGAATTTGATTGCGATGTAACGAGGAAGGCAAACCTTGCTTCATAAGTCGAGCTCCTGCGCTGTGAGTAGATGTGACACTGTCCCCTCTAGAAAGCATACCCCTGGTGTAACCACCAAAACTGAACGACTTGGAAACCGATGGCCTCAATATAGAACCTCGACAAGATTCTCTTCCATCAAAAGATTCTCCTTTCGTGAGTTTCATTTGTCTGTTACATATAATCGATAAAAACACATAATCAATTTTTGATTGATTATGGTGGGGAAAAAGTGAAGGTGAAAGAACATTTACCTTATGGTGTGGTCCGAAGGATGCAACAAACGGTATCTCGCAGAAGCATCAGAACTTTCCGAAGAGGACCAATATGGCCAGGAAGTAACTTCGCCACTCTCTCCACTGCTATCCTTGAATATCCTTCGTCTAGCGCGTTCGTATTCCTCCTCTCGTTCCTCGAAACTCTTGTTTTGTCGACAATAATCACCGGACATTCTGTCAGGGGACTTGAAATTGAAACTGTCTTCGAACGAACTGGAATCTCGTTTCAAAATACTTCGACGAGGTTCCTCCGACAGAATTAAATCGTCTCTAATGTGTTCCTTGAAACGAGTATTCGGAATTCGCATGTTCTTTGTCCTAGTAACTATGACACTGGAACCTGACTGATCAACGTTGTGTTCCATTCCGAAATAAGCGGCCACGCGATGTACCAACATTCTATTGTACGAGGACATGTTTGGAAATTTATGACAGACTTTCTGTTTATCCCTCGCAAATTCTATCAAGTCTTTCTCTATTTTCAACAGCACCGTGCGATCCTTTTGATTACGATTTATAGTTTCCGCGATGAAATGCTCCAGATCTATCCCGGTACTGTCCGTGTACAATTCCGTACTGCTATCTGCGAAAAATAACGATATCCTCTTGAAAAGTTTAAACGAATACGAAAAGTTTAAAAATATTCAAAATATTGAAATGGAAAGTAGAAAATGCAAACCTCGCGATAGGCATGGTGAAGCACTGTCGAAACTACCCTGGGAAGAATTTTGATGCCTCAATTTATGCCTCGAGCTTGGTCTGCTCACAGACAGAGTATTGCCACACTGTGCGTTGTTACAGTGGTTGTTGCAAATGTTCAACGTGTTCGGCCTACGTTGTTCCGATTTTTGTTGATTGTTTTGCGCATTTTGGGCCAGGTTCGTGCTCTTTGGCGAGTGCTGTAACGCCTGACCAGACTTCGATGGGGATACGGGTGTCTGTAGCAGGCCTGGTCGATCGTTTTGATTGTTTTTCACGCAGTTATTGTATTTTTGGATCACGTTCGAGCCTGTCATCTTGGAACGATGATTCTCCGACTTATTGCCGTTCGTTGGAGATGTATGATTCTTTGGTGAATGAAGTTGAGAAGGACTAGATTGACCTACCCGAACGAAATGCAAAAATAAGATTGAATTTTACGTTGAAGATCACAACCAAGAGCTATTTTCTGCTATAAATGTTGAGGAAGGAAACATTACCGTTTCGCGATGGAGCTCGACAAGTAGGCGAAGTGGCCGTGTTACGCATTTGCTTCGGGGATTGATTCGGATAAAGATTACTGTTGAACATTGACTCGTTGTTATTGAGCTTCGCGTTAGTGGAATTAGACGATGACAGGTTACCCGCGGAGAGTTTCTTTTCACCGTCCACCGATTGAGGACTATGCGGAGACGAGGAACCGTTCTGCGGTTCTCTCGGTGGAGAGGTAGATTCTCTCATAGCATGGCTCCTAACCAACAGCTTCACTTTCGTATTCGTCTGAAGAAGAAGAAGAAGATGATGAAGAAGAAAAAGAAGATTTCAGACGAAATAATTTAAAAGGGGATCCTCCATTATGTATATTTACATACCCTGTTACGAAAGTTTTTGTTCTCTGTGTCCGTTTTATCGGGGGGACAAGAGGGCGATACACGATGCTGGATCGAATTCGATGTTGGAGAAGTGGCGACATTCGGACTGACATTCCCGTCTATCATATCCGACTCTGAACTATTCCGATGCAACGCGTTCGAGCGTTCACCTACGACGAAGCCTTGCCTGGAGGATGACACTGATGGCATTCCTCCTCGCACCACCACCGTGGGACTATCAGGTCGACTGTGCGACCTGCTGCCTTTATGCACCACTATACTTGGTACTGCAACAAGTAAATCTTTATTCAGACTTTTGCTTTCTCTAATTAATAATCATTTAAAGCGTTAGTGCCCGCGTTATTCTATGCCTAGCCGTATGCGGAATGTTCGCATGACTAATCGATCACTTTTCCTTCAAATAAAGTAATTACAAGAAACTAGGGTGTGTCGATACCTTTTTTACCCTTACTCCATTGCATACAGCTGACACATGTAAATCTAGTAATTAGCAATAACCATTGGATAACAGGTGAGAAAATGTGAACGTTTCTCTTGTAAAATTTGTCGGCTAAGTCTTCGATGCTTGTTCGCTGGTTAATAAAAAAGACAAGGAATAAGCGAAATAAAAGGAGGAAATAAGAAAAAAATCGTGAGCGTGAATAAGACTTACTCTCCAGGCGGGCCATGTGTTAAACGCGTCATGGGGTTACGGTGCAGGACTCTGCAACTGGTGGGTTCAAACAGGTGCAACTGGGTTAGTAGGTGAATCTTTCGGGTGGCGTGCAGCTTGTAGGGCTGATACAAGGAGCCAGATCACTGCACGTCCACCTTCCAACATCGTACACTCTGTAAGCAGATATAACACGAGGATCGTCACTTTTGTGAACAAGAAAAAAACATCATGTTTTTAGTTTATTTCAGCATTTACTTTTTTAGCATTTACTCATTGGAAGAAAAGGAGGCAAAAGATTTTACAAATTCTTCGTGCATGCAAGCAGTGTTACGCGTTATAGAAACACAAAAGCCCTCACCAACACGATTACACACTGTAAATGAATTTTCCCGCTCGATTTGAGACACTGAGTTACTAGGATCATACTTGAAATCGTAGTTCGATTCATAAGCAGCCCATGTGAAAAAGGAAACAATGTCAGATAAAAGGGTAGATTGACGTCAGCATTCGATGGATTAGAGTCGTTAAACTAAAAGCAATCCTTACAAGATGAAATACGATGAAATCAGTTCGTTTCAGCAAATGAAAAGAAGAGTTAGTTTCTTATGTATAGAGGGGATCGATCGATTGATCGAAAGAAAGATCAACTTTCACCTCGTCTTTAAATCGAATCTACCACTTGAAGAAGATATTTTTCACGGCTACGTAAACAACACACCTAACGAGATACGATTCGCGTCTCTCGATCCTCGATCCTCGATCCTCGATCCTCGTGGATCACCGACCACCTTCTTTCCATTCCCATCCACAATTTTCACTGGATTTTTTTCATTTTAATTTCCTTTTTCCTACCGTAAACCGGACTCACGCGTTGGCCAGGCTCCACGGCGTCTCGAAAATAGCAATACACTGTTTCTCAGCCGTCCCGTAATCCCTTCTTCGCCGTTATCTCGGCCAACCAGCCACCACGTTTTCTTCCTACCGCGACTCATCATCTCCCATGAACCACGCACCGACCACGATCATCTTGTAACTCGGCTTTGCAACTCGTATCGGACTAACAGACCAGAGATCAACTGGACCGGCCGCACCGCGCCGCGCCGCGCCGAACGATGAAAATTTAGATAGGTCAGGTCTTCGCTCGTGTCTCAATGAAAATGAAAAAATCGGAGATCAGAGATCGTCGTGAAAAATAGAAAAGGGACAGAGAAAAAAAAGAAAAAGAAAAAGAAAAAGAAAAAGAAAAGGAGAAAAGAGAGAAAAAGAGATAGAGAGAGGGAGAGAGGACCTGGACCAGCCACGATCTATCGAGTGCAACGGTACGTCGCCACGAAACCGCTTTTCGCGAGAGACTGAGAGAGAAACCCGTCACGGGTCTCTCTGATCGCAAACTCGACGAGGAGAACGATATCGAGAGCGCGAGAGACAGAGGTTCTAGGTAATAAGAGCGACAAAGAGAAATAGAGAAACAGAGTGGTAGACACGCGACAGAGAACACGAAACAGGGGATGAAGAAAAGCTTAAAGGGGGAGAAAAAAAAAACGGGAGAAGCGGCTGATTTTTCGGGAGTGAGAAAAACGAAGAAATAAAAGGATCAGGAGGGAATAGATGGAGGAAAAATGCTTCTGGAAAATGAAACGGATAGAGAGAGAAAGAGAGAATGTCGAGCAAGTGCACGCGTGCGCGTGTTTCAAGTGTACCGGGTGTCGAACGAATCACTGTTCCTACGATACTTCTAATTAGAGACTCGTGTGCCATGCTTTCTCTTAACACAGTTCCAGTTGAAACAGTTGAATGCTGTGCTAATGCTTATCTTTCAATGGGATGGTAGAGAATGTAAAAATGAACTATTAACCAGTATCCCCAATATGTATGTATGTAGTTAAGAATTTAAACGTGTCTGACCACACATATACATTTCTACTGTGGCGGCCTTCGTTAAGACGTTAACTGCCGCAGTGAAAATGATCGTATATAGCGCGGCACATCATCGTTATATCATTTACCGAAGATACGATTATTTAATTTCTCAGTTTGAAAACTTGCGGGATATCCTGATAGATATTTCCCATTAGTTATCAATTTTCAACGACGTATATATGTACACGGCATATACGATAAAACGATCGAAGCTGAATATCAAGAGAATAGTTTTAATTCGTGGCAAATTAAGTAATACCGGGTAACACCTGTCTATTTGCTCGCAAATTGAAACCATCTGCGAGGCTATAAAGAAGACGAAGACAAATAATAAATGTGTGCAAACAAGCCATAGATCGTACACGTTTAGTTCTTCGTATAAATTAGTAAATTATTCTGTTATACCAACAAAACGATAATCGTAGATCGTCTGTTCGGTTCGGTTGTAAAAACGTTTCTTCCTTCGTGTGAAATCAAGAGAAACTTTTTCTTCGACACGACGACGCAAAGTAATAATTACCGTACGCGTTAATTTCAATGAAAATGATCGATCCAGCGGTGGGTGAAGAGGGTGTGCAACGATCGCACACACGACCGTGGCGAAGCAGAAAGTTACAAATTGCTTAGTAATGCACACGCAAACCAACTGATACCATCTAGATAGCAAATTTCCTCCTATAATACATAATACCACCGTTTGCATATTCTTTCAGAAGCGATTCAACCCCCCTGAAGTGAGACAAAGCACCCTTTCCGTCAGCTCTTTGCTCACCCAACCTGTAATTTACAGTTGATATTTTATAAAAAACGAAAAAATCCTTTGTAGAATAGCATCACGGTTTAATTAACTATTCCAACGTTATAGGTAAATTCCTCCGATTGCTATTTACAATTGCTATTCATAATGAGCTATAACGAGCTCTGACTAGCCTACATTTGGAAAACGGTATATCTACGTGGAAATTATCCATATTCAGAAACATACATAGGTGGAAAGAGGGAACGGGACACACGTGTATACGTATGACTGGCTACGAATGGTGTCTATGACCTATATAACACGCCCAAGCGTAACTAGGTCGTGCACCTCTGTGTCCCCTGGAATAATACAGGGTGTCCTTATTTTAAAAAAGAACTACCTATCAGGCGACGCTCGATTAACCAAAGTGACAACCTCGAGAAAGAAAATAGAAAGTACACAGATTCAATATCTTCTTTGAATTATGTAGAACGAAGGTTAAACCCTTTAGATACGGCCCAATTGTGCGATACAATCGGTCTGACCTTACAAACAGATTCTATGGCCTTTTTTCTTAAACTTGTATTTGATAATCGAGATGTTGAAGCACTTTGATCGTTCTAAACACGCGACACATGACGCATCCTGAATCATCTAGAATCATCTAGAATGTAGGGCATCGATAAAAGGATACGCTATGGTAGGACAGCAGGGATAGGCTAAAAAAAGGCCGAAGGGTGCGTTTAGTTTACCGATATCATGACATCGGGTTTGGTAAACACCTTTTTCGCAACTGTAAAAACGCGTGTCTCGATGAAAATTACTGTCTACAATCTAGAAAAGATTTACCAACACTGTTGGTCGGTTATTTAACACGATAAAAAAGGTAGTCGACAAAAGTAGGTCGGCTATTATCAATGAAACGGAATTAATCACACCCGTACCAGCGAAGTCGTTCGACCTCGAGCAATGTGTTAATTAGTCCTTTTCATTTTGGTCAAGCAATAAACCAGCCGTCGATGTGTCTTATACCGATTGGCTAAAAATTAGAATCGTGTAAATGGAGTCCGTTTACCCCCCATAGACGCACACTGACCTGATTTAGTGATCAGTAAGAGAAATTTGTCGCACACACGAGAGATGATTGGGAGAACCCAATTCCAGGAAGTAACCTAATTCCTACGGGAGGGATGACCCAGCCACGAGGAGGTAACTAAAGTACGGGTAGGATATTCCGCAGGAGGTGGGATATATGGGGGAGGTTAGAGGCCGTCAGGGGGGTACGTTCAGTTTAGCGATACGTGCCAGTCCGATGCACCCCTTGTCGCCATGGAAACGACCTACTCTCCCTGGACAGACGCATCGGCCACCCTCCGCGTGTTAAACATTCGAATAAGGATATCTGGATGCTCTTTGAACTTCCCGTTTTACCTACAAATCTCTCCTCCACCTTTTTCATTCCCTTTCCATTTTTTTTTTTTCCTACATCAAATGACAAGTCGTCTTCTGCTTAACCTTATACGCCATGTACATATACACGTTCTTTAGATGGTTAGTCTAGCGGTCAAAAGATGAAAGGATGAAATAACATTTGAATTATCAAAGCGAAGATTAAAATTTCTTCGTCTCTTTGAAACAAGAATCTCTATAGAGCCTACACAGTAGGTATACGCGCAGACTGATATTCTTGGAACGAGACAATCCTTCCTTCGAGGAAAAAGGAATTCGAAACTAAATTAATCCTTCAGACATCCCGGAAACCGCCTATCCCTAAACGTGTACACTATTATGCGATATAATAACAGTTGATGATTCACCGGACGAGACTTGGTTAAAATTTATCAAAGCAACTGGCAACTGAGATTTTTCATCGTGATTTTAAATTACAATCTGCTGCGGAACTTCGATCGACGCGTGCTTCTCTTCTATAAATATCGATTCTCGAGCTTCCGGTGGTGTTTCACGCTTCTTGGAAACGATCGGACCGCGTCAACTTTCTGTGTTTTACCTTTTCGGATTGAATTTTTCTTGTATAAACATCGGAAACTCGTGTAACGATGAATTTGTATGAATTTGTTACATGTCTGATGCTCGAAGTATATGAAAAGTAGCGTGAGTAACCGCAGGACTAACGCGATGTTACGTACACCTCACCATCCGTACACCATCCATTTGCCAGCTAAAAAGCCAATGAAGAGACTCTGTCGGCACTGTTCCAAACTGTATTATTTTCCTTGTATATTCTCCTGTGTACTGTCGATCACCTATTACAACATTACTGGAAGCTAAACTTTCATTTCGTATCGTGAATATCTACACATTATCGACGAGAATATTTTGCAAAAATCCTTTCACGTTAAAGTGAGTAGCAAAGAGTTAGAAGAAATCATGGGATAAATTTTATTCAGGTCAACTTCGTATAGTGGTCGACCCCCGGGTGAGGAGGGTTGCTGAACCCCGTGACCCATATTCCAATAAATAGGTCAGAGAAATACACGAACAAGACAAATCGAGCTCGTTTATCATCTAACTTTTCTTTATCTTAACAATTGGCCAAGTTCTTTCCTAAAACTTAATCGGCCTTACAAGATTAAAAGATGGATCAATATTAATACTTTTTATATATTATAAAACAATCATGCGATGCCTGAAAACAAGCTAAATTAAGTTAATAGAAGTTAGAAAAGGAAGAAAATGCCGGACAGTAATCTGATCGGAAGATTCGAAGATTTTCCACGACAAAACACGGCAGACCAGCAGGCGCTCGCTACGGAAGAATCGCTCGAGGATTCAGCCTCGCGAAACCAGCAGTGCTTTTTCCCTACCGCTCGGACCCGCTATTTATAATGAAAATATTTTCACGACGACGATGCCCAAGCACTGCCCACCTATCTATCGACAGATATATGTACATACATATATCTCAACGCATATTTAGCACCTACGTCCATCGATCTCTTCACGCTTTTTTTCCTCCCTTTCTCGTGGCCAGTATACATAGTCGATAAGCAATTAACGGTGTGACGTTTAATTCTGTCGCAAGATATTTTCCACAAACGCTAGTTATATTCAGTAACACGAGTATTTTATCGCTTTAAACGAGATTAACTGATTTTATTGGGAAAAATATTGAAAATTTTTTGAATACGGTTAAAGAATGAATACCAACGAAAGAGCAAAAGTCGTCGATGTTGAAGACCTTCAACCGTTTCGAGTGAAGAAAAGTAGGTAGATAGGTAGGTAATAATAGAAAATGAATTGCTGTTTATTTTTCCAACATTAACTGACAAGGAATAAATCAGAGAAGCAACACGTGCTTCCACTCGTTATAGGACATCAATTCATGGATGGACAAGCTGGAAGAATACATACTCTGAAATTGAAAGGAGTTATAGAGAAGCGGTTTCGGCTCATGCCGGATCAATACTGTTCGTTCGTATCCGGTTCCTCGGTCTGTCGACAGTTGCATTTCGTGTCCTTTTAACATCCAACCTTTACATCCGAATGTATTCAATGAAAATGAAAATGAAAATGAAAATGAAAATGAAAATGAAATTGAAAGGCAAAAATGGATTACAACAATTTTTGTCTATTACATTATCTACTCTTATAGGAAGAATGATCAAAGACACCCTGTTGATTCCGTTCGACAACAACGTGAACTGTATTTAACGAAGAAGTACGTAGCCGACGAGGAATGGTCAATTTTGGCCTGGGTCCAGGTCTACGTCAGGATAGTCTCTGACGCCAGCATCAATGAAAAGAACGTAAAAGAGGAAGAGAGAAGGCAAGTAACTCGAGCAGTTGACAGGTTATATCTCTCTGTAGGCCTCTGAACCAAAAATAACGCGAGTGTTTTAACGGCGTGCCTCGCGTCGCGCGTGGACCGATTTTCACCAACACAGACAATGAGATAGATAGTCCCTTTGGCTAAATAGTCAAACAACTACTACCCTTATATGTAAAATACCTCCTTCTCCTCCTCCTACTATCTGCGTACCATTCATTCTTTATTACTAAGCGTGTATAGAAATAAAAGGAGAAGCAGAAAACACCATTTGTAAATATAAAGGTAAGAGTCCTTACAATGAATAGAAGAAGGTGATCGTCCAAGAAGAAGACCTTCGAGCAAGAAGAATGATCTCATCAATCGTTGACACGAACGACTAACAGTAATAATTCCTTGGCACGATACATTTATATAGAGAAGAAGATGGAAGAAAGCGTGTACGTTCTACTACCGGCTATTACATTATTCACACATAATAGTGCATTTCACATTGACTGGAAATTTGCACTTTCACATGAAAGAACAGCAATGTATCATACATACATCTGATTCTAATCGAAAGTAGTCAAGCTAAGTTTGCATACATGCAAGTATACTCCAAAATTGTTGAATAAATGATTATTATTTATACTATGCAACTGGAAATAAGAGAATCGTATATGTTTTTATATATAATTTTATACTTATTCGGCTGTGAACGAACCTTTAGCTATAGGCAGCTAATCATCCAGGAAATTGACCAGTTGAAACGCTATAGAATCTTCTTACGATATTTACAAAGGCAGCACCGACTGTCTATAAAAGATTCAGCAGACACGTGCGGCATAGGGTCGTTGTATCTCGTGATCCGAGGAACGTGCAAGTAGTATCCGCAAATTTCCGCTTCTTATCAGACTGTTTTCCATTTTTCCCTTTCTTCTATAGCTATATAAAACGAAATAAAAAATAAATTTCTCGTATAAAACAAATGGAAAGTATAAAAACAGTTAGATCTGACAGACGCAATTGGTAAAAAAAGAAAAATGAAATCCTAAAACAAGGGATTAATTACATCGATCAATTAGATGATTCCAGGAAATCGGGCAAACATTACTTTCTCTTTGTATGTAGCTTCGGCGAATAGACTAATTAGAAAAATTCTGTAATAAACCAGAATACAGCTTCGGATCACAATTATTTGTCTTTCTGATGAAAAGTAAAGAAACGAAGAAATCAACTTAATTTTTGTCCTCGTTAAAACGATCATGCTACAAAGAGCAATTCTAACGAAACGTCACTTTCTATAGGGGAGAAATTAATGATGTAACGTGACCCTGTTTACCCGTAGGATGACTAAGAATTCATACCCAGGAAACAATGTGTTCCTCGAAACGATCAGGAACGATACAGCTGGAACGGCTTTTGCAAGGCTATAGATGCACGTGTAACCCTGCACGTGATTCAAAGCAACGATAAAACTTGCATGTTCCTCAAGTTTGTCAAGTTTCTCAAGACTTCTATCACCGTAACTAGTAAGAAATAGGAGACAAACAACAACTTGATTTGGACTTAAATCAAGTGTAGCGAATGGAAAGATGCGAAACTTCCAACGACTCAAATATTTCAGTTATTTAAAGAATATTGATGAGAATACCATAGGGTGCGAAAAAAGCAACGAGGCAAATAGCTTGTTAAAGACATGATTTTGTTGCCTCCTTGAAGAAGCAATTCCGTTTCTTATGAGATTGAAACACGCTACACCCTTGTCAAATCGAGGGCCACTGTGGCCACTTTTTATCTTCAGACCTCAAGGAGCCTCCTACACGTCGTTTTATCTACTATCGAGATTTTGTCGGTGAACAATGACCGTCTTTTATTTATTAAGGGTGGGCTCCTACACTTTATGACGTAGATTTATGGTTCATGATGTATATCTACCGAAATAATTTTATTTCTCCATCGTTTTCAATTATGTTAACGAGAAGTGGAAAAGGTTGAAGAAGGTTGCACCGATACAGGCGAATCATCGAGATAGGCCGAGTCCGACTGGTGAACTTGACCTTCACCTCGTACCCGACTACCTTCGATCGAATCTCCATGCTGGTGGGGCCGGGAATTCTCCGAAAGAAGGTTAACAGAACCTTCTTCGTAGGCACGTGTATGACGTCAGTGTAATCAGAAGGACGATTCGTGCAGGGTTAGCGTGACTGGTGGTTAGGCTTCTATTCGCGACGAAGGTAGCGAAGGAGAAACGACGATTCGCGTGTCAGCCAACCGAAAATCGCTCTTCTCGACCCAACTCCTCTTCAATGGCAATTCCTCTTTCCTACCAATCCACCAACCGATCGATTCCAACCGCCCACTATTGAAACCATCGTTCGACGAATCCCGCGTGAGTCATCTCGTTTCTACCCTCTTTCGATGACCTTGCTAGATAAACACCGTGCATTGCGACACGAGGACTACTTTGGTACTAATCACTGATTTTCATCGACATTACAGCTCTTGATTGCACGCGAACAGCCTTTCATAAAAAAGACCCGATACAGGATCGAAATACCCGAACAAGATAGTAGGTATCGAATAATTGAATATCATCTACTATTAATCTAAACGATAATTCATCGATAATTCATTTATATGGAATCTGAAGAAGAAAATCCTACAGATCCGTAACAGAATCGACATACGCTTTTCTGTATAACCAGTTTCTGACGCCACTACTTAACCAGGATCAATGGATGGACTACACGATACACAAGCTTCGTCACTGAAACGTGACAAAGCGTCTGAAATCGCGTTGACCTACGTCACTGCGAAATTAACGCAACGGTAAGTAACAATATCCTATAACGATAGGATATGAAACCAATGTACAAGATGATATCCAATAATGAAATTACGTCCGTATATTTATCTATCAGAGCGTTACCATGAGAGATCATTTTAATTTCAGACAAGGTGGAAAATGGAAAATGGAAAATTGTATAAATATCCCGAGGCTGCACGCAAGACGATGGAAAAAGAACCTTGTTCCTTCGGAAGTGCTGTGTTAGAGGCTTTTCAAAAATAAACCTGCACCACGTGTAGCCTTGATCCTGTGCACGCAATGCCGCATACACATGTGACACATGAGGATAAGAACGGGACACACGCACGTGTACGTAAGTATGTACGTACGTACATACGACTATCCTGCATAGGCTGCATACCGGCAGTGCATAATATTATAAGTCGATTTATGGACGAGGGGAAGCTTTGTAGATTTATGACCGGATTCGCGAATTTCTACCGTTACGTCATGTACTCTGTAGATGCTATTTACAAATCTCTCTTGTATTACTGAAATTCACCTAAAATCCCTACTGTCATTTCAAATAAAGACCCACTATTTTAATATACGTATACACAAGTTTCAATTCCAGCTAAATCCAGCTACGTCCTACGCGTTCTTCGGTGCAACTATGTGGCCGAAAAGCTGTCTTAAGGTGAACGGAACTAGCTCTATGATTCCCATGTGTCTATGAGGAAAACGTTAAGTATGAGAGAGATAGAGTGAAATTGAGGGGAATACGGAGGTGGAGTAAAGTCATAAAAGTAGGGCAGTAGTGCGGTAGAGCAATCAATAGAGGCCGGATCATGGTGGGGGATCGGGGCATTAAGCCACCGTCGAATTTTGGCTCCCCAGGAGAACGGATTTTCCTCTCTAGCTTCTCAACAGAAAAATCAATTCTCAATCACTTCATTTAATCGCGACTATGTTCAAACCCTTTTCATATTTTTCCTAATCGCGTTAAAATTAACATTCGCGTTAAATGTCATTCAGAATACTCGTCATTTTATTTTTCTTAAAAGGAAAAAAAAAACCTTCACGAATTCCGTAAGAGCAAATGGATAAAATACTTTCTTTCTTTCTTTTTTTTCTTGAAAAAGATAAGGCACAGCGAACCACGTGTTACTTATCTTCCCGCGAAAATGAGCGGCTATCGTTGATACGTGTGCATTTTAATGTAATAACGCGTCTGACTATCGGTTGTAGTTTAAAATGTGTATGAAATAATATTAAACATTGCACCCGATATTATTGTAGTTCTATATGGAAATAATAATTCAAGTCTAACGTTAATAAACAAATTGTGTATTCTCGATAGCAAATTATGGTTTAGATTTAGTTAAATTTTTTCTCTAATTCAAAATTATATTTGAACATATTCAATTTTTCTGTCAAACGAGTATCGAGTTATACAATTTTTGTTAATTAAATTGAGTAAAGCGCGACTGTCGCGTCGATGCGATATAATTTCACTATACTACAGTCTCTTCTCTTTTTTTTTTTTTTCAATTACTTGCAAAGGTAAATCGTAAGTTGCTACCGATGATAAAAAATACATACAACATTGTCGTGTATACGCGCATGTAAGTACATATGTGCGTACCTGTCGTATGATGTATGTACTTCACGCGAAACGATTCACAGATACTATGCGTGGCGTATTTAAAGAGGTTATGATCCACCAAAAGACATTGTACTCGAAAATAGAACGCGAAAAAATTGTCAAGCAATTAAACGACAGATTGTTACATTTTCATCCTTAAATGCATAGAAATTGATGGTGTAATTCAGCGGAGACACCTAGTGGACTGTATAAAATGTTTTTCACCGACTAAGGTGTACGAATGCGATCGTGAAAAATAATGTTCAATCTTTGTTAGACGTAGTACGTTTGATCGATTGGCATGCAACAAATGAAACGATGCGTTAATTAATAAATAAAGTGCTTACCTCGTTCTAAATATATTCGCGACACAACACCACCATTTCACCGATTTTTTCACCGCATTCGATCGCGTATTGTTGTCCTTTGCTTTTTTTAAACGTGCACAAGATAGCCGATGACGCTATCTATTCTCGCTGGTTCGTATTAACACAAGTCGTTCAAATGGCAGCACATTCGTTATAGATGGCACTACAATACGATGGTTTGAAATTTCTTCGTCAAAATTGGCGGGATACTTTGAAAATTTCGTAAAATTTACCTTTCGCCTTTCACTGTTACCGTTGTTGGTCGTAGAAATGAGCATTTATTGTGTTTACTTCTTCTTAGCGTAGCTTCATTTTTCCTCTATCAGCGGGAACGCAGCTAAAACAGTGATTTGTAAAGAACATAAGATTGTTTATTGGATATCAAGTTTTACAAATATTATCACACACTTGTTATGAATGTTTCACTGGAGATGGCTGCCTTATATATATTGTACAAATATAATAATTATATTTTATAATGGATATATATATATATATATGAATATAAATACTTAATTACTTTATAAAGTGGTGGCATTCTATCTATATACATCAGTGGCCTGTAGCAATTTCTTTTCAATTTCGATTCTCGTCAAACTCTGACATTAACTCTAACAAATCAATGAGACACTGATTCGAGAGAAGAATGATAAAAGAACGATAATGGAAATGACATGAAAAGTGACAACGATAACGATAATGATCACAATAATGTGAATGGAAATGATTAAAAAGCAACCAGCCTCTAGCATCTCCCAATATTCATTTATCCTCAATATTCCCAGCATACAATAAAGATCAATAAATAATAATTACATAGATAAATATATATTTTTTATATATATATATATATATATATATATCTACTATACTTTTGTGGTAAAATATTTCCACAGGCTCTAGCGTAGGCCCATTCATTTCAATTATAAAGGGTTAATCGCCCTCTGATTAGCGCAATAATTACAAATTTTATGGGTATATTAGTGTATATGATATATACACTAATTTTACATAATATACAAGCTGTTCTTTTTTTTTATCGGTATAGCTCAAACCGTTTCGTCGTATTGTTCGTAAAAATGTATAAAATATTTACGATTCTAAAGTGAATATAAAATCGTTCGAAAGTATTTAGAATTATTCCTGTGTACCATTAAGTACACAATCACTTTGTGAATTTCTTTTTGCATGTTTAAGAAAAATGTAATATGGAAGAATGAATTAAAATCGTAGGTGATCAAATACCTTAATACTAATTCTCGTTACACTCTTAATCGAGCTAAGCCGACGATAAAAGAACTGGCGTTCGCTTTCACGTTGCTCCAAAATAAGTGTGATACTTCCCGTCTAACGGCAAATATTTGAGTAATATGCAATACTCTGTACAAGTCGACAATTTGTTCTTTTTTTCCCCCCGTAAATCTTCGACTGGCATCGCGTCGCAAAGGAAGAGTATCACATATTGCTTTGTACTATATCCACATTAAACTTTGCCACAACGGGAACCTTGGTGCATTGTCCTTTCACGTGTAGAGGACATTTTGTACAATATATTTAACATTAGGAAAATACAAAAGTGCTTAAACAGATGGTATAGTATGAAATACTACATGCGTAATTACCTGATCGCATTTTTTTTTTTTTTCATCCCGTTTAATATGTCGCGTTAGTCGTTACTTTATCCTGCATCTCAGAGTCTCTCTTCCATGTTAATACTACGGAGACGTTCAATCGTAATAAAACGTGTACAAAATTTATGTAGCAAATTCCTAGCATTGGAAGGAAATATACCTATGTATGTATGCGTGTATGTATATCGACGGATATGGTGAAAAACTGTCTGTCGCTTAATATTCTACTTGAAATCCGTTCACTGTAAATGTAATCGCTTTATATAATATTGAGTGATACAAATAAACTTGTAAAATACGTTTATGTACGTACCTTACAAGTACGTATCTTCTGATAGCTGTTTCTTTTTAACGTCTTCAAATGAAATAACGTACAAAGCTTACAAACAACAATTTATAAATATTTGTTAAAAAATATTTCTAACGACGGCTCTTGAATTAAATTTATTCTATAAATTAGACCGACGTACATACCTTAATTAACGGACGTTAGAAAGGTAACGCTTAATTAAGATAAATCAACTATCGAAATTGTAAACACATCGACACGGAAATTACTATCGTTACATCTCGTTTTATCGCGTTCGTGTATCGATTACACGATTTACCGCGAAATCGCGCGAAAATTAAACCGTTACTTTTCATACTTTTATACAGCCTATCAATAATACCCATCATACTCGATGTTCGCTAGTAATCCTAAAATAATTTTTCAATGAGATCGTAATACTACGTTGTTGCTTTAAGAGTATACGCGTATAATTCTTCTGTAAATGAAACACGAAAGTTCTTTACATTATAAGCTGCCGAAGCCACTGAGTATGTATAGGGCAACTTAATACGAATGTTTTAAGGCCGTTTCATACTTGTCCGAAAATATTACGATTTTGACAGTACGTAAAAATCTCAGATAGTTAAATAAAAATTAGAAAATCACAGGTAACATTTAGTAAAATCTTCACAAACGTCCTGTTCTTGTTCTTGTTCTTGTTCTTGTTCTTGTTCTTGTTCTCGATGAAACACCTTAATAACATGTTGCTCTTTAATCGATTAATACTAAATTAACTAATTCGAAAGTACTGTACCATATAAAAAACCTAGTATCAAAATTGATGCAACGTTACGAAAAATTCCGACGGATAAAAAAATAGAAGAAATATTTTTACCGTTCATCTTACGCAATGAACCATAAAATTGTTCGATCAAAGGACTCACGTGATCTCGCCATCCTAAGCGTAAGTATGGCAGTCGATATTACTGGGTGTATAAAATCATGGCAAAGAGCGCGTGAGTTTTTGGATGTAGTACGAATTGTTTTTTTAGGCAAGATCGTCGTTTTTTCTTTTCTTTCTTTTCTTTCTTTTTTTCCCCTCTATCGAAGCACATAAACGGTAATTGTAAAAGTACCTCACAATCTTATTTACGTATAAGAATTGAAAAACGTTAAAACCGTTTTTCTTTGTTATAAATTCATTGGATTACTAATTTAACGTATTCTAATCGCACGGATGGTTCTATTTCGATAAGAGTTAAACTTATCACTGATCTCCTGTCTCGACTGATTTGCACACATTGTATGCAGAAAAATACAGGCATTAAATGTTGGCAATAAAATGTTCAATTTCTTTTTTTCGTCGACACTTTTAAACCGTACCACTCACCTTCTTGCAAAGTACAAGTTCGCTACAAGAATGTGGCAGTGTTAAAATACATTGGCAAGTATACTTTGCGTTTTACTGTAAGAAAGCAACGTTAGTACCGGAGGAAAAAGTAAACTGACTAGGAAAAACTCATTCTAGTCCAATAACACTGGTATAATAATTTTCATTTCAATCATTCGAAAAATTCGATCCCCAGACCGTTCATCGGCCATTGATATCGTTTTCCAATTACGTGTTTTCGTCAAGGGCTTCGACGTGTAACGTGATCATTACACCTATCTCTCAGGTACTAACATTGAGAATGTATCATTGCAGTCTATTGAATTGAGATGGCACAAGGTTTAGGAACCTCTTCTAGCACTCAAATTCAGATGCTGTTATGGCATTCAAGTCTTTCATAAGACCTTCTAAATTAGCCATCTCTTGATTTAGTTCTTCCGTACTGTAAGAAGGCTATAAAAAAATTGATGAAAATTAAAATGATATTATACTCCCTTGCGATCGAACAGGAACATTATTCTTCGATTAACATGATCAAAGCGTAAGAGTAATTAAAGCGTTCGTTACCTTTAACCGTTCAACCTCTTCCGAAGTATGCACCGGGTTTGAAACTGAGGCTAATCGATTCTTTGCTAATTGGGTAGTACTTTGTGGCTTCTTGTAAGGACTACCGGACATTGTAGGTCTTACAGTTACTTGAGAAACTATATGAAACAAAAAAGAATGTAATGACAGTATTAACGATGGTAACTGATATCATTACGAGCATGATAAAACATGGAACTAACCACCGTGTTTCTGCTGTGCCGGTGTCGAGGGTGCAGACTGAGGAGGAGGTGCTGGCACGCTAAAACTTTTCAAAGGATGACCTTGCATCCTTTTACTGCTGCTACTACCATCAGTCCCACCACTGGTACTCGATGGTTGATTACTGTTACTATAATGACCCGAAGAGTACTGAGTACTTCCACTGTACGACTGACCACTTGCGCCGTATGACAATGGCTTCGAATAAATAATTATTTACATATAACAATTTATCTTACTAATCTTTCATAATAACTATATGAAAAACTTACTTGGCCTTGCATTGGTTCATAAGAACTTGAAATATTACAAGAATCTGGACTCGATTCCGGCGTTGGTTCTAACGTAATGTGCGCTCGACTTAAACTATATTGTGCCACTGTTCGGGGATAGTTCTGTCTCACGGATGGCGTATCGCTACACGATGTGTGAATCGTTGGCTGCGACATGCTCGTGTTCACAATCGGTGTAGCTGTCGCTATAGCTGTAACAAGTCAAGTACTTTGTTTCACAGCTTAACAAATTTTTATTTCACTAAGTTACCGTATTCCAATCGATATCGTTACAACAAAAAATAAAAAAGACATCAGACCTTCTCACATCACTTAACTGATGAATTTACTACTACTCACGTTGATGTAAGGATGCACTGTCAACAGGAAGTGTAATGAGTTTAGGTTTGTGGCTTCCTCGACTATGCTGTCTGCTCAGGGTCGAGCACTTCTCATCAGTGTTACCTAATTTTGAGTAAATGAACAAAAATCGAATACGAAAATCGGAGAAATAATAAACGAAATATAATTTTTCGCCTAAAATAGAAGTAAACTAAGATGATGTTAACAAAGAGTCGAGTAAAATAATTAAAACGGTGTATGTAAGTACTTCTTAGTCACGTTAGACAAAAATAACATTAGCTTCATTTGTATAATCATTAAACAAATTATACGAACAAAATTTTTGTGTACATTGTGTCGTGTACATCGAGATATACATATATCTATACATTTTTATATAATATTTCATCTTAAAAACTTACCCATGTAACTTGGCACGTAAGTACGTTTATCCAATGAACTAGAATTTCCATGTACAGTATCTTGGTTGTAATCCTGATTACTTGATCTGGGTAATGTATTACTAGCCACGCCACTAGTAGATGCCTCTCCATTTATAGAAGATTTTTCAAGAGCTTTAAGTTCCATTTGATCATGATGAATCCACAAATCTGGTGGTTTGATGTTTGTCTTTTGATTCGTATCTTTCATGTATCTAAACATTTTTATTTTAAGTTTTACATTAAAAAAAAAAAAAAAAAAAAAAAAAAAAAAAATCAAAAAAACGGTTTAATCAATAATGAAAAGTAAATGCATATTGTATACATACCCCTTTTTTCGATCCGGAGTATCTGGATTACGTTTACAGCATATCACCACAACTACAACTGCTACACCGGTAATAAGGACAATAGAACAACCCACAACAATATAAATTAATATATTTGAAAGTCCACGTCCATCTGCAAGACGAAAGGTAAATCTGTTATCACGAAAGAATTATACAGATACATCTAAGATGTGCATTTTATATTACTTTACTCGTTACTTTAAAACGCATGCTATAAGAAACTAACAGAGAACAATGTCTTACCTCGATCATGCAATTCATCATAGACATCCATGCCATTGCCTAGCATAGAAATAAAGAAATAAACAGTAATTAAAACACCGATATCATACAAAAGACGAGAAACTAAATATAGATGGTAGTTAGTGTAGATACCACTTTATGCAATACTAAACAAACCAACAAGTCGTTGAATAACATGCATGTACTTTTACTTCTGAAAATAAGATATTTACTCTGAGGTGTTTTAAACGGGACAGTTGTAGAAAAAGGACCGTATCCTTTGGAATTGCGTGCCTGAATCTTAAAATAGTAAGTCGTACTGGGCAGAAGATCTTTCACGATAAATTCAGTTTTATCACCGATAACACCTTCGATTAACCAATCGCGATCCCATTTTGTGTTGTCCGTCGAATAAAAGATGATATACCCTAAATTAAATTTATACAATGTTTTTACTAAAAACGTCCTATTTTTGTTATTAAGTATTTGATACTGATAAATAAATACCTGTAATTGGTCCATTGGGCTGTTTCGGAGGTTGCCACCGTAATAACACAGAAGTTGGACGGTCTTCTAAACTCTGAATTATCAAATCCCTTGGTGGAGAACTAGGTGCAGCTTCTTGAGTTTGATTTGAAACGACCATACTCCACGGTGATTCTCGTTTCCCCTAGAGAATTACCGTATCATATGTCTGTTAAATATCCCTACGCATACATATATTACGATTTTCCAAACATAGTAAATACCTTAACAAGTTTCACCGTGAACTCGTATAGTGTATTAGGTTTTAAATCATTTATCATGCAATTAAGATCAGTGGCATTATGATATTTATAGCGAGGATTACTGCTATGATGATGAGATGTATAACGAACAACGTAATATCGATTATCCGTTACAAACTGTAAAATTATTATTATTATTTATTACTTAATAAAATTGAATTGCATTATATTACTTGTAAAACTGTTACGTATGTTGTTCGCATACTTGAGTTTTCGGTAAAGTTGTATCGGTCCAGTATAGTACAACTGTAGTGTCAGAGAGAACGGCAGCTTTAAGACCAACCGGCGGTATTAAAGGCACAGAAGATTCAGACACAGAACGTTCGGTAGTTCTTACATTTGCATATGCTGGTTGACCATCACCAGCATCGTTCGTTGCTCTTAAAGATATCACATACTCTGTCATCGGTTCTAATAAGAGGAGAAGAAGACTACATACTTGATCCATTTAAAATTTATTCCAAGTAATAATAAATAATATGATCTGAATGTTTACCTAACCGATCGATAGTAAAAGAACGTTCTTTTCCATCGAGAGGTTGTACTTCAACGTCGGGGACACCTTTTCCCCAGCCAAGCTTATATCCCTTTACTTTAATACTTTGATCCTTTGGTGGATTCCAAAAAACTTGTATATAATCTGACATCACCTTTGCTATAACGTACAAATGCAAAATGTATTTAATGTTTCACATTACTAACAATGTTTCTTCCATTGATAGTATATTCATGGTTGCGATAGCCAAAAAACTGAAAATGGGACTAACTTCTTAAATTGCTGGGCGTATTTGGCACTCTTTTCTCATCCGACTCGGTTTCGTATGTTTCTATTTGTATCCATTCAGTCCAAGGTCCAGTTCCATTCACATTTAAGGCACATATACGAACTTGATAAACAACATGCTTTTCAAGTCCTGTGAGCACTCGTGAGCGTTGATTTCCTTCGGTTGTTATAGTGACCGGCTGTGAACCTCGATCATGTCGACGATAACGAATTTTGTAACCCGTGATAATTCCATTTTGTCCTTCCAATGGCGGTTCCCATCTAATTATAATACTCTACAACAGCAATATGTATTATTCCAAATACTGTAAATCTTTATTGAAGCAGAGTATAAAATTTCAAAGATAGTACATACTGTAGGACTAACAGGTTCTACTGTAACATTGTGCGGTGGCTGAGTAGGTTGTGCACTGTAAGTTCGTACTACTATATCTTTGCTAAATACACCTGGACCATTTTCATTTACAGCCTGAACTTTAATATTGTATTCTGTATAAGGCACGAGGTCTACCAATTCGTGCACAGTACTAGTGGTTTCACGTGTTATTTCCTCATTGTCACCCTTTAAATTTAATAGTTAAAGTATTTAACGTTGAATTATACGATAAAATTTTTAACGTCTTTTTCGGTGTTAAAGAAATCATATACCTCTACAAATGTAATGATGTATTTAGAAATTCTGCCATTAACAATTTGTGGCTTTTCCCAAGACAACTCAATGCTCACGCTACTCGTAGCATGACCTTCTAAATTAAGCGGAGGTCCGGGAACGTTGGCCTGTTGTAATAAATCGGTAACAGATCATAGAAGAATTCAATAAATTTATTATAAATTATTTCCATTATAGACGAACCTCTGTAAGTGTAGTGACTTGCAATACTTCGCTAGACGTTCCAGGACCTCTTTCGTTCAAAGCAACCACACGAAACTGATACGTCATACTTGGCTGCAATCCTCGTATCACCGCTTCTAGTTTTTGTTGCGTATTAATAACTCGTTCTCTGTAATAATTTAACTATTATATCGTACGCAACAGAATTCTAAGCAGTATGGAGTATATAAATGTTATTGATCGAAAAATAAATCATCACCTTTGAACACCTTCCTGTTTATAGTAAATATAATAACTTAAAATTTCTCCATTTGTATTTTCTGGTTCTTGCCACCGTAGAGTTACAAATCTGGCAGTGACAATAACGAGACTCAAATTCCTTGGTGCTGATGGGACACTACCCTCTATTGATTCCAGGCTCTCTGTGTCATCTACAAAATGGGATTTCGGATCGTAAGGGGAATTGGGAAATTTAACTAATCCAGGAAGATCTGTAGGATCGTCGGAGGGACTGATGGAAAGCGGTGGATTTGGTGTATACGCGGATAACGTGTGTCCTAAAAGAGTACTCGGATGCTGCCACGTTTTATTGTACAATTGACGATGCAATAATAATTTTTTTTTAGGAGCTGTTTTTGGAGTAGTCGTTTTATGGGAAGTTACTTTTTCTGAATACATTTGTTAGCATGCAACACGGTTAAAAAGGAGGAAACATAAAGAGAAAGAAAAAATAAAGATTAAATTAAAATTTTTGATAGAAATAAATATTCTCAACTGATACATTAAACTTGGAAGAAAATTGTTTTAAATAATAAATTAACAAACTGATAAATAAATAAATAAATAAATAAATAAATAAATATAAGAACGACTTTTACTATGTATTAGATAGGAATGTTGGGAATTATCAATTATAAGACAAACACTCACTAGGCTGACTAATTGTTAACCGCGCTGCAGCCTTTACACTTCCGGCAGAATTTGTTCCGATGCATTGAAAAATTCCAGCATCTATAGGTAATAGGCCGTTAATTCTAAGATTATAACTGAAAGTAATCAAATAGGAAAATCTTATCCCATGTTGTTTAATCGCTTCGATCTACTGTAATAGGATGTGTTATATGTATAAACTTACCCATTAACAATTTGCCAATATGCATTTAATGTAATACGTTCTCCATTCTTAAGCCACGTAATTTTTGGCTCTGGTTTACCATAAATTTCACATTCAAATTCTAAATCTTGATTCTCACTAGCTATTTTATCTTCCGGTCTTTTTATAAATCGCGGCGGCACTAAATAAGTAACAAAAGGTACACAGTTATTGCATATACGATGGAATGTAGATAGAATGTTAAAAATAAATTGTACCTTTTACAATTAAATCAGCAGCTGCGTCTAATGTTTCAACTTCATTTTCTGCACGACACTGATAAGAACCGTCATCAATTTCTTGCACATTATTAATTATAAGACTGGATGCAGCAATTCTACCGTATCTAGATATGAAAATACAAGATTTAAACATTTTATATTTTCTTTTTAATATAAACTTATTTGTTTTGCAGACCTAAAATCACGAGATGCTGAATCAATTGCGACACCATCTTTCAGCCAAAGTATACTTGGCTTTGGATAGCCATTAGCAGCACATTCAAGAGTGACTGTTGATCCTTCGATAGCCACTTGTTGTAATGGCTTAGCAATGAAAACTGGTGGTGTACTTTCTTGATCTACAGTTTATAAAATAACATATAAAGATTTTCTTCTTTGCAAAAACAACATTCACTACCCATCGATATGTTTAAAGATTGACACTAACCAATATCACTTGTTAATAATCCTAATTGCGCTTTATTACTGAGTCTATATTGTCCGTAGCTACTGGCATTACATCTGTACGATCCAATATCTTGTACATTAACATCATCAATTTCTAATGCACCTAAATTCAACGTACCAAAGATTAGCGATATACTTCGAAAAATAATTAAATTTACAACATTGTTCAAGTAAAGAAGAAAAATTATACCTGATGGTAAAACTGTCATTCTACTATCATCAAGTATCAGAGGATGTTCATCTTTTAACCAATGTATCATCAGTGAATTGGAAGTTGAAGGAAGAGTACAACTTAAATATGCAATTTGTCCTGGATAAACCATTGTATCTTGGGGTTCTCTTTCAAATCCTGGTAAACCTTTAAAGTAAAATTCTCCGTATAAATTTCAGTTTCTAACTACCTTGCAGTATTAAATACTAACTTGCAAGTTTAATTGTAGCTATTCTAGAAACAATAGCCCCAACATCATCTATGGAAGCTAAACATTGATAGCTTCCAGTCAATTCCAAGTTGCTGCTGTAAACACTATTTATATACAAGGATCCATTTGCTAGCTGAGATCTAAAAGAACAGAAGAGAGCATAAACGCAAGTTCAGGTGTTCTACACACTTTCTCGATATCAAGACTTTTACCGGTAACTGTCTCCGATAAAATTAATTGGTTGGCCATCATCGGTTCGCCACTGTATACTTGGTTTCCCAAAATCACTTTTTGCTTCACAATCCAATCTAGCAGGACCTCCTTGTTCAACCACCACATCCTGTGGCTCGATAGTAAAATACAATCCACTTGCACTAGCTGCCGAGAATAAATATACAATAAACTATTTGATACTTAACATCTTAATAAATAACTTGGCTTAACTATTACATGGTTTTTACTCATACGTATGTATAGAAGGGAGGATAGATAGGTGTTGTAGTAATTGAAAAAAAAGAAGGGAAGGGATAAAGGGTCGGCAACCCTACAAGAAGCACCCTTTAGTCCTTTAGCGAGACACCCGAGCCGAGTGCCTAAATTCTCTTTTCTTTCCTTTCTTTTATTCTTTAAGACCTTGCGATCGGCCGATACGACGGTACGTAACCGCTATGCAGGACGATCTTTTCTGAATAATCCTTTGTAAGGATGTACAAATAAAAGAACCTTGACAAGACAATATTATGAAACGCAATGCGATTTCTATCGAATCATCAAATATTTTGTTCGCAGGATGAATAATAAAGAATAATAAAGACAGATTTGAAAGATTCGCTCGTCCAAAGAAATACCGCAGAGCTCGCTAAATTCTTCAGACTCTTCGTTCAAAAGATGCGTATTAAACGCGGATAATTATGATAAGTTTCCCCGACTAACGATCCTTTGGAAGAAATATACTACAAATTTCATTATTTATTGAAACTATTGATACATACACATAAAATACAGGGTCGCGGCAATAAGAAAAGCATTTAATCGACGCTTCCAGAAAAATGAGAAACACTGTTAAGGGCTTAGGGTTATTGGGTTACAGTTTCACGCTCACGGTGGTCTGTCACCTTCTCCGAACGAGCGAATATATGTCTTCAACGATCGACAGAAATAATTCTCACCGCAAAAGATATTTAATTCCTCGTTGAAACTGGACGTTCACGTTTCTCGACATTACGCCATCGTTCGAATTTTTACCGCCAAATCGTACACGATCTCTATTTGAATATATAAAAAAAAATAGAACGAAAAAAAAAAGGAAAAAGGGAAAGGAAAGAGGTGCAAAATTTGGCGCCCGATAGCGCCACGACGCTGCATTCTAAAGGAAAATAAACCATTCGCCGCGGCCGCGGCCGTCTAAGTATTTGATTTATGAACGCGGGCGACAACCTACCGCACGGCATACCGAAATAGATCAAGAAGAGAACCATACCCGAGGTAAATCTGTCGCCGGAACAACCACCGCACCTTTATTTTTATCGAATCCTGATCAGATGTTTATGTATACATCTTATTTAATAGCATATCAGACAGACAAGGTAAAGAAAGAAGGAAAATATCGGGACAGGACTCGGAGAGAGTGGAGAGTCGTCAAAGTCGCTATCTCAGACAAGTTAAAAGTATTCGATGATTTCCTGTAGATAAGATTTACACGATCGACGCAACAACGATCATGTCGCATCATGATGCGCTTTCGTAGAAAGCTTACGATTCAACAAAAATGTTTTTAAAATAATGCTACTTTTTCCTTTTTCTTTTTAAATTGTCCATAAAAATTAGGTACGATCGTATTATCGATAGTGTACAAACATTCGTCACTGTGCGCAAATTTGCTCGCGACAATAAATCTGTTGAATTTTTTTGCAGCGTGGATTAATTTGCAGAGCAAGTTCGTATGCACATGGAAGTCGGGAAGGGAAGGAGGGAGAATGTTGAAAAACGCGGTAAAAGTACTCGACATGTGACGAACAGACCGTGAAGGAAGGCAAGGTACACGTACTACACCTCGGTATAACAAATCTACGCGGTGTTCTATAATTATTAATAAACTACCAATACCAATGATGAAAGATATTGTCGATTAATCGTTTCCTAAAGCTTAGGTTACGGAGAGCACCACTAATCAATCCTAAGATCAATATTGATATTGACAAATGAACTTTTTCAACTAATTAATTCCTCCCTACTTCTTTTCTTTTCCTTTTCTTTCTTCTATTCTTTGTAGCGTGACTGTTACTTCCGTTTAAAGTACATAGAAGCCGAGGGAAAGACAATTATCTTGAAAGGATAAGAACACGTAAGTACATATGAGAGGATGTCGCGATACAAAGTTACTATTTAAATGGATGAAATTACTTTCTGACAAATAAAAAGAACGTGGTATTCTGAGAAAATTAGACGAAACTTCTTTGTTAAATGACGGCAAATAAAGGTAGTCTCAGATAAATCACCCTGTATATGAATATGCACGCACATACACCGCGTGGGCGCTGACCATTAAGGTGTTGTTACGACATCAGTCACAGCGTACACACGTTTGTAAATATGTACCACTTTGCACGAAACACATTTGAACGCACGTATGTACTTACATATTATAAATAAAAGTACGTATATTGCACGATCATTCCGTATTTAGTATTTCGGCTACCAGCGTTAGAGTGAATCTCCAAAGAAAAAACACAAAAGTTTGTAATGAATTAGTAAATACTACTTGTCTAGCGTTTACACGAATCTATAATTATTCCAAAGTTTGCTGCACCTCGGTAGATACGTATCTCATCGTCAGACAAAGCTAACTGGTTTATTTGAGGAACGCACCCTTTTAAGACCCCTTTCATACTTCTTCAGAACGATAAACCGGAAATGAATCTTTATACCTAACTAGTCCAACGTACATATATGTATAATGATCAAAAGCAAATAAAAAGATTAATAAAAAGAGCAACGATATTAATACTGTATTATACGATATGATTACAACAAAATAATGAAGTATGCAAAAATGATATAACGATTAATCCCTAGTGTGGGTTGCTATATTGATAGATTGACATAGCAACGCTGAACATTTCGCATATGTATTTCCTATCGCGATAAAATCGCAAGGAGAGGCTTGCCGCATTGTTGAAATACTTTGCTCAAGTGTTTAATGCAAATGCTTCTAGCGGTGCAACCTCTTTAATGAATCTGTAATATGGAAGATTGAGATTTATTCTCACATGTACTACTGTATTAGACGTTCGAACAATAGTCTCTAACTCTGGCTTACAATTAGACCTCCGCCGAATCATCGTTACTTTTATCAGGGGACCTATATTGCCCTCGTTATTGTGATAATACTACCAAGGGATGCGTCTTTGTCGAAATCGTTGCAATCGGAAATACACCCCCCAATCGCCCCCTTATAGGACAACCTTCTCTGCATCAATAATAGTCACCCGAAACGAAATACAGTGCTTCTCAACCGAGTGAATCTTTTCAAATTATACCATATTAAATTTTATATTATTCACCGGCTTCGGTGTTCATTTTATTACATTATCTTGTTTAGAGAGAAAAAAAAGTCAAAATTCTTGTCTGTCAAATTTAACAATTTTGTAATCCTGTATTAATGGAACAATAAAAAAATTCCAGATACATATTTGAAGTGTTTTACGGAACGTAATCTCTAATACTAAGAGATTAGCAAACAGAAAATCGCAGAATGGTGTCGTAAATATTTGCCTACTACTACCATGAGGCGAGATGCAAACAGTAGCAGCCGTAAAACGATACGTAATGATATTTTCTCGTTTTTACGTTCATCGATAAAACGTTAAACGAGATGCAAGAACTTACATTACACTTGCATTTATAATACTTGGTCACACGGTGAGAATTCACGATCAGTTCATAAGTAACAATGACATCCTGTACACGCTACATTTTTGCTTTCATCTGCACTAGTAGCGGGGATTTAAATCATTTTCTAATAATAAAATATATATAGTATATATATATATATATATATATAGAGAGAGAGAGAGAATTTGTACTAATTGTACTGTTTCCGATAGAAATAACGCAAATGACGTATTTTTCGAATAAAAACATATTAAACTTACCTAATACGACGAATGTCAACAAAGCCAACGGGATAGCAAGAGTACGCGGCTCCATTAGGCTAGCGGGTGTCACAGACTCCGACGCGTACAAAAAGCCACTGTAATTTCTTTACGCGTTTGCTGCACGAGCATACAATGTTCTGTTAAGCGAACACATGCCAATTTCTTTGACTCACCGTCGTACGTAAAACGACAGATTGAGTCTTTCTTCCACAAACCTCATTTTAGCACAACACTATCACGGAACCAACGATAGAACATGGCCAAAAGACGGCTACACACCTCCGCATTGTCTCGAGTCTACCGACGATCTGACCTGCGTCGCCATTTTGTAGCTTGGTCCCTGCAGCGCCATCTACGGAATTCTATTGAATTAACAAGTGGTTTAAATAATTTTTAGCACCAATTACCTATTGCGTTATTTTTGAACGTCGAAAAATCTAAATAAAAAGGTTTATCGAATTATAGATATAATTCTTTTGCTATTGAGGCATCGTTTACTATTATTTGATATGATAATAATTTCAAATATGTTGTTATAATCATCTCACAATATTTTTTTATATACATAAGAATTATTGTAATTTTCATGTAAGAGTAATCAAATAGGAATACAAAAATAATAAAATTTTGTTAATAAGGTTCTTATTATAAGATTCTAAAAAGCCGGCTTATCTACAAATTAATATGTTTATGGTGGCGGCATAAAGCGTCATTTCGAGTTGAGGTTATGTTTCTGTTACGATTGAAAAAGTACATAAATAAATGTTCATGTAGCCGTTAAATATATGTCTTTTTGTCATTTCATTGAATTATTTTTGTAACAAAATTACGGTAAGTTGTACAGCTTAAATGGGAATATATATGTAATGTATTAATTTCTTTCAAAATACATTACCTTACCGGTTTATGTAAACTCAATGCTTATATTGTTTTTACAAGGTACGAATTCAAAATTAAGTTTCTATTTTAATACGGGCTTAAATATTATCGTGCAAGGATTTCTTTCACATTCAAAACATATTTATTCTTATAGATATTTTCAAATCAACAAAATGTCAGGTGGTATGCTTTATGGGGGAGATGAAATTGGAGCTTTGGTATTTGACTTGGGTCATCATTCTTTGAGAGTTGGTTATGCTCAAGAAGACACTCCAAAAGCTGAAATTCCAGCAGTTGTAGGTGTAGGAGAAGATGCCAATTGTACAGCAACAAAAACAGAACCTATGGATATTGATGATAAAAAATCAGATAATAATATTACACAGTCTGGGACCAAATATTATATTGATACTACTATACTTCATGTTCCAAGAAAGAATATGGAAGTTGTTAGTTACATGAAAGATGGAATGATCGAAGATTGGGATCATTTTGAAAAGGTAACATAAAGATCAAGTATTTTGACTAAAGCTATAAATTTAAAAATATTACATACATTAAGTACAATTACATGTGCTTTAATAGGTTTTAGATTATACTTATTCCAAAGTAATCCAATCGGATGCAGAATATCATCCTGTATTATTTTCTGAATCACCATGGAATGTACGCAGTAAAAGAGAAAAACTAACTGAATTAATGTTTGAGAAATATAATGTACCAGCTTACTTTCTGGTTAAAAATGCAGTTCTTGCTGCTTTTGCAAATGGCAGAGCAACTGGTATTGTTGTTGATAGCGGGGCAACGCATACTTCTGCTGTTCCAGTGCAAGATGGTTTTGTGTTAACACAAGCAATAGTCAAATCCCCCCTTGGAGGAGACTATATAAGTATGCAATGTAGACAATATTTACAGGTATAAATATTATTCTAAATATCATCTTATAATAAATACAAGTTGAATAATTATATTTTACAAATAATAACAGGATAATGACATTGATCTGTCCCCTTCTTATATGGTGGGTAGTAAAGAAGTTGTTAAAGATCATGAAAAGCCAAGGTGGGTAAAAAAGAAAGGGTTACCTGAAGTTACCAAATCCTGGCACAATTACATGGTGAAGAAACTTATTCAAGATTTCCAAGCTACAGTGTTACAAGTATCAGAAACTCCATACGATGAGAAAATCGTTTCCACAATTCCAGCTGTTCAATATGAGTTTCCTACTGGATACCATCAGGTATTGTAGCGATTCTAGTGATATAGTTATCCTATAATTGTTTTGTGTTTAATAATTGTTAATGATGTTGTAAGGATTTTGGAAGTGAAAGATTTCGCATACCAGAAGCACTGTTTGATCCTAGTATAGTACAAATGCGGGGTGGTATGGTCGGCAATACTATGTTAGGAGTAGGACATATTGTTACCACTAGTGTCGGTATGTGCGATGTTGACGTAAGACCAGCCCTTTATGGAAGTGTTGTTGTTACTGGTGGCAATTCGTTTATTCAGGTATCATATCTGTACATTAGTTCAGATTTTATATAAACATTTTTATCAACATACTCTGGGTTTTATAGGGCTTTCCAGAACGTTTAAATAGAGATCTTTCTATGAGAATTCCTTCTAGCATGAGACTGAAATTGATTAGCGTTAATGGATGTGCTGAACGGCGTTTTGGAGCTTGGATAGGTGGATCTATTTTAGCATCTATCGGTACTTTTCAACAAATGTGGATTTCAAGTCAAGAATACGAAGAAAGCGGAAAAAGTCAAGTAGAACGAAAATGCCCCTAAATTAAGATGATAATTTATTTTAACTTGTCTTTATATAGTAATATTATTAATACTTGTACAAATACCTTTTAGATAACTTTGATTAAGTAAATGGTTATGAAACATTACATTATGAAAAATTAACTCTTATATACAGCAAAAAATTGGATTTTTCTTTAATATTGATTTAATCTGTGTTTTAAATGTTGATCTATGACACGAATAAGTATCTTCTACTTATACGAGACATTAATTAAGGACTTGTAAAGTATTCAGTAAAAAATTAAAATTTTATTTATTATTAATGCACCGCATAAATGCAATAAAATTTTATAAGAAATTATGTATAAAAAGTTTTATTAAGATTTTTATATAAACTTACGGTAAAAGGCTGTGTCTGTCAAACTTCTATAACTACTACTGTTCCTTTGTCACATTCATCTCTTTTTTCCAATAAATTTCAAGTGTAAAGACCGTTCTTTTATTTATTTTCTCTTTGAAGCATCTCTTCTTTATCATCGCCTGTAATGTTCTATAGAGAAATTATGCTTTACAAATTATGCACGACTTGAAAACCAAACTTCAAACGGAAACTTTGATATTGGTGATTCGAATGTGGCTATACACTACTTTTAATCGCCATAGCACAAGATCAAAGCATCAAATATTGCACAAAGCTAACATATCATTATGCCTTTAATAATGAATGCTAATGATCAAATATATTAAACTGACAGTACCTATTTATTTAGAAGTAGTTGCTCAGTGAAAATGAAACAGTTTCAAGTATGGAAAAACTCCACGTTTTTCAAACATAGTCTACTTGAATGTTACTAATCGTTTAATTAAATACAATGGATATTAAAAAGTATACTTCTATAATTCAAGCAGTTCTAAAATTTGTCGGCTTTTATCCGATAAGCATGCCGAGATATCTTACATGCGTTAGTTGCATTGTACTTATGATCGTGACACAAATTGTGACAATTTATAAAAATTGGAACGACTTAGATACTGTTTTGGACATAAGGTTTGAATTAATTAACAATTAAATAATTCAAGTTTAATAGAAGTAGTAACTTCTCATTGTTTACAGTTCATCTTTGTTAACGATAGCACTTGCTGTACTAAAGTCAATAATTTGGGTGTTCAACAGAAAAAATTTGGAGTACTTTGTTAATTTCATGTTAACAAGTTATTGGAACATAGTTAAAGTTGATGTTTTTATACATTTACAAGAATATGCAATGTAAATAATATCATTAATCTCCAAACTAATAGTAATGCTACTAACAGTACGTTTTAATATAAATAAAAACATGTTATTTTAGATATGCTAAATACATTTCAAAGGGCTATCTTGTTTCCATGTTCAATACACTATTATTTTATAGTAGTTTACCTATTATTGAAGTACTCATTAGTAAACATCAAGATTCAAATAATAATTTTACTATGAAAAACTTACCATTTACTGGAGCAGCCCCTGTGGCTTTTGTCAAATTTCCTTTCTATCAGGTATTATACACGTTGCATATACTTTCCTTTTGCTACAAATACAATTCAATTGAAATGTTCAATTTATGTATCTACAGATTATATATATACACCAAGTGTTAGCAACAAATATCTGCGCTCTGATTATGCTTGCAACTGATGCTTTAATAGCATCTGCTTTGCTCCATACATGTGGCCATTTTGCAGTACTTAAACAACAATTAAAGGAACTTGATTCATATATTTACTGTGTATGTATCATATCATTCGTATATAGTTTTACCGTAAAACTAATGGAATTATCATCTAAGTAATAACTTCGTACCTTATAGATAACCAATTCAGAAAATAATTTGAAAAACATAGATACAAATATGTATAACATAAAAATTCAATTGATGCATGTGATTCAACATCATCAAATCATTCTTTGGTAAATGATTTTTATACGTTTATGTGCACATTTTACTACTATTTTCTTTTTCATTCTAATGAAATTCAGGTTTTGTGATAACATGGAAAAGAATTTTCACCTAATGCTCTTTTTACAAACTATCACTAGCAGTCTCATAATTTGTTTTGTTGGATTTCAGGTTTCTACTGTAAGTATAACTTTAACGTATTTTGTTTCTTAATTTACGGGAAAATATAAAGTACATACAAGTTCTTAATTACAGGCACTAACAGAGCATTCTAAATTAATTACATCCTTCTCTCACTTAATCGTGGCACTTTTCCAATTATTACTTTTCTGTTTTCCCGGCGATATTTTAATGCGACAGGTAAATAATATAACGTATACAATTTTTGTTGAATATATAATACATATATTGTTGTAAATTGATTTTTATGATGGTAGAGTACTGATATAAGCACAGCTGTATACAGCATTCAATGGTACAAATTGCCACGTTGTATTAAAGATGAAGTCTGCATGATCATATTACGTTCTCAAAAACCTTGTTGTATTACAGCTGGAAAACTATATGTGATGCATTTAGACAATTTCTCTGCGGTAAAGTTTACCATACTTTTGTTTATAAAAATAACAAATATCTTTACTATTACGATCTTATTTACTATTGTATGTAAAATTATAAGAAGTAATAATTGTATCATGATCATTTACAGATACTTAGTACTGCATTTTCGTACTTCATGATGCTTAGAAGCTTCAATTCAGAAGTTTAAAATGTATATACTGACCTCTAATTGAAGTTTATACTTGTTTACTGTATTATGTATAAATTATGTATAAATTGTATGAATTACAACGTCCGTTATATGTATGCGCCCCATCCGAAATACATTTGACAAAGATTATCTACATTTGTTGCTTCTAGAATCAGATGATTAGTTTGTCCTTCAACACTAAGATTTAAAGCAATATTTTCTAATTTTTTTCCATGAGATCGAATCAACCCTTTAAGCCGTTGTTCTATATTCTTTATATGCTCTACAGCCTAAAATTTTTAATGTTATATTTTACATTATACTTGCATTAATTATTTAATGTAATATTACGTGTATTATAGCTTACTTTTTCATTTGTTTTTTCACCACCTTCACCGGCCTGATTCTTATTCCAGCTTACAAGTGGGTCATATACGAATGGTGTTAGCACACTTAATAATGTACTACTCTGTTGTCGAAGAACCCTCATAGTTATTTCGCAAGCACGTCTAAACGGTCCTTCAATTTTCAATGGTCCCATAGCGTCTACCATATTATGCGTTAAACGAAAAGGTACACGTTCCGGCCATTCAAACAATTCTCCCTGATAATAAAATGCGTTCAGTTTTATGATAACAAGAAACCTATTATTTTCAACTTACGTACATGTATACGATTGGAATTAAATAATTTCAGTTTAACTTAACTTCACACACGTAACTTTTTACATACCCTGTTAAATAGACAATTAAAGTCCACATGCACGCAGTCACCACATTTAGAATCGAATAATATATTCTCTCCATGGCGGTCTCCAAGACCGAGAATGTATCCCACCATGGACATTACTGCTGTGGTTCTAATGTAAGCGGTACGTGCCTCATACCTATTTTTATTATATACACGCACAATACGTTTTCATTGAAAAACAAATATTTATTTGATTCACAGTTGATTAATGATGAAACTTACCATCCATATGGATCAGGGAATGTAAGACGAAACCAATCTCCAAGTACTGAGGGATGTCGCGGTAAAAGTTGCTCTAAGAATACCTTTCTCTTTTTATCTAACGGATCTTTCAGAGCTAAAATATAATAGACAAGTAAGCATTTCTTATTCAATTAATATTTAATTCGGCACTATGTTGTTTCTACTTACTGCATAACATGCTCCTAAGTTCTCTACTTGAAATAGCAATACGTCTTTCTTTATACAAGTTCATTATAATAGGCCTAAAACCAACTAAATTTGGTACCCATTCAACCAATCCACATTCTTCGTTCAAAGGTACAACACTCTGTAATATAAGTATAAATATTTGAAAGAAACCAATTTTTCTTCTTTTTATTATACTTACATATGTTCGAATATATAATCTTCTTTGACGTGATTCTGGATCATTTTGAAGATATTTATTTACAATATCATTAAATTCCATTAATCTAAAATCCCTTCGTAGGTCATCCTTAGGCTTACACATGAAAAGATATTCTTTACCATCTGATCCTCTTAATGTAATACGTCGTGGTCTTTGAAGCGATGGCATAACAGCTACATTCTCCTCTATCCCTACTATATGAACCCATTTTCTATAAATTGAAAAGAGGATATTATTTATATTCTTCATGTATACGAATAACAGGTATTTTGAATGTTATACGTACGAAGAAAATGGATTATAATTTTCTAAAGATGCACCCTTAGAGGGCAAGTGAAGTTGTCTGAACTTGGTTGTTGGTATCATAATTGAACTAAAATCCTTACTCGTAAGTAAGCGTGGAAGATTTCGAGACAGTTGAGTTACGGTAGTGTTTAAAAGACCCTGCCGTAAAATCATGAATGTATAATATTTTATTGACAAGAATACTGAAATATCTTAACTTACATCCGGTATTGTTTTGTTGGATAACTCGATTAATCGTTCCCACAATTTATGAAAATCTTTGATAAGTTTTGTCATTTCAACCGTTTTTAGTTTAGGGCGACCGAGAATTTCTTGACACCGTTTTTGGCGTGCAGGGTAGGAAGACTGAAAAAACATTTCAGATCAGGACCAATATAAATTTGTTGCTGATTGATTAGTAATCAAAAAATTTACATTGATAACCGATGCCATCATCCATAAACTGTGTTGAGGATAGGCATGAATTAACTTTGCTAATATTGTACAGAGAGTATTTTGTACTTCCGTGGAGGGATGACAAATTCTGGATACGAGTTGACTGAATGCAGTTAGCCACATAAATATTGGTAGCCTTTCTTGATATACCTCTGTATCATGAAAAAAAATATATATGTATGCATCATTTAGTTTTTAAACTTGTTAATTTTATTCCAACTATTCAATAATTACCCATAATTTTTGTCATTTTTAATAATGCATCTTTTCGAAGTTTATCCTGTTCTGAGTTCGCGTAAGAGATAGGTCTTGATGTTGCACGAGAAGCGAAATCCAACCATATAGTTAACATTCTTGGCATAGATTGATGAATGTATTTGCACCCATACTGAAGTGACTTTCCATAGTAATTCATAGTATGTACTTGTAAGTCTCTAGAAATATAACATTTTTAATTAAAGTATTTTCATTGTAAATATGTTTTTAGACGTATTTACCGTCCTCTTGTATCTTTTTCTTCATCGGTCATTCTATCTATAACAGATTCATAATACTGTGCACAGTAGAGTAAACTTTTTTCCCATTCTCTCCAAACTTCAATAGCTTCTTTATAATTTATAATATTAGCATCAGTATCTACATTAACTGTTTCATCGTTGTATCTTGCATACAAAAGTTTGGCCTGAAAAAAAAAAAGAAAATGAATATTAATATTAGTCTTCGGTATTATATGTATATATATATATTTTGTTTAAAAATAAACCTTTGCGCACTGTTTCCTCTCTTCAACGCATTCTCTCGTGGGTAAAGTTTTGTAATATGTTGCTGGTTTGAAACAACTAGAAAAACATCGTTTTAATGTTGTAAAAGCATCTTCTTGACAACCTTTCTGCCAATACAATTGAGCTTGTTCGATATAAAGTTGTTGTGATGGACATGAATCACTAGCTGATAATATATACATGTAAGCTTGTTGGTGTAATCCACTTCTACAAAAAACATAGTTGGGATATAAAGTAAAAAGAAAAAAGATAACTAATATTTATGTATTAATAAAAGTGCATACTTCCGGGCAATTTTGGCACTTTTGAGCCAGGTTTTACCAATTTCATGCTTAAGTATCTCACTTTCATTATTGTCAATTTCTTGTCGTAATTGCACCGCTAAATCTAACGTAGCTCTGCGCATACTCAAAACAAATTCTACTCCACGCGAAGCCCTAACAAGTTGACCACGTTTCTCCCATTCTTCGTATATCATTGGTAATTGTTCTACGTCAGTTAACATGGCAGAAACTGCTTTGTCAAATTCATTTAATATATGTAACCTAATTATTGTGATAAAATTTAATAAATTTCATGTGTACATTCTTGTCACTCTTTAAAGCCATTTTAAATATTAATCTTACTTCATAATATAGGAATAACTTTGTTGATAAGCCCCTGGGCGTGAAGCATCCTCCAAAAGTGATACTAAGTTTTTTTTCAATGATAGTAAATCTGGCTTAATACCCTTCTTAAGATCTTCAAGTAGTACATGCTTTATATTTTTTTGGGGAGTGTCATCGAGTCTAGTAAAATGAGCCAATCTCCAAAATGGTTCATGTTCGATCATTAATGGTTCCAGCTCTGGTCTAAAATACAAATTTTTCTCCTAATGTATTAATCGGCACCACTGTTCTTCAACATCTCCATGTTGTACAACGTACCTACTCCTCAAAACTCCTTCAGTAATATGTTTCGCGGTGAAGGGTTGATCGAGACCAAGATAACACTGAATCATGCCTTGCAAATATGTATGTTTCAAAGCTCTTTTCTGAGCTAATCTTTCATAACACGTAGCTGCATCCTACGCATATTACAAATATATCAACTATGTATGTGTATAACAATAATAAATGTTTAAACGTTAAAAACAAATTTTATTGTACCTGAAGTTGTCCATTAACTTCATGAGCCAGAACTAATTGCTGAACTGTAGGTGTATGATCTTGGGTAGCTAATATACCAGATATACCATCCGGCTCGTCTAATTGTGCATATATTTTCTACAAAGAAAAGACTGTAACCATTCAGCTATCTAGTTTAATTTTATATGAGAATTTACTTACAGCAAGTAATCCACCCTCCAATGCTTCTGACAACCGTTTATTAGAGGAAGCCATATGTTGTTCTAAGTACATTAATGCTCTATGATATTCCCGAGATTGGTAACAACCCTCAGCTACTACTAATGTATTTAGTTTCTCGCAAAATCCTAAGTGAACGCAAAACCATTGAATTTCATAAACATTTCATTATAAATTGTATTTAGTAATTGAAAGCATTACCCTTAAGTGCTTCGTATTTATGATCACGCTTTAATCGCTGTTCCCAAAGCCATCTTTGTAGATGATCTAGTACCGAAAACACAATCTATCCAAAAGTTATAAAAAACATTAATCATTTAATAAGAATACTGATTTTTCCTGATTGACATACCTGAGCACAACGTGTTCGTCTAGTTTCTTCAGAAATTCTTGTATTATCTGCTTTCACGCTGTGTCCATGTCTAAGAGGTCGATGACACGACAATTCCGAATCAAGCGTTGGTTTTTTTCTGACATCGATTATCGTCAATATTTCTTCCCGTATTTTTCTGTGTTCTTCTTCTGTGCCATTCGTTATTATGTATGCTAGTTAATGGAAAATATAAGTAGTACACGTATAAACGAATCATTACTGTAACTGAATTTTCATATTATTAAAACATTATTAGCAAAATTACTTACATACAACATGAGGCAAACAAAATGTTAGTATTTTTATATCCCGTTTAAGCGCCAATTTACACGCTTGTAATACGTTATTCAGTGTTTCATCACGAATGTTACTGACCATACTATAAAGCCAATTATACGCCCAATTTTCTACGGAAGAACCGAGTTCCGAACTGTAAAAAAAGATGCAAAATAATTTAGCATAATTCTTCTTTATTACGGTAACTAAACGTTTTGTATTTTCCAAATATTTACCTATAAATAGGATGAGGAAACATATTATCGTCACTAATGGCTGCTATCTTGTAATGTGATGTTAAGAAAGGAGTAATAATTTGCCTCATAGTTACAGGGAGACTGTTCCATAGTTGACTATTTTGTCCATTCGGTGAAATATCGTATGTTTTTAAAATTTCCTACAATTTTATACATATTTGGAAAAGTATAAATAAATTTTCAGAATAAAGCTCGCAACTTATTGTTAGTGCATTACATACTTGAATAGCAAGTGAAAAGCAATCCATGCTTTGACTACTTTTCTGCATTTGCAACGCTCGTACATGTTCAAAGAGTATAGCACAGGCAAATTCTTCATTCATATCAGAAATAAATTGAATGTCGTCTGAAATATTTAAACAAAGAGAGAACTAAATAATAAATCACAAGTAAATTAGTTATTAAATAACATACCTCTCGAAATAATTTTGCGGGGAAGAAAGCTTGGTTCAATAGCACCCAATTCTCCTAAACATTCACCGTATAATAAACGAATAGATTCATCTTTATGTTGACACCCAATTAATAATGTATCCAATAACTAAAAAGGTATTTATCATCATTACATATCATTGACATAATTACATATTATAAAGAAATAAACGTACATCAACAATCAGTGGATGAATATTTGTTCCGCTTAAAATCATTTCATTTAATTTAGTTCGATGTTCGGCTAGAAATTTTTGTAAATATGTCAAAGCTCTAGCTCTTACTTCGTCTGTGTCATGAGTAATTCGTTTAAGCCATAACTTTAAATTTGCTTCAAAGCCTTCAGGCCTAAAGTTTACGTATATCTTAGTAGATAAAACATATCTATATTAAGAATATACATACATATAAACAAAAAATATTTTTTCGTATACCTAACTTGCAAAATGCGTGCTTTAATTATTGTTGAAATTTCATCGGGAACTTCCATATCATCGACAAAAAATAACTCGGCAACGTAATCAGAATTTTCTTCGTTGCATTGTATAACTAAAAACTTAAATATATTAATTACGGCTTCTGGATACATTTTTAATAATGATAATAATGATACGCATATAGTTGGTAATAATGGTCCAATTTCTTTAACATTTATACTGAAACAATTTTCAAAAATGCATAATTATATAATTTGAAATTTTTCACGTACTTTAATTTTTCATTTACATACTTATGAATGAACGCGTTCCACGCATCACATACAAGAGGACCGAATCCGGGTCTTTTAAATCCTAGCGACGTCCTCAGTGTTGCTAAAATTTTATACCTTAAAGGTGTTAAATATTGTGTACCCATATATCTCATCAGTGCAGCTAATGAAGCAAGTGCAGATTGCTGTGTATGTTCATCTGATTTAGGCCCAAGTTTCATATCAAAGTTTACTAATATACCGTGTAAACGTAGATTCAAATAAGATTCCTATAAATGTTACAAATATAATGTCCTTTTTTTAATAATACACGCAACGAAGCAAATCAAAATGCAGACTCACAATTCCTTTATGTATAATGAAATTTTTTTCCAAGCTGTTATCGTAATCCGATATAATTTTTAGTAGTCCAACTATTTTTTCAGGCGATTCATGAAAATTTAACATGAGTTCTTCAAATATACCCTACAATTACATTTGTGATAAGCATTAAAACTGCACGTTAGCTGCAAAACAATATAATTTATAGTTTCATTATTATTACCATAAATGATTCTTTCGTTAAAAGTGACAAACTCGTTTGCGTGATTCTTGACACTAATTCCAAACATTCTGAAGCAGTCGTAAGCGGCATGTTTAAAAATGCATAGCTGCAAATATACTAATTAAAAACATTTAAATTGCAATAAAATAGTAGTAATGATAAAAGTAAATAAAATTTTACCAACGTACAGGGAAATATTCCTTTAACATTTGTTTCTCATCCATACTAATTAATTCGGCTATATCGTGTAAAAGAACTTTTGCATTCGGTACATTAACAATAAAGGAAAGCAAAAAACAGACTGCATGATGACCATCTTTACGTAATAATTGACGTGACCCATCGTATCCGATACATTTTGCTACTCGATGTATCGACGTAGCCATATTATAGGAATACTGTATAAAATTATAAACTGCACACTGCATTATTAACTGTAATTAAACACCGGATATTATATTTATAGAAATGTTTTTTTTATTTTCAAGAGACTCGCGTACGTACCTTAAGAAAATTCCTTTTATATCGAATGTACAAAACTTTTGGAGAAACGTTTAAAAATTTAGCAATGTCGTGATATGCAGTAGTAGCAAATGCTACTGCTGCCGAAGACGAGGTCGAATATAATACAGAAATCAAAAATATGTTCAAAATTCGTCTCTCAATTATATGCAATGGAATACTAAAATTAAAAAAAGAATTTAATTCAAATGTTTTCGAATAAAATCAATAAATTTCGGTACTTACCATGCACAATTTTTTGCTGTCACAAGTAATGTATCGTGTAAAGCATGATTTGAACTTCGCAAAGCTTTCATAAGCGCACTTGCTATGGTATTAATAAGTGATTCAACAAATTTATCCAAAGAACCAGGTACATCGTCTTCAACAGATGTCGTAGATACAGCTACAGTATTTATTTTATTCATCAATACTCCTTTTACTGTTGCAGCGATATTAAAACGAATTACTGAATTTTCATCTTCCATGTATGGAAACCACAGTTTTGCTACTTCAGTGTTATTAAATGATGAAATGTGATTTGAAAAGCAGAGAATGTTTTCAGAAATGCGCAAACGTACTGAAGCAAAGTTTGAAGACAATAAACTGAAACATTGATTAAGCAGACGATCATGTTCTTCTGAGACATGATAAATATTAGCATTTACAGAGCTGCTTTCAGAGCAATTGTTACAACGCTTGCATTGTATTGTCCATTTTGTAACATTTGTATCCCTGTTGATGAAACATCCCTTTATCAAACATTTCACTAATTACAGAAAAAATTAAGTACCTACAAAAATTACCTTATAAAAGTTGCATGTCCAGATAAATAACAACTCATTTTACCTAATACAATCACAAGCATTTCGTGAACCTTTTGTTCATTTGAATGTAATGCAGGTTGAAGAACATATTTTGAAATATCTTCTAATTTTATTTCTCCATTTTTTAAAAGCAAAATACTATTCCTAAAAATTTGTTTACATATTAATACATAGATATATATTTCTTATACATAAATTTTTGAACAAAGAATACTTACAACACTGCTCCTATCGATAATTCCGTATCGCAGTTAATTATACAGGTATTCAATATTTTTAACCGGTCTGTTACATTACCATATTCACACAAAACTTCAAGACATTTTAACATTGTAGCATTGTCAAGAGACCTGGCAGTTTCTTTCATGTGATTACTCACTACATTCTCAGAAATTGCAATATGTTGAGTAAATGGTAATGCTAATATTTTCTCAATTAAGTCTTTATTTGACTCATTATGTGCCATAAGATGAGCTAAATTTTCAAAAATAATCTTTTTCTGCTCACAATGTTCCGAATTTAAATTCTGCAGGAGTATATTCAAGATGTCTTGTAATTCGTTTGTATATAAATTTGTAGGCAATTGTAGATCTTTCAGCCAAGACTGTAAAATACGCGAGGCTTTTAAAATATGAAGAGATTTGTCAAATTTTCTCATTTCTGTTGCAGTTATTAATTCTTTCTTCAATAAATTCCATGATTTACAAATATCACTGACAGAACTACTTTTACTACCAGTGTATTTAACATCAATGAGAACGGTTTGGACAAAAATGTCAATAAAATCCTGCAACAATTTCACACTATCTAATCATCACACAAAAGTATATACACGTTATACGAAGATCCATAAAATTGTTAAACTGTTACAAACCGGAAAATGGTCGAAATACGAAACAAGTTTCTGTACTTCAGAAAAGGTACAGATTCTTGGTTCCTTCATAAAATATAGTCGAATTTTATTACACGCAGCTTCTTTAAGTGCTTCCACAGCATTGAGTTTAGGAGCAAACCCTAAATATCAATTTTTAATTCATACTTTATTATAGAGAAACAACCCGAAAAATATTTACACGTAATTAACTTACATATTAGTTCATAAACTGTTAGATCAATGATTTGAAAACAAACTTCTATACTATTTACAAATGTAGGTAAAAACTGAATAAATTGAACTAGGGTCCATAAAAATTGTCTCAACTGATTTTCTGATAGTTCATTCAAGTTCAACCATGTAGGAATTCCTTTAATAACTTCAATAGTATAAAGAATCAAGCTTTCAAATTCCTTCAAATTAAAATAAAAAAATTAATAATTAACATAAATTTCTTAACGTTTCTTTACACTAGGCTTACCTGTCTCTCCAATAACGAAAATTTCATCAATTTTACGCAGACATCTAATGCTACAAATTTCACATTTGGAACAGATATCATAATAACTTGCAATATTGTTTGAGATAGTACTTTCTGATTCCAACCTGAAATTCCTGTTCTTTCTATGATCTGAAAAAATTAATACAATCCTTATTATAATAACATGAAACAGGTTAATAAAATTTAAACTCAAACATATTACTTTCAATATAGATATCTGAACCAATGGTATATTAGAACACTTTAGTGTAATAGGAAATGCTTGTAGATCTAGATTCTCTATAATGTTCCTTTCCGCATTAAACTTGTCCAATACAATTTCATTTTCATCTAAATTTGTTTTATAAAATTCTGATATCTCTGAAATTGATAAAATTAGTCACATTTGCAAACTTACTCTTGTACATTACCATTACATACCTTGGAGAATATTCATATATTCGAGACTAATTGTTTCAAACATTGTTATGTGATGTCTAGATAATATACGAAGCATACAAGCTTGTATTTCTATACTATTGTTTAAAATATTATCACTTAAAGGATCTCCAATTATATGAAACATTATCCCAAATAGCCAGGTGCCAAATGCTGTAAATTCAACACAATTTGACTTTAACATTACAAAATACTAATAATATAATTAATATTTGTATTTATTATGCAATTCTTTTTACCAGCATATTGACATTGTAATGTTTCATTCGGTATCCCATTATTGAAAGGTGGAACTAAAACTGTAGTCAAAGTAGCAGATCCCTTAAGTATTGACTCCAACAGAGAAGAAAGCATTTGCTTGGCTGTTGCATTTTTTAAATCAGAAAAGATTGCAATCACAGGGCTATTGATGAACTTCCATACTGAGTCTGCTACTGTTACACTACTGTAAAAATGAATGGTAATATATATTATTTCAATTGTTAATCATTATAAATGAAATTACATTCTGTTAAGGAACTGTATGAAATAATTTACCTGCTATTATTTTGAAGAATCATTGAGCTATCGTTTACTTCCATATTACACTTCAAGCTTCAGTACACGATAGAAGATGTATAAAATTAATTGTATCGTCATAACACAAAGGAAGACAACAATACAATTATTAATCTTGTTTAAAACCTGTTATAGAATATCAACTACCTTATTTATTACAAACAAGAAATACAGTTCCCGCGACTGGGATCCTCTACGGTTAGAATTCAGCGGTAAAATCATCAACTTTTGAATTAGCGTCGTGAAATTTCTTCGATGAGAAGTCGGCTTTAGTGTTTATGCTAACCAAGTTTTATGATTATGTATTTTTTTCGGTATATTACTTTTGTCATGAAAGATTGATTTCCGCTTATAAAATACACGTGACAGCATAACACCGGTGCTAATTTACTTGGAGAGTTTTAGTTGTGCTCAAATACAACAGAGTTGCAAGCAGTCTCGTCGTTTAACCTCAGAAACCTTTATATCATTAAATAAATCCTTATATTCGATTGATTAAAAATGTGTTAATTGCAGTAAGTACAAATTTTGGGATTTATTAATTTTACACATCTTGTGAAATGATGTTACATTTTATATAACCTTCTAGACAGCAGTACAGTTATCATTATACTCAATAGAATTAAGTTATGTATTTCGTTTGAAATATATCAAATATTACAACAAAATAGATTTATATATAAGAAATGAGTGAAATTGCACCAATTAATGATGTGCCTGAAAGCAATGGTGGGCCAGATCAGCCCATTTACAATGGAGAAACCGAAGAACATACCAGTATGATAAATTTTTGTTTCAATTTAATATTAACACAGTATTTAATCGGTCACATGTTTAATATAATAATTCATTCCTTAGACAAATCACCAGCAAGTGGAGAGGATAAGACACCAGATTCTGTATGCGATAATGGAATTAAAAAGAATAATACATCTGTTGTGGGTAGTAATGCTACTAATACAACTAATAGAGCTAAAAAGAGGAAAAAAGCACCTAGAGATGCAACTGCCCCAAAGCAGCCATTAACAGGTTATTTTAGGTATGACTTTGCGTATCCAAAATAAGTAGATATAAAATAAACAAAAACTATTAACTAAGTAAGAAAATCCAATACAGGTTTTTAAATGATCGAAGAGAAAAAGTAAGGAGTGAAAATCCAACATTGTCATTTGCTGAAATCACAAAACTTCTTGCTTCTGAGTGGAGTAATTTACCTGCTGATCAAAAGCAACAATATTTAGATGCAGCAGAACAAGACAAAGAACGTTATAATCGTGAGTTTAGTGATTATAAGCAAACAGAAGCATATCGTTTGTTTAGTGAAAAACAATCTTCAGAGAAACAACAAGAAAACAGAAAACAAGAAAGGAATGGAACAGATCTGAACTCTGAGCAGAATGTATGATACTTTCATTTTCTTCAGTTTTTTGTTCATTATAATAATAACAACAACAATAATAATAATAATAATAATAATAATAATAATATTTAATTTTTTCATTAGGATATCCAACAAGATAAAGACAATGACTTTACAGGCTTTGATATACCTATTTTTACAGAAGAATTTTTGGATCATAACAAAGGTAAATGAAAATAGTTTTCATATTTTCATGAAACTAATTTAGAAATTTCATTTATGTTTCATGTTGTATTCATAGCATGTGAAGCAGAATTAAGACAACTGAGAAAAGCCACCTCAGATTACGAGGCTCAAAATGCTGTTCTTCAGCGACATGTAGATAGTCTATATGCGGCGGTAAATCGTTTAGAATCTGAAACAAATCAACAACGCACGACAAATCAGGCTTTACAACGTCACTTAGACTCTCTTCGTTCACAATTAGCTGGTTGTTTTGCCACAGTACCACTCCCAGGTTAAATTTTTAAAATTATTCTTCAATCATTATTTGTGTTTTATACTGTTTATAAATATCGATTGTTTATTTCTAGGAACAAATGAAGGTGCAACGTTACAAAATATTGATAGTTACGTGGAAAGACTCGAATCATTATTAAGTGGTAATGCCGAACAGTCTTTGCGAAATGCTGTGCGTAATGCCGTATCTCGCCTCGAATTAAGTGGATGACGATCGCCCCCCGGTAGTACAACTACTACATCAATAAAACATCATCGTTCAAGGCATTCACATCGAAAATAAAAAAAAGTAATTATATTCTTTTTTACATATTTTGTAAAATATATATATATATTTTTTTTTAAGTTACATATGCTGCATACGTTGACAATGACAGTATATCTGTACCATATGTAACAATAACTTTCTTCTTTCGTTTTATGGTTTGAGAATCATCTGTTATTTTTTAAGTGACTATAATTTATACGATATAATTACTTATATGCAGTTACACATACGAACATAAGCTATTCGTTTATGTAATTTACATACATATGTATATGTATGTACGTGTATAATTACTCTGTAGCATAATACCAAAGTATCATAATGGTACTGCCGACTATTTATTAATAAATTTTTTAAACTTACTATTGATTTTTCTTCATATTTTTCATAATATTTTCAAGTTGATTCCATGAGTATCTGGAAATAAAGTAGTAACACATAATAATCATAGGTACATAAGTACATATTTCAAAAATAGTTTTCACGACCATTTTTACCTAAATGATGCTGCATTTGGACGTCGATTTTTTTCCAAATCACTTAAAGTATTTTCAATTTGTGGCGATAAAAATTGTACTATCTCAGTCATTGCTGGTAAAATTGAACGTAATAATTCAAAAGTATTATGTTGATTTGATATTAAGGATTTTTTAACAACACTAGATATAACATTGTTTAACTTATTCCTGAAATTTATTAGTTTAATAAATTACTGTTCGAAAATCGACGTAAAATTAATTGCAAAAAAAAACAAAAAAAATACCAACTGCAATGAACGGTTTTCTTTGTAATATGAATTCCTAGTAACGTTATTTATAAAATCAATAGTTTGTTGTTTATGTGGATGATGATCATGAACTTTCATGTAGCATCCGAAAATAGGGGGTGAGCAAATCAATATGATGTATTCTATTATATGACATGGATAATTTTTCTCACCCTTAAGTAGATTTTGTAGAATGATCATTACCTAGAATTTATTGAAAAATATGTCCGATTATGATATGTTCTTTCGAAAAAGGTGTATATGATACATACCAGATAAGAATGCTTATGCATTAAGTTGTCACTGGTAATTGTAAAAAAATTCGTCACCAATATTTCGAATATCAAGTGGATAAAATCTGCTTTTGCATCTTTAAAACACTTTAGTAATGAGTCAGATACTTTAAAATTGTTTGTATTAGTAATTGGAGTTATTAAAAGAGTCATATACTGATCGAAAAGATTTCGTATTAGTACTTGAAGAGATATATCACTTTTAACATTAAGGGTTTCTATGCCTAAAAGTATCATAGAAAATGTCTTTTTTCCCAAATTTTTTAAAAACGGCTGTTCTACCGATAATATAGTCTTATTCAATAATATTTTAAACATATTGTTTGGTTGGTTCTACGGAAAAGACTTACGTTAATTTATCTTATTTACTTATTTATCAATTATATTTTACAGACATATATATTTATACTTACTTTAGAATATAGCATAGTAGAGGTACAAAGAATTAAAGTCCCAATGCATCTGTATATCCACAAAGCTAATTCAGAATCATTTGTTTCTTCTGTAACTGGTGTAAGGATCCATTTTTCTATATGATTAAAATATTGTTTCCATTTTATGTCATACTGAATTCGTTCTTGTTCAGTCTGAAATATATAAATAATTAATACTTTGTGACTGATTTATACCTTTAAATTTTTTAAATGTATACCTTCAAAATGTTTCGTTTCTTCATAGCGTGCATCATAAATATTAATACAGATTCTTTACTCGTTTGAAATTCTTGAATATCATTAGATGTTTCAAACATTTGTTGTATTTCACTTAACTGTGATACATAATTCTGTAGAATTTTTATTTCATCTCCATTTGTATTATGACCAATAATAGAACATTTTATCCATGCCTACAATTCAAGGGTAGGATTACTGAAAACTTCATTACTGAAAACCTTTTATTGAAAAACTTTAATTACCGACTTGAACAATTACTGTATCGAAATTTTTTATTTCTTTTTTTAGGTCTTGAATTGCTTGTTTCCTCTCCAGTATTAGCATAAGATAATACCTTGTGATTCTAAAATGAATTTAACGTGATATATTCATAATGATTGTACTTGATAATTATTCCTATTTTACCTAATGTCTTTAACGATTATCGAGGACGCAAAGTGTTGAAATAAAGACATAGCTGAATGTTTATGCTTTTTTGCTATTGTTGGATTTCTCAGTGCTTCTAAAGTAAATGCAACTGCAAGTTTTGCGATATCTCTGTAGTGATCGCTGGTAAGAGCGGGATCAAAAACCAGCTGCCGTACTCTACACGCGACGTAACACCATAAAGCAACCAACATCTTTTCTACGCCGTCTACACCTATTAAATAACTAAATTATAGAAACAGATGGAAATTAAATAAATAATATTAGCTAATCAAAAAATAATGAACCTGTATTAGAGGAGTTAGTATTAATGAGAAAAACACATTTGTCGAAAACGTTAATTAATTTTCTTGTTAATGTTCCAACTATTTTATTTGGACATTCTAACAAATACCGATCTATCCATCCACTTAGTAGCAAATGTTCTCCTAATTCCATGTTACTCGATGATAAGACTGTACCGAATACATCGACAAAATTACTCATCATTGAACGGGAAGTATCATCTTTACGGCAACATACAGTATTTACCTACAAATAGAACTGAAATAAATGTGGGATTAATGAAATTAATTACAATAAAAATTTGTACTATACCGTATCTATATAGAGAGAAGCTATACTTGTAAGATTGAGCTTAAGATCACTGTACAATAGAAGAACAGTCAACTTTCCTTTCCAAATTAAGATATATTTTTTGCTATTCTCACTATTGTATTCTCTTATCGCTGGTAACAGGTCAAGCATTACCGAACACTGTAACCAAAAAGTCATATATTTATAATAATAATAATAAACATTTGAAAGAAAAACAATTTAAGGTACTTACGTAAAATACTTACAACATTTGTAGTGTCTGCAGTTATTGCTAATGTTAAAAATAATGAAATGAAATTATATAAACCAGTTATAGTAAATTCTTGAACTTTGCTTTTAGAAAATTTTGAATAGATACGACTTTTGATTTGGTTCCAATGTTTTGTGTCACTGTTACTATAATTTATTCGTAAAAATGATCCTGTAATATATACTTAAAATTACCGTCTTTATTAAAGTTGCCTTAAAAAAGAATACTCACCAAGTAAACGTAGAAACATTCCATAACTTGACTCTTTGACACATTCTACATTATTAATTCTGTCTTTTACTTGTTTAAGGATATCTGTAGCTGTTTTCCTATTAAAATACTTTGTTTTAACAAATTGTGGTAAATTGCATCGCATAGATGTACATAAGTTATTTACATACTTTTCAACTGATAAAGTCCAAGGACCAGTTGCTTGTAATAAAAATGGTTCATCTAATCTTTTATGAAAGCAATCCCACAGAAGAGAAATTATTGATACCCGTGGCTGCCACCAATTAATAACAATAGTATTTAATAAAGGTATCATGATACGTAATTCTTCATCAATTGCATCTCTTTCACCATCTTTTCCACCTTTAGAGATATATGTTTTCAAAATTTTTTCAAGTTGCTCATAATTTGGCTTGATCTTTAACAAATATAAAGTCCATGTAAATTTAATACAATTAAATAGAATGTATAAAATAAAGTATAATCACCCTTGAACATTTCGATCCCAAATATACACCATCATTATTGTATCCATATAAAAGTGAAAGATTGTATATTATCCAAAGACAAAATAATTCAGAATTTTTACAAGGTATTAAAGATTGGTATCTAGATTCTTGTTTACTGTCGGATATATTTCTATTTAATAATTCATCCATACAGTCGTTTACATAATCCCAAAAAGTCTATACATAAAGGAAAATTTGTAAATATTTTATGACATTGTTTCAATATGTAATAATACAAAAAATTCTAATACTAGTACCTTTGATTTCATTCTTTCAGATAAGTTATCAGTAAATACTTGAAACATAAGCCATAATTCTCGAATACAAGTACAATTATATGGAGTCTTTTGTTGTAAATTTACCAAAGGCACCTAAAATATGTTACAAAAAAGATTTAATCTGTCTAATCATAACTTTCTTGGATAAAGTATGTCTTTTACCGTTTCAAACACTTTTAATGAAATATAAATTAGATCATTAATAATCATTTTTTGAATGTTTTCAAATTCATCTAACTGATTTTCCATTGAATACTGGCAATATGTGTTTCTTGTATACATTAATGAAATAAAGAGCCATCGTAATTCTATGTGCATATGGTACATATGATATTCTGGTTGTGTGCACTGCAACATATAATTTATATTAAAAATATATAGGCAACATTATACCTTTCAGTGTAAGCCTTTTAGATATGTATTTACAGACCTGATTACCCAACTTAGAGGGTGCATAATGAAATGTAGCATCTGGGATACTTCTTAATCGATTAAGGAATCTTTTCATAGTATCAAATAATGCATTAAACTCTTCTTCAATGTCCTCGTTTATAACAAGCAAGGAATGAAGGTCCCATTTTATGCTAAAAAAAAGTTATATTATTAAAACATGAACTGTTTAAACAATAATAATTATAAATAAGAAAAACTACCTTACCTATTCAAATATGCTCGAATATATGAAACAAATTCAGATACTGTACATCTTATATAATAAAAGTCAGTATTGTCTATCGTAGAATTTAAAACTTGACTATAACTCTCATGTCTACAGAGGATTTTCAGCTGCATACTGTGAACAAATATTTAAAGAACTTAAGAGAAAGTCTTTTATAACCATATGTAATAGGATAAAATAAGTATTTCTCACTCCATGCATTTTATGTAATGTTTCAAATCTAACAGAACTGTTGATGCAGACACAGTGCATTCAAATAGTTGTATGTCCACATCTGACAAAAGGCGTTCATCTCGTGGATATAAAACATTTTCCACTTCTCCACTTGAGAATAAACCATCTTTACTTAATTCCCAATCATTAAAATTCACCTTTCCATTGCAATTAAAAGTTAAACAAAGATCCATCTGTACCATGACTTATCAGTGACTACAGAGGCAAAAGACTGGACATGTCTTTGTTTTCAAGGGGTTATGATTTAGGGGGTCCCAGATGAGACACTCCTAGTCCCGCTTTTACCGCACCACAGACTGACATCTGACAAGACCCAATTTTCTCTCCCTTTGATTCTATTTTCTTTTCAATTCAGCACAAGACTGAAAAATTATTAAAATAATTGTTTAACAAACTTGTGCTTTAAAAAGACCGCCATAAATTTTTTGAAATTTGATCCTAGCGCCATCTATACAAAAACAGCTGAAACTACTCAACAAGTTACCAATCAATTTTCGGTAACAGGGGAAACTACGGTAAGTCGATAAGTAGTTTCTACTGGTTTCCGATAGGGAGCGCTGGTTACCCCTGTTACGGAAAAGCGATCGGTAACTTGTTGAGTAGTTTCAGCCATTTTTGTATAGATAGTGCCATAGTCGATTTAACTTGTGTATTCGTGTAGATTCCTTGCGTTTTGCGTTATTGTTGCATTGTTTATTGATTGTTTAGAACGCTGAAAAATCTAAATCATACTTGAATTTAATGTTATATCAGTGATATTTATTTAGCGAGAAAACATGGCAGATGATGATTTCGACGGAGACGAGTAAGGATGGTATTTGAATAATCTTGGATTTCGAATTATTCTGTGTTAACCTTTACTAGTTTTTTATTTAGTCAATATTCTTTAGCGAAATCATTAAATTATATTGTTTAAGGGTTGCTGATGATTTTGATGATGTTGATGATGACGATAATATCGAATTGGAACCTCAAGAAGAAGACGGTGAGAATATAGAGTTAATAGCAGCTGGAGAAGCCACTGGTGGAGTACAAAGATCAAAAAGAATTACAACAAGGTATATGACAAAGTAAGTAACTATAAACATTGAATTTTACATGATATTTTCTTAAATACAAGCAACAAATGTATTTTGTATGAATAATATATTTGTAGGTATGAAAGAGCAAGAGTGTTAGGAACTAGGGCATTACAAATAGCTATGTGCGCTCCTGTGATGGTAGAATTAGAAGGAGAAACAGATCCATTGCAAATTGCAATGAAAGAACTTAAACAGAGAAAAATTCCAATTGTAATTAGGCGCTATTTACCTGATAACAGTTATGAAGATTGGGGAATCGATGAATTAATTATAATAGATCATTAAATTTCGATTTATCTTGTATATTTGAAATATAGATTTAAGATAATTTAAAGACTAAAAGTAACAAAAATTATTTAAATGCATCAAATTGTATGTACAGTTTTGATAAAGCCCTAATATACAGTCTGTACAAATATGTAACTAAAGAATTTATGCATGGTAAGAAACTCGCAAAATTCTTTGCTTTAATTTTTTTACTTTTTGTCTTTCAAGTAATTCTTTTTGCGAATTTGATATTAATTGTTTGTATTGATCCCACGCTTGTTCTCGTTGAATTTTAATTTCAATAATTTCATTTTCATTGGTATTATTGGTACCGTAATTTACTTTTGTTTTATGATGAAATTTCGTGTGTTCATTTTCGTAACGACAACTTTCTACCTTCATCAAGAATTCATATTGTTTCTGTGCTTTCTGTTCCATAATTTCAAAGAGATGTGCACCTAATGGACCTATATAATGAAAAAACGACGTAAAACAATGTATTTAAATTCAGGTTTTGTATGCATTTCGGAAATTTTTATGCAAGAAGCCCAACCATTCAACTCGTATTCATCGAAAGATCTTTGAGTTTTTGAATTCAAAATACAGTTGATAGCATGTAGAGAATACAAGGGAAAATGACCGCATTTTTGTAATAAATTTTTCCCAAAGTCTGTATACTTTGCAGTAGATTCTTTTACGTGTGGTTTCAATTTGTCTTTCTTTCGGAAAATTGCTTTTACTTCTCTGCAAGTTAGCGCGCCAATTTTTTTTCCTTCTTCGTTGCGTTTCGTTTCCGATTTAATATTTTCTATCGATTCGCTAAATATTTCATGCGTATTTAATTATGTCAGACATTTATCGTTGTTTTATTTTCAAACAAACTAAACTTATGTCTACAAGAATTCTCACCGTAAAAGGCCTGGTCTAGTATACGCATAAAAATTTATAATATGTGGAGTTTTACATAAATCGGATATAAATATTCGAATTTGAAAATGCATACTTATGTATCGAAGTGGTCTATAAATTATCATGATTATCAGAGGTTCTTGATTTGCTTTTACACGACCTGAAATAAAATTAAAAGAAGGTGAAAGCAATAGAAAAATACGGAAAATAAATATGTATACCCCAACGAGGATAAATGTCGACACACGAGTTTTCCTTAGATGGCAAAATCACGAACGAGAATTCTTTCTTCGAATGAGAATGTATCGGTATTTTGTAACAAACCCTTAAATAACATATAAAATGATTATATTTCCTAGGTAAATCATGTGAGACAATTAAACGAGAAACTTACGGTTGATCAAGAGGTACATTTCCAAAACTTACAGTGCTAGGAAAAGAAAATATCGTCACAATTTTGGCGAAAATTTTTATCTCCATTAATTGATTATTGAAATAGCGAATTTTTAATACGTCGTTATAATCTCTGTTTTCGTCAGGTATAAATAAAATATTTATTTTTAAAACGGATCCAGGATTGAGCCACTGTCTCTACAATAAAGAGACTTTTTCAACCTACGCGCAATTTGAAACTTAAAGGTAATGAATATGTATTTTTAAGAAGCATAAGAACATTTATCCACCTGAAAGACATTTGCAATTCGAAAATATTGACTTTCCAGTGGTATCAATAGAATCGGACATGGTTTAGAAAAGTAGTTTGTGATTTCGATTATTTTTTCTTGAACTTTAAAATTGTCAGAATCAAAGGTAAATTTTAATTTTGACGGTACTACGCTTAAAAAAATTTTCTTTGTGTTGTTTTCAAAATTTTTATCCCTTTTTTCGTACTTATTTACACGATGTCTAATTTCATTGCATACAACTTGCATTTCGGTTTGAAAAAATCGTCCTTGCGGCAATACTGTCAGAAGGAGAGTCTTGTATCCATGCGCAATATGACAAGAAACATGTGAAATTAAAATATATAAATAGTATATATTATTTCGTATAATCTCAGATTGTAATTTATGTCATTTCCATCTGTTTACAAGCTTCTGATCATTTCTGACATGTACTGACAGAAACAAAAGAGGATGCACGATGGCAAGAGTGCGTGCATATATTTCACAATAGGAGTACATATTGTAATATATGTATACAATAAATATACAGTAATCGTTTTTACATAAACGATGTTATTATTTAGCTGAAGGAACTATTATTTGTGCGATGCACTTGCAATAAATTGTAGACTGCAAAAAAGAAAGTAATACGCTCAACGATACATGTATGTATATATATACAATGTACTGCATACATGTTGGAGTATGACCAAGTATGACTCACGCTACTATGTCAGTTTTTTACGGTTCTGTAAACTATGTTTTTATAAGTGCTTCCCCATTTGTATAAATTAAAAACCTGGGCAATCATGAATGTGCAGAAATTACATTGTGGGGTATGTTGTTTTAAGTCTTCGATTGAATGCATTTCTCTACATAATTTTTGATTAAATCGCAAAAATCATAAAGCCGGAGGTTAGATTCATGTGTCACTCATTTGATTTCCCTTTAATTCTTATAATTAGTAATGTAAGAATTTTGTTAGTATTTTACTTTAATGTGTTGTAATATAATAGCATTTTTGAAAATATTGAGTTAACGTAAATATATTGTATCGTATTACCTAACGTCGTATCAATACATTAAAGTGTTAATTTCATAGTATTTTTTTATGAAACGTTACAATATCATTTAATAATAATTTTTTTTGTAGAAGGATTCCTGACATAGAACACCAATGATTTCAATGTTTTTTTTTCTTTTTTTTTTTTAGAATGAAACATTAATTTCTTTACAGTCACCTTTATTACAAGCTATATTTTTTGGAGATATAGACGAAGTTCGAGCATTGTCAAGAACAGAGGATGTCAATTGGAAAGATAGAAAGCAAAGTTCTCTTTTACATGCAGCTGCATACAGAGGAGATGCATTAATAACAGAAACACTTTTATTAAATGGAGCTGCAGTCAATGCGAAAGACAAAGAATGGTTGACTCCATTACACAGAGCTTGTTGCTCAGGGAACCATAATGTAGTAGAAGTTTTATTACGTCACAAAGCTGATGTCAATATCAGGGATCGTAGTGGACAAACTCCTTTACACGTAGCAGCAGCGAATAATGCTGTACAATGCATAGAATTGATAGTTCCACATTTAAGAGACATCAATGTAGCAGACAGGTTTCTATCCTTCATATTTTTTGCATTAACATTCATTTAAATGTAAATTAATAATCGATGAAATAGTTGCTAAAGTACCAAGTTTTACAGAGGTGGCAGAACAAGTTTGCATCATGCAGCCTACAATGGCCATCTGGAAGCAACAGAATATTTGATTCAAATCGGTAGCGTGGTAAATGCTTCTAATAAGCAAGATCGTAGACCTTTGCATTTTGCAGCATATATGGGACACGATGGAATTTTAAAAACACTCATAGCAAGAGGAGCAGATGTGGATGTTGGAGTAATAAAACTATTCTTAGAATTTATATTAATTTTCTTTCTGTTACAATAGATATATCTTTATGTTAAGGATCGAGATTTATATACTCCGTTACATGCGGCTGCAGCTTCTGGTAACGTAGAATGTATGCATACATTAATCGAGTTTGGAGCAGATATTGAAGCAAAAAATGTTTATGGAAATACTCCTTTGCACATTGCGTGTTTGAATGGTCATGCTGATGCAGTTGAAGAACTAATGAGTAATGCTGCAAACGTTGGTGAGATGATTTTAATATTTCTTAAATTATTAATTTTTGCTCGATTTTTATAAGAAGAGAGATGATTTTCGTAACAGAGGCTGTAAATTATCGGGGACAAACACCGTTACATGTTGCCGCTGCTAGTACTCATGGTGTTCACTGTTTAGAAATACTTTTACGCGCAGCTTTAAGAATAAACGTTCAATCGGAAGATGGACGTACGCCTTTACATATGACAGCAATTCATGGTAGATTTACTCGATCAAAAAGTTTACTGGATGCCGGAGCACTGCCAGATACTAAAGACAAAAATGGAAATACCGCTTTACACGTAGCTGCTTGGTAAACTGAAACCATTCACCTAGTTCGATAGTAATTTTTAATATCTATTAAAATGTATTAAATGTTACGTAGGTTTGGCCATGAATGTTTAACGACTACTTTGTTAGAGTATGGTGCATCTCCAGCAGCGCGTAATTCGGAACAACGTACAGCATTGCATCTTAGCTGCTTGGCAGGACATATCGAGGTAAAACATTTATATGTGTACATATATAAACTAATAAAATGTGTATATTTATATATATTTATTTATATTTTTTTCCTTTTGAGCTCGACATATTAATGTCTGAATAAAAATTCACAGGTCTGTAGGAAATTGTTGCAAGTCGATAGTCGACGTATAGATTCAAGAGATATCGGTGGTAGAACACCGCTACATTTAGCAGCGTTCAAAGGATCTGTGGATTGTTTAGATTTATTATTATCTAGTGGAGCTAATTTTCGATTAACCGATAATGATAACAGGTTGGCACTTCATCATGCAGCCAGTCAGGGTCATTATCTTTGTGTTTTTACTTTGGTCGGATTTGGAAGTGATTCTAACGCACAAGATGTAGACGGTGCGACACCTTTGCATTTAGCTGCAGCGTCCAATCCAACAGATTCTGGTGCTCAGTAAGTCTCTGGTCATACACAATTATACACAACTTATACAGATATTCGTATAATTTCTAAACTTAAATTTCTATTTTTGACGAATAGATGTGTTGTACAGTACTTGTTGAAACACAGAGCAGATCCACGTTTACGTGACAAACGTGGTTTTACTGCTATTCACTATGCAGTAGCAGGAGGAAATCAAGCAGCTTTAGAAGCTTTGTTAGACGCTTGTCCGCCAGAAAATTTAGCAATGTCGTCCAGTTGTACAGGCAAACAAGAACCCCCTTTACCGGCGCTAACACCTTTACATCTTGCGGTATAATAAATAATTCAACACTCATAGGTTCCCTTGTCGCAATTATGGTAATTATATGTGTATGCGTGTTTGTAGGCATATCATGGACATAGCGAAATACTAAACTTATTGTTACCATTATTTTCGAATACCAATATTAAAGAGGATACCGGTAAAACCCCATTAGATTTAGCCTCGTATAAAGGCCATGAACAATGCGTTCAATTATTATTAAAGTATAGAGCTTGCGTATTGGTTCAGGTACGACTATAAAAGGTACTTGTTATTTTTAAGATGATTCTCGTATAGACCATAATAATTATCCATGTATCTGCAGGATTCTATCACAAAGCGTACTCCAGTACATTGCGCAGCTGCAGCTGGTCATTTTAATTGCTTAGTACTTCTTTTGGAAAATGCTGAAGACTCGAGCGTACTTAATTGTTACGACGCTAAGCAACGCACTCCTTTAACGTTGGCGGTGGCAAACAGTAACCCTGAGTGTGCCACGTTACTTTTAAAATATAAGGCTGATTGTAATTTGCCAGATATAAATAAGCATACGCCATTATTTCGAGCAGTGATTAAAGAACGTGATCATCAGTTGGTAGAGTTATTACTATTGCATGGTGCACAAGTGTCTGTGCAAGATACAAATGGTAAAACACCGCTACATTTAGCTGCTGCCTGTGGAAGGTTTGTTTTTTTTTTTTTTATCGTATTAAAAAAACTTGGCCACATTTTTATTCAATTGCATTTACTTTGTTTGTAGAGTGAAAGCATTAGCTTCTCTTATTAAAGCTGATTCTGCAGCTGCTACATTAAAAGACGATCAGGGTTGTACTGTTCTTCACTGGGCTTGTTATAATGGAAACTCAAATTGTGTAGAATACTTGCTGGAACAAAATGTAATCGATTCGTTGGAGGGTAAATATAGTATTATAATTTTAATTAAATCTTTATCTTCGGATTTATGTTCATATTATTTTACTACTAATGCGTAGGTAATCCATTCTCAGCTGTTCATTGTGCTGTATATCAGGGATCGACGCATTGTTTGGAATTGCTAATAAACAAATTTGGAGGAAAACCAGTTGCTGCTCCAAGAGATGTTCCTGGTGGTCGTCTGCCTTTACACGTTGCAGCTAGTTCAGGATCTGTAGAATGTGCCAGACTTATTTTAAGTTCTGTAGGGCCTGAATTAGCTGGACTCGAGACTCCGGATTATGCAGGTCGAACGCCTCTTCTCTGCGCTGCTATTACGGGTCAATGTAGTGCTATTGGTAATTTTGATTTTGATGAAAAAAGCTTCTTGATTGTACTTACTAATTTTTTGTGTATTAATAACGATTTCGTAATAATAGAATTATTGCTTGAATGGAAAGCTGATGTGCGTGCTGTCGATTGTAACAAGAACACAGCGCTACACTTGGCTTGTGAAAGACAACACTCTGCCGCTGCTTTACTGCTACTAAATTGGATTGATTCGCTTAATCTGAACGGTGAAAATACCTCACAGTCGCAACAACAACAGCAGCAACATCAACAACAACAACAACAACAACAACAACAACGTATAGCTGTTATTAATATGACCAATGAACATCAAAGAACTCCATTACATTTAGCAGCAAGAAATGGGCTTGTAACGGTAAGCAGCGCAGATTTTTGTAAATTGCAGAAAACTTGATGAAATTTAGTTTTATTATAGGTGACACGACGTTTATTGCAATTAGGAGCAAGTGTTGTAGCTGTTGATAAGGAGGGACTTACTCCTGCATTAGCTTGTGCTCCAAATCCAGCTGTTGCACGATGTTTAGCCACTATTCTTGCTGCACATGGTACATATATATATATATATATACATATAATATTGCAATTAATTGTTATTTTTTAGAAAAAAATTGTTATTAATAAATGTATTATTGGCACAGGTCAAAATTGGGAAGTTGCACAACAGTCATTGTCAATTCAGCAAACATCAGAGGTATATTTAAATGGTAGAAGTGGTGATTCACAACACAGTTCAGATTCGGAGTTTTACTGACACTAGGAATTTCGTTTAGATCATTAAATAGTAAAAACTTAAATATTGACCAGCTTGCAATGATGAGAGTTAAATATTTTGAATATACTAGGACTATGAGAGTACGCAGGTAAAAATAATTGTGATTGAAAGTTTACACAATGACGGAGATTTACGAGAATAAGCAATTGAATGACGGAAAGGTATATAAATTTAGATCTTATCGATGTATCCAGTTAATCATTTGCAATATTTAATGTGGCTGGACTATGAAGAAAGTACCAACATTAGAAGAGGTGGAATCTAAAGAGAAGTGAAATTTTGTCAACTATAAATGCAATAAGAAATATCAGTATGTTTCCGGAATATATAAATAAATAAATGACAAGAAGAAGAAGAAGAAGCTGGCAACAACGAGCAAAACAAATTGCTTCTTCTTTATATAAAATAATTTTCACGACAGATAATTCAATATATTTGTAAAAATTGTACGTGAAAATTGTTATAAGAACGCATTTTTAAGACGTGACAAAAAATGCAATAATTATTGCAACAAACGAGTAATTCAATATTTAATTTTGTCAATTTGATATAATTGCGAAAGACTTAATAAAAAATTAGTATATTTGTACCCTTGAGTTATTTCTTTTCTTTCTTAGTTCGCTAATTAATATAACTTTAAAAAAGAAACAATTCGATTATTCCAAACTAAGGGGTCTCAGATACCCCAAGATGACAGGTCGGTGGGCAGAGTCACTGGGGTCCCTGACATCCCAAGCTGATAATTTGTCGGTGCGCAGAATGTCCACGGGGTCCCTGACACCCCAGACGATATTTTGTCGGCGCACAGAGTCACCGGGGTCCCTGACACCCCAAGATGATATTTTGTCGGCGGGCAAAAAGGCAACGGGGTCTCTGACACCCCAAGATCGAAGCAGGTTGTACCCATCACTACCTCGAACAAGTGAGTTTCAGGATTTGTTCGTTTTTAGGTCTTATATTTCGCTAGATCCGGTCATACCCATCACTACCTCGAACAAGTGAGTTTCAGAATTTGTTCGTTTTTAGGTCTTATATTTCGCTAGATCCGGTCATACCCATCACTACCTCGAACAAGTGAGTTTCAGGATTTGTTCGTTTTTAGGTCTTATATTTCGCTAGTTGCTACGGGGTCCCTGACACCCCAGTGGTGTAATATCGATATGCAGCGTAACCGGTACCTCGGGGTCTCAGATACCCCGAGTGCCGTAGTGTCGGTAAGCCTAGTGTAATGGTGCTTCGGGGTCCTTGATACCCCGGATGCCAAATGTCGGTATGCAAACAGGGTCACCGATGTATCGGGGTTCCTGACACCCCAAGACGATATGTCGGTATGCAGAGATCGTCACTGGTGCTAAGGGGTCCCTGGCACCCCAGATGCTAGATTATTGATATGCAAAGATAGTCGCCCGCGTTTCGGGGTCCTTAATACCCCAATATGGTATCAGATCGGTATCCAGAGAGCGTCACCGGTGCTCCGCTTATGGAGTCTCAATCCATATTAAAGTTTAAACGATTGAAGCATTAATTATAATTATTTATTGGAATTATAATTGGAATTTATAAAAGTTAACATGTCTTCGCAGTTTGATAAATATCGAAGGAATGAATGTACAGAAAAGTTATTTAAATTTTGTTAATAAAAATAAATGATTAGCGAAAATGTTTAATTAAGGCAACTTCCTATTACTTCATGTGTTCCTGATACTCTGGATACATTTCGAGCACTCTCTTGGATTTCTGCCACTTCCAACGACCTCCTTTTGCGTTATGTTTTCCTACTAAAAAGAAGTATTTTTCAGTTCAATTTGAACTTGGTGATTTTATATCAATGTGCTTTCACCGATTATTATTATTTACTTCCCCCTTCTGAACGAATATCATCTACAATAATAACATCTATTTTTTGTTAAATATCGTCTTAACTTAACTTAATGAATGATATTGATCAAAATAGTGAGCAGTAGACAGAGTAGTTTTGCTGAAAAAATAGTATATGTATACGTATATTTAACTTTATCAAATAGGAATTATTTACAATTGACAGAAAGAAATGTCGTATATACAAAACAAATATCACGCAGTGTATAATTTAACAATAACGAATAATTGAAGATATTTATAAATACATATATACATAAATAGTAGTAATAAATTTGTCTGACTAACTGGCATACAAAATGTTATTATCAACATTCTCTCCTATTATTACCGTTTTTTTATAACTGAAGTTTTAGATTAATCGCGAATGTTTATAATTTTTCAAAAACAATATTTGCAGCAATTTATTTACAGTCGCTTCTCGATCATGAATTAGCATACGCTATCTCCTAGACATAGACGCTTATTAAGCAAGAAAAATGATCGGTTTTTACATTTCTCACGATCAGAAGGTTTATACGATATTTGATTGTTCGTAAGAACACATTTGAACAGGATGTAGGAATGTTTGTAATACTGGTGGATCGTTTAATAAACGAAAATGATCGATTTCACGATAAATACTTACTTACATATGTATATCGGATTGTCGATATTAAATTATCACAATGTAACATGTTTATCTCTAACAGACAATTGATCTCTCAATTGAAAAGTTGGTAAGCATTTGAAGCTGATGAGAAATTGATAATAGAAATTTGCAATACATAAATGTATATTAACCTGTTTCGTTAAAAATATACATGTTCCAAAGAGATGACACGAGCAACGTCACGATTCCTGTCAGATTCATTAATATTTATAGGTAATTCATCATTCTTTGCTTTCACTTTATCATCAGTAGATAATTGTAAAGAAAAATTATCGTAAGCGTACGCGTTTGCTACCATGTTGGGATACTTTTCTTCGGAGATCGGGACAAACTTTTGTAACGTAATGTTTTTTGGTTGCACGAAGATACTTGGCAGGATTGCCGGAACCGAAGAAGTATCCGACTTTGGTTTACTGCAGAATGCGCTCTCTATCTGGTCGAGACTTCGACCTCTTGTTTCAGGCAGAATAGTCAAGGCGAATAGAGCTCCTAGGAGAGCAGCTCCGCTAAATATCCACATTATCCATTCGATGCCGACCAACGCGCGTAAATCAGGATACATTTTGATGGTGGCGAACGTTATCAGTTGTACGATACTAGTGGTAATGCCTCCTAGGGGCCCTCTGAATCTCAATGGATATAATTCCGAGGTCATCACCCAGGGTAAAGTGAGGTATCCTATCATCGATGATCCTACGTGCCCTCCTATACAGGCCAGAGACACGATGGATGGCAGTTTGAACCTGAAAAGAAGAGTTTCGAACGGTATTATTATCTCTGGTGATGATACAGTTTCAATCGAAGTCAATCGAAGAAAGGGGACAGGTCTAACCTGAAGGCCAGAGCAACGCCTACAGCAGAGATCGTCATTCCTAGGCCGCTAACGAAGGCCAGGAGTTTTCTACCGAAGCTGTTCGCGAGACCAGCACCGGCGATCGATGCGAACAACCTGATCACACCGACTCCAACGCTCGCGGAGTATTCGTTCAAGTCGATGCCGATATCCTTGAGGACGTTCACGGCGTAGAAAAGGATTATGTAGATGCCGGAGATTTGTTGAAACGCGAAGAAAGCGAGTAGAATAAAAAACGGCTTCCAAACGCTTGGCATGTGAACAGCTTTCAATAGACTCTCCTTCTTCTCTTCCCTCTTGTTGTTGGTTTCGCACAATTCCTCGTACTCCTTGTCAGTGGTCAATCCTGGTCCCCGCAACCACAACAGCGACTCTTTCGCTTCCTCTTTTCGGCCTCGAGCTACCAACCAGCCTGGACTTTCCGGGATCATGCTAACCAGAGGGGAAAGTAAAAAAGTTTTCCATGTTGAAAGTAAAAGTTGTTTTCAGTAATAATTACCGTGTTAGCGCCAACGAGAGAATCGCTGGTCCGATGCTGATCGCGGCAGCTCTCTGCCACGTGGTGAACGCTCCTAGCGTGTAAATCATCAAGACACCGAGGGAAACTAATACGGGACCGCAGCTTCCTAGCCAGGCTCGTTGATTCGGTGCTGCAGCCTGCAGCAAACGGTATATATGTACGTATATACGGATAAAAAGGTATATACATATGTTTACCTCGCTGACGTAAAGGTAAAGCCCGTTAGCCATGCCCATACCAATTCCGCCGATGAATCTGCCTACGTATAACATCGACACGTTCTTCGACAGAGCTATCAATAACCAGCCGGCAGCATGCGGTAAGCTGGCCAACGCGATAGCCGATCTTCTTCCAAACCATTCGGCGCATAGACCAGCGATCACCGATCCCAGGGGATTCGATATCACTCCCAAAGACGCGATCCACGATGTTTCCGACTCGTCCGCGAAATTGCTCTCCAATAATTTCGGTATTAGAATCGCGCTGAAACCTTGACCAAGTCCCACGGATATCTGTCCGAAATGAGCCGCCAGTCCTGCGAATATCTGCGAACAAAACGAACCAGTTTTCGATATTCACGATTTCGAGTCACTATATCAATTCCCGCTTCCTCGATGAACCAATTAAGATTTACGTCTGTCGTACAGTCGTGGTACGTGGTCGGAAATCAGTGGTAAGTTCCGCGAACGTGAGCTGAAATAATCAAAGCCAAATCGCGCGTCGCGTCGCGTCGCGTCGCCTCGTGTTCACGTAATCACCAACGTAAGAGATACTTTTTGGCTGACGAATTCAGCTAGATATCTACGTCATTTGTTTTTAAGATAAAACGATAAAGTCAATCTTTCACCGTAGTAATTTCGATTCGCAATAAAAATATGGAATTTCTTTCAAAACCGTTCAAGATCTCATAATGTGCAAACAGGAGAGGAAACTAGTTTTTCTTTGGAGGTCGAAGCGAAGGTTCGCGTTAGCTCGAAGCAAACGTCGATCTAAAAAGCGTCAGGATCGTGCGGAAAGTCGATGTCTTTGAAGAATCTCGAAAATCGCCCATTCAACTGACCGACCGCGACCGAATGAACGAACGAACGAACGAACGAACGGAAGGAAGGACGAGACTGGCGACTCTCCCTTCGCTGGCCTCGTTTTCAAAAGAAGCCTGGAAATCGCAATAATTACCGGACAGATTGCAATCGTTCAAATGTGTATTGTTGTTACGCGTACGTACATACATACACTTTTGCAACGGATGCCTCTTGAAACATTTGCGTTCCGTGGTTTTTGCATCGTCGACATTATCGAGTCGTTTGATTTTTCGGTCGCTTTTTCTTTAAAATCCATCGTTAACGATTCACGCGTTTCGTACCACTGTTAATTAAAGACTAACATTCCAATTGATTCGATCGATATTGTACAAATCAATGTTTATCACATCGATATCAGACGATAAGAGAATTTTCAAAGGACGACGAGTTACTTCCGATGTTGAAGAACTTTCCGCCATTACACTTTGTTCGAGTAACTGGGATTAGATTATTAACGCGTTCGCTACCCTACATCTATATGTAATTATAAGGAAATTGGATAAAACAAATTATACAACAGTCTTTCTTAGCCTTCTGTGATGATTTCACACATGTGTTCACACGAGATTATCATTTATTTGTATAACAAATTAATAGATTATTTTTTATTCGTCTAGTCTAGTGCTATACGTAGATCAGATAATTATTGAATTTCATAAAAAATAGAGGGAACGTGATATCAGGATTTTTCATAAAATTCAAAAGTATGCGAACAAATATGTGAGTTACGATGAAAGAATGACAGAAGGTTACGAATACACAGCTGTATTAACACAGAAAATTGTATTATCATTTACGTCACTTGATACGAAAACGTAAAACGCGTTCACGTGGAGAATTCTCGACGATTAACAATTAATTAACGTTGACTTACACCTTTCTGCTGACCGGAATAAAGCAGCTTCCACCATAGGTTTACTTGAGCGATCATCCTGCGCGATCGACGCTAACAGGTATTTGTAACTGAAAATAGGAATAAATAGAAATAAAATGATTCAGCCGAATTCGAACAATTGAATAATGGGTGCCGTTTAACGTAAGTAACACACTCCTGAGTCACGTGAGTCGCAATTTCTCTATTAACAAATTTAGATTTGTTTCATTAAATTTCGCGATTAAGTCACGGGGTTGATTCACAACGCGTGAGAGAAATCTTTTTCCTCTCACAAATATCTTGTCTCTTTCCTTTTTTTTAATTAGATATTACATTATATTACTCCTTTCCTCTAAATATGCATAGGTTAAATGGATGGTGTTGGGAAGGAAATATATTTCGAAAAGTCATAACAGTTCTAGCTATTATTTTTCTTACGTTTCGTGAAAATCTAAGTTGCGTAATGAACATTGCATAAAATAGAAGTAAATTAAAGTTAACGATCGAGTTGCTCAGAAAAATTCAAGTGCAAACAGTTGCATCTTCCCATGGTAATCAAGGTATCAATTATCTTTATATTTCAAACGTAACTTTTTATGATTAATCCATTTTTTAATCCTTCTCGTCGAGAAATAATTATAAAAGTTAACAAGTTCCTCTAAATTATTACCTACATACAATCTTGCTCGCATGAAATACACCGACACGACGCGACGCGACGTGACAAGATCCCCTTGTTTTACCTCTTTGAAACCTCTTTCGATCTTGACTCGATTCTTCGAGTAATCCCAAGTGTTTTTACAATAATCTGTATAAGACACGAAACGTAAGCAGTGTGACACAACCAGAGAACGCTTGCATAAAACACTCTTTATGACCGGTATCGTGCAGAGACTACAATTACAAAGATCGCTGACGTTTCGAAAAGGCTAGAGGAAGGATAGCGCCGTAAGGTTGTTGCACAGATTCGCGCGATATATTCACCAAACGGTCGAAATTATTTGCAACGTTACACGATTTCAAATGAAAAGCGAGCGAACGGTCTCATCCTTTATATGGATTCTCGGTAAAGGTGTCTCTGATAATAAGTTATACTTCAAGAACAAACCATCTTTTGTTTTTTTCCAATCGTAAATATTGCAATATTTTATCCTTTTGCTTACCGTATAATTGAACGACAATCGAACCACTGTCTAAATAAATGATATCATTCTTGATTATTCATCAAATACACCGAGCATATATTTTCACTCGGAGTACAGTGGATCTTTTGTTTTCTTTCTAAATATCGCTCGAATGGTAATGGTAACGCGACTGATATTATTACTAGTTATAATATACTCTTTCATCTTCTTTGAGATATCTAAAAAAACTTAATCATTTTTCATATTAACCATTTTACCCTGGAAAGTTTAGTTTAGTATTAATGAAAGTTCGGTCAGCAGTTATACATATATATACGATCCACGATGGAAGGGTTAACACGTTGACGCCACAGTAGAAGCAGCCACGACTAGTCAGACATACGATAACGTACTTACTTACTACCATATCTACAATATGGAGATTCTAAAATACAGATGACAGATATATGTAACAGATATGTGTAACATCGTTTGCGACGAGACGCGTCGCTACGGAACAATGTTTGAATGATAAACAAATGATTTTATTAGTCGTACATAGATTGAGACGGGATCCGTTTGTTCTAATTCGAGATACATACATTGCTCTGCAATGGTTTTGTTTTCGAGACTAGCATGTTTACAAACTGTTGCTATTTTTACCAGTTCGTAGCATTTGGCCTCGCGGTAAAATGTTACTACAAAGTTTTAAACGGAAACTAGAATTCAAACTGATTTTAGCTAGCTTTTCAAAATATCACCTACCTTTCTACTTTCGAAAGTTCTATCAAAAGTATTTCCTTCTTCTTCTTCTTCTTCTTCTTTTTTAAACTACAAAGTCCTCATCACGTATTCGATGCCCCATTTCTTCCGAAGAATTACAAAGGAAGAAAGGAAAAAGAGAAACGAGATAATATTTTCACAGTTAGCTCGTATCATCGATTGTCACTTTTAGGCATACACGGTTCTGTCTACTTGGAAGAATGTTCCACGACTGGACTTTACCGCGGAACGATCCAGGAGGAGAAGTAACGTGGATCGGATCGGATCGGATCGGATCGGATCGACGATGATACGCAAGTAACGTCGTAAGTAGAGTGAAGTTATTTCGAACGCGATCGTGTCCTCGCCAGGAAGTTTGTACTTCCGCATTAAAATTGTTAGACGCACACGTGTTTCCCAGTCACACCGATTGCTCGCGAACACGCACCAGCTCCGATCTGGCTTTTTTCGCACTCTACACTGAGATGATTTTCGCCCGCGCGTTCGCATTTATAGTCGCGTGAACGCGCCTCTCTCAAAACGACGCGACGACGACGCTTCGGCAAGTCAAAGTGCCCTTCCAGGGTCGTTTCGAGGCCTCCCAGTTTCCCTCAAACTTCCCTCGACACTTGTAGTACTCACCGATCTATACTTACGTTAGAAACTATAATTACGTTCTTCAATGAATCGTTTCGCGATTATGACTATCACCGATCGATCGCTAAAATTTCCTAAATAATTAAATCAGCCTTTCTTGCCGTTCCAGCCTCGAGAAAGCAACCTTAAACAAAACTGATTCAAATTTTAATATTTCACGAAACATTGCTTTTTCTTCGTAATTCGTAATTCGTAATTGCAATATAACGTTACCACTGACAATACAATAGACACGTTTTTACAGTTGCAACTAACAATAAGCCCTATCGCGAACGCGCATCTTTCTAAGAAATCTATATTGTTATAAGTTTTTAAGGAAGATAATCATCGCGTTAGAAGAACGTCCGTTTCTAAAATTATCTAGGAAACATTTTGCATCCAGTGACGAGCTTGCTACCTCGATGACTACACACCTTGTCGAGGTTAACGCTTTTTCAAGGCACCGCGATTCGTATAAAGAAGAAATAAATTTTATAAAGAAAACAAATAGATCTACCAGATTTTCGAAGAGAAATCCTGCCGATGAGCGAGTCGGAGTCTGCGATCGAAAACTGAATCACTGCTCCTCGATCATAGTTACGATCTATTTTCAAACGTGGTAAAAGGTACTATTACATTATCTTCTATTCACGACAAAAGATACGACCTCCATGCATGGTGATTGTAAAACGCTGAACGGTAAAGAGCCAACTTTACCAATAACAACAGGTAAGCTGCAGCCCACCTAACTGTGTTTTACGTTTACTCGATGTCGTAAGGTGAGAGATTTATTCAGAAATACCTTTAAATTAAATCGATCGCCTTTAAATCAAGATTAAAAAAGTTAGGTGATCTTCAGAAAATTAAATGATCGAAAAACTTACAGTATTCTAATCTGTTGATAATAATCATTGTTCCATTAGTAAAGAAGTACCTAAAATAATAAACCGACGTTCATTACTCTTTTTACATTTTGTTATAAAGTATAAAACCGATTCTCGACTTTTCTTTATAGATTGATCGTTATTTCTTTGAATCAGAATTGAGTGTTATACGATCACGAGGGCCTTCGTTCTTTGCTTGACCCAAAAATCCTGTGTATGTAACCTGGAGATGCATCTCCGTATCGTAAAATAGGAACCCATCGTTGTAAACTGTGTAACCTCGAATCAAGCCAGACCCATTTTTCTTTTTTTCTTTTGGATCGGTAAAATTCCGATTCTTATTTCACGGCCAACCCACGCACCATACGTAGACATGTATGTACATATCTTTTTTTTCAAGTCGATTCGTAAATATGATATCAAAACACTGTCGACTGAACTTGTAGGTGAAACTGATCGATGTAGCTAAGCGCTTAGCAAAATTTCTTCAATTATGAATCAAAATTAATCAAAAATTTCTGGGGTTTAAAGAGCAGAAAAGTTTCAAATTTGATAAACGGAGATGGACATGCTGGCTAATCGAATGGTTTAATTGTTTACCACAGCCCGTAGCCCGCAGCTAACATCACGGATGCAATGTCAATTGAAAAAGTGTTCTCGATTTAGCCTGAGACCAATTACTTATCCACTATCGTTACTATCATATTGCATACCCTTTTCGATTCGATTCGATTCGATTCGATTTCATTCGAGTAATCTAATCTTACCATTACAGATTAATTTATCTTCACCAGAATTGTGCACGCTAATCTTAACATCCTTTTGTTTCGAATCTTTTTGTCATAATTATCTTCTTCTTTCTGTTTCTTGGTTTTTCCTATAAATTTCATTCTTTATTGTTCATCGATATTAATCGAGCGTTTATTTTCAAATTACGTTGACAGTTGTTTGAAATGAAACATTCTTGGAATTCATAAAAGTATGAGAAATTGCATCACATTTATTTGTGGTATGAGTTCATTTAATTTCCAAATTGAACTTAACTAACAAGATGAAAATGTGACAAAGTCTTTGATTAAATTCTTGAAAATTGTTACAGTGCGATACAAAGATAAAGATAACTTATTTGTGGTATGCGTTATTTTTGCAACGAATGTTTTCAAGGTATCGTCAATGCTAACCCTTCTAACATGCCGCGTCGCGCTTGCAATAAATCGTGTTCATTGTTGAATCGTTAATCATGCAATTTTTTCTTTCTTTCTCTCGAGTAATCGTTACTTTTTTGTCGATTTTTCTTTCTTCCATGGCTCGCGCAACATACATACCTTTCTTACCAACAACGATTATTCAGTTATTTGGCTGGTACTCGTTCTTTTGTCTCACACACACACACACGACAATCGATACTAGAACTTTCCGATATATGTACGTATGAATTTTAATACATACTACAAGTATGCGATCGGCATGCGCCATAGTAGTGTAGAAAATAATCAGTTCTTTTTCTTGATAATTAGCAATCTTGCGAAAAAATGTAAATTACTTTAACGAGGAACTATTCGAATCCAAGTTATCAGCAAGCTGTATCCCAATCGTTCCCAATTATGTATACTTTACGTAACATTACCGTCGACAAACGTTAGAATTAGCTTGATCGCGAATAAATCAAAATGATATTGACAAGCAAAGGAGTATCGTGTAATTAATAATTCTAGTAAAGTTCCGTTCACCAAAATGACGGAAATGAAAGATGACCTTACATCAGGTTAGTAGGTGAGAGTATTCATTAGTTCAACTACTGGATATACATACATACATACATACATACACGTATTTTATGTTATCAACAGGATCATTTTTCTTCGGAAACCTGTCTTTCCTCTTCCCCTTAGTGACCTTGCCATTGATCGAGCACAATGTGAATGAACGAAAGTCTGACTTGTCTTGGACCAGGAAATAAGTCCAAGGACCTGTTCGACTCGACAAACCGCTATCTCTATGCAAATTACAATTACCCTTTTCGTTTCCGATTACGATTACTATGTATAAAAGACGCAAAATACCTATGTATATTGAATTCAACATTTAGAGAGAGTATTTAATTCGATTTCAATCACGTTTATAACCCTGTTACGTTTCTCTAACTATACGATACGTTTCAATTATGTTAAACACTTGTGACTCACGTTGCATAATGACCGCTTTAGCGAATCTTCTGGTAGATAATCTTTTTATGCTTCGCTCTTTTTTCTTAACGCCATGATCATGACCTATTCGTCGCTCGTACGTATACGATAACATTCAATAGAAAATTAATTATTAAACGGCTCGAATGAATAAGATCCAGAAGGCGAAAATTGTTCGACGGCATTCTTGCGTGGTAAACGATATCACGTAATACTGATGTAATACGAAACTATTCAAACAATAGATTGCTAAGCAATTGCCATAAGAAGTTGAGTGAAATCGAGATAATTAGGTAATCTGTGTCTTTGATTTTTTCGCCTGGAATCGTACCGATGCGATGACACGTTCATCGATAATGTACATTTTCAGACAATTATTAATAATTATTGGTACTGGTAATTGGTACTGATATTAATTTATCTCCAAAGCGGAGAACTTTTCACTTTGAAAGGAGTTAAATCAACTGTATAAAATGATGAAAATACAGGTAGAAACCGCAAGAGAAGCGTTAATAAGACAGTTGGGTAGTGCAATTACCTTTTCATTTCTGCGCACAAAGCATAAAACACAAAACACTCGGATAATCAGTCTGCTGTAAATTTTTATCCAACAAGTTTTCAGGGACGAAGGGAAAGAGGGATAATTCGCGACGGAGCTGCTGAGGATGTAACTTTAATTCGCGAGTTAATTCTCCTCGACGATTTGAAATACCGGCATTTTATAAACGATTGAAGTTTCAAATTCGAGAATGAAAAATATTTACATTACAAAAATTCTGCTTCTTTATTTTTCACCTGTACGCGAAGGATGATCGTATAATGAGAATAAGCAAGTTTCTCTTGTTCTTCAAAATTGAATTGAAAATTAAGGTTCGTGTATGAAACAGGAAGCGTGAAATAGGTTTTAATTTAAAAAAAAAAAAAGAAAAAACCTCACTAATTCTCACGTGACGAAACGAAATGTTACGCGATACTTTTAACGCGACGATTAAACAGATAAGCATCGACTTGGTGTCGAAGCTGCAAAGGGGTATTAAATAAAAAAATAATGGAAAAACACTAGAAATTTCTGGAAAAACATACAAGGTATTAGATTTCATTTGATGGTATTATGCAACACAGAGATGCATCAACGATACGATACGATACGATACGATACGTAAGTAACTATGATAACGTTACAATACACCACATAATCGCACGTAATAGTTTTTTTAGCTTTTTTTTCATTTCTTTTTCATTCATTTTAAACAGTATATAATAATTTTCGCGGTTCTCGAATACGGGCTCGAATTTGCAAGCTATCGGTCGATAAAAGTACAGTTTTTGAATATAACAATAAAGAAACTCCATTAAACTTGTGCCTCTCCCTCCCCCAAAAGAGAAATACTATATTTCTTATGAAACAATAACCACGACGAATATTCAATGAAGCTTTTAATGCCAACGACGCGACGCGTCAATCGTAATACAATCTCGATGATTAAAAATAAGAATCAATCTTTATAATTGCATAATTATTACGTCACTATCGAGCCCTGAATCTATGTAACGAATATTACGTTGTGATTAACTTTGCTCTGAAATTAAGATGGAAATCGATCGCGATTCATTTACATTCACTAACAGCCACTGTATCAATTATCATCGATCGATTACTTTCGCGCTCGCGATTGAAACTGCCAAACATATTGTCAGTAGAAACTTTCTAAATCTATGGAATGGAATAAAACTTTCCCCCGAATGGTCATACTGTTTCACAAAATCATTAGGATCATTTAACCATTAGATTTAGATCATTAGTACTCCGCTGTCACGTATATTCTTTCCGAGGACGTACGTATTTTCGTAAGTAGTTGATAGCGACAGGGTTAAAAGATTTGCGTATTTTAATCTCCTCAAATTGCAACGCGTTGCATCATACAGGAAATCTTGTCAATACGTAATCGTTTCGTTGTTTGCAATGATTTGATGGAATAAAAAAATCGTCAATTAACGCATCATTAATTATCTACAATTTTTTCGAATATTATTATGGTATAACTCACGAATTTTACGTTAGTGTAATGCTTACTGATCGTTTGCAAGCGATTACCGTTGTGTTATAACTCTTTTTTACAAAGTTGCCTAGATTGTGTAGGTCGGGAGCGGAAAGGAATACATAATGACGAGAATACGTGAGACACAGGTAATCGACACGGTGAAAAGAGATAAAAAAAAAGAAAAAAAAATGAAAGAGAGCAACAATAAAAATCGAAGAGTGATTGTTACGTGAGGAAGTGATTCAAAAGGCGTATATACATATGTATAAAGAGGAAGCGCAGAAATCGCATGTAAGTACTCGTGTAAATCTTCCGTAAGTTCGTCGAGGAAAATGTTGTACAGCATTATGCAAGATACTCGAGTCAACCTTGGCAATGACCATTATGAGTAGTTGCGTTACCACCAACGTACATCGGTCTGTTGTGTCATTAACTTGCCGCTAGAATAATTGTAAGTACATACACGGTTCGATCGTGACAGCCGATCGAATGATTTTCCACGCAGCTTTCCAGCATCTCATGCAAAAAGTTTCGCGAAAAAAAACACCTTCCTTTACTTTGTACTATTTTTTATCACCTCGATATGAACGATACGAAATTTTCCACCTCGTACATACATACGATTCTATATTTATATGCTTGTCAAAAATAACTAAACTGATTATATTATTCTATAACAGTTGCATAGAACTGTACGAGGATTATGTAGATATTTTTTTTTATGTGAATTTTCAATGAAATTGATTTTTAACCGTCTTCGATTGTGTTCGATTAGGAGTGATAAAATATATCGGAATAGTTTGATATTAATCTCAATGGCATAAGATTACGCGTTTACTCCGAGTTTCTAATCAGTAATCTAATCTTTAGAGTAAACATTTTATTGAAAAATTCCTACGTCAATAAAACCTTCCTCTTTGATTCGAACTGGGATCACCAGTTGTGGGCTGATGGTAATACAGGTTTCGAAGATCGGTACGATTCTCATTATCGGTAAAGGCGTGCTCCTTTTACCTCATTAAAGTAGTACTTACAAACGGCATTGTAAAAATTCATACTAAAAGACAGTTGTTGACTTCCACCGAATCTGAACTACATACGAACAGTTTTTATTCAGCTTTCTATTCAACAGCTAATAATTGTATAACTTAGTTTCTACAACATTTGGTTGCACTATGTATACAAGTCAACTGTAATATACTTTAACGAATTACGATGCACTTTCTTCGTCCAATATTTTCCTATACTCTTTTATGTATTTAGATTTCATAGATCTCTGATACGAGTAAATTGGATAATCTTGATGATTCCTTATGTTCTCTACAAATTGGATTTCTAGCCATCGAAGCCTCTTTTTTGCCTCTGCAATGTCTAAATAAGCAAGATACTTTTCATATTCTTGCTGTGGATTTGGAAATACGTATCTTGCAAGAAATCTTGTAATGGGTGACTATAACAAAATGCATCATCATAGAATTAACTTTTTATCCAACTTATGTTCTGAAATGTTCTCCAAGTATATCCTTACTCTATAATATTCCCATCGTTGCGGAGTATAACCTTCCGGTATTTCTTCTAACGTCGCCGGGCCTATGAACACGTTTGCATAGAAAATAATCAGAGCGACGGGTATGGCACCCACCAAAAAATAAAAGTGAATCCAATCCTTAGTTTTATGCCACTGCCAACGACTTGCAACTATAGGCATTGTTCGATGTTCTGACATACATCTTATACTTCCTACGAAGGAAGAAATTACATTAACTTACAGCTATTACATTGAATTATTCTAAAACCCATACTGACACTACTTTCCAAGTACGTTCATCTATCCTTCAAATTATAACCTTTATTTTGTAAACGAAGTCTTAAGATATTACAAATGATTGTTAATCTTGATTAAACGACAATGAAATAAGACTTTTTTCCTGTCATTTCATCGAGGCAAAATGAAACAGACGAAACGGATATATCAGAGATCACTTAAATTCGTTATTTTCGAACGTTGCGTAACAAAACACTGTCGATTTTCAGGAAATTCTATTGTCCATGAAACTGGCACAATTGTTTCTACCTGTTTGTTTTTCAAATATGGAACTATTCTTATTCAGCAGTTTTCTCAATAATCCATTGGTTTGTGACAATTTATTATTACTTCCAAACAATAATCTACTCAACACTGCCATTTTATTTGGGAATTTTATTGAACGGAAAAGTGCATTGAGCGCTGTCCACACTTGTACCAACTTGTACGTGCTTGTACATATGTAGATAAGATGCTGTACGTACTTATCGACGGCGCTGATTTCATTGAACCGCGAAATTTGAAAAAATTAATTAATATTTGAACGAATACACGTGCCTGCAGCCTTTCTATTTCCATCGACATTAGCAACATTTCTAATTTATCAGAGTATTCTTTTATTCATCAAAATACGCCCTATGTTCCAAATTTATTTTGAAAGAGCCTTTTTATACTATAAGACAGTGCAAAAAATAGAAGAAAGATTTATTCGTGAAATCGCGGTTTATAAATAACGAACAGAAGAAATTCGTACGGAGCTTTCGCGAAACTATGTAATATTGTATAAACGTATGTTTAACGTCGACGATGTTGGGTCAAGTGAGTAATTGAACTCGAGAAACGATTCTAAATTACAAACACTCGTCAATCCTCGTGATCGCGTTCATGAAAAAAGAAAAACTAAAACTAAGCGCACAGTATCAATTAATTCTCTCACAAACGGAAAGAACGAAATTTCGTCTGATTTATTTATCTTTAATTTCGTTAATACGTCGACTGCTTTAATAAAAATAAAGGATTTTTTATCATTTATTATTATCATATTATTAAACTCGGGCAATTTTGAACTTAATTTCCGATCTAGTATTATCATTAAACATCATATTCCACCGAACGACAATTTCGTAATATCATTGATAAAGGAACTTTTAGCGAACACATTGTACAGAGCAAAGTACAATCATAGGCCTCGAACAATCCCGATCAGTAGTCATACTCGAGCATTCAATCTGTGTATATGATACTGTGTACCATTCAATCAGCATATCGATCGTAACGATTGAAACTAACTACTTACTCGCATCGAGTTGCTGTAAATTGTAAATGTTCATTTTACAAACTATTTTCGCCATTGTACACTTTAGGTTCACGTTCACGTTCTCATTTACGTTTAGTTGAAACGCATCATGAATCAACTGATTTGCGATCGTCAAAAATATAATAATAATAATAATAATAATAATAATAATAATAATAATAAATGTCTCGTTATCAGTACCAGTTGGCAACGTCGTTTAACGTTTCCATTGAAAGTCTTATTTTATACCATCTGCACGTGGGTACAGACTTTGCAATGTAATAATCCCTTGTGCATTTTTTATCTTTCATAAGACTAGGTATTATGTCAACAGAGACAAAAGTATTTTCTGGTTGATTAGGTACGAAATTTAAAAAAAAAAAGAGAGAGAGAAATGAAGAATAAAGAGGTTGATTACGAGCGCAAGGATAGATACACCTACCGATTCGGAGACGACCCTGAAGAAATGGGTTAAAGATCGTGGAGGAGCCATTCTCTCCCCTGTGTCTCTATGTTTGTTACGTCCCTTTTTCTACTCGCGGTTTTACAAAGATAAAACTTTGATGCAAAATTTATTACATGGTGCACCATGTAACCGTGAACCACTGTCAGTTGTCCACGTGATTCACACGCCTCTAGCCCGATTGCCGTTTTCGTAATACACGCTGCCGTCCACGTGAACTCGTACGTGCTTCGTACGTTTGTTATCATCTCTTAAATCATACTTTGTCGTATTATTAATTTTTGTCAAAATCAAATCGATTATCAAATCGGTCGAACGATTCAGGAACAATACAGCGTTGACTTTTCACCAAATTTTCGCGAGCTTTCAAATTTACTTTGGAAAGAATTCTCGTCAGTCTAAATTTTAAGTTATGTAATTCAGTAAGTTTTAGCGGTATAATTAAAACAACTAATGTTGGGTTAGTCGTTATCATTCTAAATAGGATATGTTTTAGACAACGTTTCTTTCGGTGGTTTGTCGTGAAACACCCACTTGGAATCGAGCTGAACGTCGTAGCCTTACCAACCATCACACTATTGATTAGACAAAAAAGAAGACAGAGACAGAGCTTGATTTTAACAATCCTCTTGCTTTCATCTGCTTGCTCTATACTCTTTAGCTACCTTAAATACAACATTCTTAAGTTTATCGTAAGATCTTTACTGTCCTAAATAAAAGACGAGAAAAGTAATATTTTTTTAACAGTAACAACAACAACAACAACACGCCTACTACATGAAATGAAATAAAGGATGGACACATAAACTGATGTTATAAATGTTATACTGTCAGCATGATTCATACTTTATTGCTTAGGAAACAAACTTAGTGGAGCTTTGCAATGGAATTATCTTTAGTATAGGCAGAAGAAAAATGCTATCTGATAAGCTGCAAAATGAAGATTTTTTTACACGCAGCATTATGTTTGTTACGATTATAGCAAAATAATAGTACAAAGAGAAAGCCTAACGATGGATTTACAAAACAATCACATATTACAGAATTAAAGAAAAATACGGAGGTTAAAATACATCGAGCGAAAGTAGCCCATTCGTTTCATGCCAATCGATATCCATCCACGTAATATCTCGTCGAAGCTTTTAGTCTAAAAGAATTTGTTCGCAATTCGATAAAGAAACAATTAAAAATTCTCTGAAAAGAAATATGACCCGTAATCAAATTAGAGTATTGAAAATATTCTTCTTCCATGTGAGAAATGCGATAATACACTTCCTCGTACGTTTCGACGAAGCCACGAGCTTGATAATTGATCGTGTCGTGTCCAAATAAAAAGGTCATCGTTCTTCTTAACTACTCTGTTTTACATTCAGCTACATTTCCTGGATATTGTAGCCCCCTAATTAAAATATTCTTACCAAGTATCGTTTGGCAATCAAAGTACGTTAATAAAGACAATGAAATGTAATGATTTTTTATGAAACTTTCATTTTGAAATTGATATCTTATGACATAATGGAGCAGAGACTATACCTATCGCGATAGGCAATATATGTATGTATGTATGAAGTTAATGAAAATGTTTTTGGCGAGTATAGTTCGTTGGTGGACGAAAAAGGGATAAATTGGTATAGTTGTCGCCATACCAGGAGGGAAAAGAGGCGTCGCGCGTCGCGTCGAGTACATCGAGAAGCGGCAAGCGGCCTGGCGTTCTCTCGTTAGGTTTTAGTCGCGTTCCGGCCATCGCGCATTACACGTCGCGAGGCGTTCGTAGTCGAACGAACGAGGAGGCTCCTGCTGCTCTTGTGTCACGAGAACAGAGGAAAAGGAAGAGCAAATACTTTCGTACGTGTTCTCGCCCGTTTTCATCCAATTTCTCGGCTGTTTTCCCCGAAAGCCTAACCAAAGAGACCTACATACATCGTATATCAACGCGTGGAACAACGAAAATTTCAAATCGTCAAGGTGAGTGGATTTCTTGCCCTTACTCAATCTATACACCACTCTATTTACCAAATATTTATTACCGGCTTTGTTTTATTTCAATTCATTTAAAAGCAAGTAATAACTAAGAAATTCTTTCATTTTTCATCAGCAGAAAGAAGGAATTTCCATTTTTGCTTTTCTTAAGAATAAGAATAAGAGCAAATTTGCTGAATTGGATTTGATTTGAAACGATTGAGCCGCGGTTCGAGAACAATCCGCGTAAAAGGTTCAAGCAAGCTCGCGTTCTTGAATGTTTCGCAGACTTTCTGAAATAGATATTCGACGCTGGTGAGCCTATTTCGACACTCTGTCCAGGATAACAAATTATAAGTTAGCTCGTAAACATTACGGGACAGCAGAGTTATTCATGCTAAATTAGAATTAGGGTCTAATATCGCCATGTAGTCGTCGAGCATTATCGTCAGTTTCATCGTCAGGCCCTGATATAATCGTGCTACGCTTCGTTCAAGTAATTAGTATGGAATTAACAGCGTGTGTGTAGTTCACTGGTCAGTTTTACTCGAACCTATAGATCACGGATTGAGCCGATTTTCATCGTTCGACACCGCGACGGTTACACTATTCGTTCAGATATCTCGTTGTTAATGGATGATGTTAATGATGATTTAATCGTGTAAATGACGTGATTTTAGCTAAGCCGCACCTGTGCTCTGCTTGAGAGTCGACTTTACTCTAACGCAAACTTGATTTTGTTATTCGACCTCTGACCAACCTCACCACGTACAATGCTTCGCTGTTTTGCATTTCAACAAAAGATCGCGATTTCCGGATTCGAACGTATCGAAAGTGATTTCTTGTGCCTGAATATCACTTGCTCGCTATTTTCGATCACTCGAAATATTCGAAATATTCGAAATATTCGAAATATTCGAAAGAAGAAGAAGAAGAATCCTAGAATATACTTGAGAGTATTATTACACAGTAATCTTGATACTTTAAATCGACCGTAGATCGAGCACGATAACGAACACTCGTAAAAATAAGGAGTCTAAACAGCTTATTATATCTCATTTTCATTAAATATCAGTGGTTAATCAATGATAATTAGTCAAGCTGTGGAAACGCGAAACACAGTTTCGCTATTAAACAATTGAAGAAACTTTTGATGAAATCACGAATACTCCTTACGATTAGTTGTAAGGAGAGAGATAGACAGACACGTGATTAAGTTCAATATGTGAATCGTTGACGCAATTTATCGTGCAAAGCCCTTATCGATCGTGATTCATTATCGGTAATCGTATCGGACGTAATGGCCGATTCTACGAAACGACAGCGGGTACAACAACGACCAAGAAAGTACCATCAATTTCTAAATACAGAGCCGTCTGCTTCGGTTTCAGATAAATCTTAATCCTTTTTCGCTAGTACGATATTTGCTCAAATTAATGGACTCGTTAAAATGTGTCGGTTAGACATTTTATCCCCGCAAAGATGGAAAACATATATGTATACGTACATGACGAAACAATATCATATTTGACTGTTTGCAATTTACGCGGAGGTAATTATTTGAAAGGTAACTATCAGCCGCAGGAGAAAAATCCGTCTTACGTCCGACATAGAAAGTTAGTGTCCTACCATGAACGCTATTTCAATTGCAAAATTACTATATCATTAAGTATGGTATTCCACAGTCTCCTTCGAAACGTATGCTCGTGATCAGTGTGCACACTCCGGGGACAGAATGTGGTAGATAGCTACTACGTGTGTGTACGACGAATTATGCAAGCTAAGTAACCTCCTCTTCCTCGCGGTGTTCTATCACCATCGTTTCTTTCTCTCTCGAAAAAATATTATTCTCGTATTCGTTTTCAACGAGCAATATACAAATTTACTCTACAATTAGGCGGCAACAAAATAATTTTTTTTCTTATTTTTCAGACTGTAAGATGGTGACGAAGCGCGACAGTTTCAGTCTGAGTTGACGAGGGTTCTTTCTAGGAGAGGTCTAGAATTGATTAACGCGTTAAGCGAAGAAAGGGAGAGAAACAACTTAAACTATATTCACCATATTCACAAGCGCGCGCACACACACACAGTAGCTGTTGCATTAAGAAACACAAAGAACCATCATGGATCCATATTCACTCAGGTTAGTGTCAATTCAGAATATAACAGGTGTATGCTACTCGAATTCAGAAGATTATCAAAAGAAAAATAGGTGAAAAGAAAAAAAAAATGAACAAAAGATATGAAACTTATCTGTAAACGTCTATCATAGGTAGCATCCATCAAACTCCTGAACAGGTTTTCGAACCGTTTTTCCCCTTTGTCCCGATGCTTTTTGCTGCTTCTTTGCTCCTGAATGATGTCCACAGGACATCGAAGGATCCCGTTGATATAATAAATCCAGCTTTCTCTTCTTCCCATCTTGCCTTCGATTCCCATTGTGACCTCTCTACGAAGGGTAAAAATGCTTTATGTTATTTGCTGCTTTGGAAAAGAGGAAAAAAAAAAGAGCTGTTATAACATTCGGAGGATATGAAATTTCTTGCTCGACGTTAAATAACGATTTAAAATATGAAATATGAAATAGTCAATTTGAAATTGTCAATGTTAAAGGTTGGATAGGTGAAACGAATAGTAATCGCGACGATAAAAGTAATAGTTTGACGCGCGTAACTAGTTTACTGCTCGTTTCTTTTTTTAATCGAGAGCTACAGTTCGAGCTTGCGTCATTGCTACACGACCGGTTGTGCTATTGTTTATCGAAAAGTGGTTCTCAAAGCTACGATGCGACTGAAAGCGACAGAACGAGGTAAACGTAAAACGATCGGTTTTCTTCTATTTCATAATACGTTTAGAAAAGAAGAGAATTCAGACGGTGACGACATGTCTTAAAAGTTATTGTAATTCGTTGACCGTCCTCGGGATCTGTTTTCGATATTCGTACACGCGGTGACGATTTTTAATGTACGCAAATTTTTGAAAGCGTCCTTCGACCGTCACGATTCCATGTTTTATTAACGAGTTTAACTGTGAAATAAATAGAGCGATCAAAGCTGATCTTGGATGTTTCAAGGTGCTATTCCTTCTTCTTCTTTTCTTGTGAAAAGAGGGCCATATAAAAAGGTAAAGCGTACAAGCTCGTTCGAGAGAATAACAGGAAAACTCCGAGGAACCAGTTTTGCTAGAGTTAAATCGTGCCTGTATAATTTATAATCTGCCGGTTTTGTTTTTACCGCAAAACTAGGATCAACGTTTTAATTGCGATACCATATTTCCTTTATTTAACACTTTAGTGGCTCTTGTAATTCCATTTTAACTTCATTATTAATACAATTGTTTCTTACTAACGAGACATCGAACGAGAAAGTGAAATTCAATTGACATTGCGACCAAGCTACATATATGTAGTTGTGTTTACGAATAGCAAGTTCAATTTTGAAAATTAACCTTTGTAACCTGTTCCAACTGTAAAGCTAATTTGATGAAAGCGACGTAATATCGAGAAAACTTGTAAACACGAAGCGAGCGAGTTAATATTTAAAAGTCAAACAGATTAACTGTACGTTGATGAAATTGCTATGGGTTCGCTAATCAATCGAACTTCTTCTTCCTCTTTTTCCTTTTCCGTCGCATCGCGTTAATGAGATCAACCGTTTGTTAACACTTTCAATGTCGTATGATTTATTCGTTGGGAAATTAGACTTATCTAACTGTAAATAATTTTATCAAAACAAGCAAACTTTCGTGTAAATGATTCAAATACATCGTATGTATCTAATTGTAATTAACATCTAACGGTATCGTAGAAAAAAGGAGAAAAATGCAAACTATTTTATCATCGTCTGATTGTCAGATAAGCTTAAACCTACTTATTCGTATCAAGTACAAATAATTTCATCAATTTCTTGATCCTCTTAGAACCGGTAAATTCTTGATTTCATTACCTATAATGTCGCCAGACACTCTGTTCTAACGTGTAAACAAACAGAGATTAGAGAAGATGTCAGGTGTTGCAAAATATACAGACAATTTACAAGTGTCGTCGTTTCGTTTCTATTTACTTTATCGGTTAACCTGACGTCGTTCACTAGTAGTCGATCAGGGATTTCAAATTTTCCTCCTCTTTCGCTACTAATAAGTAAACTCATTGACCACTGATAATATGATCCGATATTTAGAAAAGTATAAAAATTGAAATAAGATTTAAAACACTCGACGTTCGATAAAGAGCCGAAAATGGTGAAATTCAAAGAGCAGTTTTCCCCAAAACTCATCGAATGTCGTATTTGCCGCTCAACATTCTAAGGCCAAAGATGCCAGCGCTAAATATACATATACGTACGTCTATATACACATCTAAATTGGTACTTCTATTCTTAGAAAATGTTTAATACGATTAGACGAGTAGGTATAGTTTTTTTTTTTTCATGTGACACGAGGCGCGTGACTACGCGCAGTTTCATGCAATTGTACGAGAATTCAATTCATTGTGTCGATTATCATAACGAGTTGGTTGTTATTTGTTAAAGGATAGTTGATAGAGTAAGATCAAACACCGTAATTAATCTTATATTTACTGTGCACATGTACGACTCTGCCAGCATATACACGCAGTACGTAATCGCTCATATTTTAAAAGTGTTTCATAACGCTTCAGAGGTAAACGAAGAGAACACGGAAATAGCGAAAATAGTGAAAATAGTGAAAATAAAATAATTTCGCTGTTATAATTAAAAAAGAAAAAAAAAGCCTAACTATACAAGTAGGTAACATTGTGTGTTGTTTAACCTCTTCGTCATTATGTTAACAATAAGTAAGTACTTAGATAAATCCCCAATTAAGATTTCGACGTGTAACTTATTAAAAGTTTGTATAATCAGTCAGATGAAAAGACAATATCGACGATTGATCGAGGAGAAAATCCTCGAATTAACTCAGTTAATTCCTCGCCACTTCGTTAAGTGAAATTAAACCTCTTAACAGCTCAGCAGAGAGAAACAATGTTCAAACACGAGTGTGTTTGTTAAACGAGATGTCGTTAACCTTGCGTAGAAATGAAATGTTACTGTATATATTATTGCTTTAATTCCCACAATCTCTCATTAAAACGCGTCTGTCGCCTACTGTTCCCCCCGGCTGCCTGGTCATCGATCGATTTCACTTACATCGAGTTGTTGCAATAAATCGCCAGCTGCTATAAATCTATTCGCAATTACCGATGTAGACATAAACATCACGCGTGCTCGATAAGCTCTGATTCGCGTGATGTCACCGTTACGAAAGATAATCGTCGTGAAATTATACTTTTGACACGGCTCTTCGACAAAATCATTCTAATCAAGTCTCTTCGCCAGACTTGATTAACGCGTCAAAATCACCACGTATTGTAATAACAATTTTTATTTATTCTGTGTAATTATTGTTTATTGTTAACCCATTTATCATAGCCTTTTCTCCATAAAATGTAGATAAGTGCTTTATTCAGTTTATTTATTCAAACTAAAAGAGCTTATGAAACGAAAACTCACGATTGTTAACACACATGTGGCGATAATTTCTGGCAAGTAATCGAAACGTCACATATATACGTGACGCGCTGATACCAAATGTGTTACATACTTTGAGAGACAGAGAGAGAGAGAGAGAGAGTGAAAAAACGCTTTATCATGGATTGTCTCACATGTTACTACGAGTTGCCTTTTCTGTTAGCCTTGAAATTGACAAAGAAACAGAAATGTTCAAGTTTGTCCGTCTTTATAAATATTTATGAGTCAAGATGTAAAAACACCTTTCTCTCGCCTATTTGACCACTTGATAGCTCGATCGAAAAAGAACAAATGAATTTTATTTTTTAGCGTTGAACGCGAGGCTTCGAAGAATATTGAGGAAAATGAAAGAGAATGCTTCAAAGATGCGATCGTGTCGAGTAGAAGTCTCAACAAAGGTTTCGTGGAACCTACGAAAATTAGAAATGCTTTACCCGAGGTTTGTACAATATTGTTCGAGGAATATTTTCGATTCAAGAATTTGTAAAATGAATATCTTTCATTGTCAGATCTCATCGTGTATCATAGTCGCGTCATTCCATATATCAGTCGGATTGGCCATGGCGTATTCAGCGATTCTGATTCCTCACCTTGAAGCCGAGGATGCGGAACTGCACGCTACTAAAGAACAAACTTCCTGGATCGGTAAGTAGTTTCGTACGTCTAATAAATTCCATATCGTAGCTGAGAAGTTTGAAATTGAATGTTTCTAGCTAGCGTGGTGGTAATTTCTCCTCCGCTGGGCGCTGTACTCGGTGGTTTTCTCATGGAGACTGTAGGAAGATTGAGAACTCTTCAATTAGGTTCTATCCCTTTTATCGCTGGCTGGATTCTTATAGCACTTTCCACGAATATCCCTATGCTCTTAACTGGTAGACTGCTAGCTGGTCTAGCAACAGCACTAGCTACCTCGCCAGCGATCGTCTACATCACCGAAGTTGCAAGACCGGAACTGAGAGGATCCATGATATCTTTTGGCCCGACTCTCGCCTCATTTGGCATGGTTCTTTCGTATTTGAAGGGTGCGTACATTCACTGGAGACTGGTAGCCTGGCTGAGTATCGTATATGCCGTAGTGCCGATCGTTTTGGTGCAAATGTTCGTTCCTGAGTCGCCTGTCTGGCTGGTTTCAAAAGGACGACTGGAGGAAGCGAAGAAAGCCTTGGATTGGTAAGAAATATGTCGTGGCGTGGAGAAAGGAAAGCAAAGACCGCGTGCTACGTTGAAACGTATCGTTTGCAGGCTGTACAAGTGCGAATCTAAGCAGGGGAAAGTATCCGCAGCCGAAGCACAGTACATAACTATCGTGAAAGAGAACGAGATCAAATTGAGCGAGCAAAGGAAAAGCAAACACGGTGGTGTATCCACAAAATTGAGAGGATTCTTGAAGCCTACAGGATGGAAACCTATCACGATACTCTTCCTACTTTTTTCGTTTCAACAATTTTCGGGCATCTACATAACCCTCTTCTACGCCGTTACTTGGTTCCAAGTAAGAAGACGAATAATTTTCAATTTTTAATCACATTTTTTCAAAGCTATCCGATGATTGTTATCGTGATACAGGAAGTGGGCTCGGGTGTAGACGAATACGTAGCCTCGATTCTAGTCGGTGTAACTCGATTTCTCTGCTCGATGGTAAACACATGGCTGTTGAGACGATACAAAAGGAGAGCCCTCTGTATAATCTCTTCGTTGGGTATGGCGCTTTGTATGACCGTTTCCGGTTACTTCACCTATCAAATTAAATCAGGCGATCGCTCCGGATACTGGGTACGCGCATTGCAATTTCAATTCGTATCACAATTCCAACAAACTGATATCAATTCTTTATTTATTCATCAGGTTCCAGTTGTTTGTCTGCTGCTTTACGTTTGCACATCTATGGTCGGTATGCTAACCATTCCTTGGACCATGACCGCTGAATTGTTCCCTACCGAGATACGGGGCATCGCTCATTCCATCAGTTACTCCATTGCCAACTTGTTGATGTTCTCGGCTCTACAAAGTTACAGAAGTCTACAAAGCTTCCTCGGTGGTACGTAAATACATTTTCTTTCTTTCTCACATTTCTCCTTTTTATTATGTATATATGTATATTATATGTACATTCTAGGATCGTACGCCGTCCAATGGTTCTTCGCCTCCGTCTCGATAGGAGCTGTTGTTTTCGTCTGGCTGTTACTTCCAGAAACTCACGGCAAAAAGCTTTCAGAGATCGAGGAATACTTCCAGAATCATTTCTTAGCGGTTGGAGCCGAATCGAAAACCCGGAAACGACAGGCGCAAAGGCGGCGACAACGAACCGAGAAATCGTCCGCCACGGAGCCACTAAATCCAAGAATCGTACAGAAAGTGTAAAACCTCTTTTCTATTCTCTACGGCTGGAATCGCGACGAACAAAGACAGTTCCTAACTTCCGAAAATGTTATTCAACTGTACGTATTACGTACCTTCCATTCGATGCACGACAGATGCACCGAGATAATATATTTAGTTCAAGTCTATCTTCTTATCCATTAAACCGCGAAGAAAAGATTTCTTTTATACGAACGGTATATACCTTAAAGTTATTTAATATCTAATCGTGAGTGTTGTCGATAGTCTATCGAAAGTTTATCGTAAGTAACGTAAGTAACGTAACTAACAGTGTTACGAAACAGTGATCCATCATTTTCTATACAAACTTCACCCATATGTGAATTTTCGCGAGCAGAAGATCAGTGTAGTGTTTCTTAAAAAGTCAAAGTAATAAGAAGGGAGATCGATAAGGGGAATTCGTGTAAGGCAGGCCTACATAGTTAAGGGGGCAACAGTAACGGGCAGAACAAACCTTCTTACTACTTAATCCTATTTTCTTTCCTTCGTTAAAATTTGTAAAAACATTCTTCCATGTTAAAATCGAATTCTCGTCACATGGCTGTTGCCCTTAACAAAATAGATAAGTGCCCGTGGAGTTGGACAGAAAATTAGATTAAGCCTGATTTAATATAAACACTTACGATTAGAAAGAAGAAGAGCAACAAAGATATCTATGAACGCAACACTACTCTTTAAAAAGTTTATCAAAATGCAACAAAAATCTATTTGATACATTTCGATGAATAATGTACAATGAGATGTCCACAGTTTACCTATTGTTATGTATTTCATAACTAATTTACTTTTAATTCGAGTTAAAAAAAAAGAAAACAGCCCTGAATGAAAAATATTTGCGCGTACAAAATTGCACGTGTGCGAATGTGAGTGCGAAAGTGTGCGTGTAGAAAAAAAATCGATAGTACGCATAATATGCGATTACTAACGTAACGTTGCGAAGATAAAGAAAAGAAAAGAAAAGGAAGCAAGTTTCTACCAAAAACTATAACAAACGATTCTACACACTAGATACAAAACAGTATTATACGTTGATCTGATACCGCCTTCTGTAAAAATAATTACGGATGGCTGTAGAGGAAGACGATAAAGATTCTTCGTTCGGGAACACAAATCTTTCTTTACCACGCGCTAACGTGTTTCCCAAAACGTTGTAGATCGTTTTAGAAACAGTATCTGTTTCTAAGATTTGCCGTTTTCGAACAGGCATAGCATTCCTTTTGGAAATCAACTTAACTTTACTGTGATTTAAACACAAATATTTTCAAAGCAAAATTGCACGAGACGAAAGAGCAAATAGTATGTATTTTCAACAACAACAACCACCAACTGCCCCTTCAGATTTTTAATATTTACGATAAAAATCTGAAGGGAATATTTGGATAATTATTATTATTTTCTTTGTTAATTATTCATTCTGTTTTCTTTGCTGAGCATACGATTCAAACGAATATACAAACGATATTAAAGCGCAGGCGCTACCCCGATGCTACTCGAACGCCATGTATTCGTTTAACTTACGGACTCGCTACTTAAAACAGATACTTAAACGTTGCAATCACCATCTTTTATACACAATCATTTCATTACGTTCAAAAAGAATCAATTATAGCTATACCTTTCTTTTAGTTTGCAATATCACTTCATACCGCGATTCGTCTTCTCATATCTCACTTTTATAAACTATTTACACATAGCCAAGTTACCGGTCAAACGCACAAAATACTTTTTACCAGTTCATTAACCGCCACCAGGTCGCGGATCTTTTGCCGCTGACTAATCAAAAATACTTCTAATAAGATGTGATTATTGACCAGATAATGGACCAGACTAAACGTCCATCTGTATCGTTAAGTTTTCGGCCGACATTCGATTTTTATCGAAAGTCAGCTTGTCCGTAAAATCGTTGCGTTGGAAAACGTTAACTTATAGAAACATAACCAATCTCTCGATGATCGTTATTATAGCAATCGAAAGGGAATGAGCTTAAGATTAAAATTAATTACTTATGTACAATTAGTAAGAGAGAATATATATGTATGTACGTATATTATGAACTACATTTCGTTTCGTTCGAGATCGTTGAAAAGATATTGTACGTTATATGTATATGCATCGAGATTATTGGTTCGGCAAGTGCCTTTCGTTTTTGTCGACTGCTTGATGATATTTTACAAAAATGAGTGTGCGTGAATATGCGAGCAGAGTAGAGTCTATATAAAACATATATACTTTGTATCGTGCTATACAACTTGCTTGTATTCCGTAAACATACATCTGTATGTATACAGAAATATACGCCTACGCTTGTATGCGTACACGTACTACTGTCAAATTTCATAAAATGTTTCTAATAAAATTGTATTTTTGGAAACCACAAACTATACTAAATGATTTTTACCTAAAACCTTGTGTTTCAAACATGCATCTTTTCAGGATCAAGGAAATATCTGTAACAAATAAGAAATACAAATTTATGTAAATAAAATTTAACCAACAGTAATAAAATGATAATTAACAAATGATCGAGCTTTATAATTTATGCAAAATATTTGAATAGGTAAACTGCGCGTACCTGTGAACTACCCGTACAAGAGGACGCCCTCGACACGTCTTATTACTACTCTCATTGTGCATTCGCGGCATGAGTAAAAATTTTCAAAATAGACACTGCCTTTCGACTTTTCTTTCTCCTTTTTGCACTTCTCACACTCGAAAGCCAATTTAATTTAATATCTAAAGATAATTTAATCTTACCTGTTGCAGACACGTGCAAAACGAACGAAGCTTCGAAGAGGACTGATGCACTGCACCACGCTCCGCGCACCACGCGTTACAACGATGAATGTGATTGGTCGAAATGAGAGGACGCTATAGTGGGACGACCAACCACAGTTACTGGCAGAAGTTTCGAACTGCTTTGAAACTTTAATACTAGAATAAGGGAAAGGGGTTCGTTGAAAATTATAGAGGCTACATTGAAATAAAATCAAGATTACTTCAAGATGATTTCAATTTAAAGTACCAAAGTATAGGAAAGAACAAAGCGTTAACAAGAAGAAGTCGATTAATAAGCTTTTCATTTAATAAATACTGATATAAAAAACCTCATCAACACTTTGACCGCTACCACTCTGGCCAATTATAGACAATTTTACTAAACAGCTAATAGAAAAAGTCAAGTATTATCAAAATACCAGACTATATAAATTACAAACAGAATTAATATTTAATGTAACGTTTCTAGTAGATCTAAATATATCAAAGTGTTGACAGACTTTCAGTAGCTCTAAAAAGCGTTAACACATTATTAAGTTAATACACAATGTGGCACGGACACTGATGTAGAAATTCTCAGTATAATCCTTTACGAATTACAAACAAACGATAAAGAAACAATTTAACGTATTAGATTAAAATCACGTAGCCTGAGGAGTATCGCGTCGCAATGCAAAAGTGGCAAGTGTCTCGATAATAGGTTGCAACATATTTCATTACCTACGTTGTTTTATTATCGTACACGCGTTAGAGTAAGTATAATAATATAAATCCTGTTAATCGATGATAATGCTCAAAAACTTAACAAAACAAGCATTTCCATTCTTCTTAGAGACAATCGCAACACCACGCAGGGTCCCAGCAGTGCCAAGGGTCTGCATATTCTTTCTTTCTTTCTTTCTTTCTTTCTTATTTTCTCAGCACGACCAAAACGCTGCAGGCAGTGACGGTGAGCTACCTAATCCGTAATTAATATTACATTAGGTTCTACATTATTCGATAATATTATGTATGTATGTGTATATATATACACGATCCGCACACACCAGGTCAAACTCTACACTGTTTTTATAAATAAGAGACAACGACGAATGGATTACGAATAGTATCATACCGATAAACATAAAATATTGAAATATCATATACCGGACACAAACTGGTAATATATCGCATACCTCTATGCATTTACCTTTCCTTCTTTCTTTCTCGCGACAAATCCATTAAAGAAATATTGTAAAATATCGACGAAACTATTCATTCCTGCCTGTAATGAAACAGCAATTGGTGAAAACGATTCGTCTTGTGGTTAATCGTATTATGAAAAAATAGATGGTACGTACACGTTTCTAAAAATCGATGTCGACGATACACACCATAACACGTATCGTTCCACGAAGAAACACGCTTGTTCTCTCGTGCTCTACGACAAAGTAGCAAAATGAACACGAACAAGGTAGAGGGTACCTAATCGTAGGTAGAAAATACCTAACAATAAATGAAAAAAACATTTAATGTTTTCTTTACGCAACATCGGCGCGAATAGAGCTTCTCTAGCTACTTGCAGACTACGGATCGCTTCAATAATAGCTTTCCCCTTTATTTTCCTTTTTTACAAGACGATGAAAGACGATTTCCGCGCAAATCTCGTCCTGACGACGCCAAAGGCACCAAGTAAAAGAAACACCTCGACGCTTCAACTTCCACATCCAATTGCTTTTTCTCCTCGTAAGTCGTCCAATATTATTTTGGCACTGTTTTGCCACTAATTATAACGCGTTACCAACGTTTCTTAATAATTGTATCCAGTCAGGTAAGATGATGTTTGCGTGTTCAATTTCAAGGAATTTAAAATGTCCATCTTCAGAAATTGGTACTGTGATGTAAACTTTTCGTATCACTTTGACGATTCATTTTCAATCTCATCTCTTGAAATTATTTTGCTATCTCAATCTACCAGTAAGAAAAGACGAAGGATGATATCTATGTATTTATATATAATTGTATCCCTATTATAAGTAAAAGAAAAACGACAATGGCACAGAATATATTTACTAAACTTGTTACCTTAGCTTTGATTTAGCATTCGTTTAATTATTGGCAACCTGACGAATAGTTTAAATATTAACATTAGTTCCAAGTAAATCTCGTTTCTAGTCTCTACCTTCTGTTTATTTTTGTCGTATTTAATCTTTCGTCATTCACTCTCTCGCATCCTCTCCCAGATACTCTCTCTCTCCCTCCCTCCCTTTCTTTTTTTCACTTTTGTTCAGTTAATTAACTTCTGTGTTCGTTGAAAAGTGCCGACTATTTCGTCTGCATCTTACAATTCTGTATTGTGCGTCCTTGGAAATCTGACTAGCACATGGATTTTTCAACAAATAAATTAACAGTTTCATTTTCGATATTTCAAAGTCCTCGTGTGAAAGCACGTTTACGGTGTAACAACACACTGGAAACAAATACGCGATACTCGCGCCAGTCACTCGGTTAATGCTGAAATGCGAAAAGATAAATATTTCTTCGTGAAATTTATTACCGTTCTTACTGACCGTTCTACAGAGCAGATATACCAGACATACCGCTCGTTCTCGCATCGAATACTTTTTGTATTTCAACTTCCTTTCTTGTTCACGCGTTCACTGTAAGGTTCACAGCAGCAACCCACCGCCATGTGCAACGCTATCATCAATATTTATGAGTCGACGAACAAGCGTACAACGTATTTCATACAATGTTTCTCTGTTTGACACCGATATAGGATCGGCATGAATTAATTATTATGCTTATAAAGTATGATTCTCTGGACAGTGATGCCGCACCGTCTTCTCAAACTTTCACTCAAATTGAATAAATTATTTGTTCATCGGGAATCACATTCCTCTAGAGAAGTATCTATGATCGGCTTTAAGAGACTCGTAACAATACAGTGAAATACCTAAATATGTACAATATATATCTTAACGAGTAGCAAACAAAATTCAAAGTATATAAAATCACAAACTGGACAAGAGAAGCACGATACTGGTGTTTTCATGAGCTTTATGATACACGGAAGAAACAAGTTTTTCCTTCCACCTTCCTCCTCCCTCCCCCACAAAATACAATCTTGCATCTCAATATCATGCTGTAATGTATCGATAAAAAAAATATACGTATCCCGAATAAAGAAAGTCTTATGTCTAAAGCAATTCGATTAATAAGCGCTAAAAAATCGTGCGAAACTCTTATTCTGCAACAGGCATAAATTTTTGTCAAACAAAACATAATGTATAAGTAATTTTACATACAACCTGCTTCTGTGCAACATCACTGTCACGAATTCATGTCTCTCTTTTTCTTTCGCACGTACACGTACACAAACACACACACACACACACACACACAACTTGTAGTGAAATCGTACGTTGCGTTTATGAGAAGAAGGCTCAGAAATCGAACGAGTCGGTAGGAGCGACTCAAGTTCATTCTTCTTCTTCTCATAAACGCACAGTTACAGATCAGTCTATCTCGTATTGAAACGTTTAACTTGTATGTATAATTTACTGCTCAATAATCGTCACGGATTGGACTTACTGAGGAAGCTAACCAGCATTCGCTCATGCCTTGCACCCAGACGAGCAAATCTCTTAAGTATCGCGATCCGAAGTGTCGCGGAATTTGATGTTAGTTAATTTTTGCTATTGCTACGTGGACTCGCTGGCTGACTGTTTGCCTGTTGCGCGCGTTGTATGTAAATATTTAAAAGCTTCAATTTGCTGGTATATAAACAGCTGAGATGAGGTTTCAACACCTCTTCGCCGACTGCCAGATGTATCGCTACCATGCAGAACACGGCACTTTTGCGTACTGCACTTTCATTATCGTCATAAGCCTGATAAAGAAATTTATTAATACCACGTGGTACAGTAAGAAGTAGAAGCATAGAAAACAGCTGTAAAATGTGTTTTGCGTTTACCTTAATGAGTCCGGGCATCACTTTTGACAAATGAGGTTCTATAGCATCGCGACCCCAATGTTCTACAACTTTGTGAAGCATTTTTATCGCTCCCATGTTCAAGGGATATGGTTCGGTGGTTATTATAGTCGATACCAAATGAATTACTTGTTCTGGCTTTAGAATCATCGCTATCGTTGCAGCACATTTTTCTGCCATCCAAAGCACCTGTGTTCACGAAAATATACAATCCCTTGATTATATAAACAACATGTATTTGTTAATTTGCATCACTTACTGGAGATCTCGAGTTACTACTACCGGAAGAAGAATCCTGCTTTTGATCGTCCAATTTGTACGCGTTAATTACTTTTAAAACGAGTAGCTCAGGATAAACGGAAAAACTGTCTACAAGTTCTGGGCACTTTAACATATCGATCAACGTTTGAAGTACTTCTACTTGCATTTTCTTGCTATCGTTCGTTAAACTATCTAACAATGTTTTCAGCAGTTTTCTATGAAGAAAAAAAATGAAAAAAAAAAAAGAAAAAGAAAGACATGCAATTAAAAATGTTATAAGTATCTCACTTATACGTATTTAAACTATTTAAATAACGCAATAATTACTTAAAATTCTGTTTGATATACAAGCCATCTCCTTCTCGAACGTATAATTGAAACTCTTGCAGAGCTGCTACTTTTTCTTCGGTTTGTGTCATCTTTGACTGTAATGTTTTAATCATATTATCTAAAATTTCTGGTCTCTTTATCGAATCAGGTGACGATCCTGTAACCGATACTGAATAAGTTAAATGACATTGCATGAAAGACATTTTTCTGCGATATACACGTACTTACATAGTACGTACATAGGCGTCGAGTAAAGTAAGGCTTCCCTAGGAAAAATCTAGCGTTACAAGAGAAAAGAGGAATTTACTTTTAATAATATTAAATATTATATAAAATTTAATATATAATCAAGAAATATGAGTAATACAATAAATATCAATTGAAATTTTCTCGCGTAAACATTTACAGGGAAGTGTTGGAGCGGGAACCCCCTAAAGAACTCGGTCGAGTTCTCGGTCGGTGGAAGCCTATCATACTCGATGCTCTGTACAATACTATACTAAATACTATGTTAATCCTACCATGCGTTTTGTAACCATTATTTTCTTGAGGGAGTATAAGATCACCTGCGATCGTATCGCTCGAACCATTTACTGTAATATTTGTAACAGATCGTCCTCTTTGGGTGGGTGAAGATACCGAAGATGATCGACCCTGATAAAGGTAAAATGTACAACGTATTATCGTCGCATTCTAACATAGTGTGTAAACATTGTGTAGGAAAAAACAAGAATCATATCATCCGTTTAATTACCGAATTACACAACGTTAAACCTTCCATTTTCTCTTCTACATCGGCCATATTACTAATACCGCTATCTTTACTAGTGGTCGCTCTTTCTAAACGTTCAAAACCATAATTCTGAATTTCTGCCGTTGTACGTCTTAACGATCTGTTGTAGGAAGTACTTAAAAATTAAAATGACTAAGAATGATAAAATGATAGCCTCCTTCGAGTTCCAAATATATCGGCAACTTACTTGTATACTTCTTCCAAATTCTCGTCCGCATTATCAATATCACCTTTAGTTTTCGTACGAGCAGGTGAACTCTGTGCTCGTGGAGGCGGTGTACCAGGCGATGCTGGATTACTGGAGCCAGATGACTTTCTTAAATGATTTTGTACCAATGGCAAAGCCGCCTCCTACAATATCCAAGTTGATATATAATTTAAATGTAAAATCAATTCACTTTCAGATTAATGAGATCAATCGTTAAATCCAGTCTTACTTGATAAAACTTTGGTAATTCAGCTAGTATCATTGTCACTTTCGGAGGATTTAAATTATACAATGATATGACAGCATTTTGTGCATGCCTTCTGACATCTTGACTTTTAACGTCGTTAGACCAATCAAGTAACCTTGCCAGCGCTGTACTTGCTGAATTATTCAGCGCAGATGGTTCTGCCGTTTCTGCGATCTGCGTGATAAACGTAAGCGTGGCTATTTTAACACGAGAATTTGGTGTTTGCGTAGGATCCGTCAGAAACCTCATAACAGCAGGTAAAAGTTGCTCTCCAGAAAAACATTCTCTACAAGAAGAAACAGATTACACAACTGTTTGATGTAACATTTATACCTGCATTGTAATTCGTTTTTATACTACCTGACAACATCAAGCGTCTTGTGAATTTTTGCTTGAATCGATCCGAGTAAATCGGTACCTAATTTGTTCAAAAGTCTTGCGCACAGCACGTAAAGCCAATCACCAAGATCTTCGCTATGAGTAGCAACCAATTCGTTCAACGTGTCCAAAAATAAACTAAACACCTTCGTGTGGGAATCCATAAACATTTTTGTAAAAATATCCGTCACTTTACGCAATTCCGTAGCTGTAAGCGTATTTCCGTTTGAAAGAAAATGTTGCAATCCCACTAAACCCTCTTTTCTATCTCCCCAATGCTTATGCGCACAATTTTCTATTATTTCCTTAATATCCTGTAAAGTAGAAAGTGATTTTTCATAACAATATCGATACCAAATACGCAAAGAATATCTTGTAAATACGTCTAAAGGAAATATTCATCCATGGGTCTTAAATAAATTTCTATCGTATTCCATTCTTATTCCGTTCTTTGGCAGAAGAGTATAGTATTTATAAAGTTACATGAAAATCATATTAAATTTAACAAACCTTTGGGATAGATTGATCCCATGGATCACGGTACAATCTTTGTTGAGATCCACTCCATGAGAACGACTAACGGGTGTAGATGGACGATGGACACAGATATGGAGAACAGAACGGCGCATCGCGTTAGTCCAAACCAAACAAATACGCCGCAACAAAACCAAAAGATAAAACCAGACATGCGTTATCTACATTGTTTTAAGATGCTCGAAGCTCTGTTTTCTTCAAGTTTTTCATTTAAATCTATTCCTTTTTCAAATTCAAAGAATGAAGCAGTTTTATAAATACAGATGAATGAATCTAACAAAAAAGAACGAAAAAAAGAAAAAAAGAAAAAAAAACATACTGCTCAGAGGTTTCACGAGACAACAGTATATTATTCTGTGTTTTGTTTAATCTATAATGATGTGGAATTCTTACACGCAACTACTATATAATATGACTTTTATGAACGCAACGAGTTTAACATGGACCTTTGAAGCATGTTTAAATAGCACAGCAATAGAAATCCTTAAATAAATGTACTACTATTGCAGGCATTCTTATTAAACGTAAATAAAAAAAAAAAAAAAAAAAATTAGCATTACTAAATTAAATGAACATATAAAAAAAAAGCGTAACAATACAGCAAGTGTACGAAACTATACGTAATGCTAATGCATATAAGTGATACTTGTTTATTAACGTACACGTAACTAAATGGTCCTTCTGTAATTTCGTAATTTTATGCTCGATTATGCTTATAATTGATCACACCTTAAGTACTTTTTATTAGAGATTAAATGTAAATTGAAAACTAGTAAAGTTTGAAAAACCGAAGAGCATTATACTGGATCATGAATGTGTTATAAAAATATATTATTTTTTATTACTTTACTCTTCTACTGACATCATATATCATCGTAAAACTATTACTATTCTGGTTTGTTATTGAAAGTTCCCGATATCCCGTTTGCTTACATCGTTTGGTCGTCTAAAGCTGTCCATGCTTCGCTCTGAACATATACTACTGGTTTCGCTGTCATCGCTGTGATCACCTTTGCCTCTTGGTGTTCTTGTATAGTTATCGATACTATCGAATGTAAGCGCATCCGCTAAAGCTGATTCTGCTTCGCGTGATTGTTGTAACATCTTTTGCGCCATAACTGGTCTAGACTGTGGCCTCTCCGTTGGCGACATGTGCAAACCTCTGCCGCTGTATGTCACAATAGTAGTCCTTTATCCAGAACTAAAAGTTCTAAATGTAGGAAAAATGAAGGTAAATGTGAAAAAAAAATACCGTATCTTGCTTGCAAAACTTCTCTCCATTCCAAATCTCTGTGGGCTAGGTTCACGGCTGTTACCGGTACTTCTGATCCCGTGTCCAGATAAACGTCTAGGTCTTGCAATTAACGATTCTCCTTCGCGATTGTACGTTGCATAACTCAACCTTGACGACGGTGAACCTGATCTACTGCTAGCTGTTGTACATAATATAGAAAGAAAAGAAAATGAAATAATTCTTTTTTTCTTTTTTTCTTCTTTCCTAAAGTAAGTATGCCAATGTTTCATTTAATAAAAAAGCCTAACAACTTTCATTATTTTAGTTTCACCACTTACGCTGAGATTGCGACACTCCGGCCACTCTGGTTCTCGTTCTTGCGGTTCTTTCTGGACTAGCAACAGCTGTGGTATCTGGTGATTTACTTGGTCGTGCTGAACGAAGAAATAACACATACACCATCATTTTTGTTGGAAACGAAAGAATGACGATTAAGATTTTACTGATTGTTACTCACGAAGAGACGCCTTCTGTCTGCTCATATTCGCGTACATCATTCTAGCTTTAGCTCTTTGCGCGGCTTGCAAATCTATCGCACTAGTAGATCTAACACCTGGGCTTCCACGATCTGAGGAGAATTTTAAAAAGCTATTATAAAGAGGTGAAAGATGTCACACCATTGTGCATATAGACTGAATCGTGAGTGACTTAGTGCACGATTTGAAACGCGATGATTTTTCATAAAGCAAATCATCAAACAAGAATATAAGAATTACAATGATTATCAGTGGGTCTTTGCAGAACCGGAATACCAGACTGACGATAAGAACGTGGCAAGGACGGAGTACGTCTGAGCGGGCCATGTGGTTGACCCGAAGTTTGATGCAAATTTTCCGTACTACCTTCATACGTATAATGTAAAGAAGATTCACAAAGCAGCATGAAAAAAGAGTGAAAAGTATTTTATACCGCGCTGTTTTCTGTTACTCTGCATTTACTAATACATCTACACCGACTCTGGTTGGTTCGGTGTATATATATACACGTATATTCTGAAATATCTATTACACTTATCGTAATTACATGAAAATAAGATATATACCTGTGGGACTCATTACTGGTCTGGATGTTCTGGGGCTAACGCTCGCCGATCTCGTGACCACATTTAAACTGCTAATACTACCGCTATTGCTAAGAGACATCAACGAGCGTTTATACGCAGTATCAAGGCTGTTGAGTAATGCTTCAGCTTGTTCTGGAAAATGATCTTTGAATGCCCAATACGACCTGAAAATAATTCAAACACGAGTTTTCGTGTTATTACTACCTTCTGCTCGAAGGACTTTTGTGTAAAATCATAGGAGCAAAGAATATGTACTTTCTAGCAAAGGCTCTTGCTTCTGAATCCGAATCCGCGATACCCTTTTTAATTGTGTCCTGTAATATCGTTACGTGCTTTTGCAATATCTGAGTAGGCCACGTTTGTAAAATTAAATTCAGATACTCGCACGAGGCTCGCCGTATATCTTTACTTTTGTTACTTAAACACGATGTGATAATTGGCACAAACCGACTGCAGTGTGTATTTTGAAGTATAAACCTCACGGCTACAGCACCAGCTGTTGCCACCACCTGAACATTAAACGTTATCGATGTCAATTTTTCCATCTTATTACAAAACACCAAATTGATCAAAACGCTCACCTTGGCACTATTTTGTATGAGGTTCATCAATGTGAGTAAAACAGCTTCACCGAAACTAGCAAATTTGTTTTTTAACTCTTGACTAAGAAACGCTAAGGTGATGGACGCTTCTCTAACAACTTGCGATCTCAGATCGGCGCAAGCAACCTCAAACGCTCTCTGCATGCTCTTCAAATGTTCATAAAAGTTCTCATAGTTCGTGCCACCTGCTTTAACGATAGCCCTTAATTTTTTCATCTGTAAGATAATTGAAATTTCTTAAATGTATGTATCGCCAATATTTCAATTGATCCACGCGTAACATGTTTTCAACGTTTCACATACGTTTTCTGTTCTTTGCTTCCAATCCTTCTTGTCGTCGCCAACATTATCTTTGATAGCCTTCATTTGTTCTTCCAAATCTTTTGCCGAAAACAAATTTACCGCTGGTACATCTTCGAACGCTGTATAAAAAGTTTCCTCGTCGACGGCACCAGCTTGACCTGAATATATTAATTAGAATATATTAGTTACATGCTCGTATTAATATTAATAGACATATTTTGATTACTCTATTTATCATGGGACAACTTCATCTGTAATATTTATGCAATCGTTTGTAATCGTTTTCAGAACTTTAACAACAACACCACCTTGAGGTCTCTAACGGGGAAATGGATTATAAAAATCGTTAAGTTTATTATACGATACCTCTTGATGCAAAACATTTTGTAATTACCTAGCAGTATTATACAATATAAAATGAAGATGGCACAACAAGAACAACTATGCAACTGAAATAAGATTACAGATGTTATGTTAAGTGCAAATAAACACAGAGAAAGCAAAATTATGCAAGGGTCTTGAATCGGTATAGAATAAATATTAATTTTTAAAAAATTTCAAGTTCCTTCTCTTTTGTATCGATACCATGATGGATATCTTTGTAGAAAGAAAGTAAGCAAAACAAATAAAATAATAATCCAAGCGTAAGAGTATTCTAAATTAAAGAAGAAGAAGAAGAAAAAAAAAATATGTATCGATTATCGTTTGTATACAGACCATCATGATATAATATACAAAGATAGTAAATGCCAATGGAGTTTTAGATACCTGGCGTCGATTTTACTGACACGTTTCTTTTGACGGTTGCTGCCCTTGAAACCGTGGAAGAAGGTGTATTGCCAGGCTGAGCTGTCATGCAAGCGAATAATTAGCATTCTCCTCACTGAAACGTCGACAGTTTGTCGACATTTTAGTGGTATAAATTGGAAAAAGATTAATATTATATAAAATGGTGAGCAACAGCAAGGAGAAAGCAAGAGTTTCGTGTTAGCACGCTTCACACCTGTGCATTGGTTGCAGGAGGAACATGTGCTTCCATACTGTTAATCTCCAAATATGCAACACTTATGCGGACTAAGAAAAACACTTATTTTAAATATGAAACAACACTTGATTATAATGAAACGATTAAGACCTTATTAACTAAAATAAGGTAATTAAATAGATTAAAAAATAATAAGCGAAAACATTGTTGAAAAATCTTAAGATTCGTTTATGTAACATCTATCTTAGTTCTGTTCTCTCTACAAGCGTCTAAACAAATATATTTGTCAAATAATTTGAAAAATACTATTATACTTAGAAATATAGCGATAATTTTACTATACATTTTTAGAAACATTATAAAACTACAACTTTCTGAGTACATCTGCATCATTAATTGCAATCTATCATGCTCAAAATGAAGAAAAAAATCCTGTATATATAGCATATTTGGGTGTTGTTAACTTATAGAAAAATTACATGTGCCGTATACGTATATACCAAACCCATACATACCTAAAGCAGAAGACGAAGTTTTTGCAGGACCAAATTGTCCTCTTTTTGCAGGAGCAGACGATCTTCTGACAGGAGCAGACTTAATCTAAAATATCCAATTGATGAAACGTTCATAAGTCAGATTCAGAGGTACCTATACAGGTATACATTAAGCGTACGTTTATCCAAAACTTACCGCTCTGTCCGGTTCATCGGTACCTTTTCCAACTGAAAGAGAAAAAAATGAGTTTAATGGAAGCATATAACAAATTCATTCATTTAGTACATTCGATTGCAATTAATTTATTTCTCCTTTTCTCAATCTCTCTGTACCTAAATCTGGATATAGCCACGGCGGTTTATGAATGTCACAACGGCATCCTCTAGCCCTAGCACCTGGGTGCTTAACAATATTATCCCATTGAAGAATCCACCGACTACTGGAGTCCCATAATTTCTGATCGATGCTAGGATACTTTTTTAATCCTCTATGTAAGCAGCGATGACTGCTAGGTAACAGCACACCAGCATCATTCATCGCGAAGAAAAAGTGTTGTTTTAACACGATCACTGAATAACACGATTATTGAATGTTCTTTTGTCAAGTATAAAGTACAATCTACAATACTCGAACACAATCCGAGGGAACATTAGCACATCATAGAAAGTTTTTATTGTTGTTGCATCCTTAAGAATAAACTGATTGGCATTTCATTAAAAAAAAATGAAAATTGAAATATTCTGTTTCCTGAACAATTTTCTCTATCTACGCGTTCGAACGCGACCCTCATTTTTTTCCTACACAGCTCGAGAACTGTTTCACTCTTTCCTATCCACTTTTTCTTTCCCGCCAAACAGAGGAAAGCGAAAAAACGAAAATCGAGCTTGTTCGATGTACAAGCAACACGTAGTAGTACGACGATACGGCAATTAAGCAATACTAATAGACGTAAATGACGTTTGAATTCTACCTGATAATTATTACTACTGATTTTTCATTCACCGCTTAATCATCCTCGGTTACGCAAGATTGCAAAAGCGAGGGAAACGATAATTAAGGAAACACGTTAACTCGTCTCCCATTATAAATCTAATCCTAACGAACGAAACGGGAGTTGAACGTGCTAAGATGAGAAACCTAGATTTGCATTCGTGATATTGTCCGTAATAACGGGGCGGTGCGCGGCAATGAGACACGAGAGAGTGATTTTCTCACGTTACAGATAGCACGCGTTGCATCCTTCTTACGTTCGGCTGGTTAAGATTCACCCCCCATATACTTACATATATCGTATACAGACAAGTTACGATGAAAAAGAAAAAGAAAAAGAAAAAGAAAAAGAAAATGAATTGAATGTACAAGGATCATTACGTCAGGAAGATTAGAGTCTGAGGCATTAACGCATCTATTATATGTACAAGCATGGCGTTTATATTAAAAGTTCAGGATCCTCGTTTTATCTCCTGGAAAGATCTACTTTTCACGTGATCGGCAAAGAAAAATCTTAGTCGAATTCGTAACGAAAGTGAAATTGTTCGTTCTTTGCGCGTGTGTCGAGAAAGTACATTAATAATTCAAAGAAGCGATCATCGTTTCAACGTGTTTTCATCGAGTTAAAAACTCGAAACGCTGAATACCGAATCGTGTGGTATTCGTTTCCCCGTAACGCTTTGATTCAATTATTACTTTTCTTCCCGTTACCGATAATTGTGTACCCTGTTACTGGGTAAAAGAAATCGATGCAACGGATGTACGCGGATGCGTTCAAAGCCGGAACGAATCGCGCCTCGCGTTCTTTCCTCGATCCCGAGAAACGTCAGTCACGATGACCGTTTTGCGAGACAATCGTTAATAATAGCTTCCTACTTCTTTTTTTTCTTTCTTTTCAAATACTTTACGTCCGTTAAAGCAACTAACAGAATAAAGGAATTCCTTTTGTTTTCCACTTGTAACACAAGATCGTTAACGTTCTGTATCGAAACTGTTACTGCAAAAACAACACTTGCGATAACCGGCGCAGAAAAGTTTGCGTCGTTGTTCGTCGGACATTCGAACGACACAACTAACACGATAGAAAGCTTCTAGAAGCAAACTAATCATCGAAGCGGATACATGGAGGCGAGATACCGTCGTAACTTGGTTATATTTCGATGCAACCACGGCGTTTCTCTGTCTCTGCTGATCAGGTAAACAAACGTGTCGCGAGAAACTGAAACGATCGTCCTTGCTCATTGTCCGTGAACGGCAGTAGCAACACGTATCGTTTAGAACGCGTCACTCTCGATCGTGTTCGGCCCGTGACACAGAAAAAGAGGGAGAAAAAAAAAAGAAATACGATCAAGATCACCGAGAGCAACGCGTCACGATTCTGGATACGTTCAAATGTACGATTGAAACGTCTGGCTTAAAAGAGACACGCGTCTCTCACGTTGCTAAATGGCGACTCGTTTACGAACTCCCGGTAAGCGCTGCTGCTTACCGCGTGACTCCCGAGTTAAGTCAGATAGGGGGAAAGAGGGGGACGGACACCTTCCCCTATCTGATCTGATCTGTGCCCCTCGTTGTGACCAGGACCCCCCACACGCGCATCAAAAAAATACGCATCTCGATTACGTGTCAAATATTAGGCAATTCAGATCAAACTAAACAGAATTATTTACATTTCTCACCGAAATTAAAATCCTATTACACAAAATAAAAATAACGTTTCGTTTCTCATTTCCACGCGGGTGGACAGCGTCGAAAAGAGAAGAACAAGGCACACCTGTGGCACAGATATCAGAAAAGTAAATAAACAACGAGATTTCTGCATAAAAGCTAGATTAATCGTCACCGCCACCTGTTGCAAGGAGAAAGATTCAGATGAAACGTAATTAACGCGATCAGAATATAAATTAAATTGGATATCAACCGCAAGATGAGAAGCAAAGTGAATCGTTGTAATTACAATGTTTAACCGTAACACGTCAAGACCTTTTCAGACAAGATAACGATGATGTTTTCGATAAAGAAATAAAACTGGACCATGAATACGCGACACGCATTCATTTTTTGCGTTTGGAAAGGACAAGCTTTTAACATTGATTGATATCGTTTTAAACACAGGCCACAGCAATGATATACACGTATATGTATATTTCTAACAATAAGAAAGAAAAAAAATTTCATAATTTATCAACGGAACGAAGCTCGGAGGAGAGCTTCTTAGAAATTCAGTACGGATCGAGCGCGGTATAAATTATGGATAGAAAACGAGATGCAGTCACGGTGATTTCTTTAGATATCGTACGCAGCGAGTGTCGTTGATCGGTGAAAGTAACGTTATTTATTGTTCTTAAAGATCAACGAGATACTTGGTCGCTTCCGATTTTCCGGAAGAAATCGAAGAAAACTGATTTCAGAAAAGAAACGATTAAGGAAAAGAGGGAGCTTGCAACTTGAACAGTTGAAAGGGTTAAGTATTACACACCGATTACGAATCCAGCACGCATTAGTGAAACTGAACACGATGATAACGACGATGCTATCCTCTTTGTGTTACACAACAAAACGTACATATGTAGTATAATGCAACCTCTAACACAGTTGTGTACTCATTATCACCAGCGCCAGCAGTACACGGTTTTATCGCTTCAATAACTGATGTCACGGGTCAACAGAAGAATTATTACTCCATTATGGTAATTTGTCGATTTTCCCATTGAACGATCTACATTAAACGAGAGATCGTTTACATTCATACGGATGGACTTTCTTCTGATCGATGAATCTACTTTCAATTTTCTTACCTTTCAACGGCAATATAAGTATAGGTACATATATCGTTTGGAAGATAGAATGTCAGCGGGAGTAGAAGCACCGCGACGCGCGATGGCTGAATATGTAAAAAGGACATCCGTGAACTATTCCACGGTTTAATATCTGATCGTGCACACACGCCGTGGCAGTTGACGGTGAAGATAAATCTGCGTTACCACCCTACCTTTCACTTCTCTTGCACCTCTATACACGCGTCTCTATGTCCTCAGGGTAAGAAGGCAGGCGAGTTGGGTGCTAATTTCGATCGAGCAAGCAAATGATACAGTGAATAATAATCTTTTGTCGCGGTACAGCAATGTTGAAGAAATATCTATCTCATTCGGAGGTAGCGGGGTCGTTCATCGATCCAGAAGATAAGATCTAGTATACCTATTCCATCGTAGATGCAAAGAAATTTATTGCTATTGTCCTAGTATAGTGTGCGCAACAAGGTTGAATGGCAGAGAAATCGCCGTTCTGGCTGGTATAATTGCGATTCAACGTGAACCTCTAACACAATCTCTATGCTAGGTCACAGGGAAATAGAGAGAAAGAGAAAGAGAAAGAGACTTATGCAAATTTTTCCTGAGCAGTGTTTCGTTTAACCTTTCCTGTGTCACATAGCACACGGTACAAAGAAACTCGCAGCGCTAACTTGCCGGAGAGAAAAAAAAACACAACAGATATTTCCATTTAAATACAACCTCAAGCATGGTACGAGTTCTCTGATGAAATTTATTACCAACGTGTTGTATACTGTTAGCGAATAAATTTGGTAAAAAGTAACGTTTTCTATTGTTTAAGTGCAACGAACAAAAGGATTCTTCGTGGTAATTTGGCGTTCTATTAATATATCTGAATTCAAGCGAAGAACCGTAATTCTTCTGCCAAGCCCATGTATGACCTAATCGTGATCACGAACAGCCAGAGAAGAAATATATTCTTGTCTTTAACGTGGACGTCTCGTCGCTTGCTAATTTGATACGCGGAATAGAAAAGGTTGCGGCCATCGAGCCGTATTTCATTTTTCATCGACTACCGGATTTTTCGCATACTAGGACATTAAGTATCGTTGCAAATACACAGATACTTTCACTTCAAGATAGGCAACACTTTTTTTTCCTGGTGAATCCACTAAATTCAATAAATCCAACATCGATAAAACTTGATAAAGCATATTTTTCATTTTCACCCTCGATAGCTAAAAATTTCGTGATTAGAAATAAAAAATGTACGGATAATGGAAGATTATAGAAAGGAATGAGTCATTGGGAATCTCAGTTTACTTGGATTTGTTCTATCAACATCGCCTAGAGACACCGCTAGAGATACTCTTTTAGAGATACCGATAGAGTTGCATCTATTTTTTCTTTTTTCTTTTTCCTTTTTCCTTTTAGATTTGGAAGTAATACGTTAAGTATTCGATTGTATTAGGTTGCTAGCGACACGTAATATTTGCAATCGAAATTTGAATACCCTAGCCAGTAGTATTACAACGTTACAAGGCCGTTCGTTTGAAGCAGGACGGCTTTAGTCTGGTATGAATTACAGAGACAGCCTTTTGAAACAATACACCGCCGATATTGCATAGTACACCGTCGCTATCGGTGTATGGTAGTATTATGTAATATCAGAGAATAGATAACGCGAATTAGCGAACTCAATGTGTTGCTTACTCTAGGAAATGACACCTTGCGCGATAGGTACAACTTGGCGTTTCTGGCTGAGGCTTTCTTCGACTGAGAATTTGCCTTCTCTTACTCAAACTTATTTTATTTTATAACTTAATAACGCGTAACATATTACATGGTCGGTCCACAAAAGCCGAAAAGGGAACGTTTCTTTTGCCAATTACATACACAGCAGCCCATCGTTGGGCTCGTAAATTACCTGTTCCGATTGTTACTGTTCGTGTTTTCCTTGCCATTATTACAGCCCAACTCGTAAGAGAAATCAATCTGGAGAAACGAGCGGTCTTAAAAGAAAGTCCTTTACTTGGAAAAAAGAAATCTACGATCTGATACGAGGCAGAGCGAGAGCGAGAGCGTGAGCCAGAGCCAGAAATTGAACCGAAAACGTGTCATCGCGATATAATTAAATTCAAATTGGCGGTGTTTTATCGTGCTGCTTGCCGCGAGTAAATATTCTTATCACGTTGGAGAACAAGCGGTACTTGCTAAATATTCATCGTATGTTACCAGTAACGCAAACGGACCGGACCAAGAGAAAGAGAAAGAAAAAGAGAGGCGAACGAGAAAATATGGTTGGCTCTTTTCGAATACAAAGGTATTCGCTATGCGATAGCATTCGTGGCTCCGTGATGGCAGCACGATACAACTCGCAGCTTGAATAACGCAACAAAAGTGACACGCGTGACACTGTTTTTTACGTATCTTTTCTCTGATTGTTTGCTTGAACGTTAACGAATATGTATGTATGTACCCCCCTTTGAGAATGAAAATTCCACGCATACTCACCGTCCGAGGACATTGCCAGGGGCAACAGATCACCAGCTGCTTTTAATTGGTCGAATTTCTCTATCAGTAATAGCAACCTGTAAGGCGAGAAGGGTAACATATAAATATAAAGTTATCCAGAAAGTTGCTACGTTATTAGTGTATCCTTGCTATTCTTCGCAACCGTTTCACATTGAACATAATTGAAAAAAGCTATTATCTCGTTTAATTTATAAACGAGAGCTACTCGCCAACAAACGATTTCGCTTTTTTCACTCACTTTGCGTGCGGTACGTTGTGCTTTCTCTGCAAATCGACGCGTAATCTTTCTCCAACGTGTCTGTAGATGTCCGCCAAAGTGTTTAATGCCGTTTCTCGTACTTTTTCGGATGGATCCGATAACAGCTTCACGATGCTTGGAATTACACCCGACAACATCATCTCGTCGGCTCCATGTCTAGGGGGAAAAAAAAAAGAAAAAAAAGGATTTTTTTAAAGCTTCTGCCAGTCCTCGTATTCTTGATACTTTCCGATACATTCGTTTGCAGACGAATTATTCATTTATCAAGATGCTTACTCGTTCAACGTGGTCGTTAAAAGAATCAATGCCTCTTCTCGCAATTTGGCATTCTTATGATTGAAAGCCGGTCGCAGTCTGTCGAGAAGTTGCTGGGGAGACATGCATCCTTTCTCCATTATTTTCAGCAATAGTAATTGCGCTTTGCCTCGTGTCGCATCTTTACTGTCACCTGGGAAAAAGAAGCAACCATCTTTCGCTATACTTGTTAATAATATCGTAGAAAGGAGATCGGTGGGAAACGAGGAACGCTCGAAAGACCGGTTTCGAGTATATTTATCTATGCGTCACGATATCATCTTATAATAAGCAGTTGAACTTTCGTGCTTATTTTATCTGAAGCTCGTGTGTAAGCGAACAAATGCGATTTAACGAGGAGAGTTAAAGACACCACCTACCTAATCTATCTATTGCTGGTTGAATAACAGTGGAAATATAAGGCTTGAAGTCGTGACCCATTCGATCCGCAAGGAACGTAAGAACTTCCAAACCATTCTGGACAACCTGTAACAAGAAGCAAGAATCGTTTAGATTTACAGCATATATGTATATCATTATACCAATATAGGAAAATAATTATCCTCTTTCGTTCACACTGAAATCGTTCTAGCCCCGACCCCGACCCCGGCCCCGGCTCCGACCTCTACCAATCAACAAGATCCAGGTTTGCCGGCTAATTTGCTGAACATAGAAAGACGCTTAGTAGCGTCTACTGGTGCTGCGATCGAATCGTTAATTAGCTATACACGGAAAATAGCAAATTCACTGTGAATACTATAACGAAGAACCTAAGAAGCAATAATCTAGCAAAGAAATTACAGAATAAGATCGAACAATGATATGGAGCTTGAAGAGCAGGATGTTGAAAAATAAAAATTCTTTGTAACAAAGGTGTCGCGAAACTTTTTGCACGATGTTTATATTTCAGTGACGGGGTCCACGCGCCACGCGACATATCGATCCGAGCAAGATTAACTCGGCAAGCACCTGGTTGAAAGGTAAAAAATCCTAGACCCCTCGCACTTTCCCTCTTGCTTCTATAATTATGCTTTGCTTCGTCAACCCTCTCTACACACTCGCAATGAATTTTTCCTCTCTTTCCCTCTCTTTCCCTCTCTTTCCCTCTCTGTGCTTTCATGAAAGCATAATCGCCAAGTTTCTGCAAATTACATTTGCGTATTCCGGTCTCGTGCTTACATGTTTTTAACGAAATGAAAATTCCTACGCGAAGGGTTAGCAAATTCTAATCTATAGGTATTATCGTGTATGTATATCAGTCTTTCACATTTTAACGGAAATAAATATATTAATCGTTTAAAAGTTGTAGTATTTAGGGAATGTTAAAGGCTGAAGACGAAGGTGTACGATTGGGGAGGGTGAACGAACTGAAGAACACTGTTCCTCCGGCAGAACGAGCAGATCGATATAGAAAGTGCAAGTGTATTTATCGTGGCTCAACCCCTCGAAGTAAACCTCATCGAGCTGTCCGCGATCTATAACGAGGGAAAAAATGAAATGAGAATTATTCTTTGTTGAACGATAACGTTGATTATCCTGGCTGGCGATACGGTTAAATCCAATGTCACTGGCTGCAAAATCGTCCATTACTCTGCGACAGTTTAAATACATTTAACCAACAAGTTCTATACATAGATGCGTAAACCAATTTTAGATGCAACCGCGACGCGACGCGATGAGACGCGATCAGACGGGGTAAACGTTCTCTCAGGGCTGTCGTCTGGCTGTGACATCATTGCTCAGCACCGAGCTGCCTTAACTTCCATATACATACTAATTAGCACGCGTTCTAATCGACAACCTCCTGGCGATAATATCCATCAGAAAAAATTCTTACACCACCAACTAAAGGCTCTCTCGATAACATTATGAAAAGTGTTTGATCATGAAAAGTTGAGTAGGTAGCCAGCTGCAACGCACCTTGAACTTTATCTCCGGAATCTGACCAGCCGACCTCTTCTAATCTCATTCGATCGTGAACAAGAGATAACAATAGACGACGGTGTACTAATTGTAACGTATTAGTACTGCGCACACTTTGACAGATCGCGAATAAGACGAGAGTAGGACGTAGGCGAGTTGTCTGACCTTACTTGCCAAAGTTAAAAGTGTTGAAACCACGTGGGAGGCTCGCCATCTCCTTCTTGCAGAACCGTCATTCGCAGAGAACTGTACACATATGTAAATAAATCCATACGAGATCGAAGATAAGCCAACGAAACGAAAGCTTTTGCCTTTACAGAAACGGATAACATTTCCTCTATCATAATTTGTCTCCAATTATTTTTACGCACTGTCTGCACGCTGTTTGCGCAACTATCAATCGGAGAATGCGGTTTTTAGGTCAGCTTATCCGCGAAAAGTCAGCATCGATCGATTCTGATTCACTTAATTGTTTTCATGGTATGTACCGTTCAACCATTTAAACGAACGTTCATTTAATATATATCAATTATAAAAAAAATAAAAAAAACCTAGATAAACCGCAATGCGTTAATTATGTAACCGATATCGAGTGTCGATTTAAAATAAATAAATATATATATATGCATAGGGCTAATCGCATAAATTACATTTTACACTCTACAGTTTCGATTTGTTTTCAATTCTATTTTCGACGATCGGATCGTCTAAGTAAATGAGATTACTTTTATTACTCTTTAATTTTAATCATTTAGACGCGTTTCATTTTCCCTGATACGCGACGCGACGGTGCTCCAGTTAGACGCGTAATCGTCACTTGGAAGCTATTAATAATTTATGAAATAACAACCGTCATAAAGAGGGTAATTGTAACGCGTTCAATTTTACCGAGTACTTTTACTATCTTTTATCATCTTTTCACGAGGTCTTTACAAATATCGTACAATGAAATTTTACACCCGTTGCAACAAGTGCACAGACCTTGTAAGATTGAATAAATAACAAGTAAAGTCTAGTACTTGTCGAATGCTCCAGCTAGATTAGCTACATACCGTCAGCGTTATGCAAGTAACAAAGTACGACTTTACTAGCGTGATACGTGTAAAAAGCATCGAGAACAGCGCGAGGCGAGGGTGATGTCATGCTTTAAATTCAAAAAAGGAAACACATTCGAGGTAGAGAAAAAAGAAGAAAATAACGGCAGGTAGAGTGAGATAGAGGTAGCGAGGTAGAGTAGTTTATATTGTCCTATGTCCTTGACATCGTTACGATGCACCGATGCAGATCTTGCTAAGATCTTCCATAACGAGACGTATTGTGATCCAATTGCGTGATGAACAGGAACCCTTAACTTGAAATTTTATTACACTCGTTTCTATGGCCTAGACTCGAACCAGCCTTAGACTTTTATCTACAATCTGTCGTGTCAATGAATTTCATTGAAAAACATACAGGATACAGGATATTACGAAAGGAAAAGTAACCGGATTACGTATACCTAACATATAGGTATGTCGCAGTGTAAGAAAAGTTTGCTGAAAATCGATACGGTTGTCCTGGCAAAATAGACAGTCTCATCGCGTGGCAGCTAGGTACATACATACATAGGCTTCTTGCCAAAACTATGACAATACCAAACTTGAGAAAAATTGAAAACCAACTGTAATCAGCAGGCATCCTTCCTTTAACCCACTTTTCACTGATAAAACTCTTCTCTTCTCACCGGCTGTGGACATTTTTATTCGACTAATAACCAACTCGGAGCAACAAGTGGCACTACATAGATAATCATTCAAATCTTCTATACGAGCAAGTTATGAAAAGCAACTCTAAATATAAGAGTGATCAAGCAAGTAATTGGTAATTGGTAATTCGTAGAAGCAGCGAGTCGTATAGCCAACCGAGGGTATGTACAAGAGAGATTCGAAACTCATGCATTATGCATTATGCATTATGGAAGAAACTGAATTTCAACCGCGAACTTGCACTTGGTCATCGAGTGTTGTTCGTTCGTCAACCAGAAGGGTCAAGTTTTCGTTGTCTTCAACGAAATACGGCTCGAGAAACGTGACGTAAGACTTTATCGACCGGTGAAATTTGGCTAGTGTCAATTTTTTAATTGACGTTCACGTCAGCCTGACGTCATTCTTGACCGATTTCCATTTACAGAATGCAAATAAAACTTTTGACAAGGTGGACAACAAACAACTCTGTTTCTTTTCGTTGCTTCGTCGTTAGAAAACATCTTTACCAGAGATCTACGAGAGAAACTTGCAAACGTGAAATAATTCTCTAACCTCGAGCTAGTGCAGACAATCATTTTTAAACATTTCAATTCTTTCATCTACTTTCTAAGACTCTATTACTCTAGGAGATTTTGCAAAATACATACAGCGTTTTACCACGATAAACGCTAAACTTTCTGTAATAGTTTCCTTCCGATATTGGCCCGGTTCACCTCTGTAAACGATTCGAAGCAACCGCAAATCTTACATCCGACATACATGTACATATGTACACAGCGTGACACGCTATAGCAAAGGACGCGTTACGTACTTACATGGTGTGAAAGTATTTTTCCCTTATACGTACATACTTACACGAGGTATAAATCGTGCCAGAGTTTTCTCGTCGTATCTCCTCCGCCTAACGACGACAAACAGATTCATCGAAAATTATACTTTATTTTATACTTTATGAAATAGTTTAAAATATAAAATTTCCTATTGCCTATACCCGTGTACGGTTTCTAGTACTTTTAATTCGGCTTATAGGTTGTAAACACAGAAAAGTGTAAATACTTATTGTTATCTGACTCTTGGCTTGACCTGCTTCCCCTGAAAATCGGACCATAACATCGCGTGTATTTCTTATTCGTAATTCCTAATCGTTGAATAGTTTTAGTTTAAACAGCTCGACGTAACATTGACCGACTTTAAAAGGCTGATACCGGTTGCCCTTTAAAAACCGGAAAAGCATACTCGCTTCTTACAGCAATTTTGATCAGACGTATACACATTGTTTGCCAATTAGGCTTCTCGCATACACGAATAACGATAAATGAGCACCTCTGCTCGGTACGCACCGCAATCCGATTTCTTGTCACCCGGCACACCCCGCTCTTATTTCGTTTATTCTTTCAACTTTAAACAGTTTTGTTACATATTTACATTTTCTATCTATCTACCTACCTGCTTACCTACCTACCTACCTACCTACCTACCTATACACCTACACACATATTTCCTATACGCGATTTCCTATATTGTTTTATAGGTACTTACTGATAAATGATCAATAAAAAGACATCTGTTCGCATGACATCTTGTTTACACAACAAACAGTAGCTATTCATGATGCGTAAGTGAAAGCGACGATGATTTTTTGATAATGCAACAACTTCTGTTTGACAGAGAAGAAAACGAGACTGTATCATACGATACACTATTATTAGTATGTACATATTAAAAGTAGAGAAAGAGTACGAGAGAATACGATACACTTTCTTTTATAAACCGGCTGAACGCGAAAGTCGAAAACTATACACGGCTCTATTTTATTGTCGCGAGAAATTTAACGTAGGTATTTATAAAATTTGAAAAACAAATTAGCTGGAGAAGCGTTACCTTGGGATTCCCGTTGCTCAGCCATGGTATGATGTTATCAATAAACTGTCCAATGTCTTGACACTCGATACTCTTGGTGGAGTCGCCCAAATAATTTAACAGTAAATTACCAACATTTAATTTCTTCTTGATGTCCATCGTTGACAGGAGCGGCATAAAACCGTCCATATCACGCGGATTCACCGCCATGGTGGCTAAACTCACGTCGTCTCCACACCTTCGCGAGGAGTCTCTGAACGAAACTAAATTTCACTCGTGCACGTCAAAGCACATAGCTTGTCAACCTTTCACGATGCACGAAAACCAAACTCGCGTCTTTCGACATGCCACTCACGTTTCTCACTAAATACACGATTAATCGGCCAACCGATACATACTAACCGTGCGGTTTAAAACCCATACGCAAAACAGTACATTTCCCTGCTTATTTCACGACCGCTATCGCCAAAGATATTTACATCTATCGATTACAAACAAACCCCACAATATATTCACGATTTCGTACGCAACAGTTTATCAAGCGTCCAACGATTAAACAGCAACCACCGTTTGCGTTTTATTTCTATTACGCACGAAAAATAACGAACACTAACGAAAATTATCCTCCATACGACGCCATTTTCGTTTCTCGATCATCTGTCTCTCTTTCTCTTTCTCTTGTACGACCACAACGCCACTTAGTTCAGGCGGACGACACGTTAAACAATCATTTTATTCGTTAAAATTATTTCAAAATTCTTTTTCCTCCTTTTTTTCTTCGTCGCCGTTTCAAATACTCGTAAGTACTTACTTATATTCGTTCATCAATTATACTTAACGATCCAATTGATTTTTACGTATGACTATTTGTAATTCGTTTAATCCGTCCTATCTTTAATTGACATCCGTTTATAACGCTTTTCAAATTATTAACTTACACTCTATACTCTATACGACGCGACATCATAATTTTAAGCTTTCGAAATTAATGCATACATATTATATACGTTCATAATCATACGTTACAATTGTTCAATTTATTAAAAACAAAACAGAAAAAAGGGATGGTTAAGTAATAAACGAGAGAAGGTGGGAAGAGCAAGAGGTAGCAAGCAATATGGTGCACTTGTATTAACTATACGCATACTTTTGCAACCATATTTTAATGAAGATGACAATATATACATAGTTACAGTCACATATACAATATTTTATTATTTACAATCATTGTTAATAATTATACGATTCGCATTATACGTAACTGCGTTTTTCCTCACACTTTAGCCAAAAAAATTGTATTTAGTAAAATACAATTTAGGAGCATGACCGTTAACGGCTCGCGTCAAATGTAACAGTATGATTATGTTTTCAATTTTTATGGCAATAGTTTGAAATTTTAATATACAACATGATGTTGATTAATTTCACTCGATTTCTTCAATTCTCTGATATACATATGTATATAAAATTACATAACTGTGACTAGTATATCACAATGGAGCTGAGAATAAAAATTTAAGGAAATGTAAAAGTAATCGTTGAAAAAAATGTTTTTCATCAAAAGATTCAAATTCTTTAACATTCTATATGTATATATAATCTATGTATACATACGTATACATCAAAGTTTATCATAAAATCTTGTAAAAAAAAAAAAAAAAAAAAAATCAAAGAAAGAAACAAAGCGTAACAATTCATAAAGAAGATATTAATTTTAATTAACAACTATCTACTATCGCACTATTTATGTCTTGTAAAGTAACAAAACAACAAATTTCTTCGAATGGCTATTAAATATTTTTATTTGTAATCTTTGGTATAGTTTTCCTTTTATAATGGAAAGGCCATTTCTTTAGTCGATTTGCGAATTGATCATAGAAAAATTTCTTGACGACTTATTTAATATATTAATAAATATTGTGTACATAAAATTATGCGATAAAAATAAATAATATCTGCATATGTATATGTATATGTATATGTATATGTATATACAGATTTTTATATATTACTCTTTTTAAATGGCATATTGCATGCAATCTTTCCTCGGACTATTTTCTCAACGTAATTGGACGATCCAACTCTACCTAAAACTATTAACATACGTATCGTATGCATCTATATCATATTGCACAGTGATTAAAATGATAAGAATTAAGTCTCAATTTATCTTTTGAGCATTCTGTACAAGCTATAATTATTCAACTGTTACAGAATAATTGCTTGAATCGGTTCAATTGTCCAAGTTCATACATGATAATTATTCAAATATATTAATTACGATTTAGATACATACTCTGACAACTACAAGGTACTTACTTAATTGATAGCTATATTATAATCTACATAACTCTCTCTCATGATCAGAGTCTAGGAAAGATTCACTAAAAATGTTTTGTTAAGCTTAGCTGATGAATTAGCTAGTACAATTAGTAAGTGTATTAAAGCTTGGTACGTGGTACAGCATGCTCGTCGTTGAACTTGTCGAACTTGCCGCACACTTGTCAATCTTCTATTTAGAATCATCTTGTCCTATCTAAAGAAATACTACTTAGCCGTTCGAAGAAGATGATAAGACATTACCATTACCAACATTATAACTGCTATTCTATTTAATATTCGACTGACGCTGCTCTCGCACATTTGGCAATATAAAAAACGAATTGCTTATATAGTTGTACTCTTAACACAGAAAGACCAAGGATCTGTTCATTGATAAATCTCGTAATAATAAATGGAAAAATTCAATTTCTCATTATACACGCATACATCCATCCATACATACGTTTGAACGTAAATGTATCAGTGAAACGAAGAAAAACTGATTCATCTAAAATTTGCTACATACATATTGCTTCTGCTGTCGATCAAGTCTTCTACGTTCTACTAAATCTTACGTGTGTCGAATTAATTTAACGGAATGACATTTGTAACGTTTCAATAACAATCTCAACATTTCTTTGCACTACACTTGTGCATAAGAAATCTCGTTAGGCTTTAAGATATTCGCGATATATTAAATAGCACGTCAATGGTTAAAATCAAACGTTTCTATATGTACAAACTGTACTATGAAAACATTCTGAACTCAGTTTCCAGTTGCAATGATTTTCTAAAGTTAAAAATTCAAAAGTACGTAAATCTCTTCTTCCTATCACGTAGGCATAATAAAAGTGCAGGAACTAATGAGTTAAATTTAGCTAAATTAAATTCGTAAATAATTACTATACCTAAACTAGTTCGTCCTTTTATCATGGTTTTTGAACACTTTCTATTGTTGTATCTTTGTTTCATTTCATTCACTCAATACCGTTCAAAGGAGTGCTATTGTTGTTGCTGTAGCTGTTGTAACAATGGACACACCTCAACTAGAGGGGTTCCCAGAATTTCTTGACATACTTGATTCATATCTGGTTCCATCATAAGTGAAGAAATCTGATCCTCCGTTAACATTTCCACGCTAATTTTTTTTACAATTGATGGAATTAGAATAAAGCAATGAAATATTCATATATGGTAATAATAAATATTCATATATGGTACCTCGCTAAACTTTCGCTATCAGATGTTTCTTCGTCTGCATTCAAATAGGTCATTGTTTTTTCCAAAGGGCTAGGAACTTTTTTCCCTTTTCCTTCAACTTTCTCAAACTTTTCAGACTTTTCTTTGTCTCTCTCTACTGTCTTTGGTTCGTTGAAACGTCGCTCCGTAAGGCTAGATATGTTCAACATCATCATCCCATGATTCAACAATTCTTTGACTCGTTCGCCGGTTCCCGCGCTCCATAACATGTCAAGCGACTGTCTTCTACTCGAATTTGCTAATAACGATAATAGCGATGTACTTACTTACTTGGTTGGTTGAAAATTATACACTCGATTTTAAAACAGTTAAACACTATGTAAGTACTTACCTGAGCTACCTCCACTGGCTTCACCGCCCGCTGAACTTCGAGTTATCCAATTAGCTAAACTGCTATCGATTTTATTTTTACTTTTCATCGATGGACTCCTTGTTACTTCCGCTTTTTTTTCGCTACTTAAAGAAACCTCGTTTCCCTTCAACATGGTAGGCAATGATTTTTGCGTTATCAATTTTTTCCGACCAGACGCATCATTCAACGACCGAGTATTTTCACTGTTCACCGGCGGATTGTTACTTTCTGGACTTAAATCCATCGGTAACGGTTTGTAAGGAATCTGATCTTCTTCGTCGGAATATACTTCGTTATTGTAGTACATCTCATCCGGAGAATTATTTAAGCTGATCTCTGTCCATTCCTCTCCGTTTTGTACGCTAGAATTACCGTTATTTCTATCGATTGGCGCCTGAATTTTCACTTTCTTTTCTATGGGAGAAAGAATATTCGACAAATCCGAGAGTCGGGAGGTCGAAGAACTCGTTTGATTTAACGTTATGATATGTTTTGTATCAGTTGCTGCAATACTTTTTGGACGGTCGCGCTTTATATACTTTCGAGGTTCCGTAGAAGAGAGATTCAAATTGCTTAGGCCCAAATATTCGGAAGAAGGTTCTCTGTCGAACTAGATAAAGATAAATAAATAAAGTTACAATTAGATTATACATATAGTAGAATAGGAATAAGGAGAAAAACACTCGTACTCTTGTAGGGACAGGACACGGTGTACTAGGACTCATTTTATCAGGAAGCCGTAAATATTCGTCGCTAGTATAGTCTGTACTATCAGGTGATCCAGTAACACTCGAGTCTGTTGGAGTTGCTGTACGAGGTTGTACAGATGACTGATCGGCTGCATCTCTTGAATTTTTACTAAAATCTTCTGCTCCGTCGTACTTTCTCGTCTGCAAGCAAACTTTCCGAATAGAAGATCGTTTCCAAGTTAAAACGAATGATTTCACCAAAGTTTCAAACACTTTATTACCCTATGAATTTCATCGCTGATTTTTTCGAGATTTCTCAATGCTTCGGCATAGGTCATTTTAGCTTCACCCACTGATCTTTCTAACGCGCTTACTCTTAATTTTTGTTCTTCCAACATTTGATTAAAATGTGCTTTCATTTCGTAATATGGCCTATATAAAACGAATCGTCTTATTAATTGGGAAACATACTTAAACGTACTCTTTATCATAGATCGATATAAAAAAGAAAGAAAAAAAAGGAGGAAGCTTACTATTACTTGAAGCTGTAATTAAATCTAATTCTTCGTTATCTAAATATAATATAATAAAGTGTATAATAAGAAGCATAATAAATATAATAAAAACGCAGCACAACTTGTATATAAATATGTAGAAACGTTTGTTTGTAAAGGATATAAAATACTGTACGATTTTATTAATATAAATGTGATTCGTGCTGTATAAAGGAGGTGCCACGTCGGTTGAAAGAATAAATTATTAAATGGGATCTTTTCGTAGCACACGCACAAAATGAGGGTCGTGTAAAAAAATAAAAAAATAACGTCTATCCTACTTACAACATGAGCAAGTTGTGTCTGTAGGCGATACTGTTTATCAGAAGCAAGCTGCGACGTGCACCCATACTGCCAACATGAATATAACCAAAAGACATAAATACTCTAATATCTATACAAAATTAACATAAAAAATGAAACATAATAAACGGTAAAAAAGTAAAATGTTAAATATATGCATCATAATGAAAATGTCAAACTCTAACATCGAGATCTGTACATATATTAAATATGTAATTAAATGCAATACATTCCATGCATCGTTAAGTAAACTAGAAAATCAGTCGATATCAGTTGCCAAAAAGATAACAGAGCAAGTATCAAGAACATACCTAGACTTAGCAATTGCACGTTTTAATTCACGCTGTAATCTTTGAACTTCGTGTTCTGCTCTGTGATATAAAGCAGTGGTATGTCTATGTTCGGCTTCCGATAAAGCCCTTTCATGTTCCGATTCGTTAACTCTAGCAGTTGCATGATTCAACATTTCCTAAAAGAATATTAAAACTATACAATTTGTTAATGTAATCCAACTAATCTTTTTTTTCCTTTTTCTCTTGTTTCTAGTACCTGCCAGGCATGATCGAAACATCTTCCTTCTGTCCTTAATCCTTCTTCAGCCAAGTAAACCATTTCTTTAGCTGCTGCATGCTGGCTATTGGCTCTTTCAAATCTGACTGCAGCTTTCTGTGTTTCGTGTAAAGCCTTGGAAACAAAGAAATGAAAACTATGTTGAATTCATTCTCACGAAATGCAATCTAAACTGTACAGGATTAACAGGTATCTTACTTCTTTTGCTTTAAACCTGGCATCGTAATACGGTCTGGATTTTTCAATACAAGAACCAAGTTTTTTAGCTAAAGTATCAATTTTTAAGGTAGATTCACAGAGTAGTTCTCTGAACGTTGCTCTCGCTTCCTGAAAACAATATCCATCCGTTATTTACAAATTGCGTTTCCATACATCTTAATTTGCTTTACTAAATTGGATAGACACCAAGTTTCAAGTCACGAAACGTTTCTTTAGATGATATTATAAATGACTACAAGACGATGTTTGAAGCCATTATCCATTTACTCCAACGCTTTATAGCAATCACCTCAATGAAATGTAATCGCAACCAGTTTCAAAACTTGCTACTAATTTGGTTCTTTCGACGAGGGAGAGATATTTATTTTAATTTCGATTGGTCCCGATCAAAAATTATTTGTGCAACAAATAGAAAGCGTAACAAAGTTGATTATACTTACATCCAAATCAACTTCAAGTTTATTGATGTCATCGGTAGCGGTATTTAATCTTTCAAGTTCAATCTGAAATGATAATAACGAAACAATTGGTAATAGATATTTATTAAAAAACATTAAGTAGAATTGTTTGAAAAGAAAGAAAAATTGTTCGATGCAACAGACTTTTATTAAATAGCATTTATTTATTTGCAGTTTGCAGTCCATCGAATTCGTATCGAATTATATACGACCGTTCGTCCACCGAATAGACGGATAAAGGAAAGCAAAGTAAAATGTGTAGTACATTGAACGCAACCTGAGAAAACAGAAGAATTATCCATAAAGACGTTAAACGTTTGCGACATGTATAACAAGTCCAAGAAACCGGACGACTATTTTTCACATTTCAACGAAGATTGCAATGCGATCAGGTGCTTGATTGAAAGCAACGTGGAAATGTCAATATCGTAAGTAGTTGACTTCTGAATGCCTATAAATTATTCCTGAAAGAACACATCGATTTACCTGCACTCTAGGGTCCACTGCATCGTCAATACGATCAGAATCATCGGCACTTTCTTTCTGCACACGTCCACTCATAATTAAAGCTAGAAATAAATTTTATTTACAATTTTTCATACCACCTGTATCGTCTGCTACATATCAGGTGGCCATATTGAATGTTAAAGCAACTCACGACTCACAGTGCCGACGCCGTCCACGTTAAAACGGTCAAGGGCACTTGTAAAGTCTTCCTCATATAATCAGGACAAATGAAACTAATTACGATATTCTTTGAACATTCTTAGGTTCAATTATCCATTACTCGATGAGATGGATGGAGAGATAAAAGAGACCAGAATTTGAAATATCTCATCTTGTCAAAGTGTCAAAGGTAAAGGTATAGATAGAAATAATTGATACTCAGGGATCAGCATCTGCATTGCATTTTAAAACAGGATGCAGATTTACGTGTATTTTATTTTTAGATTTGTTACATACATACAGTGATCTCGTCTAACCGGCTTGTAAGTTATCCATACAAAATATACCGCCATACGGCCATAAATATGGCGACCAATGGATCGGATATGGCGACGGCGACGAGCTGTCTATTTTGCAGATAGAGGGGGCTCTGTCTACTCTTCAGGCCCGCCTGAACTCTCAAACAGATTTTTTCTCATTCGCATTGGTGAGTTCTGTGCTGTCGGAACAGGTGGATTACTTTGAGGGAAAGCGGACGGACGACGGGTTAGAAACGTCAGTCGCACCGAATCCTACAATAATTCATCGTGTCGGTGAGTGAAAACATCAAATTACTCGACGATCTCTCAACGCAAAAGAAATCGGACATTTTTTTTCCATTGCCTCATTGTGTCGCACCGGTACTTATTTAACGACAACAACAACAACAACAACAACAACACAACAATAAGAAAGAGAAACAAAAAGATAAAAGAGAACTTTTTCATCGAACGATAGAGCACTTTCTATTTCGGTATTTTTATGCAACGCTGCGAATAACGATCAGCGGAACAGCGAAAGGCAACGGACAGACGAGAATTGTAGTAGAAGAGAATAAGGAAACGTAAAGGTCTGCCCGTGATCTAGACAACACTGTGCAAATTCTGCAACCAACGTTCCAACCAACAGAAAGGCTAACACAGATTCTGCATATTTTCAGTGAAAACATTCTCCTCTTCGCGCTTTCTGTTTTTCACGTGACTCGCTATATGTATGTATGTATGTATTTAAGATTTTAAATTCGTTCGATTCGCGCTTCTTAACCACCTACATACTTGGATTTTCTCCGCGTTCCTCGTTGTTTATAAATTGAAATATTTTTATTATCCTAACTTTAAAATGAGAACTAATTACAGTGAAGAACAATTTAGTGGATTGTTCAGAATTGTAAACATTCGAGAGGATCTCAACGGATAAATGAAAATTCGTATGTTGGTTTAACGAATCAAGTCAAGGACGCGAGAGGAACGGTGTCCCATGAAACATAAACGTCAGGAAGCCTGTTGTATCGTGTTCGACTATGTATCATAGCCGAATCACAGTTAACTGATTTCGTATTCATTCTGCGAAAATGTAGTCCGTTGTTACGACAAACACACGATGCGATACGTTCAGAGCTCCCTTTTCATCGTAACTGATTCGATCAAGTGGTAAGTCATTGCCTGTATCCAGAGAAAGAGAGAGAGAGAGAGAGAGATCGTTTACCGTACTTTTCGTTTAATAAATTCAGGCACGTCGCGTCGGCGGGTGCAGATAACTTTTGATATCGCACAAACGCCCACTCTCGGACCACGACTCGTTCGAATTGCCGCCGCTCTTCAGCTCGTTTCCCCGCTTTCTTTTTACATAATTTTTCTCGTAAAATTTTCTTTTTAACATGGTCCTATCAAATTTTTTTATAATTACGCCTACATAACTCTGTAGAAAGGAAATTGATTTTTCTCCAATATACACATATGTAATAACATTTATGTATTGTCGTTTCCATGATAGCAACTGTTTCGATACTTGTGAACGGTATTGAACATTAACATCATTTCTTAGGTGAACACATGGAATTTATAAAACCGTTGATGTAACGTTCGCAAGCTCGTCTATTACGTGACTCGTAGAAACGTGTAATAGCAATCATATGGCACGCTCAGATGTTTCAACGATGAGATCCGTTCGACTGACAATCTTTTTCTTCAGACTTTTAAAGAGTCACCCCCCGATGTTTGGCTGCTGCCCTTTCACGATCAGTCAGATAGTTTTCTTGTTTAAGACGCGTTATCAGAGAAGTAAATTTAATCGAAATTATTGCATCGAATAATTCTTGATGAATAATAGCTATCTGAAAAGGTGTAATTAACGTTAGCTTACACTTACGTAAGGAATTCGTGATAGCGACTATTGTCGTTTTATGACTGTTTTAGTTCCTAATTGAAAAAGCATACTTACCTGTCGATTCATTGGAACAATTTATTTTTCTTTCAGTAAGATTGGCGAGGAATAGGATACGCTGATATTTAGGAAAGAACAGGCAAGAAAAAAAACACACAACATTTCGATACCTCTCGTCTCCGTTTCCAAGAAAAGATGATCCTTGAAATTTTACAACGTCAGGCTATTCTTTTATTCTTCATTTAAATTTTAAATCCGAGTATGTATAGTTTTTTTCCCATTGAAGTTTCTTAAACTTTTCAACAGTTTGAAGAATGTTTCTCTTCTCAAACAAGTCTATCGAAGCGATTCGAAATTCTACGCTTGTACTTACATTGAAAATGATGCAAGAGAAAGTGTTGAATTGACTGGTAACGTTACCCTGTACCATGAACAGATAATCCGGTATACGAAACGTTGACCCGTTGCCACCGTGATGTTACTTTGGTGTTGGCGAACGAAAAACGCGGACGCGACGGAACGGTGGTTGGCGCCGTTTGGGCGGTCAAGAGCACGCTCGGAGGAACCAGCTGATTACGTGCATGGTATACCGGCAAGAAACATATAATTAATTCGTAAATAGAGAGTACGCAAAGGAAAAAGGTGATTTGAAGGAACAACGTGTTGTACTCTATACCTATAGTACCCAGAATCAGGGTGTCGCGTCGTCCCGTTGCTCTTTACGATTCCTTTGCAATGGATTTTAAGTTAAATTCATAATTAATTTGATCAGTGTTTTCGTGAAAAATGTTTCCACTGTGATTACGTTAAATGTACTTACAGATATGTGTTCGTGCACGAACAGAGAATCCTCTCGATGATAACCTTCGTTTACGTATCGTCGACGCGGAAATCGTACGTCGTATGTCTTTTGTCATGAATCTATCAATTCCATTCGTCTCTCTTCCGCGATAATTAATGGAAAATTGCGGAGCTAAAATCTCGAGGCGAGCATTTAAATAATAGGCAGCAGGTGATGTGTATGTATTTACGAGTGTGTATGGGTACTCGACTGTTTCCAGTCAAAATCATTACGTTCTTTCTTTCTTTCTTTCTTTCATTATAATTCATCGACTATTGTTTTTCAATAACTTTTTTCTAGATGGAGTATACCAATCGAATCGCGTGGTTCATTGTAATTTCACGATTGCAGCTGCTTTTGAAAAATGAAAATGCAATTCGAAACGGATGGAAGTTGACGGAGGAATAAATGCCTTTGTGTGAATGTTGCTGGTGTGCAGATAAGCGTAATCTTCGTCTGTGACTATCAGAAAGCTCGTGTTTCCTATGTATGTGCTAAACCCTGGAAATACGTACAATAATTGTCTTCTATTCAACGTTTATCAGGTGGGCGTACATTGTTCAATGATTTCTTTTTATTCGATTCAAAATATGAAAATATGTAGAAAGAGGAAAAATGATTAACAATTTGTTCTTGATGTTGAAAGTAGAACGATCCAAGTTCCTTTCTAAAAAAAGAAATAAACAAGGTTGCAACTACCTTCTTTTATAAAATTCTTGATTGTTCTCTGATGAAATTAGCGTTGGCGATGTCAGAAAGCGAAACTCTCGAGTTTCATGCTAGTAATAAGTAGGTATCGTTTATGCATCGTTATCGATATGTATGTCAAGCATTTTCTGTGAAAGAACAAAATTGTTAAAGTCTTTTCTTCTTACAAACTTTTCGCTCGATTTCTCACCGAAGCAATATTCGATGCGAGAAAGTCAAACGCATTTTTCAATTCCATATCAGTGATAGATAAGCAAGCATCGTTTATGCATTGCCAGTGATATGTGTGTCAAGCATAGCGAATCGAGATACACTTTCCCTGCTTTCGCTCATATCCACCGTCCAAGACGAGTTCCCTAGCAATCTACTCTATGTATTGTCCGAAGTGGCCGGTAAGTGAAACCGGAACTCGAGAAAGTTCCAAAAAGATCATCTATACACGCACCAAATAGCAGAAATAGAGTAGAGAGTAGAGAGTACATAGAGAGAAACGGGCTTTGTCAACGATAAGTACTTAAAGGAAGATGATCAAAAGAAAAATTGTGCAGTCAACCCTTTGCTACATTCGATCGTATAATGAATGAGCAACCGTATGCGAAAAAAACCGGTTCTCAGTTGCTGATGTTGAATCATACTTAAAACCTGCCCACTTGTGTCTTTCACGTTCACATTCGTATTATTCAGTTCCTCAATGACGTTCGTCCAACACGCGTTCGACAAAAAAAAGAAAAAACGGCACAGAACAGAACGCAACGATTCGTTTTTAAACAGATATATGTTATATGGACACGCATCTTCTTTTAATGGTATTTTATTTATCTGACGATTGCTTCTGACGTTCTGTGACAATGACGTTACTGTGAATTATAACGAATAAGCAATTATTTAGACAGATTTTGTAAGATTGATCACAGGTTGTTTTCTTTAACTTGTACCCTGTTTGATGCTTTCAGAGTACAACTAGTTTATTTCTTACGGAAGGCATGGAACGCACAAGAAGCTGGTCAGAGGAAATTAACAATCAGTTATTTCTTATTGTGTGATCCATGAGATTGTACAAGTCCACGATTCTGTTGCGCCAAACTCTTCGACGCTACTTTCATACGCTCGACGATTTTGTAATTCAACGCGTTATTTTCTCACGCATAGACGATTGCGTTCCAGGTTCTTGTACTTTTATCCACAAAGAAGGAAAGACGAGGTCGCGTAACACGTGTCACGAATATAGCGCGTACATCCTGTTGCAAAGGTTCGTCCTAAATTTCTCTGAGTTTCACAAAATCTCGGAAGTAGATAATCTTTGTGTTTATGCTGTGGAAATGGAAATGGAAATGGAAATGGAAATGGAAATGGAAATGGAAAGTATACCGAATAAAACGTATCGATACATATTTTGATCGTAGGGTAAATGAAATTTTCACGCGATCGTGATCGATTATGGAAAAAATGACACCGATTGAAAAGATATACTATACATAAATGGATCTTGTATACTGTCGTTACCGCTCAACGATCTACGAGAGAAGAGGATAGACGGCATTGGTCTCGGTCGTGGCTGGTACCGCCATCCTCCTATCCCTTCTCATTCTGATTCGAATCATCTGCGATCACTAATCGCATTCTTGCTTTTATCTCGTGTTTTCTTTTCGAAATTAACGTCAAGCATTTTTCTTTAACGCGTCATATGCAGACGAAACATTGACGAGATTTCACAAGATTCGTCAGAAATTTGAAACTGTCAGGTAGAATAATAACATAAATGTGACCTAGGTGGTCCAAAGACATTAGTTTTGACAGTACTGACGATTCGTATTAATATTTCAGAGTGAGTGTCGTATGAAGGAATGCATGGGAATCTAAGCTGAACGAAATTGGACGAGGATAAAGGATAAAGGATAAAGGATAAAGGATAGAGGTAGAGGAGCATCGTCTGGTTCGATGAAAAAAGGAATGAAACAAGATGGATAGGAAACAATTAGTTTAGTGGCAATCAGTTGCAAAGTCGAAGGAAAGTAAGTAAGTAAGTAAGTAAGTAAGTAAGTAAGTAAGTAGTTTGATGAGGAGCATGGTCTCGACCGTGGCTGGTACCATCACCTTTATCAAGTCTTCTCGTTCTACCGAATAATCTAGCAGCACCGACCGATTCGACTCCCACGACTGGTTCCGCCAGTCGAGTCGGTCGAGGTCGGTCGAGATCGCTCGAGTTCGGTTTCGTTCGGTTAATCAACGTGCGCGCCGATCAGTTCACCATGAGCCGTCGAGCGGCTCGCGTTCTTTAAATTTATCATCTTCTAGCTAGCTTTTTTTCTTCTTCATTCTTTCGCCAGTTTCATTTATTATTAATTATTACCGTTTCTTACCGTTCCGCTTGCTCGAGAATCGCTCGATTGTGGGTATGTGTCGTTGAAGTTGACTCTGTTGGATATAACGGAACGCTTGGTAAGTTTTTATTAAACTTACTTACTTCCATCGATTATTTTCAACAATAATCTGCCTTTGTTGTAAAGATAGCCGAGACGTTTGAAAATAGTATCCATCGTATCTCCTTTCTTAATCATCGTTTTCACTCGTTTTTACCTATGAAATTGCAATTGCAGTTGGCCTTTGTTGGTCGGTGCAATCGTGAGAGGAGCGTTTCCATTGTACCGATTCGAAAGTCGTGTGTCGGTAGTGGCTGTGCGTGGCTGGTTCATAACTAGAATGTATATGTATATCCTTGCGAGCTGATGCCAGCTGAATGCGAGGACTATCGCGCATTGATATCGAAAGAAACAGTGATTTTTCAGAAACACAGAAAAGGAAAAAATGAATCTCGTTTATAGTTTCACTTTTCATTGACCAACCCCCCAGGAACGTTTGAAAGGTTTACGAGTAAAATTACGTTACGTTGTTTGCAAGTGAAATCTTTGCCTCTACTTAAACGTTCTACTTTCTATCGGCCTGGCCTGGTCTGCTGCCGTTTGCTTTCTTACATGGAAATTGAAAAACACTCGTGTATTCTTCGCGTGCATATCTGACAGGACACCGTCGCGTCGCTTTGCTTCGAAGAAAACTTGTAACCCAGAGAGCATTGATTGCTTCGATTGTCGATAAGAGTATTTTTCAAGAAAAACATTCCGATGATCTTTGCAGGCCCGTATAGAGACAATCATCGATGTCAAAAGGTCCGATACGAAAGCTGATGTCAAAGGTGAAGATTCGAAAGAACGCGATGCAATATTCGTGGAATTAATCAAATGATAAGCAGTCCGACTGGCGCCTGAAATTTATTTTCTTTTTCTTTTTCTTTTGCTGACTTTAACGCATCCGCTGCTGACAAGGTTCATCTAGAAAATCTAGAGTAGCGTACATGCCTGCATAGAATGTATTGGACTCTGATCAGAATTCAGAATAATTATCTATTTTTTTATGATTTTGTTAGAAATGTAGGAATGTGGTGTTACACAATACTTGGGTAGCAATTACCGTAATGAGAGAGCAGAATCACACGCGCAACAAGAACAAGAGAATAGAGGACGTTGCACCGTAGCAAATTCGTATAGATTTTTTATCGATGTTACAAATTGGCTTCAAGGTAGTAGTTTTAACTGACACAATCAGCTTGACACTTGCATTTTGACTTGAGAACGCCTCGACTGTAGATAGATAGATAGATAGATACTCTTCTAGGTAACGTCTTCTTTTCTGAACTCTTCTTATCGATGAGAATTCATTGATATTTTCCTCTAAATTCTAAATAGATGTTCTAGCTGGGAATGATTCGCGTGGCAAAATTCTTTTCGAGCATGTCCGAATCCTCGTTGGTACACGTTAACTGAAAGTGTTACATAAAGCTGGCTTATACTACATATCTTGAAGGGTTGAGTTTAATTAAGGACAGAAAGGTGATTTAAAGTTAGGAGATTCTTTCGCAATGACTACTAGTGGATGATGGATAGTATGGAGGGTAGAGCAAAGTTGAATCCGAGTCGGTGATCAGGGCATGGTAGAGATTGAATTAACAACGGCAACTAATTGATTGATTGATTGAACGCATGGTGGTAGTCATAGGATGGTAAAACACGGTCTGCGTGTCAGTGGGGGAGTCTCACCTTGAACGTGTTATGCAAGCTGCAATTAGCATACTCATAGTTAGGGTTAGTCGGTAGAAAAACTGCGTTCTGCCATTCGTTTAATGGACCAGGCGTAAAACGGTGCCAGTGTCTCGTTTCGTCTCGTCTCGTCTCGTCTCGGGCAATTAGAAAATTCCGTGGAAGCATTTCTACGGCGAAGCGCAGCCTCTTCTGCTCTCTCGATACACTTCTTTTTTCTCGATCATTATACGAGCACGTTCTAACGGTCATTTAATTGAGCAATTACGCGTCTCGTGCTAAATGTTAATAGTTAATCTACATATATCTACTCCGATATATATAATATGTGTGTGCATGTATGTATCGTTTTTATTATTATTAAATACGTTTGATATTGTTGCGAATGAAAGAGAAAAAATAGCTTTCAGTTCGTTGTGTCTTTCAATAGAACGAGGAGTTTGCTCATCGTCGTCAGTTAACGGGTTCAACAGAGAAAACCGAGTACACGCGATTGATGCCCGGTGACGAAAGTTGACCGTACTTCCGTCCACGGATAAGAATTTATTCGCAACGCGTACAAAATTGGTGGCGAAAGTTGTTGACATTATCCTGAGGGTAGGAGGTGCGCGCAGTTACGCTTACGACTTTAGCTACGTTTACACGTTACACGTTATTCGTTATTCATTATTCATTATTCATTATTCATTATTGATGACGGTAACTTGTTGGTAATTATACATTTTAATGGTTTGTCACCGTTAAAAAATTCACGACGCACCGTATGCGTCTTAGAAGGAACGTTTTCGTTCTAATAACTAGAATAACAATGAGAAAGCATGATGAGACTAAGGAGACAGGAGTCAGCCTCGAACGAGTTTAAAGTTGCTTGATATTTCTATCAAGTACGAAGGCTAGACTCGGATGGGTGTCTGTTGCAGAGAATGGCTTAGAAAAGGTGTATTCTGTGTCCATCGTTAAACTGGATACTTGCAACGCGATACTTAACAACTGCACGCGGAACGGGTTGACTTTCGCGTCGCGAAACTGCGGTATTATTAGCATACGTTTCTCGATGCGATGCGATGCGACGCGATGCGATGCGATGCGACGCGATGCGACGCGACGCGACGTATTATTCGTGTGGAATGCAGGAAAAGTTGGATAGGTACACAACCACTTGGTAGACGATTTCACAGATTCTGGAGAAATCAAATGCATCACACTTGTTTAACATTAAGAATGTACCTTCCTCTCTCGGTAGTATCTATTTATAACTTGTCCTCGTGCTCTTCTTATCGTTTCCGTAAACATTTGCAATATCGCAATCGAGTAGGAATTGAAGAAACTGGTGTTAAAGCGAAGAGGTTTTACCCTTTGACGATGCGATACGACATTTATTATACAAAGTGTGGCAGGAAAAATTAATCGCAAGTATACATCGTTTTATAGAAAGATTTGTTTACGAGTTATTTCTTTCATAGGTACATATACATATACATATTCGTGTAAACAGCATTGTTCATAAGTGAAAGAACGATGACATTCTCCTCCTATCGAGTAGAACACCCTGTAGATTCGGATGCAACAGGTGTTGCAACTGTATGCAGCTGTATGCATCCTGCCGGTGAACTGGTCGCGTACCAATTTTATCGTAATTTCTAACTCGTTGAAATCTCAAGTGCGTATATAGTAGTAAGATCGCGGCAAGGAAGAAAATGGTTGGGTATAAATTAGGTGGTACGATAGTTCGTGGGTTCGTGGGTTCGTACACACAGAGGACAGTTGCTTCGACCTCTTTGTGGTTACGTGGGAGGAATAGGAAGTCGTGCATTAAATCCGAACCTGCAGCTTTCAACGCTTAAACGCTTCTCAAATAGAACGTACAGGGATACACACACCGCACCGGGCCGCGGCGTGAACCGGCACGGTCTGCGCACAAAAGCGAGATCGTGATTGCGCTCATTTTTCATTTAACACACGGCAGAAGGAGGAATTCACCTTCTTTCTTACAATTGGTTACCCTCTATCTGCTCGACTCGTTTCGAAACTATTATACATATGTACATACATACCTACTTACTCTACACTAACGTGTTGTATTCGACTCTTTTGCTAATTTATTATTTCGAGTAGAATATGGAATATCGTTAGGTTCAGAGTTGCGCGATAATCGTAATACTAACTTGTGTTTTTCTGCAACGCGTCAATGCACGCACCAGTCTAATTGAATATACCGTGGTCGAGAATAGTGTCATGTGTGAGATGATGAAACGCGAAAGGATTTAGCCTTCGTGTCCAAGGCTGACTGCTCGAACGCTCGAACAATCGTCTGCAGTTTAGCCGGTTGTACTTACAATTAGCTGCCGATAGCCAATTCGCATGTTCGCTATGAAATCACGGGGGTCGATGAAAAATCGTTTAGCTGAAAAACTTGCAACTTTTCAAGAAATAAGTAGCTTGGTAATACATATTACAAGCTATTCTAATCGACAGGAAGCGTTTCTCTGAACGGACAATAGATATACTCTCTCTTCTCCGGATATAATATACAACAGTATATTGTTTGCAATTATTTTATCCATCAACGTTCGCTCGGTTGTGTAATCGAGACAAACTAAAGAATAAAAATGCATCGTGAGGCATTTCTCACGATCCGCGAACAGTGAAAAGTCATTACATCCGTGATTGCGTAAACCTTTTCGCGAATAAAACCAATGATTTTCTTTTTTTTTCCGCGCGCGTTCAAGCGTCTAATAAGTTTTCTTCCAGCTTTCTAAGGATTATTATTATTAATATTCCCTAGGAATTTCGACGTTCAGACAACTTTTTCTTTCAAATCTGATCGTGATTGTGATTATTTTTCTTCTTTCTAGGTATCGGTAAGTTGGTGGTGACAGTCGCAAACCGACAATATGAGAAACTCAACGTTGCTGAAATGGGCGCAAAACTCGGCAAACAGTAAAAACCAAACGAGCAAGAATGGTAGGGCTCTTTCTATTCTATCTGCATCGTTCTATCTACTCGTATACGATCTACGATCTACGATATACGATATTTTTCTTCTCTTTTTACAGGAACGAATAGAAGTTGGATACATCCACCGGATGCGCTCCAAAAAGGTCACATCGCCTACTTAGTCAAGGTATAAATCGTTGCTCTTGTTGAAACTTCATTTCGACACGGAATTTCGACATCTGATAATACAAATTAAAAGAAATAAAAGTTTTAAAAGAATGCCTTTATCGCTTCTAAAGTAATCAAAAACGAGTGTAACGACGAAGCAAGGTCATATTCTTATTGCAAAATGCGCTGGCTGAATACGAAAGACTGAATACGAAAAAATATGGTAAATAAAAACAAACGATTTTCGCTCACGACTTTGTCCAGTTGATAATAATTATTATTTCTTGAAATATCAATATCTCTCGAAAAGGTCAAGATCACCATGTTTCTCGACGCATCAACAACTTCATAGTGTGATATTTTAAGGAAATACAGCATTGAAAATAGAATACGTAGACGTGTAAACTTGGATCTGTTGATTTGTTCGGAGCAAAATTAATGCTGTCAAGTAATTTCAGATGATAACATATTTAGTACATATTCTCGCAAGAAATATTCAAATATGCATATGATACTTTATCAGTCATTGCTGCTATCCCTGTACACTGTACATTGTTCAGTATAATAAGACTGTAAAGTGTTCACGTATAATAAATAGGTATAGCCTTGATCATTGATCTCGATGTCAGAGCACGTATTGTCGCTTTTTTGCAAATCATTCTTATAGAGCAATGCTTTATGATAATTCTTGCAAACAACGTATTTCAAGAGAGATTTGAAAGAGAAATTTCAAGAGAAAAACAAATTTATCCTTGGAATCAGGATTTCTTTCGCTTCTTTATTTAGAAAATAAATTCTTCCAATTACAATATGCGATTAATGTGTTTCAGTACTTGGGTAGCACAGAAGTGGATCAACCGAAAGGTATTGAAGTTGTGAAAGAAGCAATTTGCAAGTTAAAATTCAATCAGCAACTAAGAAAAAGCGAAGGTACGAAAACGCCGAAGGTAGAGCTCACCATAAGCATCGATGGAGTGGCGATTCAAGAGCCAAAGACGAAGACATCGCCAAAAGTACTGTAACTTTACAACTATAACTATAATTATTCTATATTCTATATTCTATATTCTATATTAAATAAATGTTCTGAAAACTGTGTCGGACCTTTCAAACTAAATTATAACTCAAATTTTTAGCGGATTATGCATCAGTATCCTCTGCACAGAATATCTTACTGCGCCGATGACAAGGGCGAGAAGAAGTTCTTCAGCTTCATCGCGAAAGAAGAAGACGCTGAAAGACACACGTGTTTCGTGTTCGTTAGCGACAAATTAGCCGAAGAGATCACGTTGACGATCGGTCAAGCGTTCGATTTAGCTTATAGGCGATTTCTCGAAACATCCGGCAAAGATTTGGAAACTCAGAGACGTTGTATGATACTACAGCAAAAGATCAAGCGATTAGAACACGAGAACAATGTGTATCGTCAACGACTACAAGATATAGCTGCTATCAAAGGATCGGTCAGTTTGACAAACGTAACATTTCTTTCAACGTAACTAACAATAAGATTTCATGAAAATCATCTTCTTTTAAAGGCTGATGTATCAGCTTACTTGTCGCAACACAATCTTCCGGATATATTGCACGTCGCAGGAGCTTCGAACGAGATAACGCAGGTAAATGGATCGACCAATAAGTCTTCTCCCGGAACGAATAGCGACAGTAATGGAAATAATACCACCAATGGATCTCAACCACCTCCAGTTCCTCCAAGAAGCTTCGAAAAATCATTCGACGATAATTTTATGGGGTAACCTAATCTTCATTACTATACACTATAGATTATTGTAGATTTCGTAACATTTCCATAAGAGACTCGATTGTTAGCTTTCTTCAAAATAACGTCACTAGATCTTCCTTTTTTGAAACAGAAATGAACCTACTCCCATGCCATCAGTTGGTACCAAGTTAGAAGGACTTTTGATGGACGAATTCGAAGAAGATTTTAATCCTAGAGCATACGAAAGTGCAGTTAATGGGATTGCGAATCATCAAACTAATCACAATGCTATTCTAAATGGCCAACTTTCCTCTAATTCCAACTTCTTCTCTCAAAGTAATGGCAGTACGAGTCCTCCTCCGTTATGTAAGTTAATTGGCAACAAATAGCTACTTACCTTTCGTCTACTTAGTTCCTTATATCGTTTTATTCAGTGGCTCCACCGCCTAAAGCAAAGGATTCTAGGCGTCAAAATGGGCTAAAGGAGGATTTATTTGGCAGTGTTCCCTTCAATCCTGCGCCACCGATCAATACAAAAGCTGAATTCAATGATCCATTTGAAATGGGTGAATTTGGAGCAACGACGGCGATTTCGAATCCCAGTCAGCAAGAGTTAGAAAATGCTATCGGTCTTTTGGATAAAAAGCTGTTGGAAATGAAGGTACATATATGTAGCATGGGAGTAAGATAAATTTCTTTATATACCATGTCTAAAACGATTATTAATTACTCGTACCGTACCATTCAATTTCAGGATGGTTTTAGCAGAGGTCTTTCTATCGACACCGATGATTTTTCTTTGGAAAGCTTGGATCCTCTAAGGAATTGAATCGTATACTTGTTTCTCTTTTCTTTTTTTTATTACCGGAATAGAAGGAACAATCGATTGTTTGATATCGTATGTTTGCTAGCGAGCGTAAAACTCCACAGAATGAATAGGCAAATTAGGAATTATACATATACATTTATATGAAACCAAAATTAGTCAATTACTATTACGATTATGCTAATCTTATATTTATCGTATGCCTACTAAATATTCATTGATAGTACCTTAAGTTTTCTTTCATACAGAGATCGTTTATTGTTAAAGATGGATATACAAGGAAACGAATGGTATTAATACTTTAACTTGAATACCTTTCGTCTTCTTTTATGAAAACTTTAATTATTTTATCGGAATAGAAACACATCAGAAAAATAAACTATTTTAGTAGAAATATTTTCTGACAATTCGTCGTATAAAGTATAATGAAAAAAAACCAAGCATGTTACTATACTCTTTCAATATAATCTATTTATACATTCATAATTAGGAGGAACCAATTATTGTGCCTTTCTGTCAATATTTAATCAACTCAACTGGAAATACCACCTTTAAAATGGTAATCATACTTTGTGAATTTTATCTTTTATAGATAAAACGCCGTCAGGGTTGTTATGGCTAGGTAAATTCATTTAATCCACAGATGCCTAAAGGTTACAGCTGATTGTTTCTATTACCGTAGGATTCAATTAAAAGAAATTAATAATATATTTTTATGCAGATACATTGTAACTTAAGATCATCGCGTCTGTCCTTTTGTTGACGCGAATCACAATACCACATGAAAAAAAAAAATACCGAAATGAAGAATAAAATATTAACTAAAATAGCGTAGAGATAATTCCTATAAATAGACAGATATATCTTTAATATCTGAAGCCTTTGCATCAAACTTATCCTTTACTTCGCTTTAATTGTTCTTCCGTTCTACGTTCTATTTAGTCAAATGAGAAATATAACTGACACGAAGGATTTCAGTCATACATTCTACAGACATTACGTATGTAAATGTAACATAATTCTGGAGATTATGCAAAGTTAATGTCTGTTATAATAATAATAATAATAATAAGATTATTAATTGTGTACATATCAAATGCTATTTTATTATTGTTACTCTATTCTTTAAGTATTATCGTTAACAATAAAATACGTAAATAATATAATGATAAAAGCCTATTTTTGAGGATTAGACAATTTTCGAATATCACGCTCTTCGACTTCACGCCGATTAACTACAAATAGGTGGATGTGAAAGAGAAGAAAAGCATTATATAAAATAGAATAAAATAGCTCATTACAAATATGTAACTAAAGTTTTAAAAACAAGATAGGTATTGTAAGGAAGTTAAAAAAATATATTATTCAGTTTTTCTCGTTCGTCTGTTTATTATTTAAAAATTTATTTAGTACAAGACTGCCGAACTCTCCTCCCATATTGCTTTCCCGTCACACAATTTTCTTTTAATTATTACACTTTTTTCTTTACACAACATCAATGTCACGTCTGTACGCTTCAGATGCCATGACACCATCTCCGACAAGATGTAATCTTGGGGTGTCAAGGACCCCGGCGACACTTTGCGCGCCGACAAATTTATCATCGGGGTGTCAGGGACCCCGGTGACACTTTTTAGGGGCCGAACAAAATATGATATTGGGGTGTCAAGGACCCCAGTGACTCTCTCTGCGCACCGACAAAATATCATCTGGGGTATCAGGGACCCCGGTGACTCTTTTTAGGGGCCGAACGAAATATGATCTTGGGGTGTCAAGGACCCCGGTGACTTTCTCTGCGTACCGACAAAACATCATCTGGGGTGTCAGGGACCCCGCTGACACTTTTTAGAGGCCGAACAAAATATGATATTGGGGTGTCAAGGACCCCAGTGACTCTCTCTGCGCGCCGACAAAATATCATCTGGGGTATCAGGGACCCCGGTGACTCTTTTTAGGGGCCGAACGAAATATGATATTGGGGTGTCAAGGACCCCAGTGACTCTCTCTGCGCACCGACAAAATATCATCTGGGGTATCAGGGACCCCGGTGACTCTTTTTAGGGGCCGAACGAAATATGATCTTGGGGTGTCAAGGACCCCGGTGACTTTCTCTGCGTACCGACAAAACATCATCTGGGGTGTCAGGGACCCCGCTGACACTTTTTAGAGGCCGAACAAAATATGATATTGGGGTGTCAAGGACCCCAGTGACTCTCTCTGCGCACCGACAAAATATCATCTGGGGTATCAGGGACCCCGGTGACTCTTTTTAGGGGCCGAACGAAATATGATCTTGGGGTGTCAAGGACCCCAGTGACTCTCTCTGCGCACCGACAAAATATCATCTGGGGTATCAGGGACCCCGGTGACTCTTTTTAGGGGCCGAACGAAATATGATCTTGGGGTGTCAAGGACCCCGGTTACTCTTTGCGCGCCGACAAATATATCATCTGGGGTGTCAGGGACCCCGGTGGCTCTTTTTAGGGGCCAAACAAAATATGATATTGGGGTGTCAAGGACCCCGGTGACTTTCTCTGCGTACCGACAAAATATCATCTGGGGTGTCAGGGACCCCGGTGACACTTTTTAGAGGCCGAACAAAATATGATATTGGGGTGTCAAGGACCCCAGTGACTCTCTCTGCGCACCGACAAAATATCATCTGGGGTATCAGGGACCACGGTGACTCTTTTTAGGGGCCGAACGAAATATGATCTTGGGGTGTCAAGGACCCCGGTTACTCTTTGCGCGCCGACAAATATATCATCTGGGGTGTCAGGGACCCCGGTGGCTCTTTTTAGGGGCCAAACAAAATATGATATTGGGGTGTCAAGGACCCCGGTGACTTTCTCTGCGTACCGACAAAATATCATCTGGGGTGTCAGGGACCCCGGTGACACTTTTTAGAGGCCGAACAAAATATGATATTGGGGTGTCAAGGACCCCAGTGACTCTCTCTGCGCACCGACAAAATATCATCTGGGGTATCAGGGACCCCGGTGACTCTTTTTAGGGGCCGAACGAAATATGATCTTGGGGTGTCAAGGACCCCGGTTACTCTTTGCGCGCCGACAAATATATCATCTGGGGTGTCAGGGACCCCGGTGGCTCTTTTTAGGGGCCAAACAAAATATGATCTTGGGGTGTCAGGGACCCCGGTGGCTCTTTTTAGGGGCCAAACAAAATATGATCTTGGGGTGTCAGGGACCCCGGTGACACTTTTTAGGGGCCGAACAAAATATGATCTTGGGGTGCCAAGGACCCCAGTGACTCTTTGCGGACCGAACAAAATATCATCTGGGGTGTCAGGGACCCCGGTGACTCTTTTTAAGGACCGAACAAAATAACATCTTGGGGTGTCAGGGACCCCGGTGACTCTCTTTAGTGGCCGATTAAAATATCATCTGGGGTGTCAGGGACCCCGGTGACTTTCTACGCATCGACAAAATATTAAGAAATTATTCACTTGCAAACAATGAATATGATATATTTATAAATCACAAACGATTTCCAATCAATAACAGTTATCAGTTATCACAAAATCTGTTTATTTTAAATAATTACTAAAAAGATTCGGCTCACATCATGATTGAAATGAAATTGCTAATTACAAAAGAACTAATTTGTCACAAACGTTAAACATAGACCTACAATTAATCACAAACGATTTACGAACGAAATACACTAAGAAATATTAAAAATGATTATATTTTATTATTCCTTCCAGCTAGATTCATGTAGGTGTCAGGATAACCTTAGCTGAAATGTGCGACCTATAGACTTTCTATAGAAAAATTGAGACCTGCCTCGATCAATCAATTTTGAAGAGGCGCTGAAGACGATGCAACCTTTACTAATAAAATTACGCACTCGTGGAAGATTTAGACAAGACGAATTATAGGATCTAGTTTTGCATATAATAAAGTAACAATGGGTATGATAAATGCTAAATCAACTTTAGTAAGTGCAGAATCGAAGGAATCTGAAAAACCTAATAAACCTCTTAAACCTTGTTGTGCATGTCCTGAGACGAAAAAAGCGAGGGACGATTGGTACGCAAATAATTGAATATTAAATAAATAACATTCTTTCTTAAGCTGCTTTTAAGAATCCGCTATGCGAGATTTAATCGTTACATGTAAACAAATTCTATGACAAAGTTGTACAAGATCTGATTATTTGTCTTTTGTGTACGTGGATGCATAACCTCATCTTTCATTTCTTTAGTAAAGCTACTATGATTTCAGCATTATCACCAAAGGCGAGGAACACTGTGGGAATTTAATAGAAGCGCATAAAGCCTGTATGAAGTCAATGGGTTTCAACCTATAAATGTAAACTATTATTAATTTAGAAAACAATAAAGGCTGTAATGATTTACAATGATATTCTTACTGTGTTTACCAACTAGTTCCACTAGATCCATTCAATATTTCTCTATTTTACAAACAAGATAGTTTTATTTGTATCAAATGTGTTATTTATTTTAGCGCTTTCCCTTTTTTTACATAATATGTATAGATTTGAATATCAAAAGGATAAAAGTATTTTACTGTTAAGGAACATGGAATATATGTATATGCAATAAATAAGAATATTCGTTCTAAATGACACAAAACAATCAGACGTAAATTGGGAATTCTAACAAAGCATATATTTTAGTTCGACATGTGGTTAATGTGAAATTCTTTTTACACTTGCATAACAATTCCATGGCTTAATTTGCCTCCACACTCCAAAATGTTGAACATATTCTTAATTTTTCTGTTACAATTCAATATAAATGATAATCGTATCTTTGGTGTCAGTCATTATTATTGCATCTGGTCCTACCGAGCAGAAAGACGAATTTTCATTCGATTAGTACATTTGATAAATTTTTAAAGCCATAAAACGATAATGTTTTTTCATTGTAATGAACATTAAATTCTCTAATGATTTTCAATATTTGTCAACTGTAAGTAATAGGTGTGTGTATGTGTGAATATCATTTATCAGATACAGTAAGTGTTGCGATAACAACAGCAACAACAACAACAACAATAATAATAATAATGACGATGATGAGTGAGAACTGTGATAATAATGATTTCGATATAAATGATGATTGTAATGATATAGTAATAATAATAATTTTGTAAATCACTTAACTTCTTCTTTTTTCTTCTTCTTCTTCTTCTTCTTCTTCTTCCTTCTTCTTCTTAAGCGTATAATGTAACAAGATATAATGGACTGTAGTGTTTTGTTTTGCTTTCTTTCAGTCACAGCATTGAATTCAACTTACAAGTTTAAGTATGGATAGCCTTAAAATAATGAAACAATCAAATAGAATATTTATAATTAGTATGAAAAGTAGTTGTACTTGATGTATGAGTGAGTAAAGTGTAATATAACGAAGAGTGTGCAAATATGTGTATAGTATACAGGTAAATGTATATAGAATATATGGAAATATGTTTGTTATTCTTGTAGACACCCCAAAGCGATATAAAAGCAATGATAATAAGAAAAATACGGTAGATAAAATTTTATTCTGGTACGTATTACGATGTATTAATTCTAATGGTATTTTTTATTGACTGAAAATTGACAATATTTTGACAAGAATGTTTATTAGAAATGTTAAGTACAGGTGAAAGAAGATAAGCGCGGGCAATGCCTTTCTTTTAATATTTCGATCATATGGAGTGTCTTCAAAAATATTTGTAATCAGACGATTGATTAGCGTTAAATCGATAACAGCATCACAGCTACGAAAGAGTCTCGTTTTTCAAGCTCTGCCATGGCTTTTTCGTTGATGCAACCGACCGGCATAGGACGATTGGTCGACTAAAAATTAGCACAGCCTGTTCGGTGCGACGAAAATTGAGCAGAATATTGTGAACAGGAAACGACGATCAAATTGATTTTTTTTCTTTTTTAAATCATTTATATAGTTTCTAACTGTAACTTTCTTTCCCGAGCACACATCATATGTAATAGAATATTTTCAGAACCGATTATCGATTAAAATGGGAATCATTACGCGCGATATATGTATATAGACATTTGTTTTCTGTTTCCTGTTTTCTCGCGATTTAATCAATTTCAGCTTCGAATCTCTTAATCGCGACACAAACTTACACGTATCTATATCATTCGAGGAGCCAATCCATTTATAATGGCTAAAAAATGCAAGAATATATTGTTAAATAATATTATTTTGCAACTACTATGGTGGAGCAAATCTCCTAATGATAAAACCTATAACACTGCGATCATGTAACTTTAAGGATGCCAGAAAAAATTGGTTTGAGGCAGTCTATCGTCTTTCCAAAAGATTTCACTCTTGTTCGGGTCAGCAAATCTCACCTATCTTGAGGTACGCGAATCAAACATAATACTTTGCTTTCCTGAAATGAAAAATATTTTATTTCTGATTATAAATAAAAAGCGAATAAACTAAACGAGCAGGGGGGAAAGAAGAGAAGTGGGAAAAAAGTTGCTCACGTGATACTCGAGATCAGTCTCCATGATACCGGTAACAGCAACAACTTGATACTGTCTTGCTTTCATTGCTGCAATCGATTTTCGTACTAAACGCATCGCACCGAGTGCACTACTGGTGCTGTTAAATTGTGCCATTTGTGCTGGACTATGGCTTGGATCGAGTACTAACATAGTTATTGAACCATCTCTTAATTGTTCTACTCCTATTATTGTTCTACTATGACCTGTAATTACCGAGAGAATTGAAGAATCTCGAAGTAATCGTTTTCTAGCAAGAATTTACCTTGATGTTGCAAATAAAGAGGGGGCTTGAAATCATCGCACCGTTGGAAGTATTGTAAAACCCAGTTAAACATCTCAGGATGTCCGCCGTCGGAGTTGGTTGGTCTATAAAAATCTACCAACTGACACCTATAAAAGGATAGAAACATATACATATATAGATATATGTATAATACGATTCCAGTAATAAGAAAAAAAAGATGGAAATTGCAAAACGTACTTAATTCTCAGACTAGATAATAATATAACTACTTCTGTCGGACCAATCCATTTTCTAGTATTCACTAGCTTTCCTCCCAACTGTTCCGCTCCTTGAGTATCGAAACCTTGAGCCCAAGCCCACTCGATCATTTTTTGAAGTCTAGAGATCGATGGTATCGAACTTCGAAGCGGATGCTTAGCAGAACTGCTACCGCTCAAACCAGAATTCCACGCTTTATAAACTAATTCGTTATACCCTGTATGTTGTAAAAGCGAAGAAATTAACATTTGCAAATTTCTATAACCACATCCCCAGCCTTTGTCTCCGTAGGTAGTGGCATAATGGTCTACGGTAGAACACATCCAGGTGCTCAATACATTACTACACGCTTGACTAACAGCTCGTATCTTGGGCACTAGTCCTATAAAAAAGAAAAGAAAGTAAAATAAAATAAAATAAAATAAAATAAAATAAAATAAAGTAAAAGAACAGAAGAGAAGAGAAAAGGAGAAGAGAAGAGAAGAGAAAAGAAAAGAAAAGAAAAGAGAAGAACAGAAACGAAAAGAAAAAGAATCTAACGAGTAAGAATCGCGATATTATAATAGAATGGTGTAGAGAATGTTCTTCGAAAGAGAAGAATCATTACCTCGTGTACAAGAACTGCTGTCGTCGATACCGCTACTTTCGGCTACTCTGAGTTCGCTTTGCCTTTCGTAATAATCGGCAATTGTCATTTCACCAGAATACACAGCCCGCTGCATATTAGTAACACTTTGTTCTCGAAAATTGCCCTGATTGTCCATCCCATATTGCGCCCTTAACATTTCAAATTCGCGCTGCTCGCGTAACTTTCGAAGTTCCTTCTCCAGTCTTTCCATGTCTTTTGCCAGCATCCTATCGGTTGATAAGTCTGGAGTTATCGGAGATGGAGTACACTTTTTACTAAAATGTTCTTCAATGTGTGCTGTTAGATCGTCATTGTTTTTAAACGAAGTGCTGAAACAAACTGGACATGCAGGAGTATCGCCGCCATTAGTTGCTTGAGCAGCCTGCGAAGCTGCACCATTTGCAGGACTAAAAAAGACGATATATATAATTAATTGGCCTTACTAATTTCTTGATATACACTGTTGTAAACCCAATAATACCTTAAAATATCTTTGTGCTCTATGTTGACGTGTAATTCTAGATCAGAAGAATTTGGAAAAGATGTGATGCACAGAGGGCAGTTAAAGACGCTATCGCGAGACGGTGGTGATTCAGGTGGGAAGGACGGCGACGTGAGATCAAAATGTTGCCTATTAATATGCTCCTCTAGCCTCAGCGGACTATCGGAACTGTACGGGCACATGGGGCACTCTTGAACCGGAAGTTTTGGCGAAGCATGGGAACGCAGTTGCAGATTTAGGCCTGAACGCAACGGAGAACCATGACCAGCTGCGCCTTCTATCACTGGAACAGAAATTTTCTTCATCCGTGTGCCGACACAGTTATCAAACAATTCAAATTCCTCTTACCATTATTAACATTCCCAATGTTATTGTTATTGTTGTTGTTATTCACATTAGAACTAGGAATCTGTGGTTCAGACTTTGGTATTTCTGGCTGCTGTTTAATACGTGAATTAAGCGAACTGCTCCAACCATTCTGAAGAAGAGGCGGGCTCGGAGACATGGTTGGAGAAGGACAAGGACCACGGCATTCTTCGTGTCTACGATCATCCACCAGGGAATCATCGTCGATGAATGCCATCATATCATTCTCTGGAGTACTGCAATAATTGATAGGAACAAAGGTTATTATGTTATATATTGTATAGTATAATCTCTGAATGTACAAGAGACCTATTTTCTATAAGGTAATAATTGAAAACTATATGTTTAATACTTTTCATTGTCAAGATTTAATTCACAGCTAGCATTTCGTTTTCGGCTGTTTATCATATCTTATATAGTACATAACTGATTTTAACTAATTCTAAAATTCTACAACAATCAAAGTACTACAAAACTGTGCACGTTCCTTTCAAGCTTAAAATTTACTTGTTATTTAATTCAAAGAGTAAAAAAAAAGAAAAAGAACACGTGACATCGATACAACATAAGCTATAGATAAAACGTAACTTAAACTGAGAACGTTGTTGTCAAACACGAGACGTATGTATGCACGTATGTATGTATGTATGTATGTATGTATGTATGTATGTAAGGGAGGAAAGAAACAAAGAAAGAAAGAAAGAAAGAAAGAAAGAAAGAAAGAAAGAAAGAAAGAAAGAAATAGTCGCCTAATACACTTTTAATTTTTACACATTTAACGGAATTTGATCAATCTACAGAGGTGCATTATCAAAGAAAAATACTAATAACAATTTCTTGAAGAAGAATCAAGAATCAGAAATTTTACACGCTACATGTCAGCGACATCTAAGATTTGCCTTTACCGCCATTTTCCAAGTAAACGGAATTATTTAAATACCTAAATAGCTCGCGCTGCACTTACGAAACATAAACTTGTAAATAATATAAGAAAAAAAAAAGAAATAAAAATGAATATATAATTTGAATGAATGTACATACCTTGGTGTTAAGTAATCAAGGTGAGCACTATTAACGTGAGCCAACATTTCCGTCGGCGAAATTTCTCCTAAATCGCAAAACGGACAATTAGCAGCCCCTTGTAGATGATAGAAAACCATATGAGACCTCATCTCTTCGTCGTTGAAACCCTCCAGGCCACAAATTTCACACGTGTAATTCATTTCCGGTGGTTTGCTCGCCGCCATTTTTATTACATATAATCAACACTTGCCGATCTATAATGAGGAAATATGAATACACGTTATTACGTTTGCACACCCCTATGAATTACTGACAATAATTACTAAATATGTAGGTATGTACTAAATAGTTGGATCGAATAAGAATTGAGTTTTTCGAAGGCGTAAGGATTTATGCAAATATCAGTGAAATTATAGTAGCATTCGAGTAACGTGTTTGCATTCACAGGCGAATATATGTATGTATGTATGTATGTATGTATACATGTATAACGAAAAAGAGAAAAAGTAAAAGAAAAAGAAAAAGAAAAATCGGAATGATGACCTAGGTGAAGTACACTCGTGACGATGCACGTCGGAAATGCACCGTCGAGTATTTTCCTCGGTGAATCGATAATTGAATTCAGGGTCGCGTACAAGTGTCCGCGATTGTACCGCGGCCATCCGTTAAGCTCTCTCGCTTTTAACAACGCATCGTGTTCCGATCCAGATGCAGAGATGTTATGTTTTAGTAAGCTATTATTACTAGTAAACTGAAACGAGAATAACAAACACTTTCACCTTGAATGTTAATAGACGCGTTTTCGTCTTCACCGAGGATCTCATACTTTTGCTATTGGAAGAAAGCTTTGATGGAAAAAACCGCGACGAGGATGGCGACGAGGATGGCGACGAGGATGGCGACGATGGAGACGATAGCACAGCGAGGAGCAAGGGATTCCGAACGGTACACTTTCGATATCGTAGTCAAGGAAAGTAGGCCAATCGAATGATTCGAAAAAGAAACGAGTAGATGTTAGGTGGTACATAGTTGGATTGGGTTGACCCATTTATTGTCTCGAGAACGCGTGCACTTTCAACTCGTGTTTGAAACATGCTGTAAACTCACCGAAAATTGATAAATTTCGCAACTCCTTGGGGTTGCGCACCAAGGCGTCCGTGCAGGCTGGAATGCCTAACACGGCGCCCCGTTTGCCTCCATATGATGATAGCGCCAATCCACCTCGACACTTTCACGAGAAGCGTTTCTCGTTCCAACACCCCACCGCGTCAACCCTCCACAACCCTCCACTGTTCGTTCGTTCGTTCGTTCCGGACCTTGCCGTAGGCGCCACCCCTGCAACCTTGCAACCTTGCTTGTACGCTGTCGGTAAGCTTCTATCTAGCAATCGTTTAAATCATGAAACATCAACTTGATCCAAGCACTTCTGTTGGACCGGATATATCGAAAGAGAATGGAGTATGGAGGATGCAGGTTGCATCCAAATAGCAAATTCTTGTAAAGTTTCTTTATAGGATTTCTTTATAGTTACTTGAGAAAGTTAGAAAGTTTGAAAGGCAGTCTCGGTTCATCTTTCAATCAGTTATCAACGCTTCAATGAAATCAGGGAGTCCAACGTTTACCTACAACAGACGAAACATAAATTGTATAGTCAATCAAACGTAAACGTGCATACGATAAACCATTATAATATTATTGGCCCCCCCCCCGCCTCTATTCCTTAACATAGAATCTCAGATTATCTCGAATGAAACAAGTTTTTTTAAGTGGCATAGCAAAAGTGACAATGCAAGTGACATAGCAAAAGTTCAATATTATTTCTACTTTTTCTAGCTTCTACGCGTTAGATACGTACCTCGAGAGAAATTAGCTTTAATAGTCAATGGATAAGTAATGCTATTGGCGCTTTTTACAAATAGTAGTAGGTTGGCTAGTCGCGACACGTTGACCTTTCGAAGCGAAACGGTTTTCATTAACCGTGACTTCGAGGAAAGCCTGTAACGTGTGATTTTTCGAGGCACTCATTCTACTCCTATTGTCCTTCTACGGCGAACTTTTCCATAATGACAAGCCGGCAAACACGAAAAAGATCGACCGCGACGCGACAAACAACAGAACGCAGTTAAAATTAATAAAGGCTAATCTATGTTTGCTGCAATGATCGTCACTGTAGGCAGTTTGATTTTCTACTAGCAAGACAACGCGTCTCGTTTGTCCCGTATAATAAATGTAGAATGTATATAAGTAGGTAGATTTAAGTAACGTGTTGTTACCTAAAGAAATGTATAAAATGTATAAAATGTAGAGAATGTAAAGAAATAAAGAATTGAGATGTTGGAGAAATTCGATTTCTCACGATGCGTGCACCTACACCAATTCCAAACCGTCAATTTCTCTTCCTTCGCTATTCACTGTTCGCCGTTTGCCGTTTGCCGTTCGACGCTAGTTCATTGACATGCAGCCGACGATTGACGGAGGATGCAATATTCACAGAACTATTTGGTCTTTCCCCTTGCTCGCTCTGTCCCTCCTCCTTCCTTTCGCTCGTTCGAAGGGTGCGTGAGGCAAATACTTGAAGCGTGCATGCACGGAAAGTAAATCGTCAGCAAATTCATTTCAACGAGCAACACCTCCTGTGTTTTCACGATCAACTGAACCTGAAAAAAAGTCGTCATTTGTCATTCTATTCTTTCTTTCGACAAGAAACGAAAAATTAAAATTATTTCGATAAACGGATATACATATGTATGTACAACACGCTAATTACACCATACTCTTCCTCTCTCTCTCTCTCTTTCTCTGTGGATAATTAATAACTATTCCGATTACTTGAGTGAGTTAAGGCCGAGTCGAGCAAAGTCCAAGCTGCAAAAACCTTGTTTGACATGACCTCGTTCCGATAGAATACTCGAAGAACGAAGAATCTTTTTTTCTTCTTTGATGGAATCAATGGGGGGTAATTAAGTATATACAAGTTAGATAAATTGTACGAAGGAAAATGAAGAGGTGAAAAGTTCGATAACTGTGGGTTATAAGCATCGCTAGATAGATATAAGCATCGAGCGTTTATTTTATAATTAGTTGTCGAGTGTGACGGCGTTACATTAATAACAGTGTTTATGGTGTATAGGGAGGTAGTTGCACGGTATAAACCGGTACATGTTTATCCAACAATATTCAGTTGAAAACTGGTTTCCTACGCGGTGTCTTTTCGACGACGACGAATTTTCCTTCGATCGGTTTCGATCGGTTTCGATCGGCTTCGATCGGCTTCTACAGCAAGTCTTTAGTTTTCCTTTGAACAATGTTGTGCGACCACCTTTTCAACGATAATTACGCAACGATGCGCATCGTATGATTACCGACAATAAAATTCTTATCGCAAACAACGCTCGATGCATTGGGTGTGCATACATATATCTCTGGCGAAAATAACGAGTCTGCGTTTATGAACGCGTACCGAGGAGAAGAAGAATATTGGATAAAAGATAGAGGAAGAGAGCCGAGAGACAATCCATCCGCAGCCTACGTGCGGATTGAAGGAGATTTGTCGACAGAATAAATGAATAAATTACATATCCATTGAGTTGTGACTTGATCGCGTTTGAACGCGACCCATCCTGTAAAAAAAATTGTAATTTTCATAAAGAAATGTTTGAAATTGCTTACAATTTACTTTCTGTTCAGCCTGATGCGATGAAATTAATACGAATAACTTGTTTCTTCGGTGGACGATCTGTCGTTTAGGACAAGAAAAAGCAAGTACACGTTATTTGGGTTATTTCTGACAATGAGATATCGGTGTTCGAGAGATAGCTTTACTTGACGACCGTCATATTCGTAATACCTTTGGTCGTTATCGAAACAAGAATGTACATACACAAGCACGGTACTATAAAATTATCAGTTTATAGAAAGGAAGAAAAACATTGAACCCACGGGCTAGAATAAGCAGACTGATGTATCTTATTCAACTATTTTTTCTACTGCAAATGTCAATGAAATCTCGTTCGATTAGTTGTAAATAAAAGACACGTTTATAGAAAATTTGTCACTCTAAACGCAAAGACTTTCCTCCGCGTCTTCGTTGAATTACCCGCGCGAAATTCCAAGAAAAAATATGCACGAGCAGTATCGCGAAGAAGAGAGTGAGAAGCGAAAAGCGAAAGAAGGAAAGAAAAAAGAAAGATGTGGGTATCGTGGGTATCGTGGGTATCGTGGGTATAGCTGGAAGATGTGACAATAGCAGTTGCACTGCGTGACAACGGGCCACGCGTCTTTTCCCTCCACCTACACGCAATCCCTCCGTCCCTATCTCTCCCACTCTCTCTCTCTCTCTCTCTCCTTCTGTAATCTCTCCGTTTCTCGCCTTCTCTCCTTCTCTCCTTCTCTCATTTTCTCCTCTCTTTCTTCTTCTCACCCACAAAGGGCCGAGTAAAAAGCTTACTGGAGACTCGAGGCCTCAAGTGCCAGTCGAAAAGCTCAGTCGTCCGCGGTCCGCGCTCCAGTGCACTTGCTTTTTGCACCAACATGCCAACTCTGTCGCGTTCCCTCCTCGTACGATCTACACTTTACGCGTTTCTTATTGTTTATTGAAGCGATCCGCGCCGATGCGTACAATCGAATCACGGTTTAGGGATTCGTTGAAACGCGAGTTGCGGTGAGATTGCAGGATGTTGTCGATCGGTTTGCTGATGACCATGCTCGCACTCGTCGTCGCCAATCCTTTCCTCGATGCCACGCAAGGTAAATCATCTCGATCGTCTATTATCGTTTCCTGAAAACAATCATTAGATTGTTAGTGTGAGAAAGAAACAGCATTTTCTTCGTAAACGGACCAGCTACCCACTGTAGATGTTAAGTTTCACTTGCAATGTTGTCACACGTACGTATAATGAATAATGTTCAAGTTATTCGTCAACTGTTACGCAACATATACCGTGGCGAAAGGGATAAAATTAAAAATGAAAAGAAAAAAGGCAGTTTACGCGGCAATTTATCGTTGCGCCGCAGTGCCGCCGCGCCGCCGCGCCGCGCTGGGCCGATGAACCGCGCCGGATGATTATTTTTAAAATAGCCGATGTCAACTGCTAGTATTTCGCGGCTGCGCTAAGATTTAGCGAATCCATCTCCGCGGATCTTTGTCATCGACGACAACTTCTTGGCCACATGTGTTCTCCATCTTTCATTCTCTCTTACTTACCATTTGCCTCCACCACTCTATTAATTCTCGCTACTTTTTTCCTTTTTCCGCCTCTTCCGCTCTTCGATTCGCGCCTTCTCGAACCTTATCGTCGCGTTTCAGCTTCTTTATCGAGTTTCCATGCTCGAACGTAAGTAGGTACATGAGAAGTTTGCTTCTTCAATTCGTTTGCCAACTGTACGCGCGACAAAAAGTCACGTTTCCTTCCGCAATCGTCGTTCGTTACTCCTATCTATCGAGTATTCACCTTCCCAACGCAGTCCCGTTTACCTATTTTTTATCTACTCAAATGGAGTATTTTACTTGATCGATCTTTAATTTATCCGTGTCATTCGTCAAGCAACATTTCTGTCGAAATTTACATGGTACACGGGCGTGTGAACGATGTGTCACTAACGGTCCTTTGCCTTTGCCTCTTCGAAAGCGTTCAACGGACCTCTGTGGCAAATAAAAGGAAGGAGAGTTGCAAAGTATATGTATTCTCGTACAAGTATATTCGCATAGCAGAGTCGAAGGTGATAACGCGTCTCGTTTCTAGCTGTTCCTTTCGCCTTTCCGTTCATTTCATTTCCTCCTCGATGGAACGCGTTGCTGGAATTTCATAAATTGAACAACGAAATGAAACAATTCTGTCTTTAGTTTTTACCGATTAGCGTATTAGCGTACCTGTGATGAAAATGAACAGAAATTGCATTCGACTTAAACTCCACTTGAATTGATATCTCGTAAATCCGTCAGCACTTTTTTCTTGTATTTTTCTTTGTCAACCGACTAGTTTGCGTTCTTTTCTATCTTCTATCTTCTATCTTCTATCTTCTATCTTCTATCTTCTATCTACATACATACATACATACATACATACATACATACATACATGTATATGAGTAAGCATATCGTAGCAAGGCGCAAGAATGAATGTTAACGTTGTTTTATAGCCTCGGTAGCAACTCCGATATTTATGCCATACAATGCTAATGCACTAAACAAGCAGCCTATCGGTTTTATCGAGGCTCGAAAGGCGTCGCGTCGATTTGGTGGGACAGTGTTTCTTTCCATGTTAGAGCAAGTTTCTTTTCTTTATTTAAAGTCTAAAGTCTAAAGTCTAAAGTCTAAAGTTAAAAATGTAAAAATGATTATGGATGGTGTTCTGCTAATTAATGTACGAATCGTAGGAAATTTCATGAAATGGCCAGTGCGACGCGCGTAAATCCTTTCTGTGGCTCGTGCAATGTCGTTCGTCTTACAGCTGGAAATTGGAACGCACCAGTTGCGTAACCGATTTATGGTAACACTTTGAATACATCGATCGAGGTTGATCTTATTAATTATTAAGCATACTTGAAGACTGAATCAAAGTTTAATCGAACATTGTTAAAAAATCTTGTTTGGGATCGAATTTTGAACTGGAATTATTGTTAGATACTTGATAAGATTATAGTTACTCAGGAAAATGATCAAGGCCAACTAAACGTTTGCATCGAGTCAATCTACTCTACTGTACTCTACCCTACCAACTTATTGAAATTAGTTATATCGAAAATAAATAAAATCGTGTTCTTTCCCCCGTATCTCTATGGTAGCCGTATCTCATGAAACCTTTATAAACGTTAAACGATCATCGAAACACCGATGGCAATTAGAGGGACGTCCTTTCAACTTGTTGAAGGATTTACGTCGATCCTGTTACCTCTTGTTGACCTCTTACAGCCAAGATCCTGAGGGACCAGTTGTCGCGAAACGCGTTGTTCAACGAAAGAAAAGAGAAAAGGCGAGGAGGAGGAGAAAGAAAAGGAAAAGGAAAAGTAAGAACGAAGGGGTTAAAGGAGAAGGCGACTTCCAATCGACACGGTCCAACAGCCGCGTGTACGCCTGTATACAAGCGTATTCTGCCTCTCGATACGCGTCCAGAAAACCAGCTGAGATAAATAAACACATAAAACCCCGTGACAGCTTCGCGTTGGATAAAAACATGTATCTCGATTCCCTTCTTCTTTTCTTTCTGCTCGACTGACGACCGTTCAAAAGGAGGAACGTTTCTCTTCCTCTTCGACACCTTTTTATGTGGTCAATTCAGCTGACGGTTTTCATTGTAAAATTAAAAACTGACCCACCAACTTGCTCGTCGGTATGATAACTTGATATGTATCAATTAGTAATTAGTTAATAATTAACAGAGGGAGAGAGAATATCCTTGCCGGCTTCCTTCCACCCTTTTTCCTCCCGGTTACCGTGTAATTAAATTCCCATTCGACTAGCATCGGCTGCGCGTTTTTACCAGCAATATGACCGGAAAAATTCTTGGACCGAGGTTACCCAACAAGCTAATCCCCAAGGTTATCGGTGCGATAAGGGTGACGTAACGAAGTATCAGTCACGAGCATCCTCTCTCGTTGAAACGAAACACGTGGACAACGCGGACATCGTGGATAACGTGGATAACGTGGATAACGTGGAAGGATGCTAATTAGAATGGCTTGTACAGGGTACAGAATACAGAGAATTCAGTCCATTAGCTGTACTAGATTTTACAACTACGATATAATTATCTACACTGTTGGCTTGTGATTTTATAATATCTTCCATCTATCTTCTGTCAAAGACTATTCCTTTTCTTAAAAGGAGTTAAAACAATTTCTTTTCTTTTCTTTTCTTTTCTTTTCTTTTCTTTTTTCTTATTCAGCTGCGTCTCCATTTGATTTCGTACATTATTGTAAATATTTGAAATATCGCATGTCTTTTCACTTATCTTTTCCATCTGGTTCTGCCGAAAGGATTATTATCGCGAAGCGTGGGAGAATTGTGCGTGTTTTACGAGTGCAACAACAACGTGGATGTCACCGTTGCTCGACACGATATGACACGATACGACATGGCACGAGACAGCCTAAAGGTGCTGCAGCTGCGAGGCTAGTCAATTTCTTTTATATGCAACTGTATCGCATTTGCGACCAATTTCCATAGTCACTGTGCTTTTTATCTCGTTTTAGTCTTTACAAGAACGTTGCCTAATGGTTCACGTTGACGGTGATTTTCAAAGAGGACTAAAGTTGGCGAGTTGGCAAAGTGAAGGAGGTCTTGGTTGTTTCATTTCATTCGAGTGGATAAAATTAAGGGGACTTTCGCGGCTTAGATCGGCTATTTTAAAATCGTCCGCGAGAAAAGCCACAAACTCGCGACCATCTACCTACTTATATATCTTTGCCATTAGATTATTTTTTATCTAACCATAGCTTTTCATCTAATAATGGTCTAAAGAATGGTGTAAAGGAAAGGCTACATCCCTGGATGAAATCGATATTCGAGAAAATTCCTACCTCCCTATGAAAACACGCTGCGACGCGACGCGTCATTTCCGATTCGACCAACTGTACAAATCTCTGTTGAATAAAATTCGAGAAAGAAGAAAAGAGAGTGTAATAAAAATTGTGATAGATTAAAATGATCGAGCTGTGTGCACGAGAAGAAAATATACGATGTACGAAGCGAGTCACGCAGAGGAACGTAGTACCCAGTCGCAATTTGTGTCCGACTGCTATCTATTAACTTAATTGTAACACGCTTCGAACCCTCTTGTCCACAGTCCAACTTCTATGCTCGTGTGCATCCTTTATTGTTCCCGACGTTCACGAGTTCGGTTGCTAGTACTCATAAGCCGGCAGTTTGACTGGACCCGCATACGGCGCACGTAAAGTCGTAAATGATCACTTACGACTTACGTTCCCACCCGTAAGATTATTTAATAAAAATAATATCCCCTTCAGAAAAACAACAGAAATGCTTGGAAGAAACTGGTATTTAAGCAAATTAAAACTGTATTTTATCAATTTCTAATCAATAAACGCACCAGCAACGAAACAGTTTTCAATTTTCAAAGAATTTATAATAATTTTTTCTTTTACCTTTTCACGATCAAAGAAAGCAGTTTGAGAGATGGTCCGAGAGAGTCCTTCAGCTTTGACATGCCTTACGTATCCTCATCCGGCAGCAGAAAAGCAGATCCTTTCTCTATCCGAATTGACGTAACGCAGGACACGCATCTGTTTTGTGTCTAGGGAAAATGCGAGGAAAGGATCCTCGAGTTCTAGTTGCCACATGTTTTCGCATCCTTCCGACAGATCTCCTATTCAATTCTGCTTTATTTGTTCCAGAGATGTCCTGTTGTTCTTTGGCCGCCGGATCGTGTCGCAGTGTCTGCTCCAAGGTACGCTTCTCTCAAACATTTGCCTAAAATAATGTCTCCAATCAGCATACACACACACACACACAAAAAGAAGAAAAAAGAAAAGAAAAAAGTTGAAAAGGAAAGAGATACTATCGCGTAGGTCGTATCAACTCGTGTGTTCTTATAAAAGTCGTTTCTAGCGTATCTATTACTTACACGCACGAAAGATCCCCGTGGGAATTTGAAAAAGACAAATTCGAGGGGTATAATTTCGCTGGGACGAACGCGATATCGCGGCAGCGGCTGATAAATATCGGTGGCCCGACCTCGCCACGATAAAGGATACAAAATATGCCGTGTCCACGGATATATTAGGATCCTCTCGAGTATAAAAAGTAAAGTGCGAGAAGGATGGAACACAAGTTGAGGGTAGAAGAAAGAGAAGAGGAAGCACGGTGGTTTTTCGACAGGGTCCAGCTGAAGAGCGAGGCGACGCGACACGGGGTGCACGCGTGGTTGTAGCTTCTTTAAAAGTGGCTGCAGGGCCCCATTGGAGATAATATCGGGAGACAGTGGGGCCCGCTGAGAGATTTACGCGGGACCCCCCTGGGGGTCCCTAGTCTGCTCATTCATACGCAAATATTACGAATTGACGCGCTCCACTCGGACAGTCGGACAGTCGGACAGTCGGACAGTCGGACAGTCGGACAACCAGACAGCCAGACATCGTGTATCAATGATATCGCGTTTCCGTGCAATTTCTTACCGCGAAAACGGATCTTTTCCAACTTTTGTAACTTCTTCAACAATGAATTCGCTGGGTGGTCCTTTGCTTCGTAAAAAATTTATCAAATACCTTCTATCGTTCAGATAGATATCGGTGACTCAACAAAGACCTTACCTTTCATCAAGTTTCATCAATGTCTGCAGTGACGAGTTACTCGAAGCAGGCTGGCCGACAGTCTTTACAATCGTTATTGTAAAACATACAAGTCGTTCTGCAAACAATAGTACAAACTGGTAACTAATGATTTTATCTAAAGATATAAGTGAAAATGAAAGTGAAAGTAAAAGTAAAAGCAAAAGCAAAGTCGTTACCCTTAGTTTATTTATCTTTAGCTGTACTTTCAATTCTCAGACAATGAAATTGAACTGGATCGAAAGAACGTTCGCCACTCATCGTGTCTAGTTTTTTGCAAGAAAAATGCAACCCTTTCGAAAATGGCGACGAGGCTTGGTAGCGCATAGCTCCCAGAATATACCGCGACAAAAATACCTGCGTCGTCTCCTCGGTTCGCTATCGTTTACGTCCTTAACGTTCGCAACACTTTCACTGCAAAGTTGTATTTAAAACTGCTCGATTCTTCGTTCTCTCTCCCTCTCTCTCTTTCAATGTATCTAGAAAAGAGAAAAGAAAAGAAAAAAAGAAAAGAAAGAAGATGCTTTTAAAGTTAGAGACCGTGAAAAAAAAGAAAAGAAAAAGAAAAGAAAAAGAAAAGAAAAAGAAAAGAAAAAGAAAAGAAAAAGAAAAGAAAAAGAAAAGAAAAAGAAAAAGAAAAATAAACGTCGTCCAATCGATAGTTTTGCGTTAAACAAGAAACGAGACATCTAACAGGATCCATAGTCGGGATAGTCGTAACTCTAGCTCGTGACAAGAGTACGAAATAGAAGCCGTGCGTCCTCGTGGTCGACGTCGATTGAATTCGAAATGAACTCCTAAATGGTGAAAACAGTCGATATCCGTGCGTGCGGTCTATTAACATTCAGTGGCGAGCAACAGGAAACTGAAAGCGTGTGACGAGCAAAGTGTGTGCTCCTCTCCTTGATTCTTAATAACTTTGAACCGGGTTGTAGCTCGCATTTCAGAAGAAATTGTGGAAACTGCCATCGTGAAATTCAGACGCACGGCTGTGTCGTCATTTTTCCTTCTTTCATCGTCTCGGTATCTATTTTCTCCAATTCCATCGCGTACCCTCCACTACCCTGTCTTTTTGTGTGTCGCGCTACACCTTTAGCTTCCGATCATCAACATAAAAAATGTGATGGCGGTATTTTCAGATCTCTTTGGTGGTGTTAGGAGCAGAAGCAGAGGCGAGGGAGAACGCGACACGACGCCTGTTGGAGTTTTGTTCCGTAGAGCTGGTAAGCCGCCCTTTAATCGATCGCCTTTTTCATTCAATCCATCGTACTTATAGATTTTTTCGATCCTTGCCTTTGCCCTTGCTTGCTGCGTCACTTGTACAGATTCGAGTATATAAAAGAAAGGAAAAAAAAAAAAAAAGGTGGGACTAGAATAGATAGAGATGATCAGTGGGGGATAGAGTTCGAATCGTGTTACAAAAGAATCTTGCGATACCTTACTTTTTACGTTCGACTCGATTTACACTTTTTCTTGGACGACTATCTTCTTCCTTTCAGAGCGAATTCTGGGCCTGCGTCAACTCGACTCTACACGGTAAGCCAGTCAACGTAACTCTTCTTCTTTTCCATTGTAAACCCTTTTCGTCAATAGCAAAATTACTATTAATTCGTTACTATTCGCGTGCGTAGAGGTAAAGAAAGATGGAAACTGGACTGGTAGAGGTTGTTGTTACCTGGCGCAGAATCCAATATGTCGATCCAGCTGCGCTCTAGCAGGATCTAGAAAGCATCTGAACGATACTTGTCGGCCAAGCGACGAGCTCGAGTTCTTCTCGTGTTTGGAGAAGCGAGAGGAAGCCGAACACTGCTGCATCACCGTCTCCAACGACACCTGTAGATCCATATGTCAAGATCTGTTTTATAAACCCGGTAAAATGTCTAATTTAAAATTGTACACAAGCAAAGGGTGTTTTCATCAAGTTCCAAAGTGTTTAAAGAGCGTCGCCGAAGTGAAACACGCAGAGGATCCTAAGCAACGTAAGTAAGTCTTAAACGACAAAGAACTTAAACTCTTTTCACTCTTTTGTTTTATTATTGTTGCAGATCTACATTGTTGCAACGAAGCTAGTAGCCCAGCCTGTCTGGAAACGTGCAAAAGGATTCTGCACACCGCGACCACCGATCAAGAGATCATGGACGCTCTGACGGAGAAATGCAAACCAGTTTTACCCCAGTCGCCGTTCTGGAGCTGTTTGCTAAAGTCTGGCTCGTCGAAACCGTCTCGTCTGCCGTTAGATGCGGGTAAATTGTCGTGCTGTACCAAAGCGAACAAGCCATCGTGTCAGAACTTGTGTTGGAGAGCGTTTCAATCTGACTGGGAGTCTGGCTGGCTTCAGCTGGACGCTGAATGTCTGTCTTCCAGTTTGGAAGGAGAGCTGAGGAGGTGTCTCGAGGATGCTGACGATCCTTGCGAAATCGGCTGTTCAGGACTATCTTATTGCGCTCGATTCAACGACAGATCAACGACACTCTTTAGGTAGTTGATTCTTTCTTCTTCTTCTTCTTCTTAACGCGAAGCATTTTCATTTCTTCCTCTACTTTCGTTAGAAGTTGCTCGACCGCTGCTGACGAAGCAGCCAAGTGGGAAGCCGACCACTGGTCCAGAGGTGGAATCATTCGAGGTCTGGGTGTTCCCGTTCGCGCTGCTGCCTCCTGTCCAGCGGAAACTTTGCGTGCAGCTGCCTGTCTGCTGCAACTGAGACCTTGCGAGACGAGAATTCACGAGACCAGACTCTGTCGAGAAGATTGTCTAGAATTAATGGCCAGTTGCGTTGATTGGACCGCTATCACGGAACCGCCGTATACCGCAGCTACGTTGTGCGGTAAGCTTTCACCTAGCAGTTCCGACGCTCCGTGCGTATCGTTGAAACCGTTTATTCTCGAGGATACTCGAGACAACGAATCCGTCCCAAGTCTCGAAGAAGATATCGTGACTCCTTGCAAGAGTAACCCTTGCGCTCAGACAGAAATTTGCCAGCCGCTTCGGTACGGACAGTCGTACCGTTGTTTACCGGCTTGCTCTTTGGGGGAGATGTCGAAACAGTTGGTACCGGTTGGATCCTGGCTGCAGATACCGCGGTTCGATCAACAGGGCTGTCTTAGAATCTGTCAGTGCACGTCGCACGGCCTCGACAAGTGTAGAACGTTGAATTGCTTCAAGTTCAATTCGTGCTGGGTGCACGATCGATACATCGCGCATAAAGCCAATTTTTATCTCGAGTGCAATCCTTGTCACTGTTTCGAGGGCGAATTTACCTGTTCGAAGAAGAATTGCGCAGAAATCCGAGTTCCCTCGTTACCTTGCGATTGTCCAGCTCATTACGTACCAGTCTGCGGACGGCTCGGCTTCACTTTCGCCTCTGCCTGTCTGGCGAAATGCGCCGAGATGTCAGCCAACGAGGTGGAGTTTGGTAGATGTTCTTCTCGAGACCCTTGCGCGTCGAATCCTTGCGACACCAGCGAAACATGCGTCCGAAGGAATAGGGTATGCTTGTCCGGGCTTCACAAACCCTGCCGTCAATACGAGTGCGTGCCCCTCGACTGTGATCCTCGGGACGAGAACACCGGTCCTGTTTGCGATAAGGAGAACCGTCAGCATCCTTCCATCTGCGCCATGATTCGTACTGGAGCTAGCCTAGGCTACAGGGGACCTTGCCTCGAGGGTTGTACGCTGCGTGGTCCTGTTTGCGGTGCTAACGGCGAGATTTACGCGAACGAGTGTGCTGCTTGGGCCGAGAGAACGGTCCTCGACTACTTTGGACCCTGTCTAGCCGTTGGATTGATCGGAGATCGAGCCGAACCTCGCTGTGCCCATCTCGTTCAGTGTCCTCGATTGATCGAACCTTACTGCGTCGGGGTTACACCGCCGGGTGCTTGCTGTCCAGTCTGTGGAGGTGCAGCCAAATTGTTTTACTCCAAGAAACAGGTACCATTTTTATCTTCTTCTTTCCGTCTTGCTACATCTATGCATCTCTAATACCTATAATACCACGAGTAGTACATAAATAGAAAAACTCTTTCTTTATTTTCTTATTTCTTCGATTGAAATAAAAACAGTAGAATATCTGTCACTTAAAGAGATATTATTATTCATTTGATTACTCTTAGTTGGAAAGGATATATTACATGATGGACGAAGAGGCGGACAAGGATTCGGTCACGCTGGACGCTCTGCTGACTGCTCTGGCACGGCAAATTCAAGTGGCGCAGTGTGCTCTTCGTGGAATGATGACACCAGACCGAGATGTATTCATCGTTATACAGTCCACCTCCAACAGACCTTCGACACTCCAGCTACGGGCCTGTGTGACGGAGACTGAGAAACTAGTTACCAGAATTTCCGAGAGAAGCCCTAAAATCGCGGCCGAAGTGCCTTTAGGTGCTCTTACCAGAGCAGAAATCGCTCATAGTTATATATCGAGTGCCATTACGAGCGGAACATGTTTTCCGCCAATGTTTTTCGGGATAGTTCTCCTTTATATTGTCATTTCTTGAGAAAACAAAAAAGAGAACCGAAAGGAAAAACAAAGAATATCACTGGTTGCGTCAATTTAAAATCGCAATCAGTGATTTACCGCCTATTTTAAAAGGTGCTGAGCGTTCTTCTTTTTTTTTTACCTAATGGCGTTATCGTCCGCGATATCGTCGATTTCATGACTGTGATTCTTCTAGTGCCTACGTAATATATATATATATAGAGGAGAGTAGTTCTTTTTATCTTACCAAAGAAAACGGGTGTGTGCGCGTGCGTGCGTGCGTGATTTAAGGATGATTATGTTGCAAATTGTAAATAAAATCTTCCCAAACTAAAGTTACCAAACGACGACTACGCGTGGTCCGTGGATTTTTCACAGATTTGTATTAGTCACAGATACTCCCTTAAATGTTAAGCAAACTTGGTTATTGTATCGTTAAATACAAAGTTTTTTATCTTTTTTTCTTTTTTTCTTTTTTATAGTCATTTGTAAGTTTAATAAATGATAATACGCAATCCGATGAAATTCATTCTACTGCAGAGCATAAAAGTGCATATACAACGGAAAGCGAACGTGTTTCATCTTTTTTTACAAAACTTTATATCGTCCACGAGACGCGGTATGAGCCCCAGACGCTTGTAATTTGATCAATTCTTCCTTGATGAGTCGAGAAACCTCCGCCTTGGCTTTGCTCACCGCCAATTCACTGGTAGACTCGATGGCGAGATATAATTTCCTTTCTCCTTCTGGCGGAGCCTTGCCAGGAGCGATATAAGTTCCTCTGACGGTGAGACCGGCTTCCGAGTACTCGGAAATCTGTGCGAGAGCTTCCTTGCTGGTTACTCGCCATCTAGCTTGTTGCGGAAAGTCGTTGATCTCTAATTCCTCTTCGTATTTACGGAAGGTTTGTTCACCGGCCTCTGCGTCGCTCTCGACGAGATCTTCCTCGCGAGGCTGATAGTTTAATTTCGTGTTCAACTTGGCTGCTAGTTGTTCCGCGACCGTTTTCGCTGTAATCAGATTGGTAGGACCAGCTCCTTTAAGTATAGCTTCGGCAGCTTGTTGCGTAGCACCTTTTGCCTCGGCTCCCAAATTTTTCGCTATGTTGATCTTGGAGGCCAACCGCCTAGCCAACTCTAATTTATCGGTTGCGCTAGCTACGGGCTGGCCAGCTACCGCGATGTTGCTAGCTGATGGTCTAGCAATTTCGCGAACCGTCCTTTTTGGCGCGAGCATGCTCTCTATTTGCTGGTCGATGTCGTTCTCTATATCTTCGTCGTCGGAATCTTGCAAACCGAGAGCCGCCTTTTGGAACTTTTTCTTCTCGTTGGCCAACGCCGCCTCGGACTCGTCAAACTTGAATCCTTTCCCGCTAAACCCACCTCCGGTGTGCACTTTCTTCCCGTCTGCCGCTTGTCGTGCTTTGTATCCTTCCCAGAGCTGACGCAAAGGTTCGGGAACCGGAACTCCTGCCAATTCGTGAGCACGCAGTATATCGCCAGCGTAACGTTCCTGTTCCGACGTGATAAACGTATACGCGTACCCCTTGTTTCCAGCTCTACCCGTTCTTCCGCATCTGTGCACATAATCTTCGTAATGATTCGGACAATCGTAATTTACTACCAACACCAAGTGTTTCACGTCTAGACCTCTGGCAGCTACGGATGTAGCAACCAACAATTTCGTTCTACCAGCTTTAAAGTCTAATATCGTCGAGTCCCTGTCGCATTGATCGATACCACCGTGAAGCGACATACACGAGTAAGAGGCTTTCATCAGATCTTTCAATAAAGTGTCCGCGTTCTCTTGCTTATCGACGAATATTATAGTAGAACCTTTATCCTGATAATGACCAAGGATTTCCAGCAACTTGTAAAACTTTTGATCTTCTTCGAGGACCACCACGTGCTGTTCAACGTCCTTGCAAACGATCGATCGTCCTCCGACTTGAACTTCTACGGGTCTGGTCAATATCCTTCTAGCTAGTGCTTCCATTTGACGAGGGAACGTCGCGCTGAACAATACAGTTTGTCGGTCCGGTCGAACGTTTTCCATGATCCGCATCACTTGAGGCTCGAAACCCATGTCAAACATTCTATCCGCTTCGTCAAGAACTACGTATGTTACTCTACGAAGATTAGTCACCCTTCCGCTATTCGCAGCAAGCATATCGATCATTCTTCCGGGAGTACAGACTATTATTTCAGCGCCTCTCTTTAGTTCGGCTATTTGTTCGGATATACCGGTTCCGCCGTAAACGCAAACATGAGAGAGTCCCAACGACTTGGTGAATTTTTTCGAGTCCCTTCCAATTTGCATACACAATTCTCTGGTTGGTGTCATGATCAATGCGATCGGTCCATCGCCGTCCGTTAACGGAGACTGATCAAGAATATGCCTAAACATCGGTAACAAAAATGCCAACGTTTTTCCACTACCTGTCTTTGCTATGCCTATCAAATCCCGACCAGACATTATTGCCGGTATAGCCTGACACTGTATCGGCGTTGGTTTTTCATAACCGAGTTTCTTCAAAACTTCCAACTCCTTTTTCGTCACACCACACTGGGCCCATGATTTGATGGGTTTTGGACAACCTTTGCCTTTCACGCGAATCCCTTCCAACTCTTCTTTGTACGCTTCTACTTCTTCAGCTGTCATTCTTGCTGTACAAACACACACAAACACAACACGCAACAATTGAAAATTGAAAATTGAAAATTAAACTAACTAAATTAATTATGCGTATATCGATCGATTACTTACCGATTTCAGGTACTTCAACGTAAAACGATTTTCTAAATGGCTGGTACTCGGTCGTTGCATGATCAACTTTCGCTAATTCTCGTTTCTGTTTATTTGCAATACCGGCAGCAGTTTCGTGCAAGTTTTCCCCTTCTTCTTCGCTAGAATATTCAAGACCATCTTGATTTTGTTCGATTAATTCTCCCTTTTGCTTTTGCACCTTCTTTTTCGCCACACCGGTAACAATAACAACCCCTCCACTTTGAGTACTTCCTGTACCCGTTCCGTTATTTGCGCTCTTTCCACTTTTACTATCAAGTTTGTTCACCTTACGAACTTCTTCTTGAACCTAAATACAACACGTATTTTCGTATAAATAAATTTTTCTTTCCGTATATGTACTTTTAATATATGTATATCTACCTCTGCCATGAAAGCATCGAGAGGATCAACTTCTTCTTCGTCGTCGCCTTTAACTTCTTCCGTAACTTCCTCCACCTCTTCTTTTGTTTCACCATCTTCTTTCGCTTCCTTCTGGCTATTCTGAACGACAGGAGTCTCTTCGTCACTGTCATCTTCGAGGGACCACTTTTTCATAGGGAGCTGAAGGTTGGCTAATATAGATGCCTTACCATCTTTCTTAGTTGCCTCTAGTTCCTTCTTTTTCCGTTCTGCACGCCACCGTTCTATTCTTTCTCTCCTCTTTTGCATTTCCAGTTCCAATCTTTTCTGTTCTTCCTCCTATAGTGAGACAGACGTTAGGGGGTGGTTAAAAAGAAACGAAAGAATTTTCATACGAAATACATTACCTTGTCCAATTTAGTGTGATCGAACGGTAACTCATCGCTGTCGCCTTTCTCTTTCTCCTTGCGCTCCCTTGATCGCGATCTATTCGATCGGTCTTTGCCTGAACGCGAAGACTTTGAGCCTGTAAGACGCTTTTCTTTACTGTCTCCACTAGTATACCGAAAACAATCAATGTTAAAACATTATTCCATTATTACATAAATGAGAAATTTAACGTTTGAGAAAATCAACGACGTTCTATCTCTTGGACCTCTGTCTACTTTCAAAGTAGAAAATTATAATTTTAATTAATATCTTTTATTCTATAATAATAATAATAATAATAATAATAATAATAATGTACCCTTTTCTCTCACGATCTCTCTCCCTTTCTGAACGATCTCGTCTGTCGCTTCTTTCTCTTTCCCTTTCTCTGTCTCTGTCTCTGGAACGACTTCTTCGTTCCCTGTGTCGGCCCTTGTCTCTTTCCCTATCTCTATCCCTATCCCTGCTCCTAGAACGCCGTCGTTTCTTCTCCGGTGTGGCCGATCGAGACCTCGATCGCGATCTCGACCGTCTTCTGTGATGTCTATCCCTGTCAAACGAATCAATTATTATTTACCATACGTGTCATCGTTAACACGATAAATAATCGAATCCACAAACGTGTAGGTACATATTTACATGCATACCTATTGTAGCAATTTATAAGAAGCTACTTGTATACTTACTAACTTACGATTAATAAACTTAACCTATAAGGTTTGTCGAATGAAAGAATACACTTACTTGTCGCTACTTCGAACCATGCTTATCGTGGTTACTTAACAGTATAGTAAACACTGTTTATATATTTAGCTGTCTATAATACGAGAACATTTATAATGATTTTTTCCCAATTTTATCAGAAAATATACGACACAACTGCTTTCGTTTACAAACGCAAAGGCAATTTGCACATTTGCACTGGTCACTTAACTAGTGCTGCCACTCGACTCGATAGTCTATAGTCGATAGCCGATAGCAATGAAAAACTCTATCGGTATACATGAAATTACAGTTTCCAAACTTACTAACACACATTATGTCAGTAAATATTTAAATATTAGCTAATTTGCATCCGGTTTAGACAATATGTACGAATACGAATGATACCAACCGAAAGTTCCTGACTTTCGTTCACGTTACAATATAAATTCAAGCATCGTACGGAGTAGCTAAAACTATAATCAAGTTACCGAAGCCTTGAATCGAACAGTTCCTTCTTCGTAGGAATTTCCAGCTCAATTTAGCAAAATTTTGCATACCAAATCACGTACATAAAATATATTGCGTGCACGACCGGAATAATACACTGAAATCATTGTTCATCTATATATAGATATATACATACATACATACATACATACATTTTAGAACACTGTCATATATGTAGAACTGTCGCATATCTGGCAATCGAAATTCGAAATACAAAAAGGCAGATGGTGTGAACTCTCGAAGGAAAATTACTTTATAGCAGGTGTTCCCTGGACAGGGAACAGGTGACTGCAACGACTGTATATTATATGTATAGATATTACCTTTCTTCTTGATATTTTTAGAATTGATATAAAAATTGTACACGAAGCAGTAAGAAAGAAGAAACATTAACGATATACGTACGAAATATAAGAATAACTGTAAAACGTACCTAAAGTGAGCCGTATTGAATGCTAATTGAGAGACGGTCTTTCGATCAGTCCGTAAGTTGACTGGCGTTCGTGCTTACGAAATGATAAAAATCACTGATTCACTTCTTATGCTTCGTACCTATCACGAAGCTTTGGTTTTTCCCAGGACAACGAGATTTCCGAGCCGATATCGTGCCCTCTCTGGTAAATAACCCACGTGGAGGATGTTGAATAAATTCGCCAGTGGAATACTAAACGGCAGTTGAGTAGCTTCGCTTAATTCTCTGGACAGAAACGCGACGTCAGACAATTTTTTACTAATTTCCATCCTCTTGGATCATTCGAGGCACCTAGAAAATTGTAAAAGAATTAGAAAACGTTTGTAGAATTGAGACAATTTGAAAATCTAGAGAACTTGTGAAACTTAAAAGAAAAAAAAGCCAGGAAAGCTAGGAAAACTTCAGACTTCCACGTATCGTCTACCTCTCCTGTTTCCGAAGAATTCGCAATTTCTCCTTATAGAAAATGAAAGGTTCCTTCTGGCACGAATCCCAATCGGTCCACGGATTCCTGCGAACAAAGAAATAATGCAGTAAGCTTGCTTCTTGACCGACGACGTCTTTTCGCAATAAAGAAATTCTCTTTCACGATAAGCGATACCTGACTGAAAGAAATTTCTGGAAAAGCAATTCCATCTTCCATTGCCTATTAAAAGGTGAACGGAGAAAAAGTGTGAACCGAGTATCGATTCGTGTCAAACTTATTTACAAATAAATGTTTTTTTTTTTTTTTTTTTTTTTTTTCAAGTTTACAGATATTTCTCTATCAACCTTGGTCGAATTCATTCACGAAAGAATATGAAAGATTGCTAACCCTTCCTTGCAGAGTATAAAGTTTCAATGTTAGTTACCGGAAGTAACTTGATACAGAGTTGGCTTCCTAACACGCGTGCGGACGCATTTTTATGCGGTCATTTAAAGATTTGACAAATCAAATCACATAGCAGTTTATGGATACTTTGATGCTTTTATTACCATATGTAGTGACGCTTGTTTTACCCCAGATAAAACGAAATGTAGTAGACTCAATCAGTTGACGTAAGACAAACAATTATGATTGGTGTGTTTGTCTGATTTGCCGTCTGAATGAGAACCACTGTCGCACAGAAGGGCGCGTGCCAAGAGTTCACATCTGCCGCAGTTGTTTTCGCAGCCCCTCGTTTCTTTCTGGAACACCACCACCACCACCACCACTGATAAATGCGTCTCCGGTTTCGAAAAAATGGCTTCCGCAGGAAGTAGCAGCAGCAGCAGCAGCAGCAACAGACCTTTCCATTTCCCCATTTCCATTTCCTTTCCTTTCGGTCGGTCGCAAAGAATCCACCCTGGACGGAAAAAAGTTGAACGTTAGAAGGATTTTAGCCATCTTTCTACAAATTGATAAATAGCTCAAGTACACGTAGCTTAAGACTCGTCACTGTTCCATTCTGAAATATAAAAAGCTGAACGATGATTGCCCATTGTCTACTCGGTGCAGTATGTTTTCTTTACAAATTGTCTAGACGCGGAAGAGAATAATCGTGGAAGGAAAATAATAAGAGGAGAAGCATTCAGACGGTGTGACGATTTCCTCTTCCTTTCTCAAAAGACCCTTCTTCGGCTGTTTGTCGGCTTTGCAACGTCTCTTCAAGAATATCCTGAAAAAAAAAAAACTGTAATAGACTGAGTTTTTAATAATTACAAATAACGTTGGTAAATACTTGAAAATTCATCGAATAGAAAGAGGTAAATGTTGAATATTTGTTTGAAAAAAAATCCGAGTCAATTAGGAAGCAAAATGAGTGTTGTTGGCTGAGTGGAATGGATCGAAAGGATAGGAGGACGCGACGAGAAGGTGAAAAATGTACAGTGGGGTGTCTGAGAAATAGAGGTACGGTCCTGAATAAGGGGGCCCAAGGAAGAAGGGGACGAACGCAGGTAAGCAGCTGCAAGTATCTGCAGGGGCAACAGCAGCCGCGTGCTTAAATTAGTCCCGGCACAACTGTCGTTCGTGTAACACGTCAAGAGACATCGTTCTGTGCTGTTAAAGAATCACGAATCACGAATCGCGAACCGATACACGAGTATTGTAATTGTAACAGAAAGAATCTGTATTTTTGTCTAATTTCGTCTTCTAGATAACTGTTGTGAAACATTTATACGATAGAATCGATAGGATAAATGAATTGAAAACCATGATACAGGTAGACGTTTAAAGAAGATCATTGAACCAGATCGTTGGACTTTTAGTTGAGATATACGAACGAATAACGAACGATGAATCAGAAAGTGAATGTTAATAATTAAAAGAAGCTTGTGTAAAAAGGGCTTGAAGAACGTTAAATTAAGTAGTAAATAAACGGTTACTGATCGTATGAAGGTTGAAGAAGAAAGAAACGGTGGAGAAGAAAAAGAAAAAGTAGAAGATGCTGATATTGAAGCTGTTGGTGGTATCGAGCGTTTGCTGGATGGCCAGGTGCGACCTGTTGGACCTGTACGTGCAGCACATGGACGAAACGATGAGGACTATGGCGTACAGCAGGAGCAGACATCATCCAAAAGACATTTCGTCCAGGATAAAGAGAAGTTTCCGCGATGAACCGGTGCTCAGAGTTGGCACGTTCAAGAAACAACGTTTGGACGTTGACAAAGAGTGGTACGCACAGTGGAAAGCGAAAAGAAAGATTCATTACAAGAACGATGCTTTGGACTTTGTAAATTCTAAAGAGGAGAACCTCGAGCCGGATCAACACGAATTGTTGAAGAACCAAAGTGAAACTGTAGGAAAAGAGTGTGAAGAAACTACGACGATTACCAGCAGGTTGGAAAAGAAGGAGACATTTTCAGACGTGTTCGATATCGAGTTTTCAAACGAAGAATCCTCGACGTTAAACGACACGAATGATTCGTTTCCCAAACGAATTAACGATGAAAACGATGATGATTCAGCGGTCGAGATTGGATTCAGCGATCGAGAAGAGATGGTAATTGAAATGGAAACGGAGGAAACTGATTCAGAGAATCAGTTTGAGATGATCAAGAACCAGTCTGACCGAAATCTCTTCGATGATCCTATATTGAAGAGAAGGCCAAAATCGCGAGATAGAGTACCAAAAAAGTATATCCCATCTACGGAGAAGCTAGCCAAGGTTGTTCGTGGCTGCAAGTATATGGAGTGCACCGAGGATAAGCTGGACAATAGAGAGAAAAGAAGCATCAAGGAGCCAAAGTTCACGAGACACGAGATACTGGATGACAATGGCGAGGTTATCCTCGAGTGGGATCCTTCTGACGAGAAAATGGTCACGTTCAAGGTCACCGCAAAGACCTTGGGCTACGTTAGTATCGGCTTCAACGAGAAGAATCACATGAAAGGAGCTGATATCCTGCTTGCTTGGGTGGATGATCAGACAGGCACCGTCAATCTGCTGGTAAGTCCTTTTCTATTCGAAATTTTGCTATGCGTATCTCTCGTTCGTGTGATCGATGAGAGGGACTGGACTGGTTAAGGTATTCCGCCCAATGATCGATAGCCTTACTCTCCTTCTGAAAGAATCAATTTTTTTATTATTATTATCATCATCATCATCATCATCATCATAACATTTTTTCACTAACAATAATTTTTTTGCTAACAGACTTACGTAAAAGAACAAGTTTGATTTCGACTGATTTCGACTGATTTCGACTGTCACAGTCATCGGTCGTTTCTTCTCATACTGTTAGGTGATAATTGATTGTTAGGGAAATGAGAATTGTACGAAACGAGAAATATCAAACAACACCTTGCAACGTGGATTCATCAACGAAAGAAATCTCCTCCTTCCCTTACCTTTCAACGAAGCAACAAGTTTTTCGCGATTCTTCCCTCTACACGGGACAGCTGAAGATCTATCGACCTGGGTCCTCGTTGCCATGAATCGAGCTGGAGAGAAGGAACTGAAAGAATATAAAAAGAAGAGGTAACAAAGAAGAAGAAGTGGAGAAAAAGGAGGTAAAAAGAAAGATTAAGAAGGCAAGGCGGTCGAAAACAGCAGTCTGAAGAACCTGCGGAGCTGAAAGAAGGAAAGAAAGATGAAAAAGAAAAAGAAAAAGAAAAAGAAAAAGGAGAATCGCGAATTAAAGTATCGGCCTCTTCTAACCGACCGCGACCGTACGACGAAATCCCTTTCGAAAGGGATATCTCTTTGATCCCACGTTTCGCGTGCACCTTTCGTATTAACGAGTTTCGTTTAATTAACGCATCACAATTGATTCTACTCGATTTTAAAGAACGGAATTTCTACCGCAACACGATAAAACTTTGAACCGAACGCCAAGTCAACTTTCAGTCAACTTTGAATGAGAAGATATGCAATAAAAGGATTAAATTAAAAAAAAAGAAACTGGTTATCGAAACCTGCTTGAAAACTACAGCTTCTCCGAATTCCTAATCTTAATTAAATTTATATCCGTCCAAGGTATGCAGCGTCAACGGGAACCTGTTCACTGTACAATTATCCAATGCGCCTCTGTCTGTGTCTACGATTTACCATTTTTACTCGATGCAATTAACTTTTGGAAAACGATAGAGATTCGACCAAGGGGTAAGAACGGTGCTTAATATGTGAAACAAATATGAATCCTTTAAGAATTTAGCCGATTCTCGTCCTGTGATACAACGAAGGGTTGAAAAAGAAAGAATTGATGCGAGCAGGTGGGAGAGAAGAGAGAGAGAGAGAGAGAGAGAGAAGAACGGCTGGTAGAAAATTAACGAACGTCGTTCCACCGGTCGAGATAAAGTCATGATAAATTTACGTCCGTCGAGGGCAGCGAGGCATTTCTCGCCCCTTTTTTACCTTGACGAATTCGGAACCCATGACCGCTCGTCGAACGCATGACTGGACAGATTACCCCTGGAATGGAATTACCGAAATGAAGAAGAAAAAAAAAGAAAATCAAACTGTCAATTATTATTGAAAATCAGTGAAACATTTGCATTTTTTACTAATCGACATGAATCGATGATTATTGTGTTCGGTTAACGGTAATTGTTGTTTGAAATTTCTGTATCGCCTGGTGTATCGTAGGTTACAAAAGGTGGCAAAGAAGGTATTGGAGAGGTTGCGTGACTAAATGTGCGACCAACACACGTATGGAAAGGATCGCGACGCGACGGCAGGCAGGCAGGCAGGCAGGCAGGCAGGCAGGCAGGGGTTCCAATGGGGCCCAGTCAAGGCCTCCAGACATTGGCGAGGGGAGGCTATACGCCATACACGAATCTTTCGGTATCGTTGCGAAGAAAGAAAAAAAGCCCTCCATTTCTCAGCCATGCGATCGTTTTCATTAATAATAATTGAAATAGAAAGAGGAAAACGTCTTCCTTTAATTTCTACGAAATTTCGCGCGAAACAATCTCATGGGCGGAGAAGAAAGTTGAGCAACTCGAAAGTTATTCGCATGGAGCAACGGGACGTGCACGTACAACGATTACGATCGTAATTTATTACAGAGGCAAGGGAACGCGTTTCGCAAAGTGAATTTGAAATGCAAGCTAATCTGCGATCCGTCCATCTCCTGGTCCAACAACAGGCTTACTCGGTGCATAGATCGTTCCCCTTACCTTCCGACGTGATCTTTTTCTCATTATCTTCGACATGTACCCTCTTCTTCCTCTTCTTTCAAAGCCCGATACAACCAGTTTTCGTTTGTTTTTTCGCTGCAACTTCACCTCCCACCCTTCCTTTTCTTTGCCCGATAAGGCCGATAAGCATTATTTTTCACGGGGACGTAAGTAAATGCGACTTGACAGCTCTCTTATCGAGTTCATCCAAGATAATTCAATGTAGAAAGAGAAGAAAAAAAAGACAATTTTTACCCACTTCTTTCTATGTAGACTTTTCGATTCGCCTTGAGGGCTGAGGTGAAAATTATCACTAGCTGGTTGAACCGGTGCCAAACTGGTTCGCGGAAGCTGATTCCTCGTGCTGCTGCTTCCGAGCCGATCAATTCACACGGTAACCGGATCTGTAAATCATATTAAGTATGTTAAGTATGTTAAAATCTTTCTCAATCGAGGCATTGTTATCCTGATTACTCATCGATCACCAGCTCAACCGGTATTTGAAAAAATAAATAAATAAAAAAATAAAAAGGGTTGAAATGTGCCAAAGCAAAGTGCGCAATTCTAAGCGAGAAAGGGAGAGTCAAGATCACAGACCTTGACAGCAACGTTTCCACTAGATTTTAATTCGTCGATTATTATTCCGCATACGCTCGTAAAAGTAAGTACGATGAGCTATAACGAGCCGGTGAGCATAATTGCGCGTAGCTACTTTTCTCACCGTTAGCGTACACGTGTGAGAACCGGATCGACTTGTACTGTGGCGACATGTTGGAAATTACTCGTATTCTTTTACGAGAGTTTAATACAATGACAGTAGACGGTAGACGCGTTAACTGGCTGAAACTTTGGAAAATTATAGATGGGACCATCTAAAACAGGATCGGTTTCGATTGGACTTTAGCTCCGCTTAGAGAGCGGTTATCCCCTTTCGAGAGTTCGCTTTGCGCTACCATCTGCTGTTTCTGCCAGGTGGTAAAAAGGAGAGCCCCTATGACCAGGGAAGAGACAGAGCAATGAAACGAAAGAAGGAGAAAAAGAGAAGAGTATGTAGGGAGCGAATAGTCGGCTTTCTCGAGGCGTTGTCGAAAAGAGAGGGGAAAAAGTTGGAGGGTAGAAAGAAAAAAAGAAATGAGAAAGGGAAAGGGAAAGGGAAAGGGAAAGGGAAAGGAATACCGGCGAAACGTTCGAAACGTTCGAAACGGGTAGAGAAGAGAAAGAGAATGAGGCTCTACCCCAAAACACCTGGCAGTTGGCAGGCATCGTCCTCCTAGTGGCGCCTCATGAGAGAATTTCTCTCTTTTTCATAGCATCTTGGCTCCCATGGGAACCACGACGACGTTTCAGAGGTATAAAGACAAGTTTTTCTTTTCTTTTCTCTTCTTTTTTTTCGTGGTCTGTACTTGTATACAGATTGGAAAGCATTTTTTTTTTTTTTTTTTCTTCAAGATCGATTACACCGATAGACGAGGGCGACGTCGATGCTGTATTGAAATATTTCGCGAGAATCGCTCACGGTTAATTTTTATAAAATTTCTATTCCAAGCAATCACAAGAAAAAATCAAACATACGTCGCAAATTAAAATTCCTAATGTGAAATAATTAACACTGAAAAAAGTGAAAAAAGAGAAAAGAAAAACTAGTAATTTGTATATTGTTCTCACACTTACTTACGTACGTACGTACGTACGTATGTATGTATGTATGTGGGCTATAAGGGATCTCTTCTGAAACGTACAGGTTTCTCAGAAGACTCGCATAGGAAATGCGAGTACCGATCCATGACGTCACATCCGTCGAATTAATTTTCCGCATCCACGCACGCCTGCCTCTTTTCCCATGCATCCGTGACTCTCCCTCCGTTCTCCAAGGATATCGAGGAGCTTTGGTAGCAACAACTTTTGCTAATTCTTCTTCCATTTCTCGCCCCCCATTCGGTGTAATTGCACCGAATCGGTGAACGTAGGTATCTGTTCCGGAAAGGCGAATGTCTAACTCGCCAACCAACTTTTCCAGTTCATCGCGATCAAACTGGACGCGGTAAATGCTTTTCCTCTTAATCAAGCACGCATAAATCACAGCAATTAAAGCGTCACTCGGCGAAAGAGACGAGTCGATTCAAGAAATCGCCACGGAATCTCCAGCAATTCCAGGGTCGTGTTAATTAGTCCAACGACGATGAGAATATCCGGGTGCTATGAGAAAATCCCTTGCAAACTTCGTGAGAACGCGCTTAAACCCCGCCCGAATAACACACCACGACCGGTCGCAATTAAAAAGCAGAATTATGTGTATCTCCTTCTTTCGTTTTTTCTTTCCTTCGTTTCTTCCTTCCTTCCTTCCTTCCTTCCTTCAACGATTCTCCGCTGATAAATTCTTCGATAACGAACAATTCTTTCAGAAGAAGAATGTTTATTCTGTAAATAGAACACAGAACAAGAACGTTAGCTTCTTTTTTCCGATACGATATCGAACATTATTACCATTTCCTCTTTGCACGTGCTCGGTACAAAACACGCAGCAAGCATGACGACGTTCGGTCAATTATTTCGATTCATTACGAACAGGAAGGGGACTTCCCTTCGGCTTCTTACAAACTTTAGCGCCCGACCATAATCGGAATTCAACGGACCCAAACGCCTGCGGCCTCCCTTCTGCCTTTCAGACGATGCTCTCTTTTTCCTTCGGATACAACGTATATACATATACTGTTGTTTATACTACACACATACATACGCTTAAAAAGTAAAATCTAATATGATTTCTCCATTTTCCTTTTCAATACACTAATTCAACATACTGTCTGACCAAAGAAGAGTAGAGGAGAAAGTGCAGCAGGAGGAGAGTAACAAATGGAGGCTGACAGAAAGTTTCGGTGCGTTGTCGATTGTAAACACCTGGCGCGCTCACCTGACCCGATAAACTTCTCGGTCTGCTCGATCTGCTGCTCGTCTCCTGGCCCTCGAGCACCTTTCGCCTGCGTGCGTTCACCTTGCCTGCGATTTCAACATTTTTCATTTATTTTTTTTCTTCTTCTCCTTCTTCTTCTTATTTATTTCAGGACTCGCACGGAATCGAGGATACGGACACCGCGTTGGTTACAGACGCGTCTCAAGACGTCAAAGTGATAGGAGGCTCGCAAAACGAGACGCACACAAGCGTAATCTTCTCGAGAAACTGGCAGACATGCGATCCTCAGGATCATCGGCTTACGGTAAGCCTGGAAGCGTAAAGAACAGCACTATAAGTTTGAATTATTTCAAGACCTCAAAATGATCCTACTTACCATTTTAATCGGCTACAGAATACCATTCTCATTTACCTTCTTTAATTATCCATCTTAGCGTTCTTCACCGTTCTTCGTCGTTCTGCGCCGTTCGACACGACGCGACACACTTGTAAAATAAATTATTCACCTTTTTAATTTCACCTGACGGAGCATGAGAATATTTAGAAGATAGAGACAAAGGGCTGATATTTAGGCATTTAGCATGCCATTCGCGATCCTCTGCATCCTCCACGATTCTCATTCTCCAAACGCAGCAGGTTTAAACAGCGTGCTTCGAAATCAATCCATCGCATCGATTCGAAGGTTAACAAAAATATCCTATTCCCATATATGTAGGGTGATACCATTCGAGTCCTATGGGCGCTTCATCGAAGCGATCCCGAGTTAAACACTGCGATTTGGCCAGGTGACAAACGCGGTGGTCGAGCTTTGCGTCTGAAAACTGCCGCTCCGCACTCACCGCCGCAACACACGCAAGACATCAGACACTGGGATGTAAAACTGAATCAAGTACGTACATCTTGCATTCAACTTATTCCCCGATAAATCGGCGTTAACTGCTACAGTTAATTATATATGTTTCTCTTGATGCATAGCCCCCGGTTTCAGACAACACCGACACCACCTACTGGTGCAAGATCTTCAAAGCGCCTCATAAGGAGAAGCATCACATGATCGGGGTAAGTGATCGCATTTTTGTTGTACGCTAAAGCCTGCACAGACTCGATAGTAACAATCTAGATTGCCGATTCGAGAATAGGAATTGATTACGTGTAGAAAAGCGAGATGCGCGTAGGAATTCTGTAAAGGTTGGGCCTGATTCGTATGTGCTTCACGAATCACGGTCATCCGTGCCGGACATGGCACCGTGTAGACTGTAGACGGACATCGTTAGAATAGAAAGAAGGGGCTCTCCGAATGATGTCATTCCACGTCCGAAACGTTCCTCGATTGTCAATGCTACCTTCTCGAAGCCATCCTCTTCCAGAGAGGAACTGAATTCGGTATTCCGAATCATTGTCTTCTTCGAATTCGCACGACTCGGCTGAAATGTTAATAAAGAAAAAAGAAAAAAAAAAAAACAACAAGCGCCAATTGTTTCTTTTTTCTTTCAGTATACACCTTTGGTGGAAAAAGAGAACGAGGATCTGGTTCATCATATAATATTGTACGAATGTGCCTCGACCTTACCGATTCTTGGACGACACGCGAGGATCGTTGGTGCACCTTGTTACAGTCCTACGATGCCTCGAGAATGGGAATCTTGTTTGCAGCCGGTCCTTGCTTGGGCTCGTGGCAGTACAGGTGTGGTAACCTAATAATACCATGTCATATCTTATTAATATAATAATAATAATAATAATAATAATAATAATAATAATAATAATAATAATAGCTACTACTCGTACCTACACTAATTGTATCAGCTGCTAATTGCTAATCAGCAGTAAATTTTCTAGGCGAGTGGCTTCCAGAGCACGTTGGTATTCCGATCGCAGAACATCCAGAAGGCTCTTATTACATGTTGGAAGTACATTATAATAATCCAGCGATGAAAAAAGTGGTGGACAGTAGCGGAGTACGACTTCATTTAACTGCGAAACTTCGAGAACAAGAAGCAGGAATTCTCGTGGCTGGTGTAGCAGTGAGTCCTTTGCATCTGATACCTCCGAAACAAAAGGAATATGCCACGGCGGGATACTGTACTCCTCACTGTACGAACACGGTAATTGCATTTGTAATTTACCTGGTATAACATAGTTGTCCACGGCTTCTTATCATCTTTCTTACAGATGTTCCCTGAAACCGGTGTAAACATTGTTTCGGTAGCATTGCACTCTCACCTAGCCGGTCGTCGGCTCAGTTTGAAGCACATTCGTCAAGGCAAAGAGTTGCCTAGAATAGTCCAAGACAACCATTTTGATTTCGAATATCAACAATCTCACACACTGGAGAAAGAAGTTAAGGTTCTTCCTGGTGACGAATTGGTGGCTGAATGTGTATACGGCACACTAGACAGGACGAAACCAACGTTGGGAGGGTACGCTGCGTCTCAGGAAATGTGTTTAGCCTTCGTGGTGCATTATCCGAGAACACCACTTGCCGCTTGCTACAGTATGACACCGGTCAAAGATCTTTTCAAAACTCTTGGCGTTTACAGCTTCAGGGGTGTCACTATGGATCACTTGGAGAAGCTCTTCTTAACCACTAGGTATGCTAAAAGAAATGTTTAGAGTTTAACACAACTTTTATAATAAATAAGTACCGTAATATTTAGAACGGATGCTGTTACGATACCTTCGACGGGAACGCAACAGCTTCCTGTTTATCCAGCCACTAGACCGAGCGAGGAAATCGACGAGGATCTTATTGAAGAAGCAAAGTCAGCGCTAAAGGCAATGAGAGATTACACGGCGGAAGAAGATAACGATAATGTATTTTCTCGATTGATCATTGAGAAACCTGACGAATTCAGAGGCAAGTTTAAAGAGGAGATGCATGAGGAAATTTCACATTTTCAAATCTAAAATCTTCAATTTTATGAAATTTATTTTACGTTAATAGGTCGAACGTTAGCGGAACACATGTTGGCATTACCCTGGACAGAGGAACTTCTTGCAAGATCTATCGAATGGAGCCTATACCATGGTAGACACATGACTTTCTGTAGGAAAAGGGACGATAAACTTGCCCTGGTAAGTTTATCTTTAAACTTGTTTCGATATTTTTTTATAATAACTACGGCTACTTTTATCTTTTTACAGCCAGCAGATATCCAAATGTTTCCAAACTATACAGCACTGCCAGAATTGAACGAAACAACGTGCAGTGAAATTGGCACATCATCCGCTACATCGACAAATTCCTACTCCAAGTTTATCGGCTTTTTCACGATCTTCCTCGCAACCATCATCGTTTCGTCAAGTCTCACCAGACAGACTTTCACCCTATCGGGACAACACCTTGTACATTAATCCTTCTCGCTTAGCGTGGCTGTTCGAAACAGGCTGAAAATGAGCGACAATATTCAATTCATGACCGGAGATGGCAAAATTTTCGAAAAATTTTCACGGTCCAAACACGATTTATACATATATATAGATATTATAATATATATGTAATGTAATGTAATGTAATGTAATGTAAATATACGATTAACATAGTATTTATAAGATTCATGCGCTACAAGCCTTCCTGTATTTTATATTAATTTTGTATAAAGAAAAAATGAAATTAAAACCTTTATCAAATTTTTCAATCATTTTCAATCATTTTCTACCATTTAGTAATATAGAGAATATAAAAATGTTTCCGAATCGATATGTATTGGATGATGAAAATTTTAGCCAAGCAGACGTATCGCATTATAAAATTGAAATAAATTAAATTTCGAAAAATAAAGCATACAAGGTTGAAAGTTTTTAAAATTGATCTACCTTTGAATCTCGCCTACACGCGAACTGGCTAACAGTGGCATATCAGTTGCTGCCACTCACGATGCCAGGTGTGTTCTGGCTCGCAATTTTCTGGATGATTAACCAATTACAAAGGCGTTTGCAGTAGTTTCACTCAACGCGCATCGTCCGGCTCGATTTAGTTCACGGTGATTTTCACCTATTGGAATATAGGGTCCCATGTGGTCGGTGCTGATAAGCACTGGATTGAACTTATATCAAATTGCGGCTGAAACTCGCGGGTATAAAAGCTCGATTCCTTGGTGCTCGAAGCATCAGCAGCTCTCTGGAGCTCCAAGGAGTAACAGGACTCTCCGAGCATCCGAGCATCCGAGCATCCACAACCGCTCCTACCATTCGACGATACAGTTGCTGCTAACAACAGCCAAGTAAGTATGTACAGTGATAAAAAAAATAGAAAATTGTCAAGCCTTCTAACGTTCTGCTATTAGAAAGCTAAGTGCAGAGTTCAGATTTTGAAATGTGCAACTCGTACAAGTTTTTCAGTGTCTTTGAAAGGAATTTTAGTCAAGACACTATTTCGGTATTACACCTATTCGCAATGAAATTTCGATAAACTTAAACTTTCCTTTCATTCGTCATTTCGTCATTTCGTCATTTCGTCTTTTTATCGTCCTCTCCTTTCCAGCATGCGACGTACGAGGTACGTTGCATTACCAGTACGAGCATGGCAGTACGTCGGCCTTCTGGTAGTGTCTCTCGCCTGCCTGACGTTAGGACTAGTCTCCAGGGATAAGGAAGGACGAGCAGGCAGTCTGGCAGGACCTGAAATGGAACACGAAGCGCCTCATAAGTAAGTAAGACGTTACCAGCTATTATTTTTATATTATATTGTACAGTGAAACATATTTTAACACTAGACTCGAGAGGGGGAAGGGTTAAACTGTTTTTTCACGGGGTTGAAATATGATAAATATTCACAGAGTGGATGCCTGTCCCAACTGGAGTCCTTTCACCGAGTTGCCTTCCGCCTTAAAGCCTGACCAAGACCAGAGCAGAAACATTAGGACTACCTTGGTACCATCTCGATCTCGAAACGTGGATCGCGTCATCAGAGGAACGAGATCACGATTAGGTAAAGAACGAGAGGAAAGAAATTTCTCTGGACGTAGTCTGGAATTCAGACTTGGAACGAGGAATCAAGATCGTTCGTTCAGACGCTCATCTGATCCAGCAATACGATTTTCACCAACTATGGAAAGGCGTACCAACGAGGCATCCCGTGAACGACGATTCCTTACCCTTACACGATCCATCGAACGTGTCGAACGAGTTGCGAGAGAAAGAAACAATGTTCGTCAGGACGAGCGATCTCTGAGGAACATCGAGGAGGCACGATCTCGAATGCGATCGATGGTTAGACGAGATTCGAGACTGGACCAGGATCGTAGATCTTTCGTTAGATCAGAGGAACGCCGAGAACGACGAGTCAGTCGATCGAACGATCCTATATTATCATTGAAAGTTTCCACGATCGAGGACTCGGACCGATTCTATTTGGTTCGCGAGAAGCGTGAATCCGAAGCTCCTACGGCCAACTCGGAGGAATTGAGAGGACGGCGAATCGAGAATCGTCGCTCGGTTTCAACTTCTAGACGAACTTCCGAAAGAAGCTCGGTATCACTCGAGTCCAGAAATCGCGAAGAAATTAGAGCTGAGCGTCGATCTAAGGAACGAAGGTCCGATCGTCGTGTCGTAGAAGAAAGGTTTAATCACCGATCCACGGAACAGAAGCTCGACCGTAGTCTATCGGAACGAAGATCCGAGCGTCGATCCACTGATCGTCGTCGTCGCGTAGAAGAAAGATTTGACCGTCGTCGTCGTCCCGTTGAACAAAGGTTTAATCACCGATCCACGGAGCAAAGATCCGATCGTCGCCTTCCGGAGCAAAGATCCGATCGTCGTAACGTTGAACAGATTGAACAGATTGAACAGAGGTTCAATCATCGATCGACCGAGCAGAGGTCTGATCGTCGTCGACTTCCAGAGGAAAGATCTGATCGTCGTCTGATGGAACAAAGGTTCAATCAGCGATCCACCGAGTCGGGGTTTGATCGTCGTCTTCCAGAAAAAAAGCTTAATCGTCGCCTCGCGGAACAACAGAGATCTGATCGTCGTCGTCATCGTCGTCTTCCAGAACACGAATTCGTTGGACAGAGATACGACGACGCCAACCGATTACAACGAACACGCTCTATGCCTCGACTTTCTCTACGATTTAGCCAAAAGGAAGACAGACTTACCGATCAAATTCGTGTTACAGACAACGATTTCCCGAGCTATTCCATCCAAAGAACTACTTCATCAGACGATTCGGCCGCCTTTCGTAGTCACGCTAGATCATCACGAGTCCAGCTTGGCGGCAGTTCGCAACACCCTATAAATAATCGCTTTTCTGAATCACGAGAAAAGCTTTTGAACCGTAACAATGGTATATTATCCAGGGCAAACCTTTTTACCGCTTCTGACATCCTGAAACAAAAGAATTCCATGAAATATGCGCTAACGTTCGAAATTATACGCCAGGCTCTTGTCGTTGCTCTCTGTATTATGTACAGTTTATCTCTTTTCCGTGGAAAACGTGGATCCATTGTCAGGTAAGCGAATATTTTTCTTTCCCTTCTATCAACTTTGTCTGTCTGTCTGTCTTTCTTTATTTTTTTATCAATTATCTGTTACAGCAATCTTGTAAGGCAGGCACCACGGTTCATTCTATGGTAGATGAAGCTTACCCACGTCTCTAGAAAAATCAACGATCCGCTACTTTCATCACCTGCTTTTAGTCAATGTTCTAGCGTAATACACTTGCGTTTGCACTCTTCCACTCTGCACTTGAACAAGTTTCTATACTGTATATTAATGTACAGCTAATGTATTCTATGTAAAATCAGAAATGTATCGCTTCTACCTAACATAAGAAGATATATTTTGTCCGAATAAATTGTTCAAATCAAAATCAAATTTACTCTATTTACTATCCCCGTCCATCTATTAGTTATCCTAAAACAAAAGAAAGATAGAGAGAGAGAGAGAGAGAGAGAGAGAGAAAACACTTGTAATAATATTTATTTCCATAAAATTAACTGCAAGATTAACGTAAATTTAACGTACCTTCTAAAAATGTTTTCTCATCATACACACACGCACACACACTCGTACACACAAGCGCATCGCATTGATGAGTGAATGAACAGGACGTGCGGATGCATGCCAGGCTAAATGATCAAAGAGAAAAGTAATTTATTAAAGTCATAATCTCGTGGTTTTTGTACATTACGGTTGTTCAGCTTAAAAATAATTATTAAAAAAGTGCTTACAATGATTCGATTAAAAAAGAGAAAAAAAAATACAACCTGAAGAAAGCAAAGTAACTTCTAAAACGATGGTCACGTCCTGAAACAAAGATTTTTAAACGATTACATGTAGAATATGTAGTTAACTTTGTGCGATTTACGTGTGCTTCGTGACAGTACAAAGAGAGTAAATTCTCTTTCTACTAAAATGTATATAAATATATGATACAGCATGACGATTTCATTACAAATGAATTCGTTGATAGTCGAAGTTGAAAAATTTGTTGGTATAAATATGAAATAAATACAATTACTCGATACGATGCTTATTTATATGTATGTACAAAACGCAAGACGAAGAAAAGCCTTTTGTAAAATAGAATGGCTATTCAATTTTACGTAACTTTGGAAGATGCCTTGTTTCCGAAAGTTATTCATTTCTAACGTCAAACCACTTTGTCAACAAGTACTGATACAAGGCTAAAACTAGCAGTCCGGTTTTTCTGTCTTACTGTTAATCCTACGTTATTAGATAAATAAAAAGTCTGCAGTTTATAGTAAATATAGATGAAAATATTTCTATCTATGTACGATATTTGATACTCTGACTAACCGTTTTATTACTCCCCGACTATGGACGAGACTATGTCCATGTGCATTGAACGCACACAGTGGCAAGAAATTAGTGTCGACGAGAAGTTACGATAAAACGGTAACTCCTTTCGTCTTTTTTTCTTTTTTTTTTTTTTTTTTACATCTTTGGCAGTGATCCCAGTCGATCGTTACGTGTGAACTATCCCGAGATCGATATGATTTCATTGGTATAATCCATACCTCATAATAAAACAAACGTATCGTTCACCTTCGTAGAAGGATTCGTAATATTTAAAAAAATAAAAAAATAAAAAAATAAAAAAAAAATTTTAAAAAGACGTTCAACATTTTGGACATTTTTAGAGCAATATTTGTGCATTCGTTTATACGTATAAAATGATCAACAACGCGATAAATTTACCTAATGAACATTTAACGCATTACGGTCTTTTTACACACTCACATTAATCTAGCGATTAATGTCTTGGAAGCATTAAATGCTATGAAACATTAATTAGAAACTCCATCTAGTTAGAGAAAATGACCTAAATTTTGATTACACGTTGAAAATACGTTATTTAACTGTAATGCGTAAAAATCCATTCCAGTACGTTTGAAGCATACGAATTATCACAATGCTCGATAACAAGTCGAGCAACGTCTCGTGTTTCAAGTACGTTATTGCAATCAATGGACGATTTCTCAGCATTTCATGAGCACCACCGGTCAGCGCGTGCACAGACAAACGCACGCACACACATATACGATAATTTAGTTGATCAGAATCAATGAACATTGGCAATTTCCTGAAGCATCCCAAGAATATGATCCAACTCTTGTCGAAAATAACATAATTGTCGATTTTTACCCTTCTCGTTCTTACAGTCCTTACATTGGGTACGATTGCGAAGTAAATCACGCACCAGGCTCTGCAAAGTCATCTCACGACTCTCGTGCCGTTGCTGAAGAATCGTTATTTTATCCTGCAGCAACTGCAACTGCTCCGTACTCTGAAACGAAATCAATGGAATAGATGTGAAAGTGAAAATAACCGAACGTGGTGGTGTATCGTCTCTCGTTGAAGCGACTAGATTTCTACCTTTTTAAATTGCAACCTTTCTACCACAGTCTGTATTAGACACTGTGTACCCTGCGTTACGTACCGGCGTTGATAAATACTTGACTTTTTCATTCAACGTCTTCACCCTATTCTCCAAATGATCCCGTTCTGCCTTAAGAACCACCACCTGTTCCTTACAGTCTTTCAATTTTTCAATCTGTTGCTTCAAATGTGATATCACCGCCAGCTGCGTGTTTATCTGACTCTGTCGAGAAAAATAAAACTAGGTCTGTTAAAATACCATAAAATACAAGTGATAGTACTACGTGCAAACATTCGAAAATTGATAGTGCGCACGTAATACTACGAACCTGCAACTTTACCACTTTAGAGTCGCCAAACTTTACGCTGTATTCTTTCAGCAAGCTAGCCATTTCGCGTTCGTGTTCCTCTTGCAACAGATTCAAGTCATGCAATCGCTTATTTTTCAAAGCCATAAAGTCCTTGTTCATCTTATTTAATTCCTCTTTCAAAATATCATTCTCGTCGGTTAATCTCTTGACGAGATTGCTGTCACCGAGATTTTCGGTGTATCGCATGGGATCGTAAAGTAGCTTTTGAACAGAGTTTGAACAAGACGACACGTGTCCATTCTGATAAACGTTCGAGTTCTGATCGTTTCCTTCGGAACATTTCAAAGTCTGTAACTTTGAATCAGCCGAGGACACCATAGCTCGATTCATCCTCTCAAAATCCGTGCTGCTTTTAACGGATCTCCTATCGTTTAGTAATTTCTCTCGTTCCTTTTGTAATTTTCTGTTAGTCTTCTGTAGCTCCTGCAATTCTTTGCCAACTTTCGACAATGCTTTATCTTTGTTTGCCAGTTCGAATTTCAGTCCACGTATAGTGGCCATAAGATATGCATCATCCTTCAGATTCTGAGACTTTAGATTAACTACTTTATTAACATTAACTGGCTTCTGATCCTTTTTATTATCTTCCTTCTCGAACGAGCCAGCTCTCTCCTCTTTTCTAATAGTTTCTACAGCTCTACTCTCGACAGGTTTCGATATCGTCTGTGTGAACATGTCGTTGTAAATTTTACGATTCTTAATATCAGCCTCGAGTAGTTTCTCCTCCAATTCCATTATCTGCGAACAGTATTTTTCCTTCATGTCAGAAAACTTTTTTTGAAACTCCATCACCTTCTGTTGCGCCAACTGATCCTTTGCTTTTATCTCATTTTCCAAACTTGAAATTCTATCCTCTAGTAGCTTCAATTTTTCTCCACCAATTTTCTCTTGCTCCGAATTAGCCGTCAGTATAAGAGCGGACACAGAATCGGGATTCTTTCTCTTCAATATCCTTTCCATTTCACGTATCTGTCTGTTCAAATCGATGATCTTTTTGCTGTCAAGGATCACCTGATCCTTCAATTTTTGAGTCAACTGTTTCTCACGTTCCACGTGACTTCTGGCTACCTGTAGCTTCTCTTCAAGATTCCCTTCTTTCACTCGCAATTCTAGCAGCTCCTTCTCCAATGGCAGTACGTTTTGCTGAATCTTGTCAAACTGCTGTTTCACGATTCGTAACTGTTCGGTCTTCGAGCTGAGCTTGATCGTCAAATCCTCCAGCTGTTTCTTCAGTTCCAACTCGACGTTGGTTATTGCTTGCAACCGGTCCGTGATGAAATCGTTCTTCGTCCTCAGTTGTTCCTTGAACATCTCCAACTCGTCGTTCAGTAAACTATTCTGCTGGATTAGATCCTCGTTCTTTAACGCGTAGTCCGCGTTCTTCTCTCGAACCTTCGAAATTTCTAGATTCACTTTCAGCCTCTCCTCCTCGAGATCCTTTACTTTATCCGCAAGCTCTTGCATCTTACCAGACTCTAGCGGTGCAGTATTTTTCTGTTTCTGCAATTGCTTCATCTCTTCTTGCATGCGTTTTGTGTCTTGCATCAATTTCTTGTTCTCCGTTTCGTATGCGCGAATCAATTTCTCTTGCTTCTCCAATTCTTTCTCTAAAAGCACGATTTTAGTGTCCTTCTTCGGTTGAAAAGCGTCTACGCGTTTATCATTCAACAAGAGTTCGTCGAGCCTTGCCTTTAGAATGATATTTTGCTTTTTCACTGCGAACAATTCTTCCTCAAAAGATACACGCATATTGTCTATTTGATTTTTGTACAATTTCACTTCAGCCTCTAGTTGCTGTTTCAAAAGAACATTCTTGTGTCTCTCCTCGCGACACAAGTTCTCCCAATTCGGTGTCACCGAATTGTGTTTTGTATCACCACCAGCAGCAGCAGCAGCAGCAGCAGCCACGATGGACCCACGCTTTACATGATTATCTGGCGATTTTATTTGGTACCCTTTATACGTGGAAGACAAAGAGGAAGTAAAACCAACAGTCTTGATAAGATCTTTCTTTGGTTTCGATTTTGGTTTTACTTTTGCTTTTGCTTTTGGAAGTACCCTGGTCTTGGAAGGAAGCCTCGTTACGATAGGCTTAACAGTACTTGACTTCGATATCGATATCGGGGATCGTCTGCTGCTCGTCAGATTACTGATGGCAGGATTTTTCACGATATCCGAAGATTTAGCTACCTTCAAGTTTTCTACGGACGTTCGAAACGGTGTTGTCTTACAGATCTGATCGTAACTTTTTGACTTTGAAAATTTGACTTTGAGAATTTCTTTTTTTTGCGTCTTACTGCTCGACGATGCGTTAACTGGATGCGATAGTAGTCGTTGAGTAGTCGTTGCGATACCGCTGCTTTTGATCTCAGTATTGGAAGTAGTTTTGCGTACGGTCGTTTTCACATGCGTCCCCCCGTCGCATTCTACTGACTTTTCGGCTAACAATTTTGGGATTGCATCCGCAAACAATTCTAATCGTGGCGTAAGCCCAACCGTGTAAAGTTCTTCCTTAGACGTACCTGTTTTCTTTATATCCTTCGACACGATTACACGATCCTTCGGTGATGTTTCATACTTTTTATTATTCGTCGTAAGCTT